AAGGTGACAGTGGTGACATTCCATGTCCCTAGAACTAGCCTCTGCAGCCGAGGATCAGACCGCCAAGGTCCCAGTGAGCCACGTCCAGGCGAGGGAAACTTGGTGCCAAATATTTTGTTCATCATAATGGGTCTGTTTGAGCTACTCTTAGTCTGGTCCCCCCCAGGACCTGTTTGCTCCTGGGGGATCACTGGGACACACAAACCCCTCCACCACGGTAAGGTGGTAGCTCGAGGAGGGGGAATTTTTTTTTTTAAGATACTAAATATCTTGTGGGGGGAAACCAGAGCACCTGGAGTAAACCCCTGTGTGATGGAGAGAAAATGTAAAATTCAAATAGGGAGACCTTTATCCTGAAGGTGACAGTGCTAACTACTGCACCTCCACTCCTTCCTTGCATTAATTAAACTGTATTGGGGAAAAGAAGTGTTGGTCCTGTTTAAGAGGGGTGTCCTGTGTTGTGAATAGTCAATGATTCCAACAGGTGGGAGAAAGGATCACATGGGCAATCACAATGAGCAACCAATCCAATGGACAGTATACCCACTGCAACAAGTGCACATGCAGAGGACACACCAATGAACTTGCATACGCTCAGTGCACCTCTGAGAGAGCGCTTCCACAGGCTTTCACTCTGAGCCTCAGCAGCAGGAGTTTCCAGCTGGTTCAGGGTCCTTTCTCTGTCCTGAGCTTGTTCCAAGGCTGTTGTGAGGTGAAGCACTTTCTCTCCATAATGCTTTTCTTGACGCCAATTCCTTTCCTTCAAATCGTCAATTTCTGCCACCAAATTTTCATTTTCTCTCTCTTTTTCATCCAGTCTTGTTTCAAGACTCGCCACCTTCTCAGTCAAGAGACGACGCTCACAGTCACTTTTACAGAGGGCAGTGGAAGGCCCAATCTCTTCAGACTCACTTTTTGTATGCTGATCTTCGGGCGTAATTATCTCATTTGAAAGACTATCCTCACTCTCCAGAAGCATTGAAGTATCTGAACTGTCAGCTTCCTGTCTTTGACGGTGGGCCAGCCTACGCCTGACTCTAGACCTCACATTCAGGATTGACTCTTGAGCAAATGTTTGGACAGAAATAGCTTTCATCCTGCTGATGAGCCCTCTCATGCCTGACTTTTTGGTCTCTTCTGGAGATGATTTATTTACGGAGTCAGGTGAGCCAATTTGGTCCTGTTCATCTAAGTCCTCTGAATCCTGGCCGACTCCAGAAGGAAGCGGGTTTAATTCTTCCTCTGAGTCAAAACCCTGAAAGTCATAATTGGTCGCTTCTTCTGTTCTGTTCTGTTCCATCCTACTAGTGGAGGAGCTCATGGCTGTGTTTGTGTTTGTAAGTTGGTGTTAAAACAGTTTTGTGTCTCCTTTAAAAATGATCCTAAAGCAAAGTTCGATCTTACTTACCTTGGTGTAGTCATTACCAAGTTTTTGGTATGCCTCAGGGCTGTGATGTCATCACTTTGATGACATCATAGTAATGTCAAAGCACAGTCATGGAATTCCCTCTGGCTTCCCCAGTTACTATGGCAACAGATCACAACATAAGTCTGCCACAACTTAAAACTTAAAATGGATACCTTAGTGAACAATATGTTTCAAAAAAACTGCTCAATCAAGCCAGGGAATCTTTTTTTTTCCTGCACAGTTTCATATTTTTATATTTTGCATAATATCAAGCAACACATTTATTCAATATGTAAGAATGACAAATCTGATGTTGAAAGTTTTTTTTTTTTATCACAGTCACATGGTCACATAGTTTCAAAAAGTTATAGCAGGGACATGTCGGCCATCATGATGAGTCACTTCTCCTTTAAAAAAAAAAAAAAACTCTTTCTGTAGAGTTTTAAAAATAGGTAGTTATTCCTTGTTTTGCCTGAGGGAAGATCTCAGCTGGTGACAGGCTGGGGTCTTCTTTTTTCTATTTTTAATTTTGCACAACTTTTGGTTGGCAAGCTGAGACTGCAGGTAAGCTACTTCAGCATGCAGACTCTTTGAATGCAGAGCTATTTTGTTGTAATTCATGCACAATATGGGTTAGCACCGTCATGCTGTAATGGGCTCATCTGATTCATTCCTGGAAGTGAACAAGTTGGCATCACTGCGACTCGTCCCCACATGACATTTGCACATTTGACTACAAGTTGTTCTCAGAGGTGATTAAATGTTACTATTATCTTAATTTTTGATATTATTTAATTTTAACAGCAGTGTCAGTGACAGGTCAAGTCGTCAAGTTTTAACTAAGATTTGAACCATACACGAGCCTCAATTTCACATAGGATCCTACAGTTTTTGTTTCATTAGTCTTTTGTAATTCTGTCTCTTTTTCAGAGACATTTGCTCTTCATCTCTAGGTGATAAACAAAATGATCTCATAGTCAACTTCTACTAGCTAGCAAGCTAATCAAGAAGCCTCATGCAATCATTACTATCCAAACAAACAAACACTGAAAGAAAATGTGTGATTCATTTCAATCGCTGTCCAATTCTTCTTTCATGGAAAAATGGAGTGAGATCTTGTGGAGTACAGACATGGTTTGAGAGCAAGCTGATATGCTAATATTGTATATGGACAATTGTTACTCTTTAAAATGATGTTTTAGTCTTTTTACATTATTACACTCATTTGCTTCTGATTAGTGTCAGCTATTTCACTGACTATTAGTGTACTGAGATAAGAACAGGGAAGGTATCGCTAGTTTGGGTGGGGAGTGGGGCTTAAAGGGGAGCTACTTTTGGTTAAGGAGGAAAAAACACAATGGTAATACTCTGCTTGAGTATTGGATATGGAGTACTGAGTACTTTCCAATACAACTGGTCTGTAATGATTAAATACAGCCAATAACTGAGTGAACAGATTACTGTAACTAGCATGGTAGAGTAATATCACATTACATAGCACTCTAGCAGAAACTAAAATGGCTGACGGGTAAGGTCAAATCTTTTCTCTATTTCTGCATGTGCAATTAGGTGATCATTGTGCCCATTGTATGATATAATAACTGAACGTATCAGAAAACCTCCAAGAGCAGCTGTCTAATGTTTTGACCCTGATCTGATCCTATATCAGCAATGTTTGGTGAGTGTGCTCATTTATAGTACTTCTTTTTGGGTCTGTCTGGGTCATTGAGGCTGTGCTCGGCTCAACTCAGTTCCAGGGCTCTCAAGTTTTGAACTAAGCTAAGAGTGAGATTTCCTTGGGGTATGAGGGCCACATTAAGAAAAAAACGTTTTTAAATCTTGGAGAATAAAGTTATTATTGAGGAGAATAAAGTCATTAATATATAAGAATAAAGTCGTAAAGTTACCTGTTGTGCAGGAGAATTGTTAAAATCAGCACTGTGAAGCATTTAGATGAATTGTACTTTAGTGTAGGTTTCACAAACATGGAAATACTTAATCCTTTGGTACATGAGCATTACACTGTCATCATGACAGTCCACACTGTGTGGACATGAACCCCCTAATAACTTTTAAAAATAGAGCTGTACAGAAAAAAGAGGACTTGAGCACAAAACAGTCTTACAGTAACTACATGTCAACATCGCAAGCAAGGGGAAAAAATCTTTTCTGTGTGATTAATTTCTAAAATTTGTCCTCAGCCTCTTAAGGATGGCCGACAGGGATTTATGACCTATACTGCACCCCGTCACCAGAGGGTGCTGTTCTCAGAGTGGCTTCACCCAGCGAGAAGACGGACACTTTCCGTTTTGATTTCCACTCCCCGTCGGGGAATTGAACCCCGGTCTCCCGCCTAACAGGCGGGGATACTCACCACTATACTAACGAGGAGAATGTGTTCTGACATGATATGATATAATATGGAACAATATGACACTATATGACATGATATGATACGATACGATATGATATGGTACAATACCATACTATACGATACTGTGTTTTTGTGTGACCACCAGAGTATTGTGGTCCACTGTCAAAAGCTGCAGTTAGATCCAACAGAACAAGAATAACATAATCACCAGAGTCATTTGCCTGGAGGATGTCATTTAAAACTCTTAATAAAGCAGACTCTGTGCTGTGAAGAGTTTTAAAACCAGACTGGAAGACCTCCATGCTCAACCAGAAAAGACTTTAGCTGAACATGAACAACTTCCTCTAAAATTTTTGAAATAAAGGGAAGTTTGGAGATGGCCTAAAATTGGCCAGCATACTGCAATAAAGGCCTGGTTTGTGGAGTACAGCTGAAAACCTAATTGGAGATAGTCTTCTATTGCACCTCTAGTAGTAAGACATTGTTTTTAGTCACCCTCTTTTTACCTTGTTATCAAAATGTGAAAAGGAAAAAACCCACACAGCTGACATAAGATTTTGCAGTTGCGTACATCAACCTTCACACAATCTGATTCACTTTAAACCAAGTTAACCTTGTAAAAACACACTCTTGATGAAATTATATGTATTTGTTTTTTTTTAATTGAGTTCCTGAGTTATGCCATTTTGGGGCTGTGGGAGGAAACCATAGCAACTGGTGGAAACCTACAGTGTTATGGGGAGAAAATGCACAATTGGATTACGGAGACCTTTATCCTGAAGGTGACAGTGGTGACATTCCATGTCCCTAGAACTAGCCTCTGCAGCCGAGGATCAGACCGCCAAGGTCCCAGTGAGCCACGTCCAGGCGAGGGAAACTTGGTGCCAAATATTTTGTTCATCATAATGGGTCTGTTTGAGCTACTCTTAGTCTGGTCCCCCCCCAGGACCTGTTTGCTCCTGGGGGATCACTGGGACACACAAACCCCTCCACCACGGTAAGGTGGTAGCTCGAGGAGGGGGAATTTTTTTTTTAAGATACTAAATATCTTGTGGGGGGAAACCAGAGCACCTGGAGTAAACCCCTGTGTGATGGAGAGAAAATGTAAAATTCAAATAGGGAGACCTTTATCCTGAAGATGACAGTGCTAACTACTGCACCTCCACTCCTTCCTTGCATTAATTAAACTGTATTGGGGAAAAGAAGTGTTGGTCCTGTTTAAGAGGGGTGTCCTGTGTTGTGAATAGTCAATGATTCCAACAGGTGGGAGAAAGGATCACATGGGCAATCACAATGACCAACCAATCCAATGGACAGTATACCCACTGCAACAAGTGCACATGCAGAGGACACACCAATGAACTTGCATACGCTCAGTGCACCTCTGAGAGAGCGCTTCCACAGGCTTTCACTCTGAGCCTCAGCAGCAGGAGTTTCCAGCTGGTTCAGGGCCCTTTCTCTGTCCTGAGCTTGTTCCAAGGCTGTTGTGAGGTGAAGCACTTTCTCTCGATAATGCTTTTCTTGACGCCAATTCCTTTCCTTCAAATCGTCAATTTCTGCCACCAAATTTTCATTCTCTCTCTCTTTTTCATCCAGTCTTGTTTCAAGACTCGCCACCTTCTCAGTCAAGAGACGACGCTCACAGTCACTTTTACAGAGGGCAGTGGAAGGCCCAATCTCTTCAGACTCACTTTTTGTATGCTGATCTTCGGGTGTAATTATCTCATTTGAAAGACTATCCTCACTCTCCAGAAGCATTGAAGTATCTGAACTGACAGCTTCCTGTCCTTGACGGTGGGCCAGCCTACGCCTGACTCTAGACCTCACATTCAGGATTGACTCTTGAGCAAATGTTTGGACAGAAATAGCTTTCATCCTGCTGATGAGCCCTCTCATGCCTGACTTTTTGGTCTCTTCTGGAGATGATTTATTTACGGAGTCAGGTGAGCCAATTTGGTCCTGTTCATCTAAGTCCTCTGAATCCTGGCCGACTCCAGAAGGAAGCGGGTTTAATTCTTCCTCAGGTGAGTCAAAACCCTGAAAGTCATAATTGGTCGCTTCTTCAGGTGTTCTGTTCTTTGTTCTGATTGTTTCCTCTGAATGCTGGTTCATCCCTACTAATGGAGGAGCTCAAATGGCTGTCTTGTTTGTGTTTGTATTTGTGATGCTCCTCATCCTGCAGACGACTAACTTGAGAGAAGAGGTTTTCCTTTATAGCCTGGATTTCCTTCTTTACTCTCTCAAGCTCAGCCACTTTCTCAATGTGGCATTTCTGAGCCACATAAAGACGACGCTCACAGTCATGCAATGCTGCCCTGAGCTGTGTAGCCTCGTCTTGTGTTTTATTAAATGATGTTTGGAGAGAGGTCACTTGCTGGTTCAGGGCCCTTTCTCTGTCCTGAGCTTGCTGCAAGTCTCTTGTTAGGTGAGGCACTTTCTCTCCATAATGCTTTTCTTGACGCCAATTCCTTTCCTTCAAATCGTCAATTTCTGCCACCAAATTTCCATTTTCTAACTCTTTTTCATCCAGTCTTGTTTCAAGACTTGCCACCTTCTCAGTCAAGAGGCTCCTGTTCCTTTCATTTGTGATGCTCTCATCCTGCAGACGACTAACTTGAGAGAAGAGGTTTTCCTTTATAGCCTGGATTTCCTCCTTTTCTCTCTCAAGCTCAGCCACTTTCTCAATGTGGCATTTCTGAGCCACATCAAGACGACGCTCACAGTCACTTTTACAGAGGGCAGTGGAAGGCCCAATCTCTTCAGACTCACTGTTTGTATGCTGATCTTCGGGTGTAATTATCTCATTTGAAAGACTATCCTCACTCTCCAGAAGCATTGAAGTATCTGAACTGTCAGCTTCCTGTCTTCGACGGTGGGCCAACCTACGCCTGACTCTAGACCTCACATTCAGGATTGACTCTTGAGCAAATGTTTGGACAGAAATAGCTTTCATCCTGCTGATGAGCCCTCTCTTGACTGACTTTTTGGTCTCTTCTGGAGATGATTTATTTACGGAGTCAGGTGAGCCAATTTGGTCCTGTTCATCTGAGTCCTCTGAATCCTGGCCGACTCCACAAAGAAGCGGGTTTAATTCTTCCTCTGAGTCAAAACCCTGAAAGTCATAATTGGTCGCTTCTTCTGTTCTGTTCTGTTCCATCCTACTAGTGGAGGAGCTCATGGCTGTGTTTGTGTTTGTAAGTTGGTGTTAAAACAGTTTTGTGTCTCCTATAAAAATGATCCTAAAGCAAAGTTCGATCTTACTTACCTTGGTGCAGTCATTACCAAGTTTTTGGTATGCCTCAGGGCTGTGATGTCATCACTTCGATGACATCAAAGTGATGACATCACTATGATGTCATCACTATGAAAACATCACTATGATGACATGATAGTAATGTCAAAGCACAGTCATGGAATTCCCTCTGGCTTCCCCAGTTACTATGGCAACAGATCACAACATAAGTCTGCCACAACTTAAAACTTAAAATGGATACCTTAGTGAACAATATGTTTTGTTTATGTAAAAATGACAAATCTGATGTTGAAAGTTTTTTTTTTTTTTATCACAGTCACATGGTCACATAGTTTCAGAAAGTTATAGCAGGGACATGTCTGCCATCATGATGAGTCACTTCTCCTTTTTAAAAAAAAAAAACTCTTTCTGTAGAGTTTTAAAAATGGATAGTTATTCCTTGTTTTGCCTGAGGGAAGATCTCAGCTGGTGACAGGCTGGGGTCTTCTTTTTTCTATTTTTGATTTTGCACAACTTTTGGTTGGCAATCTGAGACTGCAGGTAAGCTACTTCAGCATGCAGACTCTTTGAATGCAGAGCTATTTTGTTGTAATTCATGCACAATATGGGTTAGCACCGTCATGCTGTAATAGGCTCATCTGATTCATTCCTGGAAGTGAACAAGTTGGCATCACTGCGACTCGTCCCCACATGACATTTGCACATTTGACTACAAGTTGTTCTCAGAGGTGATTAAATGTTACTATTATCTTAATTTTTGATATTATTTAACTTTAACAGCAGTGTCAGTGACAGGTCAAGTCGTCAAGTTTTAACTTAGATTTGCACCACACACAAGCCTCAATTTCACATAGGATCCTACAGTTTTTGTTTAGGTCCACTGGCCAAGATCAAGAATTTTCATTAGTCTTTTGTAATTCTGTCTCTTTTTCAGAGACATTTGCTCTTCATCTCTAGGTGATAAACAAAATGATCTCATAGTCAACTTCTACTAGCTAGCAAGCTAATCAAGAAGCCTCATGCAATCATTACTATCCAAACAAACAAACACTGAAAGAAAATGTGTGATTCATTTCAATCGCTGTCCAATTCTTCTTTCATGGAAAAATGGAGTGAGATCTTGTGGAGTACAGACATGGTTTGAGAGCAAGCTCATATGCTAATATTGTATATGGACAATTGTTACTCTTTAAAATGATGTTTTAGTCTTTTTACATTATTACACTCATTTGCTTCTGATTAGTGTCAGCTATTTCACTGACTATTAGTGTACTGAGATAAGAACAGGGAAGGTATCGCTAGTTTGGGTGGGGAGTGGGGCTTAAAGGGGAGCTACTTTTGGTTAAGGAGGAAAAAACACAATGGTAATACTCTGCTTGAGTATTGAATATGGAGTACTGAGTACTTTCCGATACAACTGGTCTGTAATGATTAAATACAGCCAATAACTGAGTGAACAGATTACTGTAACTAGCATGGTAGAGTAATATCACATTACATAGCACTCTAGCAGAAACTAAAATGGCTGACGGGTAAGGTCAAATCTTTTCTCTATTTCTGCATGTGCAATTAGGTGATCATTGTGCCCATTGTATGATATAATAACTGAACGTATCAGAAAACCTCCAAGAGCAGCTGTCTAATGTTTTGACCCTGATCTGATCCTATATCAGCAATGTTTGGTGAGTGTGCTCATTTATAGTACTTCTTTTTGGGTCTGTCTGGGTCATTGAGGCTGTGCTCGGCTCAACTCAGTTCCAGGGCTCTCAAGTTTTGAACTAAGCTAAGAGTGAGATTTCCTCGGGGTATGAGGGCCACATTAAGAAAAAAAACGTTTTTAAATCTTGGAGAATAAAGTTATTATTGAGGAGAGTAAAGTCATTAATATATTAGAATAAAGTCGTAAAGTTACCTGTTGTGCAGGAGAGTTGTTAAAATCAGCACTGTGAAGCATTTAGATGAATTGTACTTTAGTGTAGGTTTCACAAACATGGAAATACTTAATCCTTTGGTACATGAGCATTACACTGTCATCATGACAGTCCACACTGTGTGGACATGAACCCCCTAAGAACTTTTAAAAATAGAGCTGTACAGAAAAAAGAGGACTTGAGCACAAAACAGTCTTACAGTAACTACATGTCAACATCGCAAGCAAGGGGAAAAAATCTGTTCTGTGTGATTAATTTCTAAAATTTGTCCTCAGCCTCTTAAGGATGGCTGACAGGGATTTATGACCTATACTGCAGCCCGTCACCAGAGGGTGCTGTTCTCAGAGTGGCTTCACCCAGCGAGAAGACAGACACTTTCCGTTTTGATTTCCACTCCCCGTCGGGGAATCGAACCCCGGTCACCCGCCTAACAGGCGGGGATACTCACCACTATACTAACGAGGAGAATGTGTTCTGACATGATATGATATAATATGGAACAATATGATACGATATGACACTATATGACATGATATGATACGATATATGGTACAATACCATACTATACGATACTGTGTTTGTGTGTTTTTGTTTTTTTGTGTGACCACCAGAGTATTGTAGTCCACTGTCAAAAGCTGCAGTTAGATCCAACAGAACAAGAATAACATAATCACCAGAGTCATTTGCCTGGAGGATGTCATTTAAAACTCTTAATAAAGCAGACTCTGTGCTGTGAAGAGTTTTAAAACCAGACTGGAAGACCTCCATGCTCAACCAGAAAAGACTTTAGCTGAACATGAACAACTTTCTCTAACATTTTTGAAATAAAGGAAGCTTGGAGATGGCCTAAAATTGGCCAGCATACCGCAATCAAGGCCTGGTTTGTGGAGTACAGCTGAAAACCTAATTGGAGATAGTCTTCTATTGCACCTCTAGTAGTAAGACATTGTTTTTAGTCACCTTCTTTTTACCTTGTTATCAAAATGTGAAAAGGAAAAAACCACACAGCTGACAGAAGATTTTGCAGTCGCGTACATCAACCTTCACACAATCTGATTCACTTTAACCCTTCCGGGCTCTTTAGATTGACTTCCCTCTAAAGTCCCTCGTGGCCGAAAAAAGCCACTTTTTTTGTCTGCTGTAAAATCATATTGGATTAATATTTTTTTCTGATTTTTTTCACACATCTTTTATTTTACTTCTGCCCTGTTCGAAACTAGCAAATGTTTCATTGAAAACAATTTTTTTTAACCCTTTAAGTGCCAATTTAAGACAAAAAGTCACTAATAGGGCAAAAAATTAAAGGAAAATGACCCATTTTTTTATAAAACATGATCAGAAACTGGTAATCTCTTGCAGGGTATCAGAGTCTTGAATAGGTCAGAGATTAGTAATATAATTGACTTAGATGCCTTTTAGGTTTTTCTGTAGCATCAGATTTAATGAAAAACTGCGTTTGGCGCCCCTCAGTGGCCAAAACTACTTTGACTGCTGTAAAATGATATTGGATTAATATTTTTTTCTGATTTTTTTTTCATACATTTCTTATTTTACTTCTGCCCTGTTCAAAACTAGCAAATGTTTCATTGAAAATAAAAATTTTAACACTTTAAGGGCCAATTTAAGACATAAAGTCACTTAAAAAGAAAAAAAAAATGGAAGGAAAATTTTAAGGAAAATGACCCATTTTTTTTATAAAACATGATCAGAAACTGGTAATCTCTTGCAGGGTATTTAAGTCTTGAATATGTCAGAGATTAGTAATATAATTGACTTCAATGCATTTTAAGTTTTTCTTTAGCATCAGATTTAATAAAAAACTGCCTTTGGCGCCTCCCAGTGGCCAAAACGACTTTGACTGCTGTAAAATCATATTGGATTAATATTTTTTTCAGATTTTTTTTCATACATTTCTTATTTTACTTCTGCCCTGTTCAAAACTTGCAAATGTTCCATTGAAAATAAAAATTTTAACCCTTTAAGGGCCAATTTAAGACATAAAGTCACTTAAAAAGCAAAAAAAATGGAAGGAAAATGAAGGAAAACGACCCATTTTTTTAATAAAACATGATCAGAAACTGGTAATCTCTAGCAGGGTATCAGAGTCTTGAATATGTCAGAGATTAGTAATATCATTGACTTAGATGCCTTTTAGGTTTTTCTGTAGCATCAGATTTAATGAAAAACTGCGTTTGGCACCCCTCAGTGGCCAAAACTACTTTGTCTGCTGTAAAATCATATTGGATTAATATTTTTTTCAGATTTTTTTTCATACATTTCTTATTTTACTTCTGCCCTTTTCAAAACTAGCAAATGTTTCTTTGAAAAAAAAAATTTCACCCTTTAAGGGCCAATTTAAGACAAAAAGTCTCTTATGAAGCAAAAAAATGGAAGGAAAATGGAAGGAAAATGACCTTATTTGCTTCATAAGAGACTTTTGTCTTAAATGGGCCCTTAAAGGGTGAAAATTTTTATTTTCAAAGAAACATTTGCTAGTTTTAAACAGGGCAGAAGTAAAATAAGAAATGTATGAAAAAAATCTGAAAAAATATTAATCCAATATGATTTTACAGCAGACAAAGTAGTTTTGGCCACTGAGGGGCGCCAAACGCAGTTTTTCATTAAATCTGATGCTACAGAAAAACCTAAAAGGCATCTAAGTCAATTATATTACTAATCTCTGACATATTCAAGACTTAAATACCCTGCAAGAGATTACCAGTTTCTGATCATGTTTTATAAAAAAATTGGTCATTTTCCTTCATTTTCCTTCAATTTTTTTGCTTTTTAAGTGACTTTATGACTAAAATTGGCCCTTAAAGGTTAAAATTTTTATTTTCAATGAAACATTTGCTAGTTTTGAACAGGGCAGAAGTAAAATAAGAAATGAATGAAAAAAAATCTGAAAAAAATATTAATCCAATATGATTTTACAGCAGCAAAAGTAGTTTTGGCCACTGGGAGGCGCCAAAGGCAGTTTTTTATTAAATCTGATGCTAAAGAAAAACTTAAAATGCATTGAAGTCAATTATATTACTAATCTTTGACATATTTAAGACTTAAATACCCTGCAAGAGATTACCAGTTTCTGATCATGTTTTATAAAAAAAATGGGTCATTTTCCTTAAATTTTTCCTTCCATTTTTTTTTGCTTTTAAGTGACTTTATGTCTTAAATTGGCCCGTAAAGGGTTAAAATTTTATTTTCAATGGAACATTTGCTAGTTTTGAACAGGGCAGAAGTAAAATAAGAGATGTATGAAAAAAAATCAGAAAAAAATATTAATCCAATATGATTTTACAGCAGACAAAGTAGTTTTGGCCACTGGGAGGCGCCAAACGCAGTTTTTCATTAAATCTGATGCTACAGAAAAACTTAAAATGCATCAAAGCCAATGATATTACTAATCTCTGACATTTTCATGACTTTGATACCCTGCAAGAGATAACCAGTTTCTGATCATGTTTTATAAAAAAAATGGGTCATTTTCCTTAAATTTTTGCTATATTTGTGACTTTTTGTCTTAAATTGGCACTTAAAGGGTTAAAAATTGTTTTCAATGAAACATTTGCTAGTTTCGAACAGGGCAGAAGTAAAATAAGAGATGTGTGAAAAAAAATCAGAAAAAAATATTAATCCAATATGATTTTACAGCCGACAAAAAAGTGGCTTTTTTCGGCCACGAGGACTCTGGAGGGTGAAAATTTGTCCTGGCTTTAAACCAAGTTAACCTTGTAAACACATTCATCTTGATGAAATTATATGTTGTTTTTTCGTTATCGGCCACAGGGACCCGGAAGGGTTAAACCAAGTTAACCTTGTAAAAACACACTCTTGATGAAATTATATGTATTTTTTTTTTTATTTAGTTACTGAGTTCTGCCATTTTGGGGCTGTGGGAGGAAACCATAGCACCTGGTGGAAACCTACAGTGTTATGGGGAGAAAATGCACAATTGGATTACGGAGACCTTTATCCTGAAGGTGACAGTGGTGAAATTCCATGTCCCTAGAACTAGCCTCTGCAGCCGAGGATCAGACCGCCAAGGTCCCAGTGACCCACGTCCAGGCGAGGGAAACTTGGTGCCAAATATTTTGTTCATCATAATGGGTCTGTTTGAGCTACTCTTAGTCTGGTCCCCCCCAGGACCTGTTTGCTCCTGGGGGATCACTGGGACACACAAACCCCTCCACCACGGTAAGGTGGTAGCTCGAGGAGGGGGAATTTTTTTTTTTTAAGATACTAAATATCTTGTGGGAGGAAACCAGAGCACCTGGAGTAAACCCCTGTGTGATGGAGAGAAAATGTAAAATTCAAATAGGGAGACCTTTATCCTGAAGGTGACAGTGCTAACCACTGCACCTCCACTCCTTCCTTGCATTAATTAAACTGTATTGGGGAAAAGAAGTGTTGGTCCTGTTTAAGAGGGGTGTCCTGTGTTGTGAATAGTCAATGATTCCAACAGGTGGGAGAAAGGATCACATGGGCAATCACAATGAGCAATCAATCCAATGGACAGTATACCCACTGCAACAAGTGCACATGCAGAGGACACACCGATGAACTTGCCTACGCTCAGTGCACCTCTGAGAGAGCGCTTCCACAGGCTCTCACTCTGAGCCTCAGCAGCAGGAGTTTCCAGCTGCTGAGGTTCAGGTGATATCTCGAGGTCAGGTGATATCTCGTCTGTCTGCACCCCAGTGGAGTTAAGATGTCTTTCACTTGGCGCTAGTATCTCTTCCTCCTGCTTTGTCTTGAGCTCTTCTCTGAGCTTCCTGATTGTTTCCTCTGAATGCTGGTTCAGGGTCCTTTCGTTGTCCTGAGCTTGTTCCAAGGCTGTTGTGGGGTGAAACACTTTCTCTCGATAATGCTTTTCTTGACGCCAATTCCTTTCCTTCAAATCGTCAATTTCTGCCACCAAATTTCCATTTTCTAACTCTTTTTCATCCAGTCTTGTTTCAAGACTCGCCACCTTCTCAGTCAAGAGGCTCCTGTTCCTTTCATTTGTGATGCTCTCATCCTGCAGACGACGCTCACAGTCACTTTTACAGAGGGCAGTGGAAGGCCCAATCTCTTCAGACTCACTGTTTGTATGCTGATCTTCAGGTGTAATTATCTCATTTGAAAGACTATCCTCACTCTCCAGAAGCATTGAAGTATCTGAACTGTCAGCTTCCTGTCTTCGACGGTGGGCCAGCCTACGTCTGACTCTAGACCTCACCTTCAGGATTGACTCTTGAGCAAATGTTTGGACAGAAATAGCTTTCATCCTGCTGATGAGCCCTCTCATGCCTGACTTTTTGGTCTCTTCTGGAGATGATTTCTTTACGGAGTCAGGTGAGCCAATTTGGTCCTGTTCATCTAAGTCCTCTGAATCCTGGCCGACTCCAGAAGGAAGCGGGTTTAATTCCACTGAGTCAAAACCCTGAAAGTCATAATTGGTCACTTCTTCTGTTCTGTTCTGTTCCATCCTACTAGTGGAGGAGCTCATGGCTGTGTTTGTGTTTGTAATAATAATAATAGCAGGAGTTTCCAACTGCTGAGGTTCAGGTGATATCTCGAGGTCAGGTGATATCTCGTCTGTCTGCACCCCAGTGGAGTTAAGATGTCTTTCACTTGGCGCTTGTATCTCTTCCTCCTGCTTTGCCTTGAGCTCTTCTTTGAGCTTGCTGATTGTTTCCTCTGAATGCTGGTTCAGGGCCCTTTCGTTGTCCTGAGCTTGTTCCAAGGCTGTCATGAGGTGAAGCACTTTCTCTCCATAATGCTTTTCTTGACGCCAATTCCTTTCCTTCAAATCGTCAATTTCTGCCACCAAATTTTCATTTTCTCTTTCTTTTTCATCCAGTCTTGTTTCAAGACTCGCCACCTTCTCAGTCAAGAGGCTCCTGTTCCTTTCATTTGTGATGCTCTCATCCTGCAGACGACTAACTTGAGAGAAGAGGTTTTCCTTTATAGCCTGGATTTCCTTCTTTACTCTCTCAAGCTCAGCCACTTTCTCAATGTGGCATTTCTGAGCACATAAAGACGACGCTCACAGTCATGCAATGCTGCCCTGAGCTGTGTAGCCTCGTCTTGTGTTTTATTAAATGATGTTTGGAGAGAGGTCACTTGCTGGTTCAGGGCCCTTCTCTGTCCTGAGCTTGCTGCAAGTCTCTTGTTAGGTGAGCACTTTCTCTCCATAATGCTTTTCTTGACGCGATTCCTTTCCTTCATCGTCAATTTCTGCCACCAAATTTCCATTTTCTAACTCTTTTTCATCCAGTCTTGTTTCAAGTGGTCAAGAGGCTCCTGTTCCTTTCATTTGTGATGCTCTCATCCTGCAGACGACTCTTGAGAGAAGAGGTTTTCCTTTATAGCCTGGAGCCACAATGTGGCATTTCTGAGCCACATCAAGACGACGCTCACAGTCACTTTTACAGAGGGCAGTGGAAGGCCCAATCTCTTCAGACTCACTGTTTGTATGCTGATCTTCGGGTGTAATTATCTCATTTGAAAGACTATCCTCACTCTCCAGAAGCATTGAAGTATCTGAACTGTCAGCTTCCTGTCTTCGACGGTGGGCCAACCTACGCCTGACTCTAGACCTCACATTCAGGATTGACTCTTGAGCAAATGTTTGGACAGAAATAGCTTTCATCCTGCTGATGAGCCCTCTCTTGACTGACTTTTTGGTCTCTTCTGGAGATGATTTATTTACGGAGTCAGGTGAGCCAATTTGGTCCTGTTCATCTGAGTCCTCTGAATCCTGGCCGACTCCAGAAAGAAGCGGGTTTAATTCTTCCTCTGAGTCAAAACCCTGAAAGTCATAATTGGTCGCTTCTTCTGTTCTGTTCTGTTCCATCCTACTAGTGGAGGAGCTCATGGCTGTGTTTGTGTTTGTAAGTTGGTGTTAAAACAGTTTTGTGTCTCCTATAAAAATGATCCTAAAGCAAAGTTCGATCTTACTTACCTTGGTGCAGTCATTACCAAGTTTTTGGTATGCCTCAGGGCTGTGATGTCATCACTTCGATGACATCAAAGTGATGACATCACTATGATGTCATCACTATGAAAACATCACTATGATGACATGATAGTAATGTCAAAGCACAGTCATGGAATTCCCTCTGGCTTCCCCAGTTACTATGGCAACAGATCACAACATAAGTCTGCCACAACTTAAAACTTAAAATGGATACCTTAGTGAACAATATGTTTCAAAAAAACTGCTCAATCAAGCCAGGGAATCTTTTTTTTTCCTGCACAGTTTCATATTTTTATATTTTGCATAATATCAAGCAACACATTTATTCAATATGTAAAAATGACAAATCTGATGTTGAAAGTTTTTTTTTTTTTTTTCACAGTCACATGGTCACATAGTTTCAAAAAGTTATAGCAGGGACATGTCTGCCATCATGATGAGTCACTTCTCCTTTAAAAAAAAAAAAAAAAACTCTTTCTGTAGAGTTTTAAAAATGGATAGTTATTCCTTGTTTTGCCTGAGGGAAGATCTCAGCTGATGACAGGCTGGGGTCTTCTTTTTTCTATTTTTAATTTTGCACAACTTTTGGTTGGCAAGCTGAGACTGCAGGTAAGCTACTTCAGCATGCAGACTCTTTGAATGCAGAGCTATTTTGTTGTAATTCATGCACAATATGGGTTAGCACCGTCATGCTGTAATAGGCTCATCTGATTTATTCCTGGAAGTGAACAAGTTGGCATCACTGCGACTCGTCCCCACATGACATTTGCACATTTGACTACAAGTTGTTCTCAGAGGTGATTAAATGTTACTATTATCTTAATTTTTGATATTATTTAACTTTAACAGCAGTGTCAGTGACAGGTCAAGTCGTCAAGTTTTAACTTAGATTTGCACCACACACAAGCCTCAATTTCACATAGGATCCTACAGTTTTTGTTTAGGTCCACTGGCCAAGATCAAGAATTTTCATTAGTCTTTTGTAATTCTGCCTCTTTTTCAGAGACATTTGCTCTTCATCTCTAGGTGATAAACAAAATGATCTCATAGTCGACTTCTACTAGCTAGCAAGCTAATCAAGAAGCCTCATGCAATCATTACTATCCAAACGAACAAACACTGAAAGAAAATGTGTGATTCATTTCAATCGCTGTCCAATTCTTCTTTCATGGAAAAATGGAGTGAGATCTTGTGGAGTACAGACATGGTTTGAGAGCAAGCTCATATGCTAATACTGTATATGGACAATTGTTACTCTTTAAAATGATGTTTTAGTCTTTTTACATTATTACACTCATTTGCCTCTGATTAGTGTCAGCTATTTCACTGACTATTAGTGTACTGAGATAAGAACAGGGAAGGTATCGCTAGTTTGGGTGGGGAGTGGGGCTTAAAGGGGAGCTACTTTTGGTTAAGGAGGAAAAAACACAATGGTAATACTCTGCTTGAGTATTGAATATGGAGTACTGAGTACTTTCCGATACAACTGGTCTGTAATGATTAAATACAGCCAATAACTGAGTGAACAGATTACTGTAACTAGCATGGTAGAGTAATATCACATTACATAGCACTCCAGCAGAAACTAAAATGGCTGACGGGTAAGGTCAAATCTTTTCTCTATTTCTGCATGTGCAATTAGGTGATCATTGTGCCCATTGTATGATATAATAACTGAACGTATCAGAAAACCTCCAAGAGCAGCTGTCTAATGTTTTGACCCTGATCTGATCCTATATCAGCAATGTTTGGTGAGTGTGCTCATTTATAGTACTTCTTTTTGGGTCTGTCTGGGTCATTGAGGCTGTGCTCGGCTCAACTCAGTTCCAGGGCTCTCAAGTTTTGAACTAAGCTAAGAGTGAGATTTCCTTGGGGTATGAGGGCCACATTAAGAAAAAAAACGTTTTTAAATCTTGGAGAATAAAGTTATTATTGAGGAGAATAAAGTCATTAATATATAAGAATAAAGTCGTAAAGTTACCTGTTGTGCAGGAGAGTTGTTAAAATCAGCACTGTGAAGCATTTAGATGAATTGTACTTTAGTGTAGGTTTCACAAACATGGAAATACTTAATCCTTTGGTACATGAGCATTACACTGTCATCATGACAGTCCACACTGTGTGGACATGAACCCCCTAAGAACTTTTAAAAATAGAGCTGTACAGAAAAAAGAGGACTTGAGCACAAAACAGTCTTACAGTAACTACATGTCAACATCGCAAGCAAGGGGAAAAAATCTGTTCTGTGTGATTAATTTCTAAAATTTGTCCTCAGCCTCTTAAGGATGGCTGACAGGGATTTATGACCTATACTGCAGCCCGTCACCAGAGGGTGCTGTTCTCAGAGTGGCTTCACCCAGTGACAAGACGGACACTTTCCGTTTTGATTTCCACTCCCCGTCGGGGAATCGAACCCCGGTCACCCGCCTAACAGGCGGGGATACTCACCACTATACTTACGAGGAGAATGTGTTCTGACATGATATGATATAATATGGAACAATATGATACAATATGATACTATATGACATGATATGATACGATATGATATGGTACAATACCATACTATACGATACTGTGTTTGTGTGTTTTTGTGTTTTTGTGTGACCACCAGAGTATTGTGGTCCACTGTCAAAAGCTGCAGTTAGATCCAACAGAACAAGAATAACATAATCACCAGAGTCATTTGCCTGGAGGATGTCATTTAAAACTCTTTATAAAGCAGACTCTGTGCTGTGAAGAGTTTTAAAACCAGACTGGAAGACCTCCATGCTCAACCAGAAAAGACTTTAGCTGAACATGAACAACTTTCTCTAACATTTTTGAAATAAAGGGAAGCTTGGAGATGGCCTAAAATTGGCCAGCATACCGCAATCAAGGCCTGGTTTGTGGAGTACAGCTGAAAACCTAATTGGAGATAGTCTTCTATTGCACCTCTAGTAGTAAGACATTGTTTTTAGTCACCTTCTTTTTACCTTGTTATCAAAATGTGAAAAGGAAAAAACCCACACAGCTGACATAAGATTTTGCAGTTGCGTACATCAACCTTCACACAATCTGATTCACTTTAAACCAAGTTAACCTTGTAAAAACACACTCTTGATGAAATTATATGTATTTGTTTTTTTTTTAATTGAGTTCCTGAGTTCTGCCATTTTGGGGCTGTGGGAGGAAACCATAGCAACTGGTGGAAACCTACAGTGTTATGGGGAGAAAATGCACAATTGGATTACGGAGACCTTTATCCTGAAGGTGACAGTGGTGACATTCCATGTCCCTAGAACTAGCCTCTGCAGCCGAGGATCAGACCGCCAAGGTCCCAGTGAGCCACGTCCAGGCGAGGGAAACTTGGTGCCAAATATTTTGTTCATCATAATGGGTCTGTTTGAGCTACTCTTAGTCTGGTCCCCCCAGGACCTGTTTGCTCCTGGGGGATCACTGGGACACACAAACCCCTCCACCACGGTAAGGTGGTAGCTCGAGGAGGGGGAATTTTTTTTTTTAAGATACTAAATATCTTGTGGGGGGAAACCAGAGCACCTGGAGTAAACCCCTGTGTGATGGAGAGAAAATGTAAAATTCAAATAGGGAGACCTTTATCCTGAAGGTGACAGTGCTAACTACTGCACCTCCACTCCTTCCTTGCATTAATTAAACTGTATTGGGGAAAAGAAGTGTTGGTCCTGTTTAAGAGGGGTGTCCTGTGTTGTGAATAGTCAATGATTCCAACAGGTGGGAGAAAGGATCACATGGGCAATCACAATGAGCAACCAATCCAATGGACAGTATACCCACTGCAACAAGTGCACATGCAGAGGACACACCAATGAACTTGCATACGCTCAGTGCACCTCTGAGAGAGCGCTTCCACAGGCTTTCACTCTGAGCCTCAGCAGCAGGAGTTTCCAGCTGGTTCAGGGTCCTTTCTCTGTCCTGAGCTTGTTCCAAGGCTGTTGTGAGGTGAAGCACTTTCTCTCCATAATGCTTTTCTTGACGCCAATTCCTTTCCTTCAAATCGTCAATTTCTGCCACCAAATTTTCATTTTCTCTCTCTTTTTCATCCAGTCTTGTTTCAAGACTCGCCACCTTCTCAGTCAAGAGACGACGCTCACAGTCACTTTTACAGAGGGCAGTGGAAGGCCCAATCTCTTCAGACTCACTTTTTGTATGCTGATCTTCGGGCGTAATTATCTCATTTGAAAGACTATCCTCACTCTCCAGAAGCATTGAAGTATCTGAAGTGTCAGCTTCCTGTCTTTGACGGTGGGCCAGCCTACGCCTGACTCTAGACCTCACATTCAGGATTGACTCTTGAGCAAATGTTTGGACAGAAATAGCTTTCATCCTGCTGATGAGCCCTCTCATGCCTGACTTTTTGGTCTCTTCTGGAGATGATTTATTTACGGAGTCAGGTGAGCCAATTTGGTCCTGTTCATCTAAGTCCTCTGAATCCTGGCCGACTCCAGAAGGAAGCGGGTTTAATTCTTCCTCTGAGTCAAAACCCTGAAAGTCATAATTGGTCGCTTCTTCTGTTCTGTTCTGTTCCATCCTACTAGTGGAGGAGCTCATGGCTGTGTTTGTGTTTGTAAGTTGGTGTTAAAACAGTTTTGTGTCTCCTTTAAAAATGATCCTAAAGCAAAGTTCGATCTTACTTACCTTGGTGTAGTCATTACCAAGTTTTTGGTATGCCTCAGGGCTGTGATGTCATCACTTTGATGACATCATAGTAATGTCAAAGCACAGTCATGGAATTCCCTCTGGCTTCCCCAGTTACTATGGCAACAGATCACAACATAAGTCTGCCACAACTTAAAACTTAAAATGGATACCTTAGTGAACAATATGTTTCAAAAAAACTGCTCAATCAAGCCAGGGAATCTTTTTTTTTCCTGCACAGTTTCATATTTTTATATTTTGCATAATATCAAGCAACACATTTATTCAATATGTAAGAATGACAAATCTGATGTTGAAAGTTTTTTTTTTTTATCACAGTCACATGATCACATAGTTTCAAAAAGTTATAGCAGGGACATGTCGGCCATCATGATGAGTCACTTCTCTTTTAAAAAAAAAAAAAACTCTTTCTGTAGAGTTTTAAAAATAGGTAGTTATTCCTTGTTTTGCCTGAGGGAAGATCTCAGCTGGTGACAGGCTGGGGTCTTCTTTTTTCTATTTTTAATTTTGCACAACTTTTGGTTGGCAAGCTGAGACTGCAGGTAAGCTACTTCAGCATGCAGACTCTTTGAATGCAGAGCTATTTTGTTGTAATTCATGCACAATATGGGTTAGCACCGTCATGCTGTAATGGGCTCATCTGATTCATTCCTGGAAGTGAACAAGTTGGCATCACTGCGACTCGTCCCCACATGACATTTGCACATTTGACTACAAGTTGTTCTCAGAGGTGATTAAATGTTACTATTATCTTAATTTTTGATATTATTTAATTTTAACAGCAGTGTCAGTGACAGGTCAAGTCGTCAAGTTTTAACTAAGATTTGAACCATACACGAGCCTCAATTTCACATAGGATCCTACAGTTTTTGTTTCATTAGTCTTTTGTAATTCTGTCTCTTTTTCAGAGACATTTGCTCTTCATCTCTAGGTGATAAACAAAATGATCTCATAGTCAACTTCTACTAGCTAGCAAGCTAATCAAGAAGCCTCATGCAATCATTACTATCCAAACAAACAAACACTGAAAGAAAATGTGTGATTCATTTCAATCGCTGTCCAATTCTTCTTTCATGGAAAAATGGAGTGAGATCTTGTGGAGTACAGACATGGTTTGAGAGCAGGCTGATATGCTAATATTGTATATGGACAATTGTTACTCTTTAAAATGATGTTTTAGTCTTTTTACATTATTACACTCATTTGCTTCTGATTAGTGTCAGCTATTTCACTGACTATTAATGTACTGAGATAAGAACAGGGAAGGTATCGCTAGTTTGGGTGGGGAGTGGGGCTTAAAGGGGAGCTACTTTTGGTTAAGGAGGAAAAAACACAATGGTAATACTCTGCTTGAGTATTGGATATGGAGTACTGAGTACTTTCCAATACAACTGGTCTGTAATGATTAAATACAGCCAATAACTGAGTGAACAGATTACTGTAACTAGCATGGTAGAGTAATATCACATTACATAGCACTCTAGCAGAAACTAAAATGGCTGACGGGTAAGGTCAAATCTTTTCTCTATTTCTGCATGTGCAATTAGGTGATCATTGTGCCCATTGTATGATATAATAACTGAACGTATCAGAAAACCTCCAAGAGCAGCTGTCTAATGTTTTGACCCTGATCTGATCCTATATCAGCAATGTTTGGTGAGTGTGCTCATTTATAGTACTTCTTTTTGGGTCTGTCTGGGTCATTGAGGCTGTGCTCGGCTCAACTCAGTTCCAGGGCTCTCAAGTTTTGAACTAAGCTAAGAGTGAGATTTCCTTGGGGTATGAGGGCCACATTAAGAAAAAAACGTTTTTAAATCTTGGAGAATAAAGTTATTATTGAGGAGAATAAAGTCATTAATATATAAGAATAAAGTCGTAAAGTTACCTGTTGTGCAGGAGAGTTGTTAAAATCAGCACTGTGAAGCATTTAGATGAATTGTACTTTAGTGTAGGTTTCACAAACATGGAAATACTTAATCCTTTGGTACATGAGCATTACACTGTCATCATGACAGTCCACACTGTGTGGACATGAACCCCCTAATAACTTTTAAAAATAGAGCTGTACAGAAAAAAGAGGACTTGAGCACAAAACAGTCTTACAGTAACTACATGTCAACATCGCAAGCAAGGGGAAAAAATCTTTTCTGTGTGATTAATTTCTAAAATTTGTCCTCAGCCTCTTAAGGATGGCCGACAGGGATTTATGACCTATACTGCACCCCGTCACCAGAGGGTGCTGTTCTCAGAGTGGCTTCACCCAGCGAGAAGACGGACACTTTCCGTTTTGATTTCCACTCCCCGTCGGGGAATTGAACCCCGGTCTCCCGCCTAACAGGCGGGGATACTCACCACTATACTAACGAGGAAAATGTGTTCTGACATGATATGATATAATATGGAACAATATGACACTATATGACATGATATGATACGATACGATATGATATGGTACAATACCATACTATACGATACTGTGTTTTTGTGTGACCACCAGAGTATTGTGGTCCACTGTCAAAAGCTGCAGTTAGATCCAACAGAACAAGAATAACATAATCACCAGAGTCATTTGCCTGGAGGATGTCATTTAAAACTCTTAATAAAGCAGACTCTGTGCTGTGAAGAGTTTTAAAACCAGACTGGAAGACCTCCATGCTCAACCAGAAAAGACTTTAGCTGAACATGAACAACTTCCTCTAAAATTTTTGAAATAAAGGGAAGTTTGGAGATGGCCTAAAATTGGCCAGCATACTGCAATAAAGGCCTGGTTTGTGGAGTACAGCTGAAAACCTAATTGGAGATAGTCTTCTATTGCACCTCTAGTAGTAAGACATTGTTTTTAGTCACCCTCTTTTTACCTTGTTATCAAAATGTGAAAAGGAAAAAGCCCACACAGCTGACATAAGATTTTGCAGTTGCGTACATCAACCTTCACACAATCTGATTCACTTTAAACCAAGTTAACCTTGTAAAAACACACTCTTGATGAAATTATATGTATTTGTTTTTTTTTTAATTGAGTTCCTGAGTTCTGCCATTTTGGGGCTGTGGGAGGAAACCATAGCAACTGGTGGAAACCTACAGTGTTATGGGGAGAAAATGCACAATTGGATTACGGAGACCTTTATCCTGAAGGTGACAGTGGTGACATTCCATGTCCCTAGAACTAGCCTCTGCAGCCGAGGATCAGACCGCCAAGGTCCCAGTGAGCCACGTCCAGGCGAGGGAAACTTGGTGCCAAATATTTTGTTCATCATAATGGGTCTGTTTGAGCTACTCTTAGTCTGGTCCCCCCCCAGGACCTGTTTGCTCCTGGGGGATCACTGGGACACACAAACCCCTCCACCACGGTAAGGTGGTAGCTCGAGGAGGGGGAATTTTTTTTTTTAAGATACTAAATATCTTGTGGGGGGAAACCAGAGCACCTGGAGTAAACCCCTGTGTGATGGAGAGAAAATGTAAAATTCAAATAGGGAGACCTTTATCCTGAAGATGACAGTGCTAACTACTGCACCTCCACTCCTTCCTTGCATTAATTAAACTGTATTGGGGAAAAGAAGTGTTGGTCCTGTTTAAGAGGGGTGTCCTGTGTTGTGAATAGTCAATGATTCCAACAGGTGGGAGAAAGGATCACATGGGCAATCACAATGACCAACCAATCCAATGGACAGTATACCCACTGCAACAAGTGCACATGCAGAGGACACACCAATGAACTTGCATACGCTCAGTGCACCTCTGAGAGAGCGCTTCCACAGGCTTTCACTCTGAGCCTCAGCAGCAGGAGTTTCCAGCTGGTTCAGGGCCCTTTCTCTGTCCTGAGCTTGTTCCAAGGCTGTTGTGAGGTGAAGCACTTTCTCTCGATAATGCTTTTCTTGACGCCAATTCCTTTCCTTCAAATCGTCAATTTCTGCCACCAAATTTTCATTCTCTCTCTCTTTTTCATCCAGTCTTGTTTCAAGACTCGCCACCTTCTCAGTCAAGAGACGACGCTCACAGTCACTTTTACAGAGGGCAGTGGAAGGCCCAATCTCTTCAGACTCACTTTTTGTATGCTGATCTTCAGGTGTAATTATCTCATTTGAAAGACTATCCTCACTCTCCAGAAGCATTGAAGTATCTGAACTGACAGCTTCCTGTCCTTGACGGTGGGCCAGCCTACGCCTGACTCTAGACCTCACATTCAGGATTGACTCTTGAGCAAATGTTTGGACAGAAATAGCTTTCATCCTGCTGATGAGCCCTCTCATGCCTGACTTTTTGGTCTCTTCTGGAGATGATTTATTTACGGAGTCAGGTGAGCCAATTTGGTCCTGTTCATCTAAGTCCTCTGAATCCTGGCCGACTCCAGAAGGAAGCGGGTTTAATTCTTCCTCTGAGTCAAAACCCTGAAAGTCATAATTGGTCGCTTCTTCTGTTCTGTTCTGTTCCATCCTACTAATGGAGGAGCTCATGGCTGTGTTTGTGTTTGTAAGTTGGTGTTAAAACAGTTTTGTGTCTCCTTTAAAAATGATCCTAAAGCAAAGTTCGATCTTACTTACCTTGGTGTAGTCATTACAAAGTTTTTGGTATGCCTCAGGGCTGTGATGTCATCACTGCGATGACATCAAAGTGATGACATCACTATGATGTCATCACTATGAAAACATCACTATGATGACATGATAGTAATGTCAAAGCACAGTCATGGAATTCCCTCTGGCTTCCCCAGTTACTATGGCAACAGATCACAACATAAGTCTGCCACAACTTAAAACTTAAAATGGATACCTTAGTGAACAATATGTTTCAAAAAAACTGCTCAATCAAGCCAGGGAATCTTTTTTTTTCCTGCACAGTTTCATATTTTTATATTTTGCATAATATCAAGCAACACATTTATTCAATATGTAAAAATGACAAATCTGATGTTGAAAGTTTTTTTTTTTTATCACAGTCACATGGTCACATAGTTTCAAAAAGTTATAGCAGGGACATGTCTGCCATCATGATGAGTCACTTCTCCTTTAAAAAAAAAAAAAAAAAAAACTCTTTCTGTAGAGTTTTAAAAATGGATAGTTATTCCTTGTTTTGCCTGAGGGAAGATCTCAGCTGGTGACAGGCTGGGGTCTTCTTTTTTCTATTTTTAATTTTGCACAACTTTTGGTTGGCAAGCTGAGACTGCAGGTAAGCTACTTCAGCATGCAGACTCTTTGAATGCAGAGCTATTTTGTTGTAATTCATGCACAATATGGGTTAGCACCGTCATGCTGTAATGGGCTCATCTGATTAATTCCTGGAAGTGAACAAGTTGGCATCACTGCGACTCGTCCCCACATGACATTTGCACATTTGACTACAAGTTGTTCTCAGAGGTGATTAAATGTTACTATTATCTTAATTTTTGATATTATTTAACTTTAACAGCAGTGTCAGTGACAGGTCAAGTCGTCAAGTTTTAACTAAGATTTGCACGAGCCTAAATTTCACACAGGATCCTACAGTTTTTGTTTAGGTCCACTGGCCAAGATCAAGAATTTTCATTAGTCTTTTGTAATTCTGTCTCTTTTTCAGAGACATTTGCTCTTCATCTCTAGGTGATAAACAAAATGATCTCATATTCTACTTCTACTAGCTAGCAAGCTAATCAAGAAGCCTCATGCAATCATTACTATCCAAACGAACAAACACTGAAAGAAAATGTGTGATTCATTTCAATCGCTGTCCAATTCTTCTTTCATGGAAAAATGGAGTGAGATCTTGTGGAGTACAGACATGGTTTGAGAGCAAGCTCATATGCTAATATTGTATATGGACAATTGTTACTCTTTAAAATGATGTTTTAGTCTTTTTACATTATTACACTCATTTGCTTCTGATTAGTGTCAGCTATTTCACTGACTATTAGTGTACTGAGATAAGAACAGGGAAGGTATCGCTAGTTTGGGTGGGGAGTGGGGCTTAAAGGGGAGCTACTTTTGGTTAAGGAGGAAAAAACACAATGGTAATACTCTGCTTGAGTATTGAATATGGAGTACTGAGTACTTTCCGATACAACTGGTCTGTAATGATTAAATACAGCCAATAACTGAGTGAACAGATTACTGTAACTAGCATGGTAGAGTAATATCACATTACATAGCACTCCAGCAGAAACTAAAATGGCTGACGGGTAAGGTCAAATCTTTTCTCTATTTCTGCATGTGCAATTAGGTGATCATTGTGCCCATTGTATGATATAATAACTGAACGTATCAGAAAACCTCCAAGAGCAGCTGTCTAATGTTTTGACCCTGATCTGATCCTATATCAGCAATGTTTGGTGAGTGTGCTCATTTATAGTACTTCTTTTTGGGTCTGTCTGGGTCATTGAGGCTGTGCTCGGCTCAACTCAGTTCCAGGGCTCTCAAGTTTTGAACTAAGCTAAGAGTGAGATTTCCTTGGGGTATGAGGGCCACATTAAGAAAAAAAACGTTTTTAAATCTTGGAGAATAAAGTTATTATTGAGGAGAATAAAGTCATTAATATATAAGAATAAAGTCGTAAAGTTACCTGTTGTGCAGGAGAGTTGTTAAAATCAGCACTGTGAAGCATTTAGATGAATTGTACTTTAGTGTAGGTTTCACAAACATGGAAATACTTAATCCTTTGGTACATGAGCATTACACTGTCATCATGACAGTCCACACTGTGTGGACATGAACCCCCTAAGAACTTTTAAAAATAGAGCTGTACAGAAAAAAGAGGACTTGAGCACAAAACAGTCTTACAGTAACTACATGTCAACATCGCAAGCAAGGGGAAAAAATCTGTTCTGTGTGATTAATTTCTAGAATTTGTCCTCAGCCTCTTAAGGATGGCTGACAGGGATTTATGACCTATACTGCACCCCGTCACCAGAGGGTGCTGTTCTCAGAGTGGCTTCACCCAGCGAGAAGACGGACACTTTCCGTTTTGATTTCCACTCCCCGTCGGGGAATCGAACCCCGGTCACCCGCCTAACAGGCGGGGATACTCACCACTATACTAACGAGGAGAATGTGTTCTGACATGATATGATATAATATGGAACAATATGATACGATATGATACTATATGACATGATATGATACGATACGATATGATATGGTACAATACCATACTATACGATACTGTGTTTTTGTGTTTTTGTGTGACCACCAGAGTATTGTGGTCCACTGTGTCAAAAGCTGCAGTTAGATCCAACAGAACAAGAATAACATAATCACCAGTCATTTGCCTGGAGGATGTCATTTAAAACTCTTAATAAAGCAGACTCTGTGCTGTGAAGAGTTTTAAAACCAGACTGGAAGACCTCCATGCTCAACCAGAAAAGACTTTAGCTGAACATGAACAACTTCCTCTAAAATTTTTGAAATAAAGGGAAGCTTGGAGATGGCCTAAAATTGGCCAGCATACCGCAATCAAGGCCTGGTTTGTGGAGTACAGCTGAAAACCTAATTGGAGATAGTCTTCTTTTGCACCTCTAGTAGTAAGACATTGTTTTTAGTCACCTTCTTTTTACCTTGTTATCAAAATGTGAAAAGGAAAAAACCACACAGCTGACAGAAGATTTTGCAGTTGCGTACATCAACCTTCACACAATCTGATTCACTTTAAACCAAGTTAACCTTGTAAAAACACACTCTTGATGAAATTATATGTTTTTTTTTTTATTTATTTATTTAGTTACTGAGTTCTGCCATTTTGGGGCTGTGGGAGGAAACCATAGCACCTGGTGGAAACCTACAGTGTTATGGGGAGAAAATGCACAATTGGATTACGGAGACCTTTATCCTGAAGGTGACAGTGGTGACATTCCATGTCCCTAGAACTAGGCTCTGCAGCCGAGGATCAGAATGCCAAGGTCCCAGTGACCCACGTCCAGGTGAGGGAAACTTGGTGCCAAATATTTTGTCAATTATAATGGGTCTGTTTGAGCTACTCTTAGTCTGGTCCCCCCCAGGACCTGTTTGCTCCTGGGGGATCACTGGGACACACAAACCCCTCCACCACGGTAAGGTGGTAGCTCGAGGAGGGGGATTTTTTTTTTTTTAAGATACTAAATATCTTGTGGGGGGAAACCAGAGCACCTGGAGTAAACCCCTGTGTGATGTGTTTACATTAATTAAACTGTATTGGGGAAAAGAAGTGTTGGTCCTGTTTAAAAGGGCTGTCCTGGGCAATCACAATGAGCATGCAATCCAATGGACAGTATACCCACTGCAACAAATGCATATGCAGCGGACACACCAATGAACTTGCCTACGCTCATTGCACCTCTGAGAGAGCGCTTCCACAGGCTTTCACTCTGAGCCTCAGCAGCAGGAGTTTCCAGCTGCTGAGGTTCAGGTGATATCTCGTCTGTCTGCACCCCAGTGGAGTTAAGATGTCTTTCACTTGGCGCTAGTATCTCTTCCTCCTGTTTTGCCTTGAGCTCTTCTCTGAGCTTGCTGATTGTTTCCTCTGAATGCTGGTTCAGGGCCCTTTCTCTGTCCTGAGCTTGTTCCAAGGCTGTTGTGAGGAGAAACACTTTCTCTTGATAATGCTTTTCTTGATGCCAATTCCTTTCCTTCAAATCGTCAATTTCTGCCACCAAATTTTCATTTTGTCTCTCTTTTTCATCCAGTCTTGTTTCAAGACTCGCCACCTTCTCAGTCAAGAGGCTCCTGTTCCTTTCATTTGTGATGCTCTCATCCTGCAGACGACTAACTTGAGAGAAGAGGTTTTCCTTTATAGCCTGGATTTCCTTCTTTACTCTCTCAAGCTCAGCCACTTTCTCAATGTGGCATTTCTGAGCCACATAAAGACGACGCTCACAGTCATGCAATGCTGCCCTGAGCTGTGTAGCCTCGTCTTGTGTTTTATTAAATGATGTTTGGAGAGAGGTCACTTGCTGGTTCAGGGCCCTTTCTCTGTCCTGAGCTTGCTGCAAGTCTCTTGTTAGGTGAGGCACTTTCTCTCCATAATGCTTTTCTTGACGCCAATTCCTTTCCTTCAAATCGTCAATTTCTGCCACCAAATTTCCATTTTCTAACTCTTTTTCATCCAGTCTTGTTTCAAGACTCGCCACCTTCTCAGTCAAGAGGCTCCTGTTCCTTTCATTTGTGATGCTCTCATCCTGCAGACGACGCTCACAGTCACTTTTACGGAGGGCAGTGGAAGGCCCAATCTCTTCAGACTCACTGTTTGTATGCTGATCTTCGGGTGTAATTATCTCATTTGAAAGACTATCCTCACTCTCCAGAAGCATTGAAGTATCTGAACTGACAGCTTCCTGTCCTTGACGGTGGGCAAGCCTACGCCTGACTCTAGACCTCACATTCAGGATTGACTCTTGAGCAAATGTTTGGACAGAAATAGCTTTCATCCTGCTGATGAGCCCTCTCATGCCTGACTTTTTGGTCTCTTCTGGAGATGTTTTATTTACGGAGTCAGGTGAGCCAATTTGGTCCTGTTCATCTGAGTCCTCTGAATCCTGGCCGACTCCAGAAGGAAGCGGGTTTAATTCTTCCTCTGAGTCAAAACCCTGAAAGTCATAATTGGTCGCTTCTTCTGTTCTGTTCTGTTCCATCCTACTAGTGGAGGAGCTCATGGCTGTGTTTGTGTTTGTAAGTTGGTGTTAAAACAGTTTTGTGTCTCCTTTAAAAATGATCCTAAAGCAAAGTTCGATCTCACTGACCTTGGTGCAGAGTCATTACCAAGATTTTGGTATGCCTCAGGGCTGTGATGTCATCACTTCGATGACATCAAAGTGATGACATCACTATGATGTCATCACTTTGATGACATCATAGTAATGTCAAAGCACAGTCATGGAATTCCCTCTGGCTTCCCCAGTTACTATGGCAACAGATCACAACATAAGTCTGCCACAACTTAAAACTTAAAATGGATACCTTAGTGAACAATATGTTTCAAAAAAACTGCTCAATCATGCCAGGGAATCTTTTTTTTTTCCTTCACAGTTTCATATTTTTATATTTTGCATAATATCAAGCAACACATTTATTCAATATGTAAAAATGACAAATCTGATGTTGAAAGTTTTTTTTTTTTTTTTTATTACAATCACATTGTCACAGATTTTCAAAAAGTTATAGCAGGGACATGTCTGCCATCATGATGAGTCACTTCTCCTTTTTTTAAAAAAAAAAAAACTCTTTCTGTAGAGTTTTAAAAATGGATAGTTATTCCTTGTTTTGCCTGAGGGAAGATCTCAGCTGGTGACAGGCTGGGGTCTTCTTTTTTCTATTTTTGATTTTGCACAACTTTTGGTTGGCAATCTGAGACTGCAGGTAAGCTACTTCAGCATGCAGACTCTTTGAATGCAGAGCTATTTTGTTGTAATTCATGCACAATATGGGTTAGCACCGTCATGCTGTAATGGGCTCATCTGATTCATTCCTGGAAGTGAACAAGTTGGCATCACTGCGACTCGTCCCCACATGACATTTGCACATTTGACTACAAGTTGTTCTCAGAGGTGATTAAATGTTACTATTATCTTAATTTTTGATATTATTTAATTTAACAGCAGTGTCAGTGACAGGTCAAGTCGTCAAGTTTTAACTTAGATTTGCATGAGCCTCAATTTCACATAGGATCCTACAGTCTTTGTTTAGGTCCACTGACCAAGATCAAGAATTTTCATTAGTCTTTTGTAATTCTGTCTCTTTTTAAGAGACATTTGCTCTTCATCTCTAGGTGATAAACAAAATGATCTCATAGTCGACTTCTACTAGCTAGCAAGCTAATCAAGAAGCCTCATGCAATCATTACTATCCAAACAAACATTGAAAGAAAATGTGTGATTCATTTCAATCGCTGTCCAATTCTTCTTTCATGGAAAAATGGAGTGAGATCTTGTGGAGTACAGACATGGTTTGAGAGCAAGCTGATATGCTAATATTGTATATGGACAATTGTTACTCTTTAAAATGATGTTTTAGTCTTTTTACATTATTACACTCATTTGCTTCTGATTGGTGTCAGCTATTTAACTCACTATTACTGTAACTAGCATGGTAGAGTAATATCACATTACATAGCACTCCAGCAGAAACTAAAATGGATTATGGGTAAGGTCAAATCTTTTCTCTATTTCTGCATGTGCAATTAGGTGATCATTGTGCCCATTGTATGATATAATAACTGAACGTATCAGAAAACCTCCAAAAGCAGCTGTTTTGACCCTGATCTGATCCTACATCAGCAATGTTTGGTGAGTGTGCTCATTTATAGTACTTCTTTTTGGGTCTGTCTGGGTCATTGAGGCTGTGCTCGGCTCAACTCAGTTTTATAACATAGTCTGTGCATAGTTTACAGCACTGACGTTGTTTATCATCATCACCCTTACACAAATAACTCCTGATCAAATAAACACGTGTTCGGCGTCTCTCTTTACAAAGACCGTTTCCATGCGATTCATTCATTAATTTTCAAAAAGTGAAGCTCCGCCCACATCCCCGCGAGCTGTTCGACGTCGTTCTCCTGCGACAGTGCGTCTGTCGGCTTCAAACATGGCTTCAAGATTAGAGATCAATTTTGTCCGATTATTGTCTCGCTGTGAATCTATAGCGTCGGAGAAACGAGGGGAAACTGAATGGAGACTAGAAAAGGTGAGAGCCTCTGTGTTTTTGTCGCTCACTGCTGCATTTTTCTGTGCTTTAGTAGCCGTCCCATGTTAGCATGACTGTTGTTATTGTTGTTAGCTGCAGCTGTGAGCCACGTCGTCACAGATCTTTAGGGATACTCTCCTCTCTGACACACTGACTGTACCTACAAATGAAACCTATTATCCTACATTTGATTTGTTAACGGCTTGCTAACCTTGCTTATCAAATGAAATATTTGGTCGAGTATACAATCACACCTAACTCACACCTGTGCTGTCTGACACAATAGGTAAATATAACCTTCAGGAAGGATAAGTGTATTATGTAAGATGTCTGTTTCTTAAAGAATATACTGCCAAAAAGAGTATCAGTTAAATACAAAAGCCTGTCTTTTTTAAAATAATAAAGATGTGTATTTACAGCGATATGGGTATATGTTAAAAGATGTGACATAGGGGAGAGTGGGGTAAGTTGAGCCACCCCTGTTGCTTGGAAACGGTAAAAGAAATTGATCATGTGACCAAATATTCAGGAGATGAACATCAATTCATGGAGTCTGTGAAGGTTAGAAGCACATGGGTGAAAGGGTTGGACATTTATTTACAAAAAAAACATTTTTCACTCTTGAAAGTGAATTTAGTCTGTCGTAAGTTTTATTAGAATTGTGTTCAGACCAAAAAAGATAATGGGTCAACTTACTCTATACACGGGGTGTATGACCATAGGACACCACTTTTTTTTGGCATGCTATATTATCAAGACAGTTATGTTTACACTCATTCTGTTGGTTTGCAGGGATGCACAACATCTTGAAATATATGCAGATACATTAGTTAGAGACAAAACTAAGATTGCCTTGATGTAAAGATCAGAAATATGAAAAATGGCTCATCTTACCCCACTCTCCTCTAATGGACATCAGGGAAATTCTAATATTGTGCGTTTTCACTGCTGTGATATTTGTTTAAAACATTTGTTAATTGGCCAGCATGACTTTTAAAGTAACATAAGGAAATATATATATATATATATATATATATGTATATATATATATATATATTTTTAAACTATCATTTATTGTTCTGCTCTTAGTCTAATTATACATAGGCGGTGCGTATTAATCAACATTGCAATAAATATGCCAGATTTGTCCACAGGCCAAGTATCCATCAGTAGTCTATGTTCAGATGTAACATGTAAGAATAGGGTCCCCAGGAAAAAGCTATGTCTTTTTAAACATGAAGGTACGTGTAAATTGTTCTGTTTTTTTACTAGGCTCTTTGTTTCCGCAGAGACTGTTGATGTTTTTAAGAAGAGGCTCGAGACTCTCCTTTTTAATCAGGCTTTTCACTGAGTGCCTTTTTATATTTCTCTTATTGCAAATATTTAATTTAATTGAAGTTCTTCTTGTTTATTTTATGTCATTTTATCAATTATTGTTCTTAATCTTTTTCCGAATCACTGTCTTAGAGGTTTTTACTTCTTTAACCCCTTTTATATGGTAAAGTGCTCTTACTTATCTGTTCATTTAATATGATTTTCTTGTTTTAGTCCATCAGGTTTTAGTCTTTCTTTTTACCATTTTTATCTTTATCTCCAGTGTTTCCCAAAGGTAGCTCTTCCCTCACGTAATGTCTCGGTGTCAAGCCGTGTCTCTTTAACAATATATCTTAAATTCTCACATTGTGTGCGCTTGTGTGTGTGTGTGTGTGTATGTGTGGGTGAGTGAGTGAGGGTGGGTGTGTGTCTTCGTGTGTGTGTGGGTCCATGGATGGGTGTGTGGGTGGGACGTTTGGGTTTTATTGATGTTAATTGTTGTTTTTAGCTTCTGTTTGGCACTTTGAACTGCATTTTTTGTCTGAAAAGTGCCATGATAAATTATTTAAAAAATTATAATAAAGTTGAATTTGTTTGAAAAAGTATAACCCATCAGACTGTAAATACCTCTGTAATGCTTCCATTCATGTCTGTTAAAAACAAATCAATTGAACAAAAGTTGTGAGTAATTTTGCGTCCCTCCCATTTTGCTTTTCGGTAGTATGTTGGAGCCCTGGAGGAGATGTTGGTGGCTCTGAGGAAGAGTCAGAGGTAAACTCTCTTTTTTTTCTTTCTAACTCTCACTGTTAGACAGTTGCTATTTAAGCTTGAACATGTACACTTTTGGTTGCCATTGCAAAGCAGCCAAAAATCATTTAACCTTCAGATGTAAATGGATGAAGTCCTCTTAGCTTGATTCTCAAGTTTCATGCTCACTGCTCACACCAGCATCTCTCTAGGTTGTTTTTTTTTTAATTATTAAAACAAGTATTTGATTGCACTGTTACTGACAAACTTTCCTTTCTCAGCAAACCCACACCAGAGGTACTGACTGAATACACAAGAAAAGTAGATTTTCTGAAGGGACTTCTAGAAGCCGAGAAACTGGTGAGAAACTATTTATTAAATTCATCCATTTGTCTGTTATTCTATGGACAGTACTAAAAACTCTGTTATCACTTTAATACACATGGCTTCACAACAAAAGCCCATATCTATTCCTTGTCGAAGGTGTTCATGCAAAGTTCACCGAAAATCAGAACTATCAGTTTTTCTCCTTTATGAAATAGTATTCTTATTCCTCTTTTGTTCTTGTTCCAAGTCTTCACCCGCAGAAAAGGCCTTAGCTAATCAGTTCCTCGCCCCTGGGCGCACACCCACTATAGCCAATGAGAGGATGCCCGCCACTAAGACTGTCCACCTGCAGACAAAAGCCCGGTGTACAGGAGAAATGAGGGATGAGCTGCTTGGCACAGTAAGATATGACCTTCACCTGCAGAAAAATGATGACTCATACCAACACCCCGACAAACCTCTTTAAGTCCCATTCATACTCTTTTCTTTTCCTTTTTTTATTGTAGGGCCCAACTGGCAAAGGTAAGAAATGTATTTAAATTTAAAGGAATTTTATCTCAACTCAAAAGTAGAAGGTAACTGACTTATCTCCTCTTCTACAGGCTCATCGGAAACAGAGTTGAGGAACAGGAGGTAAAGTTGGGCAGAATGTTTTTCTGTGTCAAATTGAGTTGATTGGTGTTTCCTACATGTAAAACCGGGCAGGTCAACTGGGTATATTACAAGCATATTCAAGGTATATTTTTGGCCTCCTAAGTATATTTGTTGAACAATTTATCCTTTTTTTCCTCCATAGTAGATTGATCAGTGATTGATAAATAATTGTCAATTTCAACTTCTTCCCTACCCTTGAGTTTGTTTCTACACAAATGGTTTGTAAGTAGTCAAAATGAGAGAAGGAGGTCATTGGATGTGTCTCTTTTGGGATGTCACATGCTGAGTAGGAACCTTCTGGTGATATTGAAATAGATTGGATTGGCTGGATAGGTTTTTAATACAATACTAGATCTCCTCGACATAAAGGTCCTCTGTTTTGTAGAGAAAAACATGAGTAAAATATTTCCAAATGAAAGTTCAGTTATTTTGGAGACCTCATTACCGTATTTTTCGCACTATAAGGCGCACCATCAGTGAACGCGTCTATTCGCGTCTATTTTCATACATAAGGTGCACCGGATTATAAAGTGCATTAAGCCAAACAAAACAGTCCGATAAGTCAAACTTTATTTAACTCATTCAATAACTCCACGAGGCTACAGTAGCTGCAGTGCTCCGACAAGCCAAAAGGATTTTAAGTGCACCTTATAGTATGAAAAATACGCTAAATGATCAGCTGATGAAGGCATCAAAGGAGCAACACATACTTGCAGAGGCTACAACAGGTACCTCATGAGTCTTTGGAGAACACTGCTGATTATGTAGTATTTATTTTGGTTTATGTAAGAGAGTGAATGGCTGCCAGTTGCTTCTGTAATATTCAGTGTTGTTGTGAAAGGTAAGATGCGCTCTTGTTGTAACTTTTGGTAACTTTTCCTGCACACAAGTAGACAAAAGTTTTTTGTCTGTTTTTCCCTCATGCAGAGGTTTTGTGGATGAGCGTCAGTCTGCAGCAGAGCTAGAGGCTGTCCTACAGCACCACCACAACCTGCAAGAAAAACTTGCTGACGACATGCTCAACCTGGCCCGGAATTTGAAGAACAACACGCTGGCGGCACAGAACATCATCAAACAGGACAATCAGGTGACAAATGACACTTTGCTTATTTAAAGGTCATTAATTAATTATGTTATGTTAACATGTGACAGGATGTAGGATGGATGATATAGTTCTTTTCAGATAGACTTGAATAGCACCTGGGTAAGGCATTAGATAAACAGAGTAGTATAGAGAAAACAGTAGGACCTGAAAGCTATCAGGTTGTCAAGACTGCCCAACAAAAGCAGCAGAAAAACCTTCTCCATTAGTTCAAAACAATCACAAATACGGTCATACACACGTGACTCCCGTAGTGGCAGAGACGGCGGACTTAGTGATTAAGGGGATAATTACAGTGGGAAGGAGGGCCAAAGAGCCTTGTGTGAGTGCAGCCCAAGTAGCGTGAGTTTGATGTTTGTGTGCTCAGTATTGAACCTCATGATCACATTAGCTGTGCTCTCTACCCTCCTCCCAGACACTGAGCCACTCAATGCGTCAGGCAGACCTGAACTTCGAGAAGCTGAAGACAGAGTCCGAGCGGTTGGAGCAGCACACCAAGAAGTCTGTCAACTGGCTGCTGTGGATCATGCTCATCCTGGTCTCCTTCACCTTCATCAGCATGATCCTCTTCATCCGAATCTTCCCCAGACTCCGATGATGACAACTTACAGTCCTGAACTCTTAGTCTTATTGTTCTCCTGTGTTTACAGCACAGCAGCAGTGTTGGCGTCATACATCTACATATCAGTGGTGGTTGAAACCCAAACGAACACAGTTTGATGAACTGAAACGTTGCACTTTTCACACTGAAGTTTGTCTTCCTAACAGGCAAGTTTAAAAGTGGCTTGAAGCGTTCTTTTTTTAAAATCAATGCAGAACACAAACAGAGGCAAAGTTTTTCTTTTTTGTTTGTTTGTTTTTGAGGCCCTTAGGTAGCAGCAAAAAAAAGTTCTGAATACTGACACAGCAGAGACTGAGCCTTAATTATTCTTTTCTTTTTCGTCAAGTAGGCCACGAGCCATTTAATATATGTAAATCTAAGTCATCGACTGTACAACATTTTTCTCATCTCTTTTCTGACATAGTTCACGAACCGTCCATTATCTGCTATATTCTTCAAAACCTACGCCTCAAAAGTATATTGGCTTAAAAATAAAAGTTAGAGATACAAAATACAAAAGAGCTGTGGATGTTTGGTAACACCTAAGTCTACCTTTGAGAACCTATCAGCATTATACAGACATTTGATGCATAGCACCACACACTGTAATGTAGTTATATAAATCCATAAGAGGATTATTGTGTATTTTCTTCTATAAAGATATACTTTACATCGTCAACTCAGCATTTTACCAGAGTGTTATGAATGGCAACCTCCACCTATGGGTGCCCACAGGAAGAGTAAAATATATACTACAATCCCAAGAGGAAAAAAGGTAGACCCTGTTAAAAATCATATTATTTCAAGCCTATAGTCACAGAAAATAGTGCTGAAACAGAAATATTATGCTTTATAGAAATATACAGTCATTTTAAAATTTATGCCAGCAAGACATTTCAGAAGAGTGTTGCTGTCGTGTTTCATCACCTCTTTTTTGGGGCCAAGGAGGCCGTTTTTTTTTTAGTTTTGAAGGTGAAATTTTGTCCAATTCTTTCCTGATGAAGTTTTTCAGCTGTTTAACAATAAGGAGTTACCTCTGTTGTGTCCTTCATTTTACGATGTGGGAAATGTTTTCAATAAGCACCTCTTATTCTTCGACTACAGACTCATGGGAGGTTGCAATGCAAACGGCATTGCCTGGAAGCAGCATATGTGGGGCCAAAACTAGCTTTGCCATAATCGCTCTTGATTCTGATACCAGTATGGATGGGAATCATTAGGACTGTGTGCTGGAAACATACAGTGTCTTGAATTTCCAAAACCATGGGAAACTTGGATTTGTCAGACCACAGGGCAATTTTGTCTTCAACCTCAGGTCATCTTAAATGGCCACAGGCCCAGAGAAGTGTGTCCAGATCATGTTAACATACAGTCCCTCTCTGGGTGGTACGCTTATAACCTGTATTTGTGGATGTAGTTGTGGACTTTGATCACAGCCTGGTTCTTGGAGGTCATTTAGGCCTATGCAGTGATTCCCATACAGAGTCATGTCAGCTTTTAATGCAATGCTATCCGAGAACACAAAGATCATGGACTATCATAGCATTTTTTTTGTTTTTTGTTCTTGCTGTCCCAGCTTTTTTGATACATGTTGTGCTCATTAAATTCAAACAAGCATAAATACTTAAGAAATGTTTATTTTTTTTAGTGTCAACATTTGATATGTTGCAAAACTACTTATATCAACATTTTTTCAGTCCAAACCTTTTGAATGGGGTTGTAAAAAGTAAATTTCTCAACACACATGATATATAATCGAATACCAAAGGTTTACATAGAGCTTCAAAATGTTAATCGATGGATAGAAGTAAAGTGTTACCAATTGTTTCACATAGAGGAAATATAAGAAAACATCACAAACTACAAAAACACAATCCAAGAGTCCTTTTTCCTGGTAAATTTCAGAGAAAAAAAATCATAGGTGGGAGGTGAGGGGCTTTGACCCAGTTGGTTTCTTCAGTTCATTACTCTTTACTGACTGTCATTCCTTTTCTTTTCTTTTCTTTTTCCAAGTGTGCGTCTTACTGGCTGAGTCAGATGACATGATTCTGGAGGTGGTTTTGCTGGACTGCTGATGGCAGAATTAAACATATCAAAACTATCTATATCAGGGAAAGCAGCTGTTAGGTGTGAGAATTTATCAACAACAACCGTCTCTGACTTTATTGACTGGAAGATGAAATACCAGTACTGACACTGAACTGTATTTAAGCAGAAATGTGAGAGCTGCAGTGACTGCATTTGACCACTGAGTGTCAGTCTCATCCTTGGAATATGGTCAGAAAATAACCTCTCTGACCCTGATGACTTGATCAAGCCATGATGCCCAAATTAACCCTCCTACTTGTTTAGAAGTGATCTGAGGACTCAAGTATGTCTAAATAAAGGCAGTGGGCAAAGAAAAAGCGCACAGCAGCCATGTGTGGCTCTCTGTTATCTGTGCGTTTGTCTTCACTCGCTTTGATTTTGACAGCATCTGGTGCAGAAGGTGTATTTTACCTGCAGTCAAGCCCTAAACAGGTTAACATTCCTGCTGTGCTGTCAGTCTCTTTGTCCTCTCAGGCCTGTGGAGCCGACTCTCCTGTCCAGGCTTGCAGGTCTGCCCCCTGGCCCTTCCTCTCTCCCTTCTCCCCAGCTAGTGCCCCACCTCGACTGGCTGGCTGGGCCTTGACCTGGCCTGCTGTGTATTTTAGGATCTCTGGGGGGTATTTTGCCTGCTGGAAGCTGAGGTATGCAGGCCACCGGGAGACCAAATGAGGTTGTGTCATTGCAGAGGGCCGTCATCCCTCAGTTTAATAGCAGCTGTTTGCGCCTCCATTCTCAGGCCCTGACTAAAGCTGTGGCTGTGTGTGATCTGCTCTCTGAGGCTGCAGCTCTGCTTTTGAACTGAGACTACACTGCATGACTTCATCAGCGTTGTGGTTTCTCATGTTCATTATGGATGTATTATCCCATTAGCTGTGAAAGACTGTTTGGTTTGAGTTTCTTAACCAGACTGCAGAGTCTTAGATCTTGTAAGCATAAGTTCCTATATTCAGCGAACGCCTGATGATCAGTGGGACTCCTCATTAACAGCACTTTTAACCTCTGACCCAGGAAACCTGAATGGGCTCCTTCCTGTGCTCTTTTCCCACAGGGCTGTTCTGAAAATAGTTCTCAACACACTATGTGCTCAAGAAGTTGGCTTGAAGTTTTAGTAGGTTCACTTTATAACCATTGTTTAATTAGACACTTTTTAAAGCAGTTTTTATAACCACTGTGAGGGGAACAAAGTACATTTACTCAAAGGTTGCTCTTTAGTGCAGTTTTTTTGACACAGAGGTTCTTGTTGAAGTATTTTGATTTATACTCTATGGTATATTTTCAATAGATATAATTAATTATTCAATTGACCACCAAGATTTTATTGTTTGTTAAAGGTATATTCCAGTGTAAAATTAAGGTCAAACACACCGTAACACCGAGTTAGACACCCCGTTAAGAGATGAATGCTGCCCATTGCTTGCTTCTCTTGTTATACCAACTTTAATAACGACCCCACGATAGCAATACACAGCGGTCTGAGGAGCCATAAACAAACCTCAACCAAAAAGCCACTCTATAGCCACAAATAATGCTCAGAACAGCACCTAACTTCATCAACAGTGCATATAGGGTCCTAGCCGTAGCAGTACACACCAAACATCTCCTAAGATGTACAAAGCTAAAAATCAACATCGGATGGCCGTGACATTCTGGCTTTCATTAAAAACAGACATGACTCTGTATGGAAATCACTGCATGGGCTCTGAATCACCTCCCAAAACCAGAATCTGTGGTCACAGTCCACAACTACATGCACAAATGAGACTGTGCCAAGCAGAGAGGAAATCTGAATGCATCACTTTGACTTGGCTTGAGGGAATGTAGAAAACTGTCCTGTGGTCCTGATCAAAATTTAACAGTCTTTGTAGAAATCATGACCGGCACTATTATTGCTGAATATTATATACAACATTTACAACTGTTCAGACAGTACCTTTCTCAGAGAAGACAGAGCCAAAAGGGTGTAGGTGCTAAAATGACCTGCCTGCAGTCCTGACTTAATAACATTTGGTGCATCATGACATCAAAAATATCACAAAGGAAAGGAGACCCTGAACTGTTGAGCAACTAAAACTCTATACCATTACAGACACTTTTGGATTACTAAATGCCTATGATTTCCACCACAGTGGCAATAGGACTACATTTCACTTTCAAAACTCCAGAAACTGCAGTGTTGTTCAGGAGGTGATGCAACACAATAGTAAATTTTCCCTGAATCAGCTTTTTTGAAGCACATAGCTGATATCAAATGATGAGCAGATAGCAGTTTTTTTAATTTCATTTGCTTTGTTATCTTTGCACTGATTTAAAAATATATATATAGGAATTTGGCTGTTTCTTTTGGGATGCAAAATGCCTTCAGATCAAGACTGAAATCCTATTTTGGAGAACTTATAACCACTCACAGCTCTCAGTTTGGAGCATTTAAACCTTTTATGAATCATTTCTTATCCCCACGCAGACTCTGGATATGTAGAAACATAGAGGTTGATATGAAAGGATGAACAACACAAAATGTCATCTGTCGTTTAATGGTGAAGTAGTGGGTAAGCAAAAGGTATAGCTGTGTCATACACTTATTTAATTTCAGTCTAAGTGTGTGTGTGAGAGTATGTGCGTGTGTGGTAGTATGCTTTTAATTGTTTTGATCCCTCCGAACAGTGGAGGAACAAATTGTTAAGCATGAGAGAACCTTCATCCTCTCTTAATGCAGCTCTGTGCCTGTGAAACACCACAACACTCCACTCTTTTTAATTTAGTTTTTGGCTGCAGCTACAGGAGGATTTAGGTTGCCCACAGAGATGAAGGAAATTTTCTCTTTTTTCTCTTTTTCCATCGACTTCGTTGTGGGAGCAAAAGGGTAAAGAGAGCTTTTCTCTTTTTTTTTTTCCTTTGCCAAATTTTGCATGTGCTGTTGTGTTAAAGACCAAATGGGAGCGTAAAAGGCTGCACTTAGTCAGCTCAAGAAGTGAGTCACTATCTTACAGACACGTAGTCTCATTCATGGAGAACCGACAGACCTGGTCCTGTCTTTACCCCATAGTTTACATTGATTTCAGAACGACACTTTTACAGTGAAATCTCCATGATTTTAAAAAGTACTTTATTATTTTTATTGACTTGCTGCTTTCAGAGTTAAATTTTCCATTTTTTTGTTCTCTGTTTCCAGGATTTCTAAGCACAGAGATGGAAACCTTAAAAAATGGACAGTGAAAACTTAGGGCTTGGTGATGGAAATAAGTCCAGTGTTTTTATCACATTTTCCCCACAAATCTATATTCTATTAAAGTCGCCCCTTGGCTGTTAAATCCGAAGAGTGGTTGTGAAGTTTCCAAGGCGTCATTGGTTGGCCAATTAATGGGAATTTGACATAATCAGCATCATAATGGCATCATCCCTCACAAGGCTGATATCACCATCATCTTTACTAAATTAAAAACACATTTACTTCTTCCAAATGACAGCAAATCAAATCTAAGCTAGAAACATGGGCTTGTGTTTCATATACATTTAGCTGTGATGAACAGAATAATGCAGATGCTTTTGACAAGAATCAGTCATGCTTTTGAATGCCTTTGAATAACCCACCGTGACTGTCTGGTTCATCAGTTTATTGACAGATTCCTCTCAGACATATTACCAGCTAGAATAATCATTTGTATCACACACAAATTCCTCTTTTTTATTTTGTCACCAATATTTACCCTGTATTTTTTCTTTCTTTATAATCTTGATAGCCAGAGAAAAATTGGCAAAACTTAAGGAAAACTTTAGGAAAGCAAATACTGTCACCGCCAAATTTATTTGATAAAAAATTTACTTAATTTCAACAATCTTGTTTCTAATTTGAGAGTATTGTTAAATTGTTGTATTTTTTTTCAAATTAAAAAACCCAAACAATAATAGGACACCAGCATTTAATATCAGCCCTCAGCCAACCGTCTCTCTCATTATTGGTATCAGTGTCAGCATCAGCTCTGGAGTCTCTCCGATGAGAGCTGCCTTTATGTTGATCTCAGTCTCCTAATCTGTCTCATCTACACGGGTGCTGAAGCCATTTTTCTTTTTTCTTTTCTGTCACTGTTTCCCTTGTCGAGCCCCGCCTCCCTGCTTGCGAGCGACCGTTTCTATCAGTATCTCTGTCTGTCTGTGTGGTTATGTTGTGTCTGTGACTCCATCACAGCCTCTTCTCAGGCTACCATCCTAATGAGGGTCCCTCTCAAATCTCACAAACACACTTGTCTGACTGTGTTGTGGCTTGTGAGCTGACGCAGAAGGACCTGTGGCATCCACTGAAAAATCCACACTGATTTCAGAGAATATATCCTCCAATCACAGATGGATCAACCAGCTGCAATATGCTATCACAAACTGCATGTTTGGAGTATGTGTATGTGTGTGTACATACTTGTGTGTTCCTGCCTGTACATGTATAAATGTTTATTGGACCCCAAAGACTAGTGGTGCATCATTCCTAGCAGCCTCCATTTCCCCTCCATCATAGTGAGCATTCACAGCCAGTATCAACATGTGGGTTAATGCCGTGAACCTTCCAGCCTATTTGTCAGGCGGCGCAGCACTGAAAGAGTCCCTGGTGAAAGAAAAACCCTCCCTGCTGGTTTCTGCTCAGCCTTTGATGTATGGAGGCCAGGTAGTGCTGCTGCTGGGAGGCTTAATATTCTTGCGTCTTTACTCTTTCACCTTTTAGTGAGTCTGGATCTCCCAGCAGGCAGGACTGAGGATCATGGGTAGCTATTGCTACTACTACAGAGGGCTTTTGAGGGGCTATAAAGTGCTTCATGTTTGGCCCAGAAAAACACAAACTTGGAGGGGAAAAAAGACTCATTTAGGGGCTTTTTTCCCCTCTTATGGCCCATGTTATATGGAGGCTATGACGTAGCTGGAGCCAGTTAGCTTACAGTAATGTAAAGACTGAGAATTAATGAAAACTATAAGCTTAAACCGGAGCTATGCACCTCTAGCTGTGCTAAAACTCATGTGTTAAAGCGATAAAAATGTGTTCACCTTGTAACCCACCCCAAGAAATGGTCAGTCTCAGTTTGTTTCCTTCAGACCACAGCCAAATACTTATGGCTAGCTATCACTAAAACCCTGCAACTACCAATAATGACTCCGTTAAGCAGCGCTGTCTGATGTCAGTATCTTACAAAAAAGGATGAGGGCCACAAGAAGAGAAAAAAATAATTATAAGGGGGGATTCTTTTAAATTTCCATTTCAAGATTGAAGTCTAAATTTCCATATTAAAGTCAAAATTTTAACATTATTCATGTTGACTTCAATCTCATTTCAACTTTAATCTCAAAATTTCAACTTTTTTAATGTCGAAATTTCGACATTATTCACGACATTGCGACTTAAATCTCGAAATTTCAATTTTTAATCTCAATTGTCAACTTAATTGACATAATTTCAATTTTTTAACCTCGAAATTTGGACTTTAATCTTGAAATTTTGACTTAAATCACCTTCCTGTATTTTTTTTTTTTAATCATGTGGCCCTAATCCTCTTTAGTAGTATCTTATATTTGCATTTTACTTGATTTAATATTTTAGTGCTTATGTCAAACATGGTAGCCTAACCAAGATGGAGTCACCTCTGGTAAGTGGAAACACTTGACAAATCCTAAAGCAGAAGTGTCCATTTTGTATGTCAAACTTTGAGATATTTTGTGTGCTTTTTTGTGACGTAAGATAAGATAGATAAGATAAAATACACTTTGTACAACTGTTGTATTGATCAGAAATGAAATATTAATCAGCTTTAGTCGCACTGTAGCTGAGTTTACTGGAGCTACATTTTAACTACAGGTGTTATCAGTCCTCCTGAATCCTCACTTTGGAAAAGACAGCATATTTCTCAAAATGTCAAATTAACTGGTTTATCAACAAGAAGTGTGACTCAGATGCAGGTGGCTTGGATGCGGCGGTTGTTTTTCTGCGAGTCGACTGAGCCTTTCGCTGGGAATCACTGTGCAGACAGGGAGGAGGAGGAGGCCTTGAGGGCGGAAACTGTCAAGGATGTAAAGGTGCTGCAGACTCCGTGAAGCGGGAGCGGGTCCCGGCAGTTGAGGCTCAGGGGCTCTGCCCGAGGCTGGAGCAGATACAGGGATGTGTCCAGGGGGGGGCTGAGGGGTGCTGGTGGTATGTGGGAGTGATATGTGGGAACCAGACAAACCTCTGCTGGGCCTCTGCAACAAGCCCCCCCAGGAGGCCCCCAAGCTGCCACAGCAGGTGCAGGGCCCCTCCTGGAACAAGGGAGGCTCCTCAGGGTAACAGATTAGGGGTGAGTGCATGGTGTGTGTTTGTGCGTGTGTGTGTGTGTGTGTGTAAGTGTGAGACTGAAACTTGATATGTTCTTTCAAATATGCAAATTCTCTAAACACTGAAACTGCAACCAAATTTACTCCAAAACTAAAGAAGCAGCTTTGTGTTCAAAGTGTGTGTGTGTGTGTGTGTGTGTGTGTGTGTGTGTGTGTGTGTGTGTGTGTGTGTGTGTGTGTGTGTGTGTGTGTGTGTGTGTGTATTTACTGTGTTGATAAAAGCAGAGAATCCTTGGCTGGACTGTTATTTGTAAGGATGTTTGCAACCAAGGTTTCTTTCAAGGGTAGTTTCAACGTCATTCATTGAATGTTTTGTCCGCTCTCCCGGTATGTCAAGGCCAACCAGATGGTCTTGGATTAATTGTAAATACAGCAGAAAAGTGCGACATTTTGGGCAAAAATTTCAACAAGGTTTTACAAGAACAGGTTATTCTTTCTCTGAGAAAATACAGCCGAATTAATTAAATGTGGTATTTCCCTTAACACAGATAAATGAATGTTGAATAATTAAAAATATGCAGTTTTCTGGTTATTATCTTTTCTTACCATAACCCACCTGATTCCCACTGACACTATTGTTGCTTGTTTGGTTGTCAGGCTGTCTGCAGCTCTTTGTGTTCATTCACTGTTTCTTCTTCCTTGTTAAATGACTGCGAGTCTCATTAGGGGAGACAGGGAAGGGACTGCTCACCCTTGTGTGGATCTTTGGTGAGAGAAAACATCTTCTTTGACTCGAGAATGAGTTGGGAGGCACAGTGAAAATAAGCAAAACAAAACTCAGTGAGTAAAACATAATGGAGCGGATGGTTTATGTGTGACAGGCTCAGTCCTGTGCTTTAGTGCAATATCATCCATCCATGAATGAATAAACAGCCTGCAGGGTGAGGATGTTTGACTTACAGGATTCTCTGCGGCTTTTACACCATGATTTCTGCTCAGTGTGACACCCAGCAGCAACATTTTTCATCTTTTCTTGTAACGCTTACAGTAAAAATCCTACTCAACTAAATTCAACCAACTTTACTTCTCAATCTGGAGTTTTTAGTTCAGAGAAACTTTTACATGAAAACAGAAATAAACCTACAACGATGCAACACGCAATCAAAATCCATTTTAGTTAAGTTGAATAAAATTCACTGATTCATCATGATTTGAAAACAATCGTTTGACAGCACCAGTGTCAAGCTGACTGATTGATAAATGAATAAACTGAATAAAAATAATGAAAGGATCTGCTGAAAAGAATAACAGGGTCAATCATTGAGACGGATTTCAAAAAGGTTCATTAAAAGGTCAAAGGAAATAAAATCCCGACAGGGTGAGACGAGACCTTTGTGCATAACTTGCAGCTGACTTTAAGACATCTCGCGTATCACCATGCTTCTGCTGCGCAAAGCTGACACTGAGTATTGATCTAAAGATGTTAACACACTTTCAAAATGAGTTATAGATACAGCTAAAAAAAATAGTTTTTACAGTCAGTAGCACTTCCACTGGGGGTCAAGAGGGATCATATCAGCCTGTTAACCAGTTAGATTAACATTACACGAAACTATTTCAGTCTTACCACTTTCTTTTTTATTGGCGTAACTTTGAAATACAGAAAATCAGCAGCAACTGTTTAAGATCCTCTTCCATGCAACTCTTGAAGTCTGTTGTTTTCTCTTTTTATACATAACACCATTAAAGTCATATCCAGTTACTGTTTTCTTCCATTTGGTTGATGCCTCTTCTATTTATCTCCTTGAGTATTTTAACATACTTTATATCGCGAACCTCTGGGCTGTTTCCCCACTTCTTGAACTCTTCTGTAAAACTGATCATATATTCTCTCTTATCTATCCTCCTACATCTCCACAACCTCTTTACCTGTATCCCCCCGCCTTCTTTTCCGATTTCAGCCCCACACTTACCCCCCATGTCTCCATCATCCATCTCACGCCGCAGCACAACAAGAGGAGAAATGTTACAGCTGAATAAAACATCACTAGACTTCGGGAGGAGGTTGTGAGAAGCCTTGACCTGCAGGCGTAATGCTTTAGCTCAACGTTGCAGCATTTATTATTTAACAGCTCAGAGATCTTTTGGCTAAACCCTCTGCATGACTGCTGCAACTCAGCGAGAGAACTTAAGAAATAAATGCGATGAGTGCTGTTACAAAAGGAGACCGCTTTTTCAATCTGCAAAGAAGACAAACTTCACTTTTTTCACTCTTGAGTCTTAATTTTACACTGTGGCTTTTGATGTTGGACTACAGCTTACTTTATCTTTGATTGATGCTGACAGGGTAAAGCTCCGGCCTTCCTGTTGTCTGAGTATGAGGCATGTGATAGGATATGGAAGAACACCGGCAGAACTACTGATCCTAGCTCAGGGATGCCCAAATATGCCAACTATCCATATGTGCTGGACAACCTTAACAAAATGCATCCATATGAGTGTGAAAGAAGATACAAGAGGAAAGTACCAGAGCTCCAATGAAAAGCTAATTTGTAATAATTTTAGCAGGTTTTAGCTTGTCCCTCACTCCCATTTTCAGGTCAACTTCTTATATCAGTCGAACAAGAGGACAACAACCAGATGGATTGATTTTAATGCATCTTTTAAAGGCAGTATACCAGTTTTAGTGGGTTTGAGGTCAGGACTTTTGGGAGGGTCACTTCAAATTTTTATTTAAGTATTTAAATAAATTTTAACTTTATTATTGGGGGAACTGATGGCCTAGTGATCTAAAGACGTCTCACATACAGAGCTTGTAGTCCTGATTGCACCAGTACCTGGTTTGACTCTTGGCCCCAAACCTTTGCTGCACGTTGTTAAATTTTTAAACATATTCATTGTTCGTAAGTTATTGCCTTAATCTCTTCTCAAATTTTTTTTTATTATGGAGTGTAGTGCTGACTCTGTGGCCAAGTCGCCCTTGTGAAGGAGATCCTGATCTCAATGGGACTTATCTGGTCAAATAAAGGTTGAATAAATAAAAAAAATTCTTCCCCCACTCTCTACACCCCAGATTTCCTGTATAAACACATTTATGCTCAAAAATCTTAACTTAAAAAAAAAAACAGCTTTTGTTTAATTTTTTAATTTTGTTTTTTATTTATTTATTTTTACACATTTTCATTGAAATTTTGAATTTTAATTTTTGCTCAATTTTGTAGCCCTTCTTGTGCAAAATGAGCTCATTTTAAGATTGTCCAACCCCGAACATTGATGCTAGTGTAAGCAAAGAGACTTTTCAGCTTTTCAGCTTTTCAGCTGCTATGTTTTAGCACTGATTTTGGACACAACACATTGGCCCATGCACAGATCAGGTTATCAGGTCTACGTTGTATGAATCAATTTGGCTTTCAGTTTGGTTGTATTGGCTAAACTTTGCACTGCAGGCTTTAGGGAGCTGACCCTGTCTGCAGAATTTGATGGCCTATCTTCTGTAAAGGCTCTTTGTCTGATTGATAAATGAAGGGGCTGAGCTGCAGGTAACACTCTTACTATTAACTTCAGCTTCACTTCAAAAAACAAACAAACTGCATATGTCTCTTTAACTTGATGCCCGCGTTAGAAGTAGATTGCAGTATCAAAAGTCTCATAAAGAGGCTCTGACTTCAGTAGTTCCAAACCAATTTGCAAATATCACCTGTACGCTAAACTGCAAATGTTGGCATGTTAACGTGTTTGACACTAATGCTAAACGTAGTGAATATTACTTAAGTCGATAGGTAAGCATTGTAACTATTGGCAAGTTAGCATTCTTATGTCAGTGTTTAGCTCAGTCTTATATATTGATAATGTTTAGGCTCTTCTATCTTGTAGACGTACTTTTTATTGGGATTACTCGTAGATAACATATTTGGCTGCAGCCAGCTGTGTCTTAGTCAGGTGTGACAGTTTGAATTCTCACTCAGACTTTGGCTGAAAGTTTATCGTCTTACAGTTTGTATAAACTGATGATCTTTATGCACTTAATGACATTTGTGGCCTGATATGATGCCTGAAAAAACAGCTGTCAACTGTAAGGCAGATTAAGTGACAGGAGGGTGAGTCACATTTCAGGACACTCTGTTAGTTGTTTGTATGAGCATTTTGTCATATTTTATAAGGGAAAAAAACACAAACTAGACTCATTTGTCCTGTTTTGTGGCAGTCACCCTGTCCTGGACAAGTGCATGTACACTTTGACCAATTCCTACAGAAACTTAAATGAAGTCCACACATCAGCGTTTACTAAATGCAGGGGCATGTCCTGCCGAGACAGCTACAACATGTTCCCAATCATCACCTGTCTAATCTTAGCACACAAGCTTGATGGGATTGGTTATTTTTGCACACACTCTGAATATGTATGTCCTAATTTGGGCTATTTTTCTCTCATGTTTTCAAACTGGGGTTATTTATAGTGACTAGACACACTGTACCCTCACACAGCCGGCCTCTCTCAGGCATGCGACCATCACACGCACTTGCACTCTGTCAAGTCAATGACATTACATTACAACAATTCCAGCTTGCGTAAGTTTGAAGACAAAATTTGTTTGTTGACTCCCAGACCCCTCGCTGAACTTTTACACTCATCTGACTTCCCTGATCCCCAGCTTCCCTTTTCCTTTTCTTGTGAGAACATAAACAAACACTGTTTTTATTATTGTCATCCTGGGAAGACAAGACACAGTGTGGCCCCCTGGTTCCTCCTGTTCTCAAACATGCACAGTGCTGGCCCCCAGGGTCAGAGAGCAGCTCTGTGGTCACTCAGGCCTGAGTCACAGGATGTTGAAGTAGCACGCCTCAGGGCTGTAGCTTGAAATAGGACTTGGGAAGAGCGAATAGTTAAAGACTTGATGCCTGGCTCCCCTGTTCCTGTTCCTCTGGGACGGATAAGAACAGGCCACACACAAACACACCCTCAAACCTCTCTGTCAAACAACTGACAAGAGCTTGGGGCCAGTACTTCAACTTCATTCCACAGGGTCAAAAACAATCGTAAAAGGCAGGCGGGAGAGGAAACTAATCAAGGATTCTGGCAGTTTGTTTGGCAGCCATGTTGTAACTAATTTAGTTTGGGGAAAAGACACTTCATGAAGGGAAACAACTTTGCAGACACTGAGCCAGGTTACCATCAAGAGTGGTAATTATACTTCTCTGCAAATGATGGTGTCATGAACACTGTAATCGGTCTTTGATCCTTAGGAAGAAGTACTTCTCACCTCGAATGTAGTGTTTGCATCTTCCAGGATGGGTGGTGTGCGTCTGGACCTGTTTCCTTTGTAAACACTAATACAATGCTGCTGCATTTTCCCTGCTTCTCAGGAAGTAATTAAGTGTTTCCCCTTTCCCCTATTTGGTCTCAGTATGCAGAGAGAACATAAATCGTACTTCTTGACCTGTAGAAGCCTCTTAAGTAAATGATCATAAAAATATAAATGTTTTAATTTAAATTTTCAGGTCTATTTGGATTATCTCTGCAATCCATTATATTCACAGTATAATGTTATGAGTATACAAACATTTGAATTGCCTGGCTGCATTTTTATAGATGATCATCTTTAATCCACCCATTTCAAAACAATTTCCTGCTTGGTTCAAAGGTCAGGAAAACATCTTAATGAAATTACTGGTGTACAGTTAATGCATGTGTCCAGTACAGACAGGGCCGGATTAACCATGAGGCATAGTGAGGCTGAAGCCTCAGGGCGTTTGGCTATGGGGGGCCACTCAGCCCGAGCAGAAGCCGCTATGACGCTGGTGAGCTGCGCCTGGTGTGAGGAGGATTAGGCTGTATTGGGACAGAGGAAAAAGTGCCTAGAAAGTGAATCTCGTTCCGCTTCAGTGGGGCAACATAAACTGTGATTCATAAAACAGCTCTATTGATAGTTAGTACTAAATAAAATTTCTACTCATGCCATCCCGTCGATTTTTAGTAATCAGTGTTTCGGTGTCGAACTATTTCCTTTCTGCGGCGCAGTGATACTTGCACACGCGCAATCGAATATGCAAAGAGGTGAAGCGATTTTTGTCACGTGGACCAATAGGAGCCGAGTCTCGTTGCCATAGTATCAGAAATACACAAACATGGCGACGAGCGCATCTAGCAGCGAGACAAGCGAAGAGGAAGAAATTAAAAGGAAAAAAAGAAAACAGCCTTCAAAAGTGCATCAAAAAGGAACGAAAAAGATGCTATATGCATCTATCATCTGTCCAGAGTGAAGACGTTCTCCACTTTACAAGGCCACGTTGGGAAACTTACAGAACTAGTATTAGAAAGTGGCTTTCTCTACAGGGTGAGACAAAAGACCAGCCAGAAATGTACTTGTGAGTAACACAAAAAACGATTATATGGTGCTGCTATTTTTGCTTGTAGAAACTGCTATGTTGATTCTGACAAGACAAAATCTTTCTCAGATGTCATAAATACATCTACCTAACATCTGAAACAGTTATTGGTGCCTTAGTATACGCATAAGTGAATTCAGATTATGAAATGTAGCAAATTTCTTGAAGAAAACATCTCAACTCAAGTGATTTGCACCCAGCACAATGAAATATATACAGTAAATTTAGCTAAAAGCTTATGTTCCATACATAAAAATGACACAACCTACTGTGTAATAAAAGCAATGAAATATAAACAGCACATCATGGCCATAAATGGCTGAAAGTCAGTCAAATTGCTACCACGCTCCCCAAAATTGGAATAATGGAAAAATGTAACAAGACAAAAATAAATGCACAAAAGGTCTGAATTAATTCAAAATATGGTATAAAACATTTATTCAAGTACCACAGTGTCAAAACCTCTGACATTTATCAGTCCCTACAGAATATGAAAAGAAAGATCAAAACACAAATGCAGACAAATGTAGAACAAATATAAAATAATAAAATTCTCAAATCTCAGTGTAGCAATCCTTTAAACAAAACAAATTGTATAACCATAACAGGCCTTCATATCATGCCTTGCACTTTTATTTATAATGCTTGCTATATACTTATAATTTAAAATGCCTGAGGTTTTCTACAGTAAAAAAGTGAACTGTACACCAGCCTCTGTGCTTTCCTTGAAGACTTTTTTCACTACCTCTTGTTGAATTGAGTTCAGACACAGTTGTATTAACCCAGTGGTTTGGCTAGAGGTGGTGGCTAGTGGAACCGTTAAATAACCACCCATAACTGCAGTAATTTCCACAAAATGACCAATAAAAACTGCCATTTTTTTCCGCGCGCGGGACAGAGGGGGGCCATTAGGTTTGCTTAGCCTCAGGGGCCACAGAAGGTTTAATCCGGGCCTGAGTACAGATCTGATCTTGAGTGTAGTCTGTGCACATCAATTCAAACTGCTACAACTTGAGATGTGTTTTAATGCATTGATATGAGGCCAAAATGACATGAAAAAGTGTCAACAATTAAAAAGATATATAATTTTATATGCAATAACAAACTGTGAGTATTTTAATGTTACAACATCATACGGCAGACGCTGTTGTCCAGAGTGATGTACATTTAAGAGCAAAAACAACACAAACAGGATCTCTACAGGTGGAAACATCAATAAGTCCCAAAAACTCCTGAAAGTGCACTCGGCCATAGTGCTGTCAAGCACTAAATAAGACAATGCAGTTTTTTTCATTATTTTTTGTAATGTATAACCACCATCCATCAACCCACCAAAGTGAATCCCTAACCAAAGGAAGTCTTAATGACCCTGTCATCATTACCATCCATCATCATTATCATCTATTTTCATCATCATTGTTATCACCATTATCATTATCAGGTGCACCAAGTTCAGAAACAATCACAAAGAGCTGAGCAGAGAGGAGGACATTTGTGTCAGACAACAGAGGAGAAGAGCTAAGCCTAAGTGCAAAATAAAGGAGCTTTAGCTTTTTCTTGAAGTAGAGAGGGACTTGGCGGATCTGATAGAGTTTGGCAATTCATTCAACCACCGAGGGACAAGAAGAGAAGAGTCTGGCTGTTGACGTACGGCTTTGTTATGCAGAGGTTTGACTTTGCATGCAGTCTGCCAGTATGGAGTCGCAGAAGTCCATGCGTGACATTACAAGAGCCTGTGCCAGGAGCTGTGTAGTGGGTTCTGTCAGGAAGGGTCCAATCCTCCTGATAGAGGGCAACTGGCAGGAACCATGTGACCAAGGTGACATGAACCTTTCATTTTTCGACACAATTTGTTATATCATCAACCCAACAGATCAGTAGTTTGGTCCAGAGCAATTCCTCCACATCTTCTAAAAATATAATTAAAGTTATACTGTTAATATTTTTAAAGTTGATCACTTATCGAAACACTTACATTTGGTGGGTTTGCACAGATACAAGGACAGCCTTTATTGCCTATTAGGGTTGATACAAAGGGTAACTGTGACTGTCAGGTCTACATGTCACTGGAATCCTGGGATTTTTTGCACATATTGATTTTACATGCAGTCAGCGTGAGAAGTTGAATATCAAAAAGCATACAGGAAAAATAATTGTAAAGGGACACAACTGCATTTACAGCATATTACATCAATCTGAAAAATAGCACTGGGGTAGTGAAAAAGTCACGTCTTATTTTCTCCAACATTTAAGTTCCTGTGAAAAACTGTTGAGTCTGTGACAATCTGGCAGCCCCAGTGAGCATGAATTTTACCCCGTGTTTCTTGATAAAAGCTCACCTGTCTCTGTTTCAACAATCCAATGCACTCATTGAGAAGTTTTGCCATCGTACATGTAAAAAAGGGTGTACCAACAGAATATGATTGAACCGAAGGGGACAGTTTAACACTTACAGATTGCCAGTGGTTTCAGACATGGCAAAGAATGATGTAGAAATGAATAGTTTTATTCTTTATGGGTATGTTGCTTTGGTAGGTCATAAGGAGGCACCATTATTAATTTCAGTTTGTTTCATTCCTCTAACTCTTCCAAGAGCTTTGGTGTTATGATATGTCCTATCAAATGCCCAGCTTATAATTTTGAGCCTTTCGGGTCTTATGCACCAAGCATCCAGTCCCCCTAGAAGAATGACATAGTCCCAATGACATTGCCAATTGGAGTCTGAGGAAGCTTTATGGAGCCCAATGAAGGTGGTGACCACATTTAAAGTTTTGACAAGCTAACCTCAAAATCATCTAAAAATAGGGAAACAAGAGAAGGTGAGGCAGATTTGAAACCTCCTAACAAACCTGTCAGTAAACTCAGCTGCTCCCCTAAATATGCATGAACATCAGCTTTCATACCAACAAAAGTGACAAGTTGAGAAAAACATCACCCCCATTAACAGTTTCATAAATAGAGAAATTACCAATAGAAACCAAAACATTTTGAACTCAGGCATTTTAAAATGAAGCCTGATAGGGTTTTGTTGTCTTTTTACAACACTGACTGTTGCTGCTTGGCTTGAGGTCAGTGTTAACAAAATAATGCTGAAAAATATTTTCAAAAGCTTCCAAACTTTATAGTTTCATATCTGTCAAATCAAAGTTTTGACTTAAATATCATTTACCTCAGTTGAACCTTAAGTTTTTTAAGTGTGACACAAACTCTTTTTTTTATGTGTATTCATACATGTTAAATAATAAAGAAGGCAATATTGTCGGAAGAGACTGCCTGTTATGTTAGAGTTACGCCATCAGGCACTATCTCAAGTTTCTCCCGTTTATTTTGGCTGTTTTTCGCTGCATCCTGCATGTGTGCATACACGTGTGCACATATACGTGCAAAAGGAAGCAACAAAACAACAGTGTCCCCATATTCTCAGTGTGAGGGGAAGTGTGAGCGCCTTACTTAGATGTTTTGTAGCACACACTGTCCTCCTGAATACAAAACACCTTCTCCCCCTGAGCCCTCACTGCTCTTGGGAGCTGCCACATTGACCTGACCTTGACTGTCCTAATGTATCTGCCGTGCCTCTCTCTCTGGATGTATTGCTCTTGCTGTCACTCTGACAAAATGTGGATAACACTGTCACTGACACATCCTCTCAGGAAGGGCATTCAGGTTCAAGCCCGCCACACTATGCCCCTCCCCGGCTTCTTATCAGTGATAAAACTAATCCTTTGGCCCCCGCATATGGCCTCCTGGCCCCCTGAACCACCAACAGTGTGAGAAAAGGGACAAATAGAGGGGAGGGTAGGAGCAAAGGAAGAGAGAAAAAAACTGGAAAAATAGGGAGGAGGGGCAAGAGAACACAAGAAGACACAGAGGTCAGGAAAGAGAAAAACCAGAGCAAAGGGAAAAAAGACAAAAGTTTAAAAAGAGGAGACTCAGATTTAAAAGTATGAAGAAGAAGACCAGCTGATGCACGGACAGAGAGGAGTGGGCCGCAGAGGTGACCCTGGCAATCTAATCTGTTTATAGATAAGTGTGTTGTTGCCCATGTGTGAGAAAACAGGGCTCTCCGGGATGTGTGTGTGACCCACGGAGGTTAAGTGTCTTACGCACAGAGCAAGGGTGAACTCACAGGGACACACAAAACGCATGATGGAGCAGAGAGTAGGGGTGGAGGCCATGGGTTTACCGAAGGGTCCCGCAGTTCAGGACATAGCGACAGAGATAGGGGTGTCTAAGAGAGGGGGTAATTTCCTCTGAAAAATAACCTGCTGTATGTCTTACATTATCGTCAAAGTGGTCAGAGAATTCACTTGGTCAGCAAGAGCAAGAGCCGAGGAGGGGAGATGTCAGGAGGAAGAAGGGGATGTGCGCAAAATGTGACCCTGTCATGTGTCCTGTAACAACTTTTCATCAAAACAGAGGGGGAAAGCATATATTATTGCTTAACCTAAAAGAAAAAGTTGGGGGACCAGAAAACTATATAAAAACTTTAGGATAGTCGCTGTGGGTCTCTTTGGATTGCAGACAGTATTGAACAATTTTGCACTTGAAGTAAAAAAATAAGCTTCACCATGTCATACAATCTGATGGCGCTTAAAAGAAGAAATTTGTCAGATTTTACAAGAGAACAATGGGCAATTCAATGCATCAATGAAAGTGCAAATTCTAGTTATTAGGAGGTCATATGCACTGAAAAAAACCTGTGCCTGTGATAGCTCACAACTGTATATTGCTGTGATAAAAAGACATTAAAATAGAAAACTGAAGTTATAGCAAAATTGACTGTGTATAGCTATCATTTGATTAAAATGGTTTATTAATCAAGCATAATGTGGTGTGATTGGGTTCTAAGAGAAAACCTCCAAAATACCACTGCCAATCAGATGTCCCCACACCCACTGCACCTGTACAAGAAGAGGAGGTGCTCCTGTTCCACATCACAGACCTGACTCAATGTGAGTGCAAAAAAACAGAGCAGAGTTCGCATTATACATCTGAGCCTCGTTCAGTTATGAAAGATATATGTACATTCTTATGGTATTTTCCTATGATGTACCAATTTATATAATGTCCTTTTTACCATAGCTAATTCGTACACAGGCACCCTGTTTTGTATGTCTTCTACACTCATTTTCCTGATGTTGTATGAGCAGAAGCTTTTAACATGAATGACAGATGATGTGCAATTCCCCCAAATAAAGGGGTAAAGGTGTGCACCCTTCACTGAAATTACTATGTACTTGTGAGTATAAGGAGATGGTGTGACTAAACCACAAAGGAATCAGATAGAGACAGTTGCATAGATCATTGATTCAGGGGGTATCTGAAGAGGATAATCCAGGAGTGTTTTGTCTATTTAAGCTTATGACCCTCCTCTTAGTGGACAAAGTTGGTCTCACACACAAACACACATTTACAGATGCCCTCATGCATACACAAGACACGCAGAGGCTGAACGGAGGTTTCCTGCTTCCTGGCTCCCAAGGCAGCTAATTACTGAGCTTTCCACACCAACAAAGGAAAGAGACTCTCTCCATTCAAACATATTAATCCCTCCATTTACACGCTGCAGCAGAGGCCACTGCAGTGAAGACGAGCAGGAGCTGTTTTTTGCCTTCTGCATCCGTGTGTGAGAAAAGCAGACAAAACACGTAGCAGGAGTTAACACTGACGGAGTTGATTACAAGGGGCAGGAGAGGGAAATGTAAATATGTGCATTCATTAACCAGAGAATGCTGCTGCTTTCCAGGGAAATTCCTCTCCCTGCTGCTTTTTTGATGAAGACACTTGCTATTCTGTTCTTGGTTTTTGTTTATACATGCAAAACCTCCCCAGAACCTGAAAAAATCAAAGCATTTCTTTGTTGAAGTAAATGCCAGTTTTTGTATACATATGTACTGATTTCCAAGGTAGAAAAGATAGGAAAATTTAAAGGTTTGATTTCACTGGTATTATGACTGCGAGACTTGCAGGTTTTTCCTAAACTGTCCAACTAGAACCATCTTTGTGTCATTTCTTCATTTGCATATCCCCATGTCTGAATAACCTACCAAATTTCAGCTGAAAACCACCCCCATCTCCGCTCCTGAGTCTGTGCATAAAAAGGGAATGTCAACATATCTCAATTTTCTTATGGAGCAACTGAGGTGAACCCAGCAGGACAAATAGAGCATTTCAGCAGCATACATATCAACCCAGACTTCATTTAAAATTCCTCACCTGCAGTCATTTATTTAAAAAAATGACCACAACCTTACCTTACTATTGCTGACACCATCATAATATGTTAATATGATATCCTAAAGCACCTTATGCTATCTATGCTGGTCAGATTTAATCCTATTTATTCACAACACTGCATGCCTTTGTCCCTGTTTGACATTTGGTGTAAGTGAATTGGCTGGAGTTATTTTTAGTGCCACCTACTGAAATGAATTTGTAGCACAACAGAACAGGGAGCAAGACTGTAGTGCTTCACAAGTGCTGCATGTGTAGACTTATAACAGCACTCTAGGTAGGTAAGTGGGATAAAAAGCCATTCACTTGACTTCATCTACTCCCACTAAAAAAGAAAGGAAATCTATGTTGTGCAGCTGATAATAGCTGAGTGGAAATGGGAAGCAGAAGAGAGGGAAAGAAAGACTGCATATGTGTTGTACTGAGGAGATGTGTTTTGACTAGATTCCACAACACTTAGTCCTTCAGACCTGTGACATTTAATTTCACTAAGACCTCATTTACTCTGTTCACAGGGTAACAACATTCCTCGGTTTAACAACAAGCCTGCTCTTCTAGCTCCCAGCAGAGTAGACCGGTGTGTGCCCATCGAGGCAAACAAACTGAGCTCCTATGAGATAAACAAGAAGCAAATGCTGGACACAGTTTTAATCCATTCTACATTTCACGTTATATAGCAACATTTTTAAAACAGTATGAAGAGTTTTCAGGTATTCAGGGGACATTATTTGCCATCAATAGGACAGGTTTTTTGCCAAGGATATTTGTTATGCAAATCTGAGAGAGCTGTGTGTACCTTCCTTACAGCCAGCAGGTGACTTACTTCCTGGCTGCATGACTGAGGCAGTGTATAATGTTTACACTTCGGTATGACATAGAGCAACTTTGTTTTACCTGCAAATCTCACTGTTCTTTGGAAACCATAAAAAGGAGCTCCTGTGAAAAGTGAGCAATCATTTCACATATCCTTTTGAACAAAGGCTGGACTTACAATTATTGACAACACAAGTTATTTTGTATTTGATTGTGACTGTTTTTGAACCACATGTGTGGATTAAAATTACAGAAGCCTGAGCAGAAATCCATGTTTATTTCACACACTCCATTTCCCCTGCTACATGTCAATTTCTGTTTTTCTCTCAATGTCTCTACTTGAGGTTGCATGTTGTTCTGTAGCCCATCACAGTGATCAGGCCATTGTGTTGTTTTACAGAAAATAAGGACTTTTATATTGAGATATATAAATTAAAATGCAATCATGGAATAAAACAGATTTGTTAGACTAAAAAAAAAACAAGACAAGAGAAACATTATCTTGTGAAAAATTACATTACCTTAGAATGTAAAAATTGATTTTGTAAAATTTATAGATGCAAATCCAGGTGAGGAAGAAATGACTGATTGTCAAATGATTGCCCAAGTGGCAAAATTTACCCATTAGGAAAGCGATATGTAGGAAGAATTTTTGAGCGGATCCACTCTTAAATGTTATTTTTGCATTCAAAGAGAATTAATTTTTTTAATTAAAAAAAAAAAAAAAAAGTATTATAGTTTATGTTAAAGTTCTGGACTATTCTAGAGCCTACGGTGCCTGAGAACCGCCACTGCTGCAAATAAAAAAGATTGGAAAAAAAAGAAGCCACAACAGAAGTTACCAATGCAAAAAAAAAAAAAAAAAAAAGAAACGAAGCCCGCTGCAAATTAAAAAAGAAATTAGGCAGATAAGAAAAAAAAAGCCACAATGGAAGTTAACGGAGCAAAAAAAAAAAAAAAAAAGAAAAGTGGAAAAGTGGCAAAGAAGTAGGTGGAAAGGTTATTGTTTGGTAGTGTTAGCTTCAGTTCCGTTGTGGCTTTTTTTTTATTTGCATCCTTTTGCGTTTGCAGTAAGTAACTTTTTCTCTCCATCGCCACTTTTTTTTGTGTCATAAACTTTTTTTTTATCTGCACCGTTTCTTTTTTTGTTTGCTCGGTAAATTCGTTGTGACTTTGCATTCTTTTTTATTTGCAGCAGTGGCGGTTCTCGACCACCGTAAGACCCTTTATAGAGAAATAAAGAAAAACGAATCAATTAATTGATCTTGATGAAAATGAGCTTTTTAATTATTAAGCCTAATTTAACGTTTTTCTAAGACAACTTCCATAAATACCAACAGATAAACAAAACTTTAACTTCAAACTTCCTTGTACGAATCACTCCACCCTGATGAATAAAAACTACACAGTTCATTTAACTTTCCACTTTTAATGCATAAACCGTATCAAAGACTATCGAGCCAAGAGGAATCTTCTGTAGGACATGTTTTGATTCGGTAGACACGTCTATTTAGTTATAACTGTGGCGATTACATTCTTCAGAGGTGTTTATATTCCACCCCTTGACAAAGAGCACCGGTGTTCTGACACCAACGGTAGACAGTCCTGATCCGGACCATTCTGATTGAGTAAGCAGTGATCCGCTCCGGGTTTTACCATAGACCGCGAATAGCCCAGCTGAGTTGAGTGGCAGGACTTGTTTACTGGAGAGACTAGCAGAAAGGAGAGACGGAAAGAGGGGGAACCTGAGGGAGAGCAATCGCTTTACGGAACGGGAATCCAAGTTTTCACACTTGACCCGTCTTTTTAAGTCTATTTTGTTTGTGTACCTCATCCTTTTTTTGACTATCGCAGACGGGATCCTGACTTTCTGTGTGCGTGTGTGTTTTTTTCTTTGATTTCTAACTCCAACCGCCGACACTGAACCCTCGTTTGTTTTGGATTAGCTAGCTAACGTTAGCTGTTTTTCCCCGTCGGCTAACGTTAATCTGAGAAAAACGGGCGGCGTGGAGGAGTTTTCTCACTTCAAAGCAACGTGCGGGTTAAACTGAGCCGCTTTTTTGGGGCTGTTTTGTCCTCACGCTTTGGATGTGAAAGAAGTAGCGTGCACCCCTCAAGTTTTCCTTCTTTGTTGTTTTTTTTTTGTTGTTGTTTCTGTTTTTTTCCTCCCGTTTTGTCTTTATGGGTGTTCATTCGTTTGCGGCGTGGTGGTCAGCGGGGGTGAAGGAGTTCAGAGGAAGGTCGTAGTAGAAGAGAGAAAGCTGTGTCGCTGCACGTTTTTCCTGCACGTAGGAGTTTCCTGGGATGTGCTCCCAATCTATCTCAAAAAGGGCGAGCTCCTGAGAAGATACAAGCAAACTGGGAAAAATAAAGGGACCTGTGGACTTCAAAGGGGAGAGCGCAAACCCCTGCCAACTCTCCTCATTGGCTCGAAACTAAGCGATAATATCCACAATAAGAAGAGGCACAGGTATAATACTTCTTGGCTCTTCCTTCATTTGAGCACTGCATCACAGAGAAATGAGCCTTGGGCTATTGGACCTCCGAACTAGCCCCCAGAGCGAGAGATATTATTATTATTATTATTAATAATACTGTTACTTCTCTCTTGATTTAGTGGAGCACCAAATGAAACAGATGAACGTGGACTGTCGCCTACACTTATGGAAAATGAAGATCTTTACTCGCACATGCGTTGCCAGAACCCAAGATCACGTTATTTAGTGGTCTGCATTTTTTCCGGGGCTCACATACATCACAAACTTGGCTGGGAGGATACTCATACATTTATAACCAACTCCCCCCGAATCACGGGGGGCAACCTTGAATCAGTTGGTTACACTCGACCTTAATTTTTTTTAAAGATTTTTTTGTTTTAATACTTTTTGATATTCAAACTTTTTTTTTTTAAATTAACACTTCTCTCGAAAGATTGGAGATTTATTTTATACTGAGAAGCTACGAGAGGACAGCACAACTTACCCTTGACTCAAAATGAGACGGTGGACAATAAAGCTGCGTGCACAAATTGTGTTTTTTATCATCTGTACCTGCATTATCTGCCAGTGTGGACTAACAAACGGAGAAAGTAAGTATGCTTTTTTTTTCTTTTACCCTAACATGTGTTGGTCACAACTGCAACACATGTACTTGAGCTGTCACTCTATGTGTTAAATAAAATGCAAAATCATTACATCTCAACTTAATTGCTTATAAGATATCTCAAAAGTATTAAATGTGTATCAGCCTATGTGAGGATGAACAAATTAAGTTTAATAACATTAATAAGACACTAATTTAGACCTACAGATTAAGTGTTATGTAATAAATGTGTATTAAGACATTTATAGGTTTTGTTTACTCAAAGTATGACAGGTTCGTAGTTTATGTAATTAATCGAAATGATAAATTTAATCACGGGACCGTCTTTCGTTCCTGCGCATGCGTGACAATTCTTACAGCGTCTAATTAAAGGGTTAGTAACTTCGATTGTCGCGTATGCGTCGCCGCGCGCTACTAATTGATAATTCTCCGTGGAATTATCGTGTAATATCTCCACCCCCCACACCCCCCTCACGCTGTCTCATATTTTAGCGGCCTGTGTTGGATGAGCCAGCCTCAGGGCCAGATTAGTTGCTGTAACTGGACGAGTGTGGTCTGCTGCAGCGAGTCTAAACTGGGAGTAGCAGGACTGGCCCTGTGAGCAAAGCTAGGCCTCTCGTGGCGGCGACAGACACACTGCAAACAATGCGCACACAAGCGCGCGCACACACGGCGCTGCCGCTGCTGCTGCTCGGGCAGTAAACGTAAACAAATTAGCCGCCGACGCTAAGCAGGCTCTTTATAGGTGTTGGATTAGCCTACATTGCTGTTCAGCTCCAGGTCGGACCAAAACACGGGCGTCTTCCTCACAGGGACATGCCTCTTTAATGAGATGCTTTCTGTACAAATGAAAGAAGGTGTTGGTAATAGTTTTATCGATGTGTGTAATCGAAACAGCGTGCTTCAGTGTGTTTTTTTTTTTCGTCGAACAAAAGCAAAATACTGATGTGAGGTGGTGCTATCATTATGGCTGCTGTATAATTCAAATATCCGTTTAGAGGTAGAAAATAAACCCAACACCAATTCTCCCACCTCTTTTCTTGCAATGAAGCTAAACCACACTTAAAAATGTCTCAAAAAATAAATAAAACACTTTTCTGGCAGCATAACTTTTAGATGTACAAGTAAGTTATCTAACCTTGAATTCCTCTATTCACTATTGTTACAAGGGTGTTTGACAGTTGTAGAGAATTAAATGAAAAGAAAAACAGCTCTTTTCTTAAAATAGATCATTCATGTAACCATGTGACTATCATAAGTTATTCTTATGGTGTTATCTCAGTTTGAATGAATGAAAGTCAATGGGAAAAATAGTCATTGTTACCAGAGAATAACTGGAAGGAAAATATATAACAAATGTATATCTTGGTTGTTTGTTGATGCTTTATCCTATCCTTATCCTGGACTACATCTCTGGTTTATGTGAAGTGTTAGTATTGATGAAAAAGTGTGTGTGTGTGTTTCTTACCACAAATCTAGAACTTATGTCAGGTTAAAAGTCATCTCTGAGAAGTAATTGCTACTATAGTTTTGGTGGTTGGTGTCTCAAACTTTGTACCATTGATGATAAACGTTGAGCTGTATTACTTTGAGTCATATGCTCCCAGTGGCCGGGTTCATAGGAAATGTCCTGGCTTCTTTACACAGGTTATGAATGCAGACAGAACAGAGGCCTCTTACAGGGGGTCCTGTGAGACAAGACTGCTGGTACCCCTCCTTCCTCCTCTCTTTCACTCCCTTCTCTCTCCCTCTCTCTCCCTCTTTCTCTCATAAGAAGTAGAGTACATTTCATTGGCTGTTTCTGGTCCCTGATTTACTCAATTCTCTGGGAAGTGACCATATTTGGCACTCTTGAGTTGTTTATGCTGCTTAGTGAGAGGGGGTGTGGGGTGGGGAACAACAACCAAAATACTTAAAATATTTCATTCTGAATCCACACGCTGCTGCCTGACATCTCCACCACATTCATGGGAAAGAGGAAGCAGTATTGATGTAAAAAAAAAAACCTGATCTGTTGACTGCACCCTAGAGAATGTGATAAATCTGCTTCCTACAGGCTGTTGTTGGTTGATTTTGATTGGTCTGTTTGCCAAAGTTATCAGCAAACAGTTTTCTGAAGTAACCGCTGAGTTGTCTCCTGGTCTAAACTCGCGAAAAACAAGTTGTGCAACTGGGAGCCTTGCCCCCTTCTTGTTCCTCTCAGACTTGTAAGCACAGCTCTGTTGGAAAAGGGTAGTGTGCATGTGTGTACGCATGTGTTGTTATATATGCTCTCAACTGCCTGTTTGCCTCTTAAACTCGCTCTGACACACACACCGCCATGCCTTGAGTGTTTATCAATCTGATCACCTGAGTCCAAAGCTCTCATCTTTATTCAGGAGTAAAAGTCAAATGGTTATTTTCCCATCCTTGCCAGTGTCGATTCGTTGATTTGTAAAATCAGAGGAAGAAGAGACACCCTCAATTTGTGTATGTTTGTAGTCCTTTTAAGCACTCAGTCTGTCTTTGGTGAAGTGCACAGTGGCATTTCCCGACAATGCTGTGCATGCTGTGGAATGTGTTTGAAGTGGCCCACCATGTAGGTGCCTGTGTGTATGTGTGTGTACAAGTATTTCAGAATGCACCCTAGCCACCCTGAGCTGTCTGCAGGATCTCATCTCTTAGCTCGTGACCTGCCCACTTCCGGGCAATGTATGTTTTTCGTGTATCCATGTGTGTCCAGAGGAGGTGGTCATGCATGAGAACAGTGTGTACTAAAGCAGCCGGCCTAAGAGGGGGCTGCCCGTTAGCTCAGCCCTCTTTGCCCTGTGTAACCCCCTTGACCAACTGCAAATCCAGTTCCTTAAATGAACGGATTGCTTTTTGTCATTCTGTGAGTTTTCTTTTTTAATTAGCAAGTGTTTATGTTAGGTGGGGCAAACATTGAAAAAAACCCAATGAGTTTGATTAGAATATCTTTAGTTTGTTACACCTTTTCACTTCATCTCAAAGACCCCTCTAAAGATCTCTATTAAGATCAATTTAAAGTATAAAAGCTGACATGTCTAATGAATGACTTTCTCAGCGTATCTAGTCGCTAACATATCTAGTCGCTGTTGTTATAAGGGGATTTGTCAGGTGGTGTCAGAAAGATACTGTGGCATTGAACTATGGTGTGCCACAATGGACAAACTTGCAGACATTTTTTAATTTGAAATATAGCAGATCTGGATTATTGTGTTTGATGTGTTCATGCTGACAGCCCGTGTTGATTATCTATATTTCAGACATATGGTACATTCTAAGGGGGTCTAAGTATTTTCAATGCCATTGCTGACTTTGGCTGTTGCATTTTTGCTTCAGTAATAGCTGTTTTAATGGACTGTCATTAGCTTTTATGCTATGATGTGGTGTATATTTTGAATGCACCTGCAGCGCTGGGTGCAGATTGCCATTGTATGTTTGGGTAGTCCATGTTCATAGAAGCTGCAGACAATGAGGGTCATGAACTGAGGCTCTGGCAGCTGTGAGCTACATTTTCAGAGTTGGTCAGGAAGGCTATGTACTGCTAAAGGAAATTAACTGTTGGGGTGCCTTTCCTGAGTGCTTCCTCTGCTGTTCTGATTATTCCGAGTATCCCTTTCAACTTCTTCTCATTTGCCAACGGACACGTGTTTGTGTTTGTGTGTGGGTGTTTGTGTTTCTTTTCTTCAAATAGCATACAAATGGAGGATAAAAACGCCCTTTCTGTGTTCGCTCAAATGTACGGTTCAACTGACAACGCAGCACGAGTACTGTTTTCACTTTTTTATCAGGCCGAAAGAATTATTTGGTTTCTGCTTGTGCAAAGTGGAGCAACTCGTTTAATGATGACGAAACATGCTGGACGTTTGACAACTATGTCTGGCTCTTACCCTTTATCAGTTCTTATCCACACATCACCTATTATCTCAGTTTAAGTCTATAAGTAAGTTCATTCCAAAGCAACAACAACAACTATTACATCAGAGGTTGCAGTAGGACAATAACCTCCTAGATACTCTTGTATTGATTCAAACAGATGACAAAATTTAAGGAAGTTGTTCTCTTTTCGCTTAGTTTATTACACCACTTTCTGAACACTTTGCAATCCACGAGAATCAGTTCTCATTTTTACAGAGAGAAGAGCAGCTATCACTTTCTGTCTTATTCTCTTCACATATCAAGTGTATTTGTCTCATTTCTAGCCACACTGACCTGAACAGTCTGTAGATCTAATTTTGATATGTAACAAGCCTAAAGAGACTTGCATAATTATGTCATCTGTCTTAGAGTATCTACAGAGTTGGTCTGCGTAATCTGGAGCCCCATAAAATGCACTTAAATTTCAGTCACAGCAAAAGTAAAACGAGATGAACATGATAAGCATGTCATCTGAGCTTGTTAGTAAGTATACAACACTTAAATGTGGAAGGACAAAAAAAAAGTGAAATTCACACATTTTTAACAGAATAGATACTTCTGTGTTATTTAGCTGTAGCTCTGGAGACATCCCATATTTTTGGACTATTTGGTCCTTGAGCTCTCTTATATTTTGGTCTGAAGTGATTTATTTCAAGTTGTCGAAACTCGAGTTTCCTTGCATGAAACTTTTATATAAAAAAGCATGATTGATTTTAGATTTACTAGTTTGACAGAAAACCTGTTTTTACCACAAGTGACACAGCTTTCATTCAGGAACTGGTTGCTGCTTGCTGCTGAACCTGTGCTGCAGTGCATGAACCTTATGGACACTGAACATGGTGTGACTTACCAACAACCTGACTGAATCTCTTTATTTCTTTAAAGACAAAAAGTGTCAGTGAGATAGTCCGGAGAAGTCACTCTTTGAATGATCATCTACCAAAGGTTTTGAAAAACTGAGCATCGGTCCTTACAGTTAAGGGATAATAAGCTGAGTGTTTAAAACCGAGATTTGTCAGTGACCTCCCTTCTGACTCCCATTCCTAGATAGAGAACTGTTTATGTAAACGTCTGCTCACTGCACAGAAATGTGGTTGAGTTGGGAGGGGATGAATGGGGTGCACACACACACACACAAACACAAACACACAGAGAGCGCCGTTACGCCATGCTGCAACAATCTGATTTGATAGTCCTTGTTGCTGTTTGGATCTGCCCTATTTTAACATTTGGTGACTTCACGCAGGAAAATCCAAGCTGAGCTTACACTTTAATACATGGATGAGCAAAGAGATCTTTTTTGGAGCCTTTTGCAGGCCGAACCAGACACTGGCTGGGGCCAAGTCCACGTCTGCATGGAAGTTAATATGAAAATCTCTCCCTTTGTCTTTACTTAAGCCTTCGGTCTTTTTTCAAAAACCAAGTTTCTTCCCAAACCAAACCTGATAAGTTTTACACCAGCCAAAAATACAGAAGTTATGAAGTACAAACCTTACTAGATAATTTTTTTTGCTATAACCTTTATCCTAAATGAATCCCTTTGTGTTTTTTCCGACAGTGATAAAGTCTTTGATGGCCCGATTTGTTGGCCCTTGAGCGCTACAAGACATATTCGTGTTATTCTGTTGCTTAGGCATTTTAGCAAACTGCAGACTTAATGTTGCCAAAAACTGTTGAAACAGTGTTTCCAGATGTATCTACAGAAGTGTGAGAGAGACAGGCTGAATGGTTGATGTCACATCATGGGAATTTGTATCTGAGCTCTTGTGGTTACACACCATGCCATAATTTGAAGGTCACACTTTTGGCCATCAATGTGCTCATCACCGCCTTACAGTGAATCTCACTGTACCAGCGTGGCCTTTCTGCTTTAACCCCACTCTCTGACATCGCTGGTCAAGGTTTAAATCCAGGTATGTGTTTTAGAGGTATGTGAAGAAAATGTAAACTGAGTCAGAGTTGTGAATAGACTCAACAAATTGAACAGCTCCAGATGAACAGATGAATCTTGTGAGTTTTGAAGCTGCTTGTACAAAAATCTCTTGAATCCTTTTAGCAGTGAGAGGAGCTCTAAAACTGCTGCGTGAGGTTCATTAAACTCTTCTTCGCTCTTTGAGGTAAAGGCCAGATTTTGCTCTTACAAATAAGCAGAAGCTCGCAGGGTGTCTGGTTGTTTGCATTGCCGTGTAAGTGCATGACTTTTGGCAAATGTTGCCATCTCTGTATCTCTATCATGTGTCCTAGTGTGTAAGTGCAATGGGATGCTTGTGTTTGTAAGTTTGTTGGGGGTTGAGTAGCTGTGTAACTGAGCCTGATGGGTTAAATTTATTTTGAGGACTGTCATATGACTGAGAAGTGGCCATTTGACACACTGCCAGGTCAGTCTCCAAGCAGTTAAGTACACACATGCACACACACACGTTGACTGGTAACTTTCAAATAGGACTGACATGATTTGAGGTATAGATTAAAGGAATGTTGGTTACAGCTGAGAAATAGGATTTGTAAAGTTAGTTGTTGGTAATGTTAGGCTGAGTCTCAGATTCTGGTTCAGTAGAATAAGGCAGCTGTTACATTTGTGGTCACAATTATCATTCATTTTAGGCCATTCTGTGCACTGTTGCATTTAAAACACATGGCAAAGATTCCCATGAAAACAAATTTAGGTTTGCTGAGATGCATTTTTAATATTTGATTAGATTATCTTTTAGCTCCAGTACCTCTGCATCTGTACATGTATGTGATTCATGTATCTCTGACAGATTTTTGTGCATATTGAGTAAAAAAACACGATGACTGATTCATAATGAAGGAAATGGGCAGAACTTTGACTACATCTATGTTTGGCATCCATGCTCTTTTGCTCCCAGCAGCGGGTGTCTATCCCCTCTCCTCCCATATCCAGGCTCATTCTTCCTCCCTCCCTGCGATTGCTATTATGTTCAGGGGTAAGAGGGTTCACTCTCATCCACTGATTTGTTTTTCATTCACACTGCAGATGCGCACAGCCTGCAGACCTGTCCCCTACACACATACACACACACAGGCTTATCAAGCTCTGCTCTCTATGCGATGGGAAAACCTCCTCTTTCAGACCTCTTAAAGGTGTGAACTTCATCCATTTGACACCTCTCTTTCTCTCCCTCTCTCCCCCTTCCTCCTTCCCTGCCTCTCTCTCTTTCTCTTCCTCTCTCACCTCCTTCTTTTGTTTTTTGTTTTCTCTTCTCTTATCCTCCTGCTCGCCCCAGCTAAGCCTAAGTGATATTTAGCACACATACACCTGCACAATGTGAACAACAGCAGCCGGTCACATGGACGTCTCTAATTATGTGTGTTTCTGTGTGTATGTGTGTGTGTGTGTGTGTGTCCTTATACAAGTACCCATGCTAGTATGTGTACCATGATGGTGTGTGTGTGTGTGTCTGGTTGGGGGGCTAGGGTGGCGGTGGGGGGTGGGGGGGGGTCTGTTTTTGTTCTGATGAACTTGCCTGTGATGGGTTACTATGGTGACGGCACTAGCTGTGCTCTGGCAGGAGGCTACAGTGCCCTTCCCACCTCCTCTGTCTAAATGCACCTCTGGCCTGTCTGTGCTGAACTCACATTGAAGTAATTGTGTTTTTATAATGTTTGATAACAAAGTGGAATATTAAATTTTAATTAAATACTCGTTCTTTTATATATAATTATTGAGATTTTATTGTGCTATTTTGTGGAGCAACTTATTTCATGGTTGTCAAAAAGGAAAATTATATTTTGACTAACTGGTCAGTCTAAAGGTAAGAAGACAATCAGAAAATGGTCGAAATTTAAGATGACACAGCTTACATAAAACGTAACCTCCATTTTCCAGGTCGAACTTCTGCCACATTGTACTTTGAGACATCACCTGTCATCTGTGCTTGTCAACATTTAGATAGAGCATTATAGCATCATGGCAGTTTACCTGGTCTTCACCTAAGCTACAGGTTAGCTGTGCTACAGTATAGACCAAACAGCTAACCCTCGTTTTGGGGCCTATAATGATCAAAATACACAGCAGAAGTGACGACGTTATATGTTTAAATTGATTAAATGTACTCTCCACATTACTTTGTTCCTTCACTTTTTTAATGCACTGAAGCATTTGAGGCCAATACACTTATCCCGAGTTTCATCGCATGTATTCAGGTCGGGGCCCTCTGCTGGTCATCATTCATGTGGAAGAGAAACTTCATAAATCTCAGTCCAGTCGAACTGTTTTGAAATCAGTAGTTAGTTTAAATGTTGCTTTCATTGATCCATTATGTTTTATTTTGTTTAGATGAGTGTGCTGGTTAAATCAGCTGAACAAAGCATCTTCTTTTTCTTACTCTTATGCTCTTTGAACTAATCTTCTGGCTATTTCACCCTCTGCAGTCACGAGCAGTCAACGTCACTGGTCATTTACAGATTTTATGGTTTTATTAAATTAGGATTTCTATAAACCCTCATTTGATTTAGTCTTCTTGTTTGTTTTTTTGTTTAAGTATTGAGTTTAATCTTTTTTTTCTATCAATCAGCAGCCTTTATTTAATTCTTATAGCAATAACTTCCTTTCTGTTTTTAATGTAGTCAGAAATTGATTCCAGTTGATAGACTAACAGCAATTAACAGACTTTATTTGAGGAGGGTGCAATATAAAGAAGACCCCAGGTTTGAATTTCATTGGTAAAGACACTGAGCTCTACAGCAGGTTTGAAAGAGTTAATATTAAAAAGAAAGTCAGAGCTGCCAGACTGCATGGCAGGTTGTGAATTGATCTGCATGTCTGAACATTATTGAACATAATAATCAGCTGCTTTCATTAAAAAAAAGCATGGATAACTCAGCATAGAGCAGCCATTGCTAACTTACAAAGTGGCTGGTTGTTTCTCAAAACTGGGAACTAAGGGGAGGAGACGATTTGTTTATTTGCATCCAGGTCAGTTTGGATGGGTGCATCATGGGCCTTTTGCTGCTGTTACAGTGTTCAAGTAGACATTAAGTGTCATGTTGTTGTGAAAGAGAAGAAAACAGACACTTCAGGACAGAGTGGGGTGAGAGGAGAAAAAAACACTAGAGGGACTCAAGCCAAGATGGAGTGAAAAGGGATACAGAGATCAAGAGCTTTCAGCCACAGTAGTTTATGAGCCTGCTTCAAGCATTCCTAATTCACTTACAGTTAAAGGGGGCCCATATTGAATCATTCCTTACTGTTAAATGACAACGTAATGAATGAAAGTCCTTTTACAATACCACTGTGGCCACAGACCCTCCACTCCAGGGACCGGTCTGTCAGAGGCAAGGTAACAGCCAGTGATTTGTTGGCTAGGGGGCCCTTTTGAACGTTCACATGACGTCAGTATTCCTCTTATGCCATGCCTAGCGTGCTCCTGGATATCCTGTACGGAAAAACCAACAAGGGTGGGCAGTGGCTGAAGATTTCTGAGAATCTGTGAAGGTTTTTTTGAGGAGAAAAAAGACAAACAAGGAGGAAGAGGGAAATAGGAGAGTACTTGTCTATAATCAAAAACACTCAACCAAAGGCACAAGGTTTTAGAAACAGAAAGAATACATGTTCATTCCACATCTGTCTCTGTAACTTTTGATGCAGCTTAACAGCTAATTAACTTTTTCGCAAACTGAGGTTAGTGGTGCATGTTTCCTGTGTTCATGTACATTTGGCTACCTTGCACGAAACTAAGATGCAAGACGAGGCCAAGCTACAACATCTGGTTCTGAAAAACAAAGCTGATGTGCAGGTCCAAAACATAACACTTCCTTCAGTGTCCATTTGTGGCTGACTTTAAAAGCCAAAGAATCCACATACGGCATCCATGCGGAAATGCTCATATATACAGTAGAGTGAAATATATAAACAGCCTGTTACGTTATACAGATTGACAAGTTTTGTACAAACAGGCATCAGTAGCAGCAGATACTGACTGACAGGTGGATGTATTGTCACTGTTTCCCAAGAGGCTCAAGTGCTCATCGTAGTTTCATCTCACTGTGTTTGTAGATTGATCGATTGCTAACTTGAGTCAGCATTTCCAATATGGAAACAGCCAGTATAAAACTTGGAACCCCTCAGATATCAATGGGTGACACCACTGAAACACAAAAGTGTTTCGTACAATCTAAAGACAAGACATGTTCGTCCCGTTCCTGTACAAAACATGATTAACTATGTCTGACAAGATCTCCGTCTCCATTGCCAGTAAATCAATGTAAATCTAGTAGGTGCTTTGATTTGCTTGTCCTATGGGGTTTGTGATATGAACACAGGTGGTTTCAGAGAAACATGTGCCAAAAACAACCATAAAGTGCTTGTGGGACTTGAAATGGAAGGGGAGATTTTGGTGGTGTGCACATGCCTGAGCAATGGAAAAGGTAGAGGGAGTGAAAGATATGGAAAGAAGGAAATTTCAGGGCAGAGTGTGTGTCTGCATGTTTGTGTGTGTGTGTGCAGCAGCAGGTAAGAGCTGGTGGTCTTACAGTGCAGACAAATGGGCCATTAAACCGACCTGGCCCCTCTGCTCACCGTCTCTCCAGCCTCCCCTCTGCTTCTCCCTCTTTTCCGTCTTGGTTTGTCAACTCGCCCACAATCACCCCTCTCTCCCTCCCCACTTATCTTTCTCTGTATTTGCTACTGTACACATATGCTTTCTGCATCTCTCAAATTCATACTCTTTTCCTCTTTCTTTTTTGCTATCCTGTCTCTGATATACATACTAACTCGATGACAGATATACATACAGATGTTCTTACAGGCCGGTTTAAAGGCAGTTAGAATCAAATCAGCTCCTCCTTTCCTCTTTGTTTGCATGAAATTTATGTTTCGGCCGTAGCTCAGGGTTGGCAGCTTTGCAGCAATCCATTGAAATCAGTAAGATTTACCATGCTCGGGATGAGCTCACTTGTCCATCCATCACTAACCCTCAAACTGTCCAAGCGGGAGGTTAAAACTAGAGCATTTCATAAGAAAGCGTAAGCAGCCAGGACACTGGGCTGTTCACTATTGCCTCCCTTCACAGTGTAATTATTTTTCTGTAGTTGTAACGCTGATTTGCCATAAACAGACTTCATTAGCAGTTCAGGCAGGTCAGAATTGGAAATGCAGAAAAAGTGGGAATGTCCACTTCTTCTTACCGTAAAAGCCCTTAAAGGAAAAGAGGCCGATTTTGGAGGAAGAAAGAGAGTTATGGGATGGAAGAAGCCAGAGCCATCAGGCAGGCATATCTGGTCCTGCCTCGTGTGTAGATCTCTGGTTTGTGGGCCGGAGTGTTGGTGGGGCCGTGCCCTGCAGCTGCTGCCATGTGGCTGCAGTTCAAGCAGGGGAACCGAGCCCCGACTGCCTCCCCGCTCAGGCCGAAGCTCACCACACCAAGACGCTGCTCCACGCTCTGCTCAGTAACGTGGGAAGATGAAAAGGAACATCAGATGTTTTTTGTATTAGTCATTCTGTGTGTGAGTGTGGCGTCCTAGCGCGTGTGTGTGTGCGTGCTTTTGCGTGTGTGTATATGTGTGTTGTCTGTGGCCCTATATCTTTGGCACAGTCCAGCCTGCAGTTGATTACCTGCTCCTGTTCCATAGTCCTCTGTCTGCTCCCAAATGTTTCGTCTATGTCAGGAATGCTGCTCCCCCCAACATGCTTTTTTATTTGTTTGGAGCGCACCACCTGGTTTAGCTGTTTGTAAGGCGGGGCCAGAATTTTTCAGATTGTTTTATTTTTTTTTTTGGCTTGTGTGTTACCAGCTGTCCAATTATTTTCCTAGGCAAGGAACACGTTGCTTGCTAATGGCTATAGAGGTAGATGGATCTGTTAGATAGATCTTAAAGATTTAGTGTACTTGTTTGATTTAACGTCCCTCTACAAGTAAGTACTAATGAAGTGTATCACGGCTGTTACTCATTTTCACTCTTTATCATATCAGTCTGGGGCGCCTATCTTTGCATGATTTGCAGCTGAAAAAACTTTATGTGTCTGACATTGCTGTACATGACAACCCTCATTTCAGCACAATTCAGCATCCGCCTGAAATGCCTCACTTTTGCAGCTTTTTCTGCACAACACATGGGCCATGCTTTTCACACACGGAGCTTTGTAGTTAAGAAATAACCAGAAAGTTTTGTCTTTACAGAGGACAACTGTGCCGAGCTGTTGGCGCCGACTTAGCTGTCCTTTTAACTTATGTGTGCCCGTGTTTCTTGTCAAAGTCTATCATTACGTGTGACTTACAGCTTGTGTTTCTCAGCTTTGATAGAAAGTCTTCAAAGATGGAATACCCCCGGTCAGATTTCAGTAACAAAAGAGCGACAAATCTTGCTGGTACTGGCACTTGTTTAAAAAGCAGTCATCAGTGAAGTGACAAGCAAAAAACAGCTTCAGTGTGACTGTTGTCCCAAAAACATTCAAACTCTCACTGCATCATTAAATGTTGTCCTCATACGACGGCTCAACGTGACGTCTTGCCTTTAAAACAAGCGGCTCAGAGAAGTCAGGAAACACAAGTGTCTGTTACGTGTTTGAAACTTGGCTAATCTGTGCTCACATTTTAGGTCTATATTAAAGAACAAATCAGCATAGATCTCCTAATGTGATTGTCTTTTGAAAATATTGAAATACAGTAAAATCAGCTGTGTATAATAGGAGGCAGAAGGGAAGTGAAAGAGAGAGTTTAAAAAGGAGTGGGCAGTAAGGGAAAAACCTCAGGTACAACGGCAATTACTTTTCTACTTACAGACTCAGGATTTTCAGTTTTTGGCCTTTGTGTCTTTTGTCCAAGTATGGAGACAAACAAAAGAAGCATCAGTTTGCAAAGCGGTCTGCAAAGTTTCGAGGTAAAATGTCTTTAAAAAGTCTCTAAAATTGGTGGAAAGTTTCAGCTTCTTTTTTAAAAGTAAGGAGGAAGCTGAAAGGACTTTAAGAATCTTCGTTATTTAGTCCCAAATCTGTCCTGTGTCAAAGATAGACATAAGACATGTTTTTACTGTCAGACTACACATGCTGGCACAGTGGATTTTTGGTGTTTGGGTGGGAAGACATAGGCTCGAGGGATCGGTTCCTATCAGGTACCCTGTCACTCTAACAAGATGTCCAACAGCGCCGTCAATGCTCATTCTGCTCTTGTTCCTCCTGCCCTCTTTTTCCTTTCCTCCCTTCCCGCAGCCTTGAGTCCAAGGTCGAACAAAGCTCAGTGGGAGTAAAAAATAGTGAGTCATTGTTTTTAAAAACAAGTGACAGTGACCCAGCACCTTGTCTGCCCCCACCTTACTTCTTTTTTTCTCTTCCTCATTCTTTCTCTGTTTATATTTCGTCTCTTTGTCTCCCTCTGTCTGTACCTATCCTTCCCACCTCCCTCACTTTCTTTGTCCTTTGCCAGTGCCGGAAGGGAGAGTGAAACGAGGCAAGCCAAAGCCACCAGTGTGATCTGATTTAGGCCCTCTCTCCTCTCTCTCTCTCTCCTCTCTTGGCCAGCCATCTGACAGTGCAGGGCCTGCATGTTGCTCTTTTCTACCCGCTTCAATCTGCCACAGCCTGGCCTGGTGCCACAGCTGTAACGGGACCCAGCGTTGTGTATAAATAGGACTAGGCTGATTCCCCTTGCCATGCTCCTCAATGGGAGGCTGAGGCAATGGAGGAACAGGTGCTCCAACCCACACACTACTTTACTCTGCTTAGGCCCCTCCTTTCCCAGGCTTCCCCTCCCCTTGCTTTATCCCGTCAACCTTTATCTGATGTCCTCAAATGCGGACAGATAGGTCAGTCACGATGCAGGTATTAGCTGCATAGCTGACTGCTTGTGTCACTTGGACATTAAACAAAATGTTCTCAAGAAGTTTTTCCTGTGTGATTCAGTCAAACAGCGTGTTGAGCTTGTTTCCTCTTTTGAAGCTGCCCTTCCCTCACCGCCTCTCCCTGGCTCATGTACTGTTATTTCGGTCGTCTACTCTCTGTTTTGGAGGTACAAGTCGGTACATGTTAATCAAAATGCCTCTCATGCAGTTTCTTAGCATCATTTTTCACTATAGAAGCCACAGCTTGGGAGTGGGCGCTCAGGGAGCTGGCTTTACTTCTCAGGACTTTCCACAGCTATATTAACAAACAAATGCATTTTTCCACTGGCAGCCCACTTGGCACCACAGCTGCATACTCTCTCTCCCAGGGTTTGTTCAGCAACTGAGCTGTTGACAAATCTATAATCAGCAGATCACCTCATCAGAGGCAACATGTGCCCGAGCTGACAGAGAGAGGAAACTTCAGTCCAGAGTTAGCCATCACTTGGTTTCATGCTGCAGAGGTCTGGTTTCACTCTGAGCTAACGTGTGGCTGCCCTCCACTACGCTGAAAGGCAGTGGCAAGCTGGTCCCCGGGGCCACAGAGGGCTCCACTCTCACCTTCTAAAGCTGCCACCGTGATCCACTTTCTCACCCCCAGCCAGCTACTGTTAGCTGGTGCATATTAAATTCTCTGCAGGGAGCACAACTCTAAAAATAAGAGAAGAATCTGTCTGAAATTTTAGCTACACTATAACGGATGCTGCAGCTGTGGCTGCTTTCTGAATAGTGGGGACGGCACTTTCTGTCAGAGATAGCTGTTACATTGCTATGACCTCAGTTGCACCGGTCATACGATGTCATTTGTGAGCTGCAAATATGGGGAGCTTATTCTGTGAGCTAATTCTGCTCCATATTTGGCAATGACACACTGAAAAGGTTGGGAGCTAAAGTGAAATGTGTCTATATATCCTCCATTGACCTGTAACTGGACTATAGATGGTACAATAAATCACGTAGAATCATTTAGATGGCACACAGTCCTTTTACAGATGAATGAAAAGATACAAGGATATCAGAGATTGACTTCACAGTGGAGAACCTTTTGACAGGGGGGCATGATATTGATTTTACATAACAGGTTCCTGATTATACATACCAATTAGATTATCAATAGTTTTTCATAATTTGCAGTTTAAAATGTGTAGAGACGCACACCTGAAGCTCTGCATTGCTTAGATTGTTATTTTCTTGTTTTCACTGCCAATCAGAACACTTCTGTGCATGTAACAGTGTTTTTTTTTCCATCAGGCCACTGGGCCATTAAACTAAGCATACTTACTAGACTCATTTCAAAGTCTGGGTGTCTGCAGTCAAATGCCACCGACATGTTCACTATGTAAAGAGATCACGTCACACAGGACAGGTAGTGATATGTCTGCATTGTAGCGTAGACCGGGGTCCACATATTTAGTGAGCTGGTGAAATCCTTGGTCGTCTGAAAACGGAGGTCTGTAGACCACGGTCCCCACAGGGGTTGTGGGTTTGAGTCTGGCCCCGACCATGTGCTGCATGTCCTCCCCCATCTCTCTTTGTCTATCCACATTTCACCCTGTCCTGTCAATAAAGGCTAAACATTTCTAAAAAAAAAATATATATATACTAATTTTAAAAAAATCCAGTGATGGAGCCATTTATTGTTTTAGCCTTGGGTTGTCTCAGATCAAATTTCTGCAGCTCTCCAATAGACACTATTTTATGCAGACTTTTTGTGGTGATAATGGTACCTGCAATGACTACTGCTGCTTAAGGGTGACAACTTTTCAGGTGATTCAGAGTTTTAAAACTTTTTTTTTTTAAAACATCCTGGAATACTTGCACCATGTCCAAAAACTTGCAATTGTATTACCCTCAGGGTTCTGTAAGTCTTAAAGGAGAGACATGAGTTTATTGTTTTTTTTTTTTTGTTTGTTTATCTTATCACACCAATGACCTGCATTGTATTGTGTCTACAGAGTTTAATAGCCAAATCATGGTAATAATTCTGCTTAAGAACTGAACAACTTTATGTTTTAGCAATACCACTTCAATACACATGTGGTGCAGTCACATTGCAAATGATGCAATCCATCTTTATTGTTGCTCTTACTCTAAAATGACAGTGTTTCTCTCAGTATCATGCAGCCAAAGCCAATCTTGGTGTCTCATTTTGAAGAATGGACATGGGCAGCAGACATAATGTAAGATATCAAAGGAACAACAAGGAATTTCTGTGTGACCAATAAAGGCTAACACTTGTGTTATTTATTTACCAACTGTTGCAGCATGAATGTGTGAAAGACCTCATAACTATTCAAGCTGCCATGGTGACAAATGTCTAGACTCTGCCTTTTTTTTTCCATTTGTTTTTTCATGAGGAGGACTAACTTTCAGAGAATCTGGGTCTTCAGAATGTCTGAATATTTTTTTTTTTTATCAAAGGAACCGTCAGTTTGAACTCGTTCACCTCTCTCCATCTCCATGCTTTGTGCTCTGCTGTTCCTGTTTGTCTGTTACCCCTCTATGCATCCCCCCCTCCTCCTCCTTTTCTCATTCCTGCTGCCAAATTAAGTGTCAAACAGACAGGGAAGGCGGGTGGATGGCCCACATTTCTCCTATAGAGGTCCACGCAGTATGGTACAGTACGTTCCAGACAGTCTGCGCTCTGTTATTCCTTTCCCTTCGTTTTGCTCTGATACAGCCCTCACCCCTCCATCCCTAACCCCCCTCGGGCTCATTAGCGGCTGATTGGGTTGTTATTGTAATTAAGAGCTCCTGTACAGCCAGGGAGAGCACCAAGCTGTCTGCTAATGGGTGGTCCTCAGTGGGAGGATGGGCTAGGGAGGGGTCATGGTCATTGTCCAACAGAACCCCCACCCACACAATGTCTACCAGTTTTTTTTCTCTGATGTCTGTTTGGGTCTGTTTTTGTTTTGTAAGTCATTTCTGTCGGACACTTTTCTCTCTTCTCGATCCCAAAAATAGAAAATCGTGCAGCAGGTGTCTCTTTGTGGTCCGTGCTGCTTCTCTGTCTGTCTTTGTGTTACGTGCTCTCCCTTCATATATCCAGTCAAAGGTTTAATTTGTTTGTTTTCTAGTTGGCTTATTGTTGTGTTTGTGGCCAGTAGACCCCCCCAAGCCTTCCCCAGGCCCTGTTCAGCCTGTGTGTGCGTGTGCTTGTTACTTGTCATGTAACAGTGGTCCATAGCGGCCCTCCATTCATGCATGTGATCACCAACCGTCCTGTAGGTCCCTTACGTCACTCTGCGTTCCTGCCTGGGCTCAGGTTACACTTTCACCCCCACTAACTCCCTCCCCTCCATCATTTTCTACCCCTCTCCACCACCTCTTCCCTCGCGACCCTTTCTCCCTTAGACTCAATCTCTGCTCTGCTCTCCTATTCATGCTCTTTACCTCTCCTGTGTCCCCTCTACTCCTCTCCTAAACCTGGTGGAGAGAGGGAGGAGATGGCTTATTATTTTAAAGACACAGTGGCTCTCATGCCTATACTCATATCTCCTCCTCCTTCACCTCCTCCTCCTCCTCTTTCTCCTCCCGTCTTCCCCATCTGCCCCTCGATGACCCCCTCCCTCCCTCTCTCTCGTTCCTGTCAGTCGAAAACAAGACTCCATTTTGTGGAGGGAGCTCCCAGCAGCACCATTTCTTTGTGTCAATAGAGCTTCTCCATCAGGAGACATGACATATGTGCTAGCTTGTTAGCATGCTGGGTGAGGAGAAAGACCTCATATGTATCACCACCAGAGGGGAAAACTCTTGAAATGTGAAAAGGTCATGTTTATGTCCTCTCAGTGTGTCTTGGGGACGACTGTGGGCAGAGGTGAGTTGCACCCTGGCCCTGTTGTTGTTGCGTAAGACAGTTTGTTATGTTGTCGTGTTGCACAATAGGTATCCAGTTAGTGCTGCAGGCTGACAGCGAGTGGGTGGCCTGTAGGCTTGTTTGATGTGTCCAGGAGATAAGGCAGGAGGGGCAGAGAGGTGTAAGGTTGCTGTTATCACTGGGAATAACACCAACTGCTACACGGTGCAGGAAGAAGTGTGTTTTTGTGTTTTGGTTCCTGACACCGTATGTGTCTAACGAAGAGGGTGCGGCCATGGCAAAGTGACCTGCCTGTGTGAATGAGTAGCTGTTGTTGTTTCAAACTAGTTTATCTGATGAGATGCTTAACAGCTCATATGGCTTTATTGTCTGAGTTTTATGAGTTGTTTTTGGCTGCTGGCAAAGCTGGCCGCAGGCGGAAGTGTGCAAAGTTGAGCCAGCTTTGGCCACGTCCACACTAATGTTTGCGAGTCTTTGAAGTTACCGTCGGTTTATAGTTCAGTAAGTGTTTCTTCTCAGTTCTGACGGTCATGGCCTAAATGAAACGGTTTATCTTTTTAAAATCAATTTCAGAAAAAATGAAGGAGGGTAAGGAGAGTAAACTTTGCTCCTACTGTCTGACCTATTTGAGAAAAACAAAAATATACACACGGTACGCCGATATAAAATGAAAGCGTTAAGCGAAGAAACCTTCAATGCCCTCACCCCAACATTTATGCTCCACCAGTGAGCTGCATCACCTACAGCACGTCCGTCTTGACCCTGTATTGGACGATCTTTCCTCTAAAGAAATATCCATGTCTTCATAACTTAACCCGTAGTTCAAACCTGCAGTCGTAGTAAATATCACAGTTTCATTTGTCAGTAAAGCGGTTACAGGCTTTATTGGCTTCAGTCCATTATCAGAAGTCTCTTAAACAACTCTATTGACGTGCTGCTGGTCGGAGTTTGTCCCTGAATTGTTGACATGTTTGTCTCGCTAACCATTAACAGAATGGGAAGTTAATGGGTAGCTTACACCTGGGAAATGATGAGGACCAGTAACATCTCAACAAAACCAAGTTCTCCACAGCAAGAATTTGACCTCAAAAGTAGATTTGTTCATTGTGTGATGTTTGTTCGAAGTAGTTGGGGATTGAGTCTTGGGAATATCAAAAAGTAGAGAGCTTTTCAAACATATTGTACATGATTTGTACTGAATTAGCCATAAAATGTTTCTGTATGAAACGATCAATGTAACTAAGGGTAATGAAAGATTCCAGTTGTAGAAACAAATTTGTTAAATTCTATTTGCTAATTAAATTTCCGTTCATTTACCTGCTTTTTATTGTTTTTAGTTGTATTTTTGGACCCTGACAGCAGGTAGTGTAGTTGGAGAGCTTCAATCATGAGAACAAGTGAATATGTCTTATGAGTACAGCGGTATAACTGAATTGGGTCTGTCTACTGGATGATCATGGGTGTGTTGACTGTGTGTGCGCGCGGGTTGATGCAAATGTACCTGTAAATTTAACACCATGTTCAAACATCCTCTGCAGCACCTGTGTGTCGAGCAGTAAATCACTTCTCTTTCCCGCTAGTCTGTTCGCAGAAGCCTAAGCTTGCTGTGACAAGGTGTTGATGGAAAAGTCTGTTTATGTATAATAAGTTGATCTGGGTGGGAAAAACTTTACACCTTTGTGCTAATTGATAAAAGTTTGTCGATGACAGTTAAACAAAGTTTTGAAAGACAATGACTTTGGGTTTTTAATCTGGAGGTAACGTTCAGGATTATTGGTTGAAGTTGAGAAAAGGAAATGTCTGTCTCTTTAGTAAAACTACTTCAGTTAATGTTTATTACTCCTACCTGGTTAGCTCTTTGTTTTGACTGCAGATTACTGGTGAACACTGTTATCTTTCTGTAACCACTATATGTAAACCTGCACTGTCATTAAAGCAAATGCGTCTTCCTCTCTTATGTAGTGGCAACAGTAGCAGTATGTTTTCATTGAACCACTTTTAAACTGTAATGTAGGACTGATAAAACGATAACTATATACATCAGAAAAATTTTCCCTTGATATTGATATGAAACAAAGTCAATATGCTTTTCGATAGCCGGTATTCTGCCATGTTTTGGTAGACTATATGAATAGCCAATGAAAAGGGGAGTTGCTCCAGATCGTGCTGCGCTGAACCTATCATGAGCTGAATTAGAACCAAATAGCATAGTAGCTACACGCAACCATAGCACTTTAACACGTGAAGCCGATAGCGCTGCAGATGAAGGCTCAACAGATGACGACATCATGGACAACAAACACTGGCAAACAGTTTGCGCTTCAAATGATGTCAAGTACATGTTAAATTTCATTTAAGAGTAACAGGAAACATTTAAGATTGTGATTTTTTTTTATATTGTGATACATATCGATATCGACTGAAATGAAAAAAAAAATTTTGTCATAAACTTTTTCCCATATCGCCCAGCCCTTCTGTAAGGCATCCATCTCTTGTTTTTTTTTTGTTAAGTGATGAGAATTACACTAAAATCCGGCAGCAGCACCAGCAGCATGTCTCCTCTCTGTACATCTCTTCAAACAACCATCTCCAGTGTTCTTTTTTGTATGTGTGCATGCAAATAAATGTGTTTTAGAGCAAGTGTGTGTTGGGATTTGCCAGTGTGTGGCAGCAGCAAAAGAGTATGAATGGGCATGGATAAGTGGTAACCCCTTCATGTCTGCTTCATTCAGATCAGGCAGACCCTTCCAATAATTTTCCTCCACAGAGAGAAACTGCTGGAGCCAATGGGAAGAGGGAGAGAAAGAGAGCAAGCGTGTGTGTGTGTTTTTGTGTGTGTGTGTGCTTGTGTGAGAGAACAGCCAGTTATTTTGCAGCAGGGGCTTTATTAAGGGGTTGTTTCTTGAATGAGCCTGCTCTGCAGTGCAGATCACTGGTGGTTTCATGGCTGAAATGGGAAAAAGAAGCATCTGTTGATATTCACATCCAGTTTTAAGTACCCTTGTAAATAGAAGACATCAATTTACCCATTTGCGAATGCCGCAGTGAAACAAATTCTTTAGAATTGGATGTACCTTAATATCCCAAGTAAAATGGCCATGTATAAAAATCCCTAAAATACAGTACAATGGACCACAAACTCTAACCTTGAGGGAAATGGCAATAAAATCTCAGATTTCTGATAAAAATACACCCTCACATCACAGTTGTTCTGAAATTAATAGAATACTCAGCAGTGAGAAGCAGAAGAAACTAGAAATTTGTGTATCACAAAAACTGAGAGTGCATGATTGTTTATTTTAATTCATTTCCAGTCTCAAGAGGAAATTACCTTTTGAATCTTCAAATCATAGAAACACAGGACATTGTTCAAAAGCTGTCTTTATAAAATGAGAGTATTCGTACTCTTTCTCATGTCTCCCTTCATTTCTCTCTTTTCAGTCTGCCAGAGTAAAGACATCCGGAACAATGTGACGAATCTCCAGTCGCTGGAGAATTGCACCATCATCGAGGGCCACTTGAAGATCCTGCTCATGTTTAAGACCAAGACTGATGACTTCCGAGGCCTTAGCTACCCTAAGCTCCGGGTAGTGACAGACTACGTGCTGCTTTTCAGGGTCTACGGCCTTGAGTCCCTCAGTGATCTCTTCCCCAACCTGACAGTGATCCGAGGAAACAACCTCTTCTTCAACTACGCTCTGGTGATTTATGAGATGCTGCAGCTGAAGGAGGTGGGACTCCACAGTCTCATGAACATCACCCGGGGTTCCGTAAGGATCGAAAAGAACCCAGATCTTTGTTACCTGGCCACTTTGGACTGGTCTAAAATCCTGGACTCGGTAGAGGACAACTTCATTGTGGCCAATAAGAATGACCGTGAGTGTGGAGATGTGTGTCCTGGCACAGCTCAGGGTCAGACTATCTGCTCGCAGAACACCATCAACGGACACTTCAGGGGACGATGCTGGTCGCAGAACCACTGCCAGAGAAGTAAGTGTTAATGTGTGTCTGTTTTTTAGGGAGATATTGGGGGTCAGACATCTAAAAATGTAACTCCTGGGGTTTTTTGTTTTTTATTCCCACATTGAGAAGAATACTGATTCAGAAATAGTCACAAGACAGAGATCAACTTTTGTTCCCTCATCTTATTTTCATTAGCAGCGCTCGCTCTCTTTACTTCATCTCTGTGTAAATGACCTCAGCTGCTCTCTCTCTCTTTGGCTTGCAGCTTTGGGTTTGAAATGTGACACGAGATCTCTCATTTTGGTCATCTCTGACACCCCTTTAGTACTATCTATGTGAAAAATAACACATTTGATCTTATCAAGGCACAAGGTACATTTTGGCAAACTTACCTTGGGTGATATTAAAACAACCCAGGGTTAATTATCTCCACATTCATGTGTCTGTTTTCAAAACTAACTGGTTATAGCTGTTCCTGCCGACTTGTAATGGTGCTATTTGGTCAACACTAGTCATATCCCACAGTTTATGCATGACTCTACAGCATCATCATCATCATCATATACATGAGCCCAGAGTGTCAGACTTTACTTTAAAAGCAGGTTGATCGCTCTCAGGTGTTTTTGATTTTTAAACATTTGTGTACAGAGCATCGGACAGATCTCCATATCGTCTGGCTATTGTGTGCAAACATGCTGAGTTAAGCGTCTTCCCTGACTCCAAAATGATCCTTCAAGACACATTATGAGAATTTGCACCTCAGATTTTTTTCCCCATCCAGAAATCAATCGAGACAACAGATGTTTTTCATTCCAGATGGTTTATGTAAGGATTTCTATGGAGTGGAGGGCTGCTCCTAATATCAGCAGCTAGGGGTCGCGGACTGATTAGCATTCATTTACGGAAGCATTGTGAGCAAATGATATGTAATTATGGACTCAGGATCTGCTTGATGTGTGAGATGACCCTCCATCGCTAACTCAAGGCTGGGCATAATAGGAAATAAATAGATTATGAACAGAAGTGATGATGGAAAAGTTTAAAAAGTGAAGTAAACTTTTCCTTGTAAAAGTTGCACAGAATTCTCCTGTTCTGGTCAAAAAGAGATTTATGTTTACTTGTTGCAGGCAGCCAGAGTATCGGCCAGTCAGCCAGTCAGTCAGTCTTTTCTCTCCTACCATAAACACACAGAATGGCTTCTATTGTAAGACACACGGAGAGAATGCTTATTATTTTTTCAAGGCGATTATAGCTTATGTTGTTTTTTTCCCTCCGTCCCTGTGTCTGACATAAAGGCCAACGTTCAAAGCAGAACGACCTCGGCCATGTTTATACTTTGACATCCACTGTTGCAGCCCGCATATAATGTTGGCTCCTCGATTCTCTGCCAGGTCTCAGTCACTGACGGGAAAGTAATACAGGAAATAGTTCCCTGTGTGTCTCTGTTTCTGCACACAAAACACTTGCACACACACTTACAGACGCACAGACAAATAGAGTTAGGGTTTTGACTGAGGGATGCAGTTTGTTTTAATGGTTGGACTAAAACAAGTGTAGCGTCATCGAGAGGAATTCAAAGTTTCCAGTGACACAATAATGGGGTTAAAATGGAACAATAACACACATTTAAAGGCTCATGTGATACAAAAAATTTGCTGTTTTTGAGAGCACCAGGAAGTGTTATGAATAAAATCAAACACTGGAAGCAACATTGACTTGTAGTTCTAACTGCTGTCCAGATTTTTGCGCAATTCACGACATTTGTTCGAATTTCATTATTCTCCCTCTAAATTGGCACATATCAACATGAGGGTAGCTGAGCGCTTGCTTAAGCCTCACTTATTTGCATTAAAATGCTGTTAGCATGAAAATTTGTCCTGAGCCTCATCCAGTTGGCACAGTGTAGCCAAGTTAAAGGGATATTCCGGCGTAAAATCAATTTAGGGTCAAACACACCGTAACACTGAGTTTGAAACCTCGTTGAAAGATGAATGTTGCCGACCGCTTGCTCCTCTAGTTGGACCACCTTTTGTAATGACCGCATGATAGCAATACACAGCGGTCCCAGGAGCCACGGGCTCAACCAAAATGCCACTCTACAGCCACGAATAATGCTCAGAACAGCACCTAACTTCATCAACAGTACATATAGGGTCCCAGCCACAGTACTAGCCACCAAACATCTTTTTAACTTTGCCTAATTTCTTTAGCAAAGAGACTAAACACAACTCACCCACTCTCTTCCAGCAGCCGCTTGTTTGTATGGAGACCTCAGGTGAGTCTGCATTACCGCTATGGGGTGACGCAGCTCAAGGAAGAACATTTATGATCATTACTTTATCATTTCCTTGAAGTAATAATCACCATAATACTCATTTTGCACTGCAGACATGGTAGTTCTCAAGTCTGATTCCATTTCCATGAAGAAATGATCATAACTTGGTGTTATGGTTTGATTGACCCTAGCTTAATTTTACGCCGGAATATCCCTTTAATGAGTAATGGATTTTTCATATTCGTTGTGATAAATTCAGATTTTAAATGGAGGTGTGTTGAAGATCTTTTTTACTCCTCCATTAAAGGAGTTTTCATGAAAACAGGCCCTGGACTTCAGTTAAGCGTTGAACACCCGCACTCCTGAGAAGAAAAACAAATCAACTGTTGAACAAAAGTGTGTGTACAGTACGTCAAACAGCCAGTGTGTGTACATGTGCCTTCATGTCTCCTCTGCTGCCGATAGGCCAGGACAGCAGGTATGATGCTGTGCTCTGTGTCATGTGACCAGCTCCAGTTTAGTCAAGAGCGGTGTGTCAAAGTAGGAGCCATTTCTAGAACATGATGCAATCCCTGTCTGCCCCTTTGGTAAGGGAGGGGGGGTGAGAGGGTGTGTGAGCGTGGGTTGGCTACACATAGAGATGATATGAGCACACATAAAGTAAATGTTTGCTGCTTATTACCTCAGCAGAGGTGAAAGCTCGAGCTAGAGATGTGTTTTTAGCCCCCGGCGACCAAACCCTCTTAGATTTCAACCTGAAATCCGTGCAGCTCAACATGTGAAGTTGATGTAAGAGTTCCATGAATAGTAAATGTAGCTTAGCAGCATTTTTATATATAAGTAATGTATAAAAGTTAATGTATAAAAGTTACATAAGAAGTCAGTCATGTGACTACTCGGATTTAGCTCTTTATTACACTGGTGTTTTAGCCCTACAGGTCGACACAAAGAGGATAAAAAGTCCTGAGATGTGAAACTAGAGTAAGGGAAATGTGTCGATGTACAGTGCAACATGTGCTGGGTAGTGGTGGTGGTGGTGTCATGATGCAGCTGTAGGATCTTTAATTAGGGCTTCTGTGAATGAAAACTCACAGTTTACAAAATTAGACGCACACTTACATACACATGTGTGCGTGTGTGCACGGGAGACCTGGGTGCAGGGTGGAGGAACATTAGATGGGGCATTAAAGTTTATGTGTGAGTGGAAACTGTGGGGTTGTTTTTGTTGTGCTTTTACAGGGTTCCAGTTGCCTTAGGTAAGAGCCAAGGGAGAGCCTGCATTCCTCTGATCTTACACATGCTCCTTACAAGCTGGAAAACCACTGTGTGTGTGCGTGCGTGCGTGCGTGCGTGCGTGCGTGTGTGTGTGTGTGTGAGAGAGAGAGAGAGAGAGAGTATGTGTGTGGGAGAGAGTACATTTATGTGTGTGTGAACCAAGACATGTCATGTTTTACAGTGCAAGGCCCTTAATAGTAACTTGTAAGTAAGTTGGCAATCCAAACAAACTGGAGAGTATATGAGACCTGACGTTTACTGACTGCTGCTCTTTTCTCCTTTTCTCTATGTGTGTGTGTGTGTGTGTGTGTGTGTGTGTGTGTGTGTGTGTGTGTGTGTGTGTGTATGTATCTGTCGCACATATGTATTTTGTGTGTTTTTGTGCAGGTAGCAGGGGTCAGTCTGGTTGTAGATTTTCTCAAGTGCACTCAGGCTGCAATTTTCTCAGCTTTTACAGGCTGTCACCAGTCGCTGTGGCTTTGTTGCCTGATTGACTGTTGGTGGTTGCCCTCTTTTTTTTTTTTTTTCACAACAACAGACTTCAAAGGTGGAAGTGCTGCGAGCAGAAACTCACAGTTTAAGACACAACTGATGCAATTTTCCACGTGACAAATTTCTGAGAACACAAACAATTCATCCGTCATAAGATGACCGTGTGTTTCTTAAGTAAGTGAAAATGCATTAAAAGCACAGAGGGGAGTTTTCATGTTGTGTACATTGAGGGTGAATTGGTTTAAGACTAAATTTCCCATGATCACCATCGCCTATAGTTGAGGGTGAGATGCAGTTCTCGCTGAAGCTGCTTTAGCTTGTAAGGTCCTAGTCCACTGGTCGACTTATTGGTTGATATGTGCTGAGTCGACCAAAATTTTGATTGGTAGACTTGATATTTTTCCATGTCAATTTACTGTCTATGGTTAATTTCATCAGGAGGAACGCACCAAGTGCTAATGGGGGTGTTTTCAGAGCACCTCCGTTTCACTGGTTACAGCCTGTCTCAGAACACCCCCCTTGTTTTCACCATTTTTGGATTTGCCCAACCCACTGGAGGCCGGCTGGGGAAAGGAAGATTGAAGAATGTCCACGTTAATCAACCTCCGGTGGGCAATATCTGTTTTTGTAGGATGGTAGGGGAAAGTCCCGCCTCCTTCGCCTCTGGTTGGCTGGAAAAGCTGGAAACGCCATCACACGTTCAAGCTAAACGCGGGCTGTCGGTTCTGTACATCGAACAGAACATTATCACACTTCTGTACTCCTAACCCTAACCCCAATTCTTATCCTAACCCTAACCCTTACCCTAACTGGACAGATGATGATGTTTCACAGCCATAAGGAATAACCAATTGGAGCGCATCACTTCTAGCCAATCTGAGGCGAAGGATGGCGGGACCTTCCCCTACCATCCTACAAAAAAAATTCGTGTCCGGTGGTTTGCTGAATATAAATTTTTATTTTGAGCGTTTCAACTTGCCTTTTGCGTTAAATTGACTTCACCCCAACCCACCACGCCCTGCCAATCCGCATTGTCCCCCGCCACAGAACGGTTTGCCCACCCAGTCGATTTTTGCTCAAAAATTTCAGGGAATTTCTTAAGTTATTACAGCCCTTCTGTTAAGTAGCTTACCAAAGGTGACCAACATGCAGGTCTACGGATGCTTGGGACATTCCTGATGTACTGTACTCAGGTCTCCCAACTTACCCAAAATAACATAAATATGCACACAGTTAAACTCTAAGTTAAGAAAGTTTGTAAAAACAGAGGCAATATATCAGAGGCTAGTGAGAGAAGAAGTACAGATAGACTGGGAGTAAGGGGAATATTCAGAGATGATGAGAGACAGTGGGAAAAGGGCGCAGAAGGGGGATCTCTTGTTTAGATAAGGCTCTGTCTGTTGCTGAGGCCTGGCACACTGTGTACAGCCCCACAGACACCAGCCTGCTCTTTGCTTGCACAACTCATAGACACAAAAACACACACAAGCAAAGAGGAGAAAAAGCTTTTTGGGTCAAAGTTCATTTTGCCTGCGCCTACATGCTTTGTTGTTTGCTGTATTTGTTTTCAGACAAACACACACGCTGGAGTCACAGCCTGAGCTCCACTGTGACAAAAGCCACCGAAGAGAAAGTGCCCCCTCACTATTGAACGCACAGCTTTCAGCCTGACACAGTCACACAGGTTAAACCTGTACTAGTGGTCGATCTAAGTGGGCCAACTGCCCAGCGCCAGGCTTTGAAAACAGGCCTGTCTGGGATAGATGGGAATATCGTGTTAGCTGTTAAGAGTCGTTTTGCTCATTCACAAATTTTAAAAAACCAAGGAAGAGAGAAGGATTAGTATTACTGTAGAGGTTTAGCAAGAGAGGGAGTAGGTGGGAAAATAAAAAAAATAAGACAGCTCTTCTCTAAGTGATGCTTGTAGCATTTTCAGTACTAACAGGAACTTTATTGTGAAGAAAAAACAGCTGTTGAGGTGATCTTCTGAGCTTCATGTTATAGCTTTGAGAGAATCAATGAAGGAAAGCAAATTCAGAAAAAAGGTGAGTTTAATTTTGAATACAAAGTATATGAATACAAAATATTAACAATTAATCGTGTGTCCTAATACTTAACCTTTTCAAAAAGACTGATTTTAATGTTCCATTTTTCTGTCATCACTGGCATTTATGACTTTTCCATTAGTGTTTGGTTCCTCATTCTTTCAAATGAAAGTCGACATCGGGGATAAGACAAGGGCCAGATGAGGAGGCCAAGAGGGGAAGAGAAGGGGTTGGGCAAAGCAAAATAAACAGAGCAAAACAAACATGGCGGGGTGTTTCAAGTGTGGCTCCCAGGTACACCCACAGACGCACACTAAAAACACACACACACAAACACACTTACAGAAAAGAAAGCACACACTTTTGGCCAGCCCAGCTAGTGGAAGCTAAAGAGAGAAAGAAAACGACAGTATTAAGGATTGTGGAGCTCGATGGAGCATGCTGTTGGCGTGCACCAACCACAACCAAACAAAAACACTTAACCGGCCCGTCCACTTAATTGGAGTGTAAAAGAGTTTCTGCGCAGGCTGCTTAGACTCACCTCTTTCTACCATTCTTCTGCCCTCTCTATCTTTACTTCATTCTATGCTGTTGCTTCAAATAAAACATAAATGAAAGCAGTTACCTTGAGCTGCCGAATAGCCATTGTTCAGTGACAGAGAGAGAACGAGGATTTGATACAAAAGGGACGGATGGATTGTTTGCAGAAGTTTGTAGTTAATTTGGAGGATCGCCTCTGTCCTCCAACTTACTTTCCAAAAAATGTAAGATACTCTCTTTACTTGTGAAAAGCAGCCCAACCTTACAACACAATTACCAGAGTTATCGAGCACTTCTGCATGAAAGGAGTGACAGATAATATAAAATCAGCCTTTTATCTCCAAAGTGCTTATTTGTTGCAGCAGGACAAGAAAGACAAAAGCACAAGGTCAGAGTAGATAAAGTGCAGGTCTTCAGAAAGTGATATTTCGATTCTAAGGTAGTGCAAATAAATGTCACATGTGCGTGTTTACATGTGCGTGTTACTGTGAGTGTGCACACGGAAATACTTCATTAAGTTTGATGTGTACACGAAAACACTCCCACTCACAGCTCATGAACCTCCATCTGCAGGAGAGCGCTTGTTGTTTTTCCCTTATGCCAATCACCTGTAGGCACAACATACACACACACACTTACACACACACACACACACACACACACACATACACAGGTTCTGTTTCTCTCAAGTGAGCAGCAGTTGCAGAGGGCATACCCTGAAGATAAGTTAAGAATACACTCAGTAAATACCTAAAGGGCATATATGCAACGCTTGTCTAAAACAGTCTAAATATGAAGCTGAATAATTGCGTTCAGGGATGCTTGAACTTTTACTTCCCAGCTTATTCAGTTAGAAGAGAAAAAAGTCAGAAACACAACCAATTTGCTCTCTTCTCCCTTTGCGGTTGGCTGCGTGGAAGCTTGTCTTACAGTTAAATAAATAACTGGCCAACACTGAGAGGAATACAAATAGGGGGTGTACTGTTCATATTGGATGATATAGTCGGGTCACTTTAGGTGAGTTATCCAACTTTACATTCTGGTTTTATGTAACCAAAATGACCATTGCTCTATGTATGTAGGGCATGTTATATGTTACATGTTATAACGGCATCTCTACATTGAGGTTTTTTGATGACAAGCATTTGAATAATATCAGAAACAGGACATGCGATTAACAACACTTCCTTAGAAATCAATTTTGAAGTTTGAGGAGAGAGGATTTCGTCTTCCCTCTGTTCTCACTAAGAGGGAAAAAAAACAGAAAGCAAACACTCGAGTGATCTTTACCGAATTGTTTCCTGCTTCCTTCTCAGGTCCAGTTTCTGATTAAAGCAATAAGATCCTGATGGTGATGCACTCAGATGGAAGAGAAAGCTGCAAATAGTTGTACTTAACTCCGTAAAAGGTTAACACTAAAAACCATAAATAAATCCAAATTAACTTTGATAAGCTGGCATTCTTTGTAAGTGTGTTTGTGTGTGTGTACAACCCCCCCCCCCCCCCCCCCCCACACACACACACACACACACACACACACACACACACACACACACACACACACTGTTCATGCACAGAGCGGACAGGCAGTGCTAGCCCTGGGGGATCTGGAAAACTCTCTCTCTCTCTCTCTCTCTCTCTCTCTCTCTCTCTCTCCTTCTCTCTCCTCTCTCTCCTCCAGCTCATCAATGAGCGGGCACTCCCACATCCTGCTTTACACACACACACACACACACACACACACTCAAAGTGCACATGCGTATATGGTCCACATTCAGATACACAAACACACAACAAATACACACTTGTGCAGAGAGCCAAGTGGAGCACAAGCGTTCACACAAGGCTAAGTAGAGCACGCTGACACTGCTGCTCACTCTTCTAGCAGGCGATTGGCTGTTGGTGGAGATGCGAGTAGCCTTTCTTGTGGAGAGGATGGGGGCTTCTGAGGATACCAACATGCTGGAACAAGATATATGACTGCTGCTCCTGTGCTGTGTTAGTGTTTTTAGAATTGTGAGGAAGGAGAGGGTTACTCCCAAACAATGTCTACATTCCTCTCTTGTATTTTTTAAGAACAGTTGATTTTCTTGGGTCAGCCTGGGACAGACGGATGACATGAAAGAGACTCATATACCGTCTTGATTGAGGTAACAGCTTGATCCCTTCATGTGTGCGCTGTGGAGGAAAGCATGTTGGCAGGCAAGTGGTTGTTTAAGCCTGAGCTGTCTGAATGGACTTCCTCATTACTTCCTGTCTTTGTGCAAAGCACTTCCTATCGCTGAGCTCTAGAACCTGGCCCTGGGGAAGGCTGGCAGCAAGTGAGGAGCATGGAGCGTCGAAGGATATTATTTACACGAGATAGGAAAGAAAGGAAAGGCGCTGTCGATTTATAACCCTCCTGACACCAAATGCCAAGATATGACTGGGTGGTAAACGTTTATTTCCTGAACTGATTGGCAAGCCTCCATTGTTAGAAATTAGCAATCACTCAGACAGGCACTGAGGTAGCAACGAGGATTTCACAAAGTGTTTGAAAGGAAAGAAATCCAAACAACTCTCCCACTGGTTGATGTAAGGGGTTTGCTTTCAGGTTTCATTAGACCAGATGATCCGCTATCAGTTCCGACATGCACCCTACACACATATAACCCACTGCCTGATAAGTAGAAGCCTTATATTCTAGTAGGAGTGTCCCGATACAATATTGATATTGGATATTGATCTGATATCAGCAAAAAAAAAACAAAAAACAAAAAAAACAAGTATCTAGCAGATCCTTAATCCAGCAAGCTGAGCCCACAAAATCACAACAACAGTGTGCACTAAGGTACTAACAAAATAGCAAAGAGTAAGAGTGATGTCGGCCTTTGGGCAGTACTTTTTGTTTAAGTCCGAAAAAAACATTGCAGCTGAGTGAAAAACTTGTCATGCACAATTTTGTGCCAATATCGAATCAATATCGGTATCGGTCAATATCGAAGGCTACAATATCGGTATCGTATCAGAAGTCAAAAAATTGTATCGGGACACCCCTATATCCTAGTATAATGAAACGTGGTCCAATTTTGACCTGTCAGCCAATCTATAAAGGTGCATTTCAACAAATTAGAATATCATGTCAATAATATAGACAAGCAAATACAGACCAAGTTCAGAGAGACTCAGCATCTCCCTGCCATGCCACAATGATGCATAAATGCATGGTAATAGAGCCTCAACTAAGTACAGAGTGTCTCAGTGAATATACTTGTATTCTGAAATAGATAAGGACTTTCCACGATACTCTAATTTGCTGTGGTACACCAGGACAGTCAGCCCTTACATGTAAACAGATCCACAGTACTGACACTATTCTAGTACACCTGAAAAAAAAGGACAAAAGATGATGCAAAACACTCACAGTCTTGCACAACACAATAGACGTGCACAATTTAATAAACAGAACACATTTACTGGAGTGTCTAAGTGATAACTGTGACTCTTAAAGCCAACCCTGGTGTTGTTACACATAGTATTCTTATTTTTCAGTCTTGCAAAACATGTTTTTGACTACTTCTCCTCAAATAACCCTTCACAGTTTTTTATAAAATGGGAAATATCAACTGATCCATATCTACAGGTCCTTAAGTCTGCAACTATTTCGTAAATTGTTGCCTTTTTTCATGCAGTTACTTTTTATCTTAGTGGATATTACCAACATAAGAAGGTTTTTGTGATTGTTTTTCTTCAGAAACTCAAACAGATCATAGTTCGCTGTTTCATCTTCAGTACGGTATGTTGTCAAACTGTTCACAGATGATGTTTGAAACTTAAAGTCAAAGTTCAAAGATTTTCAGACTCTCAGTAGAGAAAATCGTCAAACTAGAAGAATTTGTCTTCACACTCCCCATGCAAAAGCACTTCAGACCTCTGAATCAAAGCAGGTACAGCCTCTACCTGCACATCATTTGCTGAAGAAAACACTCCTGCTCCATCAAAGGTACACGATCTCAGAACCACGTGTTAGAGGCTTAACTTAGTCTGTCACCAGTGCTACTAGTATGTACTCTATTTGGAATATGTGATGCTTATGCTCCATCAAATACTTGGAATTTCATGGGTGGCTTTGAGGTGGCTCGTCTGAAGGGGTTGGGTTGGGGATGTTTGGATATTTGAAATTTGCAAGAATTTTGTCGTTACATCACCATCTTGGGAAAGCAGTGTTTCCCACAGGTTGAGAGTGTGTACGTGTTGGTTTGTGGGTTGTTGAGTTCATTTTCATCTGAAATCGGACACTCCATAAATAATTATTCCGCTTATCTGTTGTTTGCTGCTGTTTTGACCACATGTACGCTCCGTTTTGGGTGAGAAAGAACAGTTTATTGAAACATGTGCTCCTAAAGAAGCCTTCGATACAAATCATCTTTGTTTTTCTAAAGTTACGCCTGTCCTCAAATGACCTCCCAAGCCTTGAATTTGGTTCCAAACCCGACTTTTTCCATGTAGCTCTGTCCAGACCGAACTCACTTCACTGAATGTCATGTTCTTGACTTTCAGGAATTAGACCTCTTCCCTGAACCATCCATTGTGATTCTCCTCGTGCTAAAAACACAGAACCCTTCAGGGAGTGTAGCCCTACCCCGAGTGTGTTAAGTGCCTGGGAAAGGAGCATAATTCTCAGTAAACAGGAGCTTTGATGGTGACCAGTTCTCCTGTGTGGGCTGAAATGGTGCAGTCAAGAGAACCTCTGTCTATTTAAGGCCATTTCAGCGACACCAAGCTCAGGGCTGGGGGTTTGGCATGGAGGGGGGTGGGTGGGGGGGACAGATGCAGGGGCAGATTATTGGGAGAATGTGACCCCAGGCTGACCCACCCAGGTCAGAGGTGGGCAAGAAGGGGGTGGGGGTCAGACACCAGTGGGCCATTTGCTGGACATAACTACAGGCTGGGACATGGGCATGGACACACACACAGACGCACACACTCACACACACACACATGCATTCCAGAAGGGTTACAAAGACAGGAAGTGCCTATGTGAAACATAGACAGGTGTGTGTTCAGTGTTTGTGCCAGGTCGCAGGACCACACACGCGAAGAAATGATGTTTCTTCTTCCTTCTTAACATTACTCTACTCTTCTTCAGGTCCCTTTTAAACACGCACAAAACTCCCATGTCTGTAATCACGAGCATTTTAAGAATCCTCCTTGAGAGCTCCTAACTTATCTTTAACATTTATGGTTAAGTAGTCCTGGCCGAGGAATGATTTAAAGAATCAATCTCAGAGCAACTGAACAAGGAAGGGGCAGAAATGTACATCTTGTTTTGACAGTTTTGATTAGTCAGTCTACAAAAAGACAAAGTCGAAAAGAGTCAGTCAATAACTGATTTAGAAGATTGGCAAAATCCCTTAGCCTGGTTGTGCTGTAGTCAAGTCGTCTTTTCCTCACATATATGGGCATGCAGATGGTTTTGTCGGCGTATGTTCGGAATCTAATTGAGAGTCAGAGATGTCAGTCAGTACGTTAACATGACACTCGAGAAAACCGAATTATTGCCTTACCCCGATGAAGACCGGACAACTGAAGTGCATGTAAACAGCTTAGTCCAACTATAATCTGAGTCTCCGATTGGAGTCGGAGAACTCCGATTAAGACACCCAGATAATGTGATTAGAATTCGATGTTCTCTACCATGTTACTAGCATTGTCTGAGTATGATCGGACAATGCATGTGCGCCATGCCCCTGTAACCCCGGAACAAAAACAACAGAAGAGGAGTCGTGTGCTTCTCATCCGCAGAAAAAGTAGCGTGTACATCATGTACAACAAAAACAAAACTGTACGATGCTCCATCTTCTTGATAAGAAATGCCCAGCAGCAGTTGTAGCCACTTCTGATGTCTGGCACGGACCTGTTGTTGTCGTCGACAGTTGTATGGGGTCAACCGGAAACAGTGTTGCTGAAAAGACCCATATCGCCCCCTAGTTTTGGGGAGGAGGACACGTTCACGTCAATAATTCGATTTTCTCAGCTGCATGTGTACGCGGACAAGAAGAGAGGTCCGATTCGGTGAAAAAAAAGATTTATGAGCTTAGTCTGAGTTAACACTGAGTGTTTCTGTCTCTTCTAAAATGCATTTACTGCACTGTGACATCTCCTGGTATAATGAACCTTTTCTTGATGCTGTTTTAATCTTTTCGCACAGTGTATCGCTACAGAAGTTACTCTGTGTGCTGTTACTTCTGTTTACATCTTTAATTAGAGGCTTTCCTTATGCTCTTCTTTGAAATAAGATCACGAGTGAAGCTGCTGCATTTCCCTCTCACTCCTCCTAACAGTTTTTCACCTTAAGAGCTCCCTTGAGGGGTAAAAAGCTTTGTGAATAACTCTTACTGTTATGCAGATCTAGTCTTAACCTTTTGGAGAAAATTTCCAGAAAACGTCGAGACTCTCTGAATTTTTTTCTCAGGCTTTCGGCCACTCTGCCCCGCCTCCTGTCGTCTTCGATCTCACACAGAAATCTTTTATCTCGCACAATAAAGAGAGCATATCATTGAGGACTCTGTTATCACAGAATTCGTTTTCTCTTTCTTCGGCTGAATGGCTCAACATTTGTGTCACCCTTGCTCTGCTGACATTGATACAAAGCTCTGATATGCACAACTGGACCTCTCCTCCGACTTAAACCTTATTCTGCTTGTTGTTTGCACATGTTTTGAGACTCAGACTGCATGTGTAGATATCAGTGGAATCTATAGTGAAACCAATGTGATGATAAGCGCTAACAGTGAAGCGTAAAAAATGGGTGACAAGGGTAACATTTGCGTATGACTGAGCCTAACTTGTTGTATAGATCACAAGATAAGCCTGGATGCCAACAGAGGATGTGTGTAAGTGTCATGCGCTGAGGATGTGAAGATATGGACTCTAGTTTAGACAACAGACATGAACAGACTGAAAGTTTAAGATCACTTGAGGAGTATCTGTTATTGCTCCTATTTGATATACCTGAAAAAAAAACTCACTTCTTTCCAGCTGCTTTATACTTTTTGACCTTACCAGAGAGATGTTTTAGTCTGCTTTTCCTGCTGTCTGTCTTGATGACACCGGAGCAGTCCCGTCATATAAAAGCTCTGTTGTAAAACTGTTAAAACCTCTGGCTGCCTGTGCCATCCTCAATTCTCCTCCTGACAGCCTGAGTGGTCATATTTGCAAGACTGGTATAATAATGCAGCGATAATCTTTCTCTCTTTGCCTAAACGCATCCTGCGATGATATGAGAGTGGTGACAGTTACAAGGCTGCAATAAAAATGGCTGCTGCTGCTGCTGCTGCTGCTCCACTGTCCTCTCTGTCTCTTGCTGTTAAGACTTGGTTGAAGTGTAGATAAGATTTGTAGTAGGAGATAATTCTTCAGCTCTACTCAGTACACTTCAATGGCCTGTTGATCATTTTACCAACATGCTTTGGGATATTTAGTCTTATTGTGTTAAAAAAAAAGCTTTGAAAAATTCTGGTTAGAGTTAAAAAATGGTGAAAACAGATAAGACGTGGTCTATTTTTGACTCTTTTTTTCTCTCCGTTTCTCTTCCTAGCTTCTTCTTTCACTCCACCTTATGTGAAAGATCCTCCATCTGCACTCCCTCCCTTCTCCTTTTTTCCCCTTTCTGTCCCTCTGTTCCTTTGCTTTGTGCTCTCTCTCTCTCTCTCTCTCTCTCTCTCTCTCTCTCTCTCTCTCTCTCTCTCTCTCTCTCTCTCTCTCTCTCTCACTCTCTCTCTCGCTCTCTCCCTTCCCCTCACACACTGTGGTATGCAGACATGCAGGAATTTCTGGGCCTCAAAATGATAGACCAAACTTGTCAGTCCTGGCTCCTGTTACTAAAGATGGCTGCCCTGGCAGTGTGTGAGCCTGTGATTGGTGCACGTTTGAGTTACTCACCATATGATTGGTCACACCGTGTTTGTCCACAGCTCCTGTGTTTCTGGCAGTGGTGTGAATTCCTGTTTTTGTTTATATCAGATACAGTTTCGTATGTTATTCCTGACTTCTTAGTGACTGTAAGCCCTGTGTGGGTTTGGCTTCAGAGACACATGTGTTACTGCATGCTGCTGTGTTAGTGTTCTTATGTGTGTGAATGAGGGGCCCAACTTAACAAAAGTTTAAATAAGAGAACAAACTGCAACTTGAGATCGAAGTTGTCAACTAAAGTCGGTCTGCAGTTAAAAGAAATCTTTTTTCAATCAATTTCCAGATTAATCAGGTCTATCTGAGCACCCTATGAGGCTACGGTCCTCGAAGCAGGTGGCCTGGGTTCAAGTCTGAATGGTGACCCCTGGTCCCATGTAATGTCTCTTTTAGCCCTCCCAGCTTCTTGCTCAATCCACCATCCCGTCTTCTTAATAAATGTGTGAAAACAGACCCAGAAATATTCGCCTTTCTGTTGAAAAAACAAAACAATACAAAACAAAAAAAGGTACAAAAGTTCCGTAAAGGTGCACCGAGTGGAAATGGGAAACCTAGTGATATCTTGCAGAAACATAAATGAGAAATCAATAATTTTCTGCTCAAAGGCCTCTCTCTGTTCTTTCAGCAGATTCACTCACTAAATACAAGAATATACGAAATACAAAAACATACATGTAGCTTGTTGTCTGTTCTTTGTTCAGGTAGCAGTATTGCAGCCTTCATGGAGGGAGACCTGCCTCTCAACACAGATACAAATCAGGTTTATATTTAGGTAATCATTCACTAAATTATGCAAAATAAGAAGTATTATATTCAGTTTCGAAATACTACACACTGTACCTTTACACTCAAAGTGTGATCTGCAATTTTTTTTCTTATTTTCCAAATCACTTAACTCACATCGGACCCGACTGCTGAGCTCAACTCCCAGCCTCACGTCTCATGAGCGCACCTCCTTACATATATTGAGGATGACACTGAGTAGCACCCATAGCTTGTCCTTAATTTAGACTATGAGCTAGTCTCTTACAACGCATGTGTTTGTATCACCGGGCAGAATGACGTCCAGCCCAGCTAATATTTAGCATGCCTTGGCTGCTGCCTCCTCTCTCCAGTGTCTCCTGCTCTGGGCCTTGTGATGGCATTGTTGCAGCTAAATAAGGTTCTGCTGTGGCGCTCTGCTCGCGGCCTGTCAGCCACACACACTGCACTCTAATGTCTGCTCCACACGCTCTCTCTCTCACTCACACACACACACACACACACACACCACATGGATGAGTCTCTCTGCAATGTTTTTGGTGTTTTGCATCGACTGTGGTGCACCTGTGTGAGTGAGTGTTTGCGTGTAAATGTGTGTGTACACACCTTATATATCATCAGACTGCTCTGTGTGCGATCACATCTCCAATGAGGAAGATTTGAATGTTTTTTTTTTCTTCCCCCCCTGAGGAATGTAGCCGTCATGTGCTGTCAGTTTTCCTCTTTTAGTTCACCTCTAAGTGTGTACTGTATCAACACTTGACCTGCACAAAGCAGAATTTAGGTTAATGAGATCAACCGGACCCAAAGTATTTCTGGTGCGTGGACAGTCAGCATGTGACCCGGTGTAATTTATATCAATCATGAAGGAGGAGCAGAGGAGGTCAGCAGACAGGTCAGCACTGCTAGTACATCTGCAGACCAAACTTGCTTTTCTTCCCCATTGCTTTGTAGATACTAAAAAAAAAAAAACAGAGAAAAAATTTGCCAAGACTTCAGTAAATCAACATAGCTTCAAATATTCAAAGTTACAGCCACATTTTTGGGGGAAATTATAATAGCAACCTTTTATAATGTACAGTTGTACCAATAAAGATTCCAATGTTTGCTCTGGTATTTGATACAATACAGAATTTGGTCGTCATTGTCCCCAACAAGGTCCAAAACTGATCTAGTTTCCGGTAAAGTACAGGCTGACAATAACAAAGAAAAAAAAAAACATTAGCATGTTTGTGAAGATTATTATGACGGTGTAAACGGTCAGATGTCAGTGATTTTCCTCTTTTATTCACTCTAGTTTTGGAAAGGTGTTGGAAAAATCTCCAGTGTACACATTTGATTTAGTATCAAGAAGAAGAAAAAGTTCGTCCTTAATGTTGTTGTTGTTGTTGTTGTCTGTTAGAAAAAAAAAATGAATTTCTCAAATTTGGACTATTATTTATTCTGAAACACAAAAAAATAAAAGCAAACAAAGAGGTCTTTATTAGATTATGTCTTAAAATTTTGAAGTATGCCACATTGCCATACAAATCTGTCTTCTGTATCCAAAACCAAATCTTCATGAAGCTTAGATGTTAAGTCAGTTGTCTTGTCATTTTTATATTTACTCAACTGCGTGTAAATCGTGTTTATTTTTGTAAACAGAAGAGTCAGAAATTGAGTGTGGGAGTTGATGTTTAAACGAAAGCATGAACCTCTGAACAACCCAGCTTGTCCTCAATGCTTCTTTAAATGCAGTTTGAAGTGATCATTTGGCTGCGTATGTGTGTGTATGCACGTATTTGTGTGTCCATGATTGCCTTTGCATGTACGACCCCTACGACGATTGGATAGCACTGCCGGAGAGATGGATGCAGGGAACAGCTTGGATGACAAACTCAGCTCCCGGTTCAGTTTGACGGGACGTATGTCTGTAGGAGGGACTGTCTGGCGCTCCAGAACGCCATACTGCAGACAGTATGTGCATGTGTAGATTGAGACAGATGCTACTGACAGAGATGAATGTGCCAATAGAGCTTGTCTGGACTGAGGAGAAATAGCTGTGGTGGTGCATGACAATATCAGCCCGTGCTGGCTGATTGGATGACCGTGTCAGTCTCCTATTGGTCGAGTCTGTTGGAATTTGTGCTGCGATTGCAGGCAGTGGTCATGTTAATTAATCAAAAATGTCACACCGCAGAGAAGACTGAATTTATTTACACATTTGATCCACTATTTTATCTTTTTATCTTACCATTGGAGGCTAACTTTATAAACAAGACTAAGTGTTGAAAGTAAATTGTTTCTCATTCTTGAGGTTGTAAATTTCCTAATGTCTCCTCCTCATGCTCATATTTAATTATTACATTAATAAGTATTTTTATTCTGAGCATAACAGATTGTTAAAGTTATTCCGTTTTGTGCTATTAGCTCCCTTTAAAAAACAGTTTAAGACCATATTGAAGGGAAATTTCTGATCCAATCTGCAATGAATCTTATGAAGGCATAGTTTATAGGTGTGGGAGAAAAAATCGATTCACATTAGTATCGCGATTTTTTGTTTTACAGTTTTTAAATTGATTCTTATGTTAAAAAAAACATTTTTTCTTTTCTTTTTATTTCAAATCTTAATCATAAAAACTGACAGACTTACATGTGATGTGTATTTTGGGGGGAAATATGGTTCCTGGAGTAGTCAGTAGACAGTCATAATCATTCAACTGTTTCACTTGTGTTAAAAATGCTGACTAAAGATCTAGAAAATCAACAATATAGTGGAATCGCAATTTAAATCGAATCTGCATTCAAAAAATCGTAGAAGAGTCGAATCAGGAGAAAAGCGTATCGTCACAGCCCTAATAGTTAAATTTCACCTCTTCGTAAACAGGTGTATTATTTCTTTATATTTGCTCCACACACAAACCTCTGTCAACAGGTCCTCCAGTGAACACTTCCCCATTCTAGTAGCCGGCTGTGGCTGCTGATAGCATCAATCACCAGTACCTGTTTACTGTCTCCTGTTAACCGCTGTTCCCCTGACCGCCCAAACCCTCCTTTCTGCTCTGATTTAATTTAGTCCTCATTCTACTTTTTAAAATCGCATTACAAAGGCGCACACGCATGCACGCGGCCATTCACCTCTGCCCGGCCAGTGTTCTGTGGCAGAAAATCACATCTGTTTCACAGCGGTGTTGTGGTGCTGAAGCATGGATCATATTTAGGAGCTGACCACAAAAACTTGGATCTGCTGCTCAGGGAAAACTCAGTGAGCAGTTTCTTCTAGTCTTTGTGATTTCAGTGAGTAAAAACAACGGAAGGATTAACATGTTTCGCCAAACAAACTTAATTAGGTATTTCTCCTTATCTTCTGAATAAACACATGCTGGATGTATAGTAGCACACCTATTATAGCGTGGCTAAGCCAGCCTGTAAATGCTACTGTTCCAGAAACGGATCCCCACTCATCACATGTGGATGTTTTTTTCCCTCCCTCACACATTTTTTCTGAGAATAACAGGCATCCAGTAGCCAGCTAAGCTGCAGGCTGCATCTTCTTTTCTGTGCTGCATTCACTGCCTTTGCTTTAGAAAGCATCTGCAGATGAAATTCCTGCCCTGTCTTTTATTGTCTGCTAGATGTGTGTAAATCAGTTCTGGGCAGCTTTGTGTTGGGCTGCCCTGCAGTCAACAGAATCAATGTTTGTGATGTTACATACATACATACATACCTTTAACAAAACCAGGTGAACACTTGTATTTTGAAATATGTTTTTAAGATGTTGCCCTTATCGTGCACAGCAGTGTTTCCCCTACATTCAGTTACGTGTGCAGCTACTGAAACATGATCATTAATGTCACTAATGTGCCACTAATGATTTCTACTCACACTGTATGAACACAACAACACACAACGTTATTTTCAACTTGTTTTGATTCACCAACAAGCGCATCAAATCCTGTTGGACCCTCTTCCATCAACATGAAAAGGAACGTACAAGCTTATACACGGTCTATATAACGAGTAGCATTAATATCAATGCGCCACTAACGATCTCAACTCGCACTGTGTGAGTACAACACACGCTGTTATTTTCAACTTGTTTTGAGTCACCAATGATCGCAACTGAAATCCTGTCAGACCCTCTTCCATTAAAGTGAAGAGTAACATTCAAGCTTATACACGGTCTATATAGCGAGTAGGGCGTGTAACGTAACATAACGAAACGTGAAAGTAACAGCGTAGCTCCTTGTGCGGCAAGAGAGCGGGCACAGTGTTAAAGTTGGTGCGTTGGTTCAGAGTTCATTTGGTTTCTAGAGCAGGTGGGTTCAACAGAAATGATTTTAGGAGTTCAGCATCTCCTCTTGTTTTTCTGCAACTTTTTTCCAGTGATCAATTAGACGTGCTCATCTTTGTGGAGGAATCTTATCCTACAGCTACAACAACAGTAATATTTGTCTTTAACAGAACTTAAATAAGAGCTGACACCAAAGCCACCCTGCCCGTGAATGATGGACACAAGAAATTAGAGTATGACAGTCACAGTAAGATGTAATTATTGTTGTTATTATTATCAATATTCCTTTTTTTGATCAGTCTAACAAAGTGAAACTTCCCATGAGGCACAGGTAGCGTTGTCAGTTTCTTTGTTTACTGTGTTCTGGTGAAAAGCTCCTTCTCTCTTTGTGTGCCACCCACCCACTCACCCAGGCTCCCTCACTGCTGGAGGGGGCCTCTGTCGACAACACCTGCGCCCCCAAGGATAAGCAGGGCCTCCTCAGTCCCCTGACGCCCCATTTCCCCTCCATTCTAATGTATGTGCCGCGCTCCTTATTCTTTTGTCCTACACTGCTATGTACATGTATTATTTATGTGCATATATGCAAGCACACACATACGGCCACATGCTAAAAAAACAGGTACTCTTTTGTGGTCTGTCCTCTTTCTCTGGCAGTCACCCTGCTGTGTAAATCCCTCAGCCGGGGGTTTGTTTTTCAGTCAGACCCATAAAGAGGAGGCCGTGTGCCTGAGGGTGGCTGAGGACACAGCTTCGGTCTACTTTTGTGCCTCTGGGGTTCACATTTTGACCAACTCGCAGCTGGGATGGAGATTTTTTAGAATAAATCCGTGCTTTATGCACTGTGGTGCCCTCTGTCACTGGAGACATAAACCTACTGCAGTGGTTTTACATTTGTTTTTCAATGTCCTATTCAAACTTGGCAAATCAGGATAGGAAATTTAACACCTAAGGGGCTTAAGTGATATGAAGTAGAGAGGGAAGAAACGTACATTTGTATTACAATACCTACTCCCAAATATTGAGGCGTTAATTCTATATTGATTAAGATGGTTTTGATTCTGTTATATTGAGTTGCTCAGTGCTGAGAAGAGACGAATATCTTTATCTTCTTCCATAATTCCCTCTAGTTGGTGTTCAACTCGATGCATTTCCATCACTGCACTTTTAAATTTTGCCACATTTTCCAGTAAGCTTTCCTACCTTTTTTTTTTCGTTCTTCTGTGAAATCCAAGATACAATCAAATAAAAGGTTTTGCATGATTAGAGGCTCTTTTTTTCTGGTCTCCTCTGGGCCTTACAGGGAAAATAGCAGCTCCTCCTTCTTACTCATAGTCTCACACTTTGCAGCGTTGCAGACAGAAACATCCAGCGAGAGGCAGAGAAGTGAGAAACGGAGGTTGGCGCTAATGTTGAGAGAAACTGACTAAAAAACTGTCATAATCTCCTTCAGCATGCAAAATGACTTAAATGCAGTCTTTTCTATGAATCTGGATTATTTCAGATTTTCTTTGAGTTAAACTTGAGTTTATTTTTTAGTACAGGTGAGGTGTCACAGATTGATTCGCTCATGTGATCCTCAGCTCACTGATTGGAAAATTAATCCTGAGAAAGCCGGAGAATGTTCGAAGATGTTAAGAGAAGATCGTGTTCCTTATTCAAAACAGTTGTGCATCTTCAGTACTTGTGATGATGTTTTAAACACACTTAAAGGATATCATATTTTTGGTCAAATAAAAATAAGACAATTTGAACTCAACCTCTCTCCTCCTTGAAGTCCTTCGTAGGTAACCAATGTGTCCAGTGTTTAATCTTGTTTTTGAGGAGACGCCCCACGAATTCCTGTTCCAGGAGAGAAAAACAAGCTTGGGGGAGGGGTGTTTGTCAAAGAAAGCTGATCAGAGGGAGTGAGTGAGGGATAGGAGGACAAGAACAGAGAGCTCTTTACTCTGGACAGTTGAATACACGCTGTTCAGTTTCGGTATTTTGCTAATTGTTTCCCTTGTATGGGTCATGTGGCTGCACCCATAAACTCCGTCTTTCTGCTCTTGCACATCGACACTTTCCTCTGGCTCTCCCTTTCAGCACCTCCCATCCCCCTTCTCCTCGGCCCCCTCCCTCCATCCATCCATCCACTCACTCAACTTGTGCATCTGTATCGATAGATTGAGATGTGCTCTGTTGTCACGTGCTGCAGCGACAGCCGCTTCCTGTCTTACTGTGGGCATGTTTGTACACAGTATATGACCGGGGTGGTGGAAGCATCTGTTCACAGCCTGTCCAGCTCCCTAAAGGTGCCGCCACATGTGTCGTTTGTTTCTGGTCATTTGCCAGATTGCTGATGTTGGCTGTGGCATGAACAGTCCAAGAATCCATATATACCATTGACCTCTTAATGTACACACACACGGGGACAAACATGCACATAACCCCCTCATGATACTCTGCTTGGCAGTTAATAGTGTGTGTTTATGGCAAATCTCTTTAGTCTGGCCGTTATGAGAACTAAGATTTTAATTAGGGGAGGTTTTAGAGCGATGCGCGCTGCATCAGCATTACAACGGGGACGTGTTGGAGGGTTGGACTGGCAGGCAGATAGGAGGCCGTCATCCTCACTGGCAGACGGATCAATCCTGTCAAAAAAGGAGTAGAGAGGGGACGGTGATCTGTATGATTTGGACTCTTCTTTTGTCCCGTCCACGCCAGGTGATGGTTTAGCTGTTTTGCAGGATTTGTAGTCGAGTCTCTCTCCCTATTCAGATGCAATTAAGGAAATACGATATTATTGAGCACTTTCATTGAACCTTATCTCACAGGTGACTAGAATCTTTCTGTGGTTGATGTAAGGCATTAAGAATGATTGATTCAACATGTCAGCCCATTTGGAATGGGTTTTTAATTGACCTGAAATGGTTTTCACTTTGAAAGGTCTATGGTGAAGGTATGTCCCGTATTTTTTTAACAATACAGTTGAAGGCCTGTTCTCCTTCGAACCAGCAGAGCCCACTTTTGGATCCAGGCAGAGCAAAGGTAAAAAGGAAATGTGTTCAGATAGATGGATGAACTACAAAGAAGACCAAACAGAAGCAAAGCGAGTGCCCAATTTTCCCTCCAGAAATTCCTTTGACCCAATTGAGCCTGAATCTGAGTTTACACTGTTTTGCTTATGACTAACACTCTCCATAATCAGTCCCTGCACACTGGCTCGGGAGACCCCTGGCAGGTCTTCTCGCCTGTTTTTCTTGGCCGCTCGCTTCGCTGATGGAAAGACGGCGTTCGGTGAGGTCAAAGAGAGGCTTCACTAACTCGAAACAAGGACGATTATCACCATTCAGTCATGATAACAGTATTGATTCGCAATATTATTGATTTTATAACTTAAATTTTCATGATCAGGGCTTGAAACCCTGACTGATTTGTTGACAGTGAAATGTAATAATTATCCGTCCATCTTTTAGTGACGGTTCTTGACGTAACAGATGTCAGAACATGTCGTCAAAGTTCATCTCTGACACTTTTTGAAATATCCAGAGAAGTAAATACGCTTTGTGCGGTGTAACTCAACTCATAATAACATCACTTTTGTTGTTCTTTGGCTGTGGGGTCAGGGGTCAGTGGCAGGAAGGGAGGGTTGCTTGGTTTAGAACAAAAGAAAGATATTAGGACTTCACATGTCCGCAGCATGTGACCTGTCAACTGTATTTTCGGAGTGCGTTTGTGACCCCTGTTGACATGCCTGTTTCTCCTGCTAATGATGGAGAGTTTCCCTCTTTCCTCCCAGAATGAGGAGCCTTCCTGAGGCCTTGATGGATATGAATGGAGGGAGGAGATTGGCAGGAACGGGGTGAAGGCATGGTATTTGTGTGATTCAAAGGGCAGTAAAGGGTCCTTTAAATGACATCTGGCCACATCTTGAAAAGTGCTGTTTCTGTTATTAAGAAAGCTTTCGATTGGACATCTCCCATTGAGTACGACCTTTTGTTGCATTCTTTTTCTCTGTGGAAAAGTTTTTACCATCTGATTTTTCTTATAACATTCGAACATTAGTAGGAAATTTGAATGATTAAGAGTATTTTCCTTGCCCCTGCTGGCCGAGCATGAATGTGTGTGCGGGCTGAGTGTTTGTGTGTGACTGCCTGTGTACCGTAGCTCTGCTTAGTGCTATGCTGTGAATATGAAATAGGGCAGTGAGCATCTGCACTGCAGCCATCCCTCCCTGGCCCCCACACTGTGCCCACTGCTCAGTGAAGCTGGCCAGCTTGCACAAACACAGGAAAACGAAACTTCAAAAAGAGAATTAGCCTTTACCGTGTGCATCTTTGTTTGTTTTTAAGTGTCTTTATTTGTATTTCTTCGATACATCCTCTGTCTATACCTGCTCAAGAAGGATTTCGTCTGTCTCTGCATGTATAGTCTTCAGCCATGTTTACATGTGCAAAATTTCTTGATCCGATTGAAAATTTGAGGGATCAAATAATCTGAATCCATCGTTTATATCGGCGCAAAGTCAAATAATCCGATCATGACATGCGTATACATGCAGCAAGTTTTATTCAGATTAGAAGCATTTGGACATGCGCAGAGGTGTCTCAAAAAAACTGCAGAAGAAGAAGAGTTGTATTAAAACCTTCTGTACCGGTCTCAATAAAAAAACCAAAGGCTAAAGAGTAAAGATCTAGTCAGGTAAGAGAGTCACGCTCGGAATAAGTGTTCACATGGACGCGTTTCGGAATAACGATCTCCATAAACCGGAATACAATTTCTTTCCGATTGAGCCGAATTGGATCGGAATCTTCCGCTCATGTAAACATGTTTACATGACGCTTTTTTATTCTGGTTATTTGTGCCCATGTAAACATGGCTAATGATCCAGAAGTACATTCTTCTTGTGTATTTATCTTGTTTGACTATTAAATGTGGCCGTCTAGTTTATATCCATCCATCCATTTTCTACCGCTTTTTCCCGTTGGGGTTCACAGAGGTGCTGGAGCCTATCCCAGCATCTTCCGGCGAATGCAGGTGGCCAGTTCATTGCAGGGCTGACATATAGAGACGAACAACCATCCACACTCGCATTCACACCTAAGGGCAATTTGAAAGTGGCCAATTAACCTAACCCCACTTCTGCATGTTTTTGGGGATTTGGGAGGAAACCAGTGTACCTGGAGTAAACCCATGCAGACACAGGGAGAGCATGCAAACTCCACACAGAAACGCCCTGACCCGGATTTGAACCCAGGACCTTCTTGCTGTGAGGCGACAGTGCTAACCACTACACCACTGTGCTGCCCTCGTTTAGTTTATAGAAAATTGAAAAGATTCCAAGTAAGAGAACAATATTAGGATAGTTTTCTGAAAAATCTAGCGGTTGTTTGTCCTGTGATTAGTGATGATATGTTCTTAACTCCCAGAAGAACAGTTTGTAATGGCGCGGTTAGAAAAACATCATGTGATCATGTTTTTTTCAGTCTTCTATAGATCAGAAAGAGACATCAGTATGACTTTCATTTTTTATTACTAGTTAAAAACTCCTCACGGGACCTTTTAGGTGAGGAATCAAATGTCAAATTAGTTGCAAATGACTTTCTGTTGTTGGACCGATCAGTTCATGAAGTATCAATTACATCTCTAAATCCAGGGTAGCCTTATCTTTTTTCCACCCTTATCTTTTTACACACTAATCACAAGCACAGGCATTCACGCTGCTCCCACGTTATAAATGCCTCGCATGACTCTGGTCTTTGTCCCAGTCGTCGGGGTCTACCTGAACTCAAAGCCCCCGAAATACAAGGACGCAAGGAAGGACAAGAGAGAAAGAACCTGAAGAAAGAGAGGAAAGAAAGCAGATCTATGAGCCCTTTGATCAACATTTTTCTGAGCCAACTGAGGACAGAGAGAGAGAGAGAGAGAGTGTGTGTGCATTTGAGTTCTCTCTCCGCCTTTCTCTCCCTCTCTCTTTCTGAGGTTTATATGAGGAGATAATGGGCCATTGAGGCAGAAAGAGACGGCTTAAAAACACCTAAGTCATGACGGGACCGCCACTCACTACCGCTGATTAAATTACCAAGATGAAGGGGGGATTTACCTACGCTCAAATACAATCCATAAAACTGCACTTAAGAGTGCCCAGTTAAAGATGTCAAATCACTGTCTGCAGCTCTTTGTGACCACCGCATTCTTGTGTGAGCTGTGGGTGTATAGAGCTATAATGCCGCACTGGAAATGGTTTAATTTATTCGCACTTTTAATTGACTCTCTGGAAGCTGAAATTGCAGGATGAGTTTTGGAAGCTCAACCTTTTCATTTTGTATTTATTCCCCTGCGACTGTATCGACAAAATATGACACATACAGGGTTTCTGTAGGTCCCTATGTCGCTCCAGAGATCAAGACTTCCTATTAATAATAATAATAATAATAATAAACTTTATTTGTATAGCACCTTTCATGACATGAGATGCAGCTCAAAGTGCTTTACAGGTTAAAAAAAGGCACAAGTGCTTTACAGACAGGGTAGATGATTGGCAATAAAATAATAAAATTAACAATAAAAACAATAAAATTAGTAATTTAAAAAAATAAATAAAAAATTTAAAAAATAAATAAATAAAAATAAGCAGACAATAATAAAAGCAAATAGTATGGACATGATCAAATAAAAGCAAGGGTGAAGAAATAGGTCTTAAGGTGTGTTTTAAAGTTATGCAAAACACCAGAGTAATCATTTTTGACTGATTAAGAGGTGTTTTACTTTGAAGAGACTTCCCTCTGCATGGATACTGTGTGTGTGTGAATGCGTGTGTGCATGTATGAGTGATTCTCATTGGTAGTTCTGTGAGGGGGAATCATGAGGCTGATGATGCAAGCGTCTTACTCTTTAGATGGATGTCCACTCGCTGCCTCTCTCCATCACCTTCCTGCTGTCACCAAACTGTTTAGTCAGCATGCGTCTATGCATGTGTGTCTGTATTTGTGTTTGTGTACAAGAGAAAGAGAGACGTCTGTGTCTGTTTTTGCACGCTTTTGGCTTTTATCTGCGTGTGAAAGAAAGAGAGAGAGGGAGAGTTTATTGACTGCAGCAGTGTTTGTCTAAATCTGTATGTGCGCCAGTGTATGTGTGTTTGTGTGTGTTTCATGTTTGTGTCTGGATGTCATGAAAAGTGCAGCCAACAGCAAATGCTGCGGCTGGTGGCAATGTGACAAAATTAAAGATGTGGCAGCGCAAAGGAGGGGAGAAGAGAGGGATTTGTCGGCGGAGGGGCTGAGGAGGGATGAGGGCACAGTGTGGCAGTGAGCAGAGGGATGTAGCAGGAGAGGGTGGTAACGACAGATTTGTTGGAAGAGAGAAGAATCAGGGAGTGGCGAGAAGGAACATCAGCGGGACATATTGATTGTCGCTCCTTCCTCAGCGTCTGTAATGAGATCCAGTGGCTTGAGGAGCAGATTTGTCACCTGGGGTTAGACACTACTGCTGGGCGGGACAGGGGGGGGAGAGGGTTGAGGAGGAGGAGACAACAGAGGGGAATAAGTCAGCAAAAGGCAAGTGAAGTGCAAAGCTTAAAGGCACAGAGAGATGGAGAGAGTGCGGCTTTACAATCTTAAGACACAAATAATGACGAGAGGGGGATCTAAGAAAATGCCTGTTGGGAGCATGCGGCTAATTACTGCAGACAGTCTCTGTCTGGACTCATCTCCATGGTAACAAGATGGGCCAGAAGGGCCGGCCGGCGCACAGAGAAGGAAATCAATGAACAGACAGACAAAAGAAGGAGGAAAACCTTGTTCATTAGGCCAGATTCACCCTTTTATTTTCTTTTTCTGCATGTCTGCGTAAAGTCATGCATGTTTATAAGCCCCTGCTCTCTGGGTGACCCCACACTGAATATTCATGACTAACGCAGCTGTCAACAGGGGGGCTAAGCTTACATATAAATAAAGCGAGTTTTGGGCAGCAGGAGAGCTCAGAAGAGGCTGTTTGTGACAGGAAAGGTTTTAGTTTTATGCAACTGTATGGTTGGTGAGGAGAACAGCAGCAGCAGCTGAAGAAGAAAAACGGGAGGAGGGTTATTGGTCGTATGGGATATAAACAGCATGTCTGTTCATTTAACTAGGGCTAGGCGATAAACCAAAAATCTACAGATACCGGAATTTACGCCGATAACCGACGTAATTTTGCCCATGTCAGTATATTTGGTGTCAAAAAAAATAAAAAATAAAATAAAAATTGGTTTTGGATGTGTGTAGGTAGGCTTTGGTCTCATGTCCTTTTTAAGACGCTGTTCTACGTTTGACACGTGACTCCACCCCATCCAGTCTGCAACAAAGAGGGAAAGACAGGTGAGGAGATGAGGGAGGGTTCAAAAGTTTGAACGGGGGCAGCTTGTGGAGTAGTTACCATCCTTTTATCGTTATCGAGGTGAACTGCTCAATTTATCGTGATATTGATTTGAAGCCATATCGCCCAGCCCTACATTTAACCCTGGACAGATAAAAATAAGACAGGCCTATGAACAGGTTTTGCTCATATCAGGTGCTCAGCTAGTCATAAAGATGATATGAAATCGGTCTGTCAGACAGAGTGAAGAAGTCCTGCAGTGTCTTTTTTTTGTTTTTAATTATAAATAATAAAGATTTCATTTTTAACTTTGTACAGGCCTTTTTGACACAGGAAGAATGATAGATTGCCCCTGTTTCAACAAGAGACACTAGTGATGTAGATATGTGAAAAGGGTGTGATTGATTGCATGTGTAAAAGAAACAAATAGATTAAAAATATATGATGAGTTATAATCAAATCGGTGACAGGTGTAGCTTGTAAAGAAGATTTAAAAAAAAAAAACTAAACAAACATTTGAATAATCAACTTAGTACAGTAAGCCTGCAAGCATGACATTTTTTATCTCAATGACCTGCTCATAAAGGGCAGGTCATCTGGTGTGTGATGTGTGTGTTTGTGTGTGTGTTCCACAGTTGTAAGTTTAATGTAAACCAGAGCTAAAAAGCAGGAACACTAGAGAGAGACCGTCCGCTCTATGAACTGTGTGTGAGTCGGACAAACCCTGTTCTATTTCAGCCAATTCAAGTCATTAGTAACCCAATTTAGTCTGGCTCCATCAGCCACAAACACAGTTTGGAACAATGGGAGATCTGTGGTCAGTGTGCTCTGCCCTCTGCCCTCTGGATGTCACTTTCAAAGTATTTTATCAACCACTTCATATCGAAGGATCTTGTGAAAATTGATGTTTAGTATCCCTCATCTTGAGCCAGACTTAGTCAAACATAACATTTTGTTAACTTCCTATTAAGTTATGTGTTAACCTGTGTTGTTTTGCCTTTACCTGCACACACAAATGCAATCACTCTGGTCGATAAAGCCAACATGACCCAGCAGAGTGAAACAGCGCTGTAAACATCTTGTCATAGTATACCGCACAATCTCATTACTGAGAGCCGATGAGCCCATTTGATTCAGTTAAGATGAGTCCCTGCGCAAAACTGGTTTACACCCGACTTTGTGAACGTGCATAAAAGTCTTGTCCAAACATTGACTGTTTTGGATGCAGTTAACTGGGTGTGAGTCATGCACACTCAGTAAAGAGGCAGCACACACAGTGTCATAGCTGTCATTGTCTCGGTGACAGCTGTACAGGATTATGTAAACAGAGATGATAGAATGGGAGGAGATGTGGGGATACTCCTCTTTCAGTTTGTTATTCCTGCTATCTCTGTATTCACTTCATTCATTAGAAGCGACAGAGTGACAACTTCTGAGGAAACGCCGTTTGGCAGCAGTTCACCGGAACTTACTATGATGGTGTCGCCTTTATCGCAACCCACAACCTGTTTTTAAAACCACAGGCCTAACTGTAGCATTACCATTGCACTGGGGTGGTCTCCAGCAATACTGGATATTGGAGGACATAAAAATATCATAGTTAATGTCTAGTTTGTCATGTGCACGTACATGCACACACAGAGATGCACTTTCAAACCCATGGCATAACAATCATATCAGATTTGGCCTTTTTGGAGCACACTGCACATACCGGCAGGGCTCCTTTGTGTCTCCTGTGTTTGAACTCCAGTTTCTATCTCAAATCTCCCTTTTCTCAACCGTCCTGTACCACAGGACATGGTTTTGTCCTTGTGCTGATATAACCTGATATTTCCAGGAAACATGAAATTAACTCAGTGGCATGTGGTTCAGTAAACGGGGGAGGAAGTGGCAGTTTAAGAGAGGAAGTAAGGGTTTTACTATTGACTTCTCTTTTGTTCCTTGAATACGGGACAAAAAGAAAGTCTTTATATTATAAAAGGTGGATTTAAAGGATCTTTAATCTTTGACTTTCTTCACCTATAGTGTAATGTGATTAAAAATCAGACAGCGGAACATCTGATCACTTCTTGTAAGCCAACTACGGGTAATAAATCAGAGTTTGCAAAGATCATTGTCTCTCCTTATGAATCAATATACTTACTCATCATTTTGTATTCTGCAAAACACGGACTTCAACAAGTCACACTGAAAAGACAGTCTGAGTTTGTTTGATTTACATTCAGGCTCTTGGTGAAGACGTAGAGAGGGTGGAGCTGATCATGATGGGATTTGACTATTTTGCTGTATACTTACAGTTCGATTAAATCCAAGTTATGAAAACTACATCCTGTGAGAATCAGTTACAAACATGTCAAGAATAGTTTGATTTTAAACTCTCACATACTCCTCCTCTGCTGCCCTCCACAAATCTTCACCTCACTCCGCTTTTCACTCCTGTCCCGCACCCCTCCTCTGCTCACCTTAATCCCCCTTTCCCCTCCCTTTCCTGTTACTCTACTTTGGCCACCACACTAAACACATAAGACTTTAGCCTTCGTGTATTTGTATTTGTGTGCGCGCCATTTTGCATTCACCAGTATGTTGACGCGCCTGATGACAGTATCACTCTCTCCCTCCCAGCAATCAGAGTGTTTTTGTTTACACTCCTTCCCCTCCCCCTGTCTCTCTCCTCTACTCTCTCCGGGCGAATGTCTTACATCAGATCACTCGAAGCATTTATAGCAAAGCTTTTGAAGCTTAGGACTCCCACTGTGGCCAAATATAGTAAACGTGAATCCAGCAGCTGTGTGCGTGTGCGTATGTGTGTGTGTCTAAGAGGGTTGAAGGATTGTGTGCGTGCATGTGTCCTCCTGAGTAAATGGCTCTGGGGTAAAAACGTGTTTGTTATTGTTCCCAGCACTTCGCCTGTAGACAACACTAGCAATTAAAGGGGAGGTTTTATGTGTTAAGAGCAGGAAGTGTTGCTGTGTGTGGCTGCACGCTATTGGCTGCTCAGAGTCTCCCATGTTCCTTCCCTGGGGACGGAGCAGCCGGGGCTCTTTACAGCCGTGGCCAAATGAAAGGTAAACACAACACACCTTTGATCAGGCTTTGCATTTAAAACCCTTACTGGAACTCTGATGTGCGTCTGTATCTGTGTGTGTGTGGGTATGTGTGTGTGTGTGTAGGAAAGCTTCAAGCAAATTATTGAATGACACTGTGAGGTTTACGTGTGTGTTTAGCTTAATGAGAGATAAGCTCCCTAGGATACTTCCACCTGCTCCTCCTCCTTCTCTTGTTGTTGAAGCATGAACGAAATCATCTCCCCATCCATGCCTCCTCCTTCCCTCCATCCCCCCCACCACCACCACCACCAAACCTCCACCCAGGCAGCATGAAAACAAAACAAGGCGTTGTATGAATGAAAGTGGGAGGGGCCAAGTGGCCTAGAAAGGCAGGCAGGCAGATAGAGGGAGAGATAGTGGTGCAGGGCAGGGTGAGGCTATGGTGGATAGGAGGGATAGAGAGGAGGACAGTGGAGTAGGAGGAGGAGGAGAAGAGGGGATGAATGAATGAGTGAGCTGACTGAAGCATGTTGAGCATAGCAGCTAGCCCATATAGCCTGGCGGCATCAAGAGCGGAATGATCAATCAGGTTGAAACAGGAGGAAAAAAAGCTGAACAAACACGGCAATAAAAATATCTAAAGTAAAAATGAAACATGAGGTGAAGGCTGATCTACCATGCCAAATTCTATGCAGCTTTACAGGCTCCAGCTATCTTTGTTGTGGCTTCTGAGCTCTAGTCTTAAGCTCTTCTTATTCACCCAAAGTAGTAGTGGCAGGTACGTCTCCCCTGACGTGCTGGCTGCTTGGCTACGTCTGCCCCCTGTCTGCCCCAGCAAGGCCAGGGTTAACCCTGGGCGTCTCTCCTCCCCGACATGGAAGAGGCCATTGAATGGCTGCCTCCCCCAGTCAGCAAACACATTGGCTGAAGCCGAGGGTGGATCTGGGGCTGGAGCCACACTCCGACATGGATCCCTAGCGCTGGATCTGGATCTGCAAAGCAGCCTCAGCCCTCCCCGCTCTGTTATGTGATGCCGTGGTCACAGCATGTACGCACACAGCAGACAGACGAGAGGGGGAGGGCAGGAGAGGAGCTGTGCATTTTTCTCTCTGGGTCAGAGACGACTCTGTGCAGTGGTGGGTTTCCAGCTCATAGTAAAGAAAATATATCAGAGCAGCCCCTGCATGAACCAGCCCAGAAGGACGCAGATTATGTTTTCTCTGCGTTAGTCATGCTCCCTCGCCGTGTTTTTGACCTCCTGTCCCTTTCGTCATTGTTCTGTTCTTCAGCCTTGTTATCCCACCCCTCTGACCCCCCTGTCACAACCCCATCTGTCCTCTCTGCTTTTTACTCAGGCATCACAATGGGCAGCCCTCCTGTGTAGGGGAGGGGGGGTCCTAGCTGTATCATTGGAAGTGAGAGCTCATGTGATGTCCTCATAGAGGGGGCATCCACAGAAAGCTGACATACAGTGCCCCCATTACAGTTTGAAGCTAACAGTATAGTTCACCACAATTAACCCTTTTTCTTATGTTTTTTTTTTTTAGTTGCTAGGAAACCATGACAGTAAACATCTGTGTTTATATGGATAAATCACACAGCGTGGAAAATGATTAAAATACACTCTAATGAAAAATCCCCTTCTGCATTGATGCTGTGATTTTCACCTGCTGTGGGCTAGAGAGGATCATATTCTGTAAATGTTTGTAGCTTACTGTTGACCTCGATCTGTTTCTTGCCTTGATGCTCTTTGGTTCAGTTTGCACATGATATCGGAGCTGACAGAGCAGTGAGAAACACGGTGAGAGAGAGTGATTAACACACACAGGTTGCAGAGAGGAAAATCAGTGGGATGTTAGATGTGGCCTAGATCGTTTGCAGGTTTCTCCAGTTGATTCACAAATGAAGGGAGGGACTGGAGGGTACAACAAAGGAACTCAGTGTGTGTTTAATGTTCATTGGTAGCTTCTGGGACTGATTGAGATCAGGAGGTTTCAGTGGCTGCCTAAACTTTAAATGAGATGATGATTTTACCTTTTATTTAACTCACTGGGTATGGATGGCAGGCAAGAAATGCACCTCCATCTTCAGTCAGCTCTCACTACCCACTGGCCGCTGGTAATTTCCAATCTTGTTTTTGCACAGTTGGAACATGCAGTTGGTAAAAGGGTCAGCTCCTGGTATAAACTGCGACCTAATGAGTCTCCACTGGCCCTCAGACAAGGCAATAACAGCTAGTTTATTAGATCATTACAGGGCATGGGTCAAACCTGACTGCTAATCCAATCACAATTGACACTCAGCTGCTTCAACAATTGCTGTTCCCCAATAAGGTCAAATGAATCCTGACATGGGCCAGTGCCATATAATGCCGGGCCTATTAGCAATTACGGTTGTTTCCATGGTGCTGCAGACGGCTGCTGTTGGCCATCAAGTGTAAATTGTAGTCACTCACTCCCTTATAGATGCCCGGTGGGCAGTCAGGGGGCCTCTAATTGCAAGTTTTTCTCGCAGCCGGAGGTGGTTTGATTTTGCGCTTGAATATGAATCAGTGCTCATCTAATTGTGTGGATTAAGTTGAAATATTTGGACAACCTCTGGGGTCAGCAGCTATAGTTTTCATATAACAATCAGCAGAGGTGGGAAGGTCAAACAGTTGACGCCTGTATTCAACAATGCTTTACTATGAGGTACCTTTAGCTGATTGTCCACTCTTTACATCAATGTAGAGCCACGAGGGGTGGGAGAAAAAATCGATACAGAATAGTATCGCAAAATTTTGTCTGGTGATGTATCGTATCCTGTCATTTACCAAGTATCCATTTTACAAATCAATTGCTAATATGAAGCCAAATCTATGATGATGGAAAAATAAAATCAACTGTTTGTCCAGTGAGGTTGGCAGAGGTGATATCATAGAGCAGGAGGTTAGTTAGCACAACAAATATATATATTTATGTAAAGTTAGCAAGGTGTGCTAAATGAAAATAAAATACAGCGTAAATAAGACAAATATAAAGGAAAGATAAATGCTGAATTAGCTAAACAGTTGAAAAAATTGTATGAATTGCAAAATATTGTATCGCAATACTCACTGTATTGCAAAATGTTAAAAATCGCAATAATATCGTATCGTGATAATATCGTATCGTGGGGCCACTAGTGATTCCCACATGGTGTGAAGTCTTTCATATGTTTTTGCCATGTTGACCAGAACTAGTTACCAACAATGTTTGAACAGTGTATATGTAGCAAACCTGATGTTAACCAACTCTTTCCTCTCTTTTCTCTTCTCCCCAGTGTGCATGGACAACTGTAAGCACGGTGCCTGTAGCCTCCAAGGTCAGTGCTGCCATGACCAGTGCCTGGGTGGCTGTTCAGAGCCCGGTAACGCAAGTAGCTGTGTGGCCTGCAGGAACCTCCAGCATGGAACCTCCTGTGTGGAGAAATGTCCTCCTGGGTACTACATCTTCAGGGGCTGGCGCTGTGTCAGCTTCTCTTTCTGCCAGGTTGTTCATCTCCGGATTTCTTAAAGTTAACTTCTGTGATATTTAGTTTGCTTTCAGACTCACTAATACAAATGTGAATGTGTCTCATTTGCATTGGACACAGGAGCTCCACAACCAGTGCAAGCAGACTAGGAAGCTGAACCAGGATCGAGAGACAGGCTGCTATGAATACGTCATCCACAACGGGGCTTGTATTCCAGAGTGTCCTTCTGGTTACACCACCATCAACTCCACTACGTATGTCAACAGTACACACACACACACACACACACACACACATTGAATGCCACCATAAACACTGCTTTTTTATTGATGAGGGCCAGCATTACATGATTGGAGACATGATTGTCACCCATAACAAACATTAACATGTAACTCCACTGTGGACTGTGGTCACTCAACACACTCTATAACATTTGAACGCAAATGATGACGGTGTTTGAAGTAGATCTATCGAAACGGCAGAAGTCTTTTTCCCCTGTGGAAAATTTTCCCTGTGATCTGTGGAAAAGCAACCTGAAAAAATTATTCTGTTATAGAGGAACAAAGAAAAGGCAAAACATCACCTGAGTCTTTGTTTGCTGTTAGCTGTTGAAACATGCAGGTTAATGACTGAGTGGGTGATATTTGTCACTGCTAAATGAGATCAATCCCATTACAATGTGGCAATATACATAAAACAGTAAAGGTGGATGTTCATTATCATTATTTATTCATGTTAAAAAAAATTTAAAACAAGGGCTGAGCCAATTAATTGAAGAAAGAGATCACTTTCTTCTGTTTATGTATTTATTGATTGATTTTTTAATTTCAAGGATCAAAAAAGTGGAGAATATTTTGAAATAGACATAGTTGAGGCATCAGGGAGCTCATTGGCTGAATTATGTTCATACTGTAAGAATACAGGAGAATTGTAAACAAGAAGTTATTCAGTAGCATCAAATGCAAAGTTTTCATTTAAGAGTAAAAGCGAATATTTTCATATGCACTTAAGTTTTTTAATCTTATTTACAGTGAGAAAATCCCTAAAGTTTTCACCGTCTCCACCATGTTTTGATCAGTGATCACACAGATGTCTAAATTCAAAGTCTCTGCAAACCAACATTAAAAGAGTTGAACCGAGGTTTTGTTAACAATTAAACCTTAAACATTCAACTGTATCAACTCCATGTGAACTCAGTGTTATAGCTGAGAATCAGTCTGTACCAGCATGAAGTAATGTCTGTAACAGCGCCAAAGGTTTGACTCTTTTTGAAAACAGTGTTCAGCGGTGCAGTCGGGTTAAATAATGGGCCTTTGTCTTTATTCGCCAAACAGACAATTATTTTCCAATTGAAGGATTTTTTCAGCTGGATAAACTTATCAGTCCATCTGAGACCGGTGAGCTATGTCTGATGGACGATAGGGACCATTGAACTATGGCTGGGTGAGGTACTTTACCCAATGACATCATTTCATGTCGAATGAAGCAAAGATGTTTTACAAAGAGCGCTCAGGCCACGCTCAGAAGAAATTTCAAGTCTCAAATTTCTGCCAGAAAAAATAATGCACACAAATAGAAACTGTAAATCGCAGCATATGAACTTGTCAAACAGTGTAGACCTCGCCTGGTCCTGTTCGGCACACAGCGTGGTCTGCTTGTGCAACATGTAAGGACACGGCCTCATTCAGCATTTGTGGTTTAAATGGCAGAAGACGAGCAAATTTGATTTCCTCTTTTGGTGTCAGGAAATGTTTCTTAATGCTGATGTTCAGCAACAAATGCATGTTTGCATTAGGGCTGGGCGATAAACCGAAAATTTACCTATACGGAAATTTACAACAATAACCAACGTTGTTTTGCCCTTGTCAGTATATTTGGTGTCAAAATAAATAAGCAGATAAAAGTTGGTTTTGGTTGTGTGTAGGAAGGCTATGGTCTCATGTCCCTTTAAGACGCTGTCCTAGGTAGGAGACGTGACTCCACCCCATCCAGTCCGTAAAGACAGGTGAGGTGATGGAGGATGGTTCAAAAGTTGGAGCGGCTGGAGCAGCAGCTGAAGTAGACGAAGTTAATGTGGGAGGGGGGTGAGCAGCTTATGGAGTAGTTATCGTCCATTTATCGTTATCAAGGTGAACGGCTCAATATATCGCGATATTGATTTGAGGCCATATCGCCCAGCCCTCGTTTGCAGTCTTTTGAGACCTAGTATGTGTTCGAGGCCAAGTATATGTTTTGAAATGGCTCCTGTTTGTATGCTTTACAAACACACCAATGAGAGTGGTCAAACGTGTGCAGAGAAAATGTGAAAGCTGCCTGTGAATTTCAAAACATTATCATAAGCCAAGTTACATACTTTGAAGTTTTGTATAGAAGAAGTGTCAGAGGTCCAAACTAAGTACAGGAACATTTTAGAGGGTGAATAGGCAGAAGAAGGTATTATAGAGGCTTGAAGGAGGAATGAGAGGCAGAGTGAGAGAGAATGAGGACACAGAATGGGCTGAGAGGGGTGTGTTTCTCTGGGTTTTTTCCAATAGGAGCAGCAGGCTGTGTGCTGGAGGTGTCTGTGCCACTTGAAGCTGCAGGTGGTTGTGTGATTGATGGTGTTTATGTGTTCCTGGTCGGTATACCTGTGTTCATGCATAGCTGTTTTCCTTTTTTTGTTTGCATGTGTACCTGTGAGTGTATATGTGCATTTTGGGCACCAGTGTGCAGGACATGTTTCTGACTCCATTAATCGGTTCGGTTCTGTCCAGTTGCTTTTCTTCCAGGTGCAGGTTTGGAGATGTGGAGGAGAGGGTGTTTATGCATTTAGAGGTTTATTTGTCAGGGAAATAACTTTGACTCTCTGATGCACAGAAAGTACACCCAGTGAAATAGCAGGGACATTTCAACTCAACAAGGCTTGCCCCAAATGTACATGAGCATGCGTGTGTGTGTGTGTGTGTGTGTGTGTGTGTGTGTGTGTGTGTGTGTGTGTGTTTGAGAGGGAGATTGACTTTCTCTTGCTTGCTCCCAGCCTGCAGGGATTATCAGGTGCTTAGACTGAAAAGAACATTGCTTTAAATCTCAGTCATACACCCTGAGGCATAAGGCAGAATGGCATCCTTTGTATTGTGTGCGCTTACTTATACATGTATGCGTCCACACATTATATGATAAATAAGGACTTCTTTTTTTATCAGGATCTGAAGCAGCGGTTGCACCATCAAGGGCTTTGTGTGTCTGTTTTCGCTGCCATGGTGAGGTTATTGCAAGAACAGGCATCTTTACGGAGGATTATTCTGTGGAAGGCAGACAGTCAGGCAGACGACACACACTGTACGTGGTACATAGGCACACATACACACACACGAAAAGAGAAAACAAAGCATCGACAAGGAGTATTGACGAAGAGACAGGATGTTTTCGAGCAGGGGAGAAGAAGATCCAAAGGTTTGCGTCATGGCTTGTCTGTGATGCCAATTAACTGTCCATTGTGTGGACCCTACCTTCATTTAGTGTCCAAAGAAACTGATACCTTAGTCTGGATTAGGATGAGTGTCACAATAGGTTTGGGAAGAGGCAACAAAACCCCTTTTCTTTCTGTTCCTGTCTCTTCACACAGGTAACTTTGCTCTCTTGATATTTTTCCATCACCTGCATCCACTAAAAATATTTAGCTCATCTTTCCTGGATGCTGTGACAACCCAGTAGTACAGCACTGCACTGTAGAGAGTGTGTGTGTGTGTGAGTGAGTGCACTTGGTCTGGTTTCACCAGGACAGGGTCCAAAACCAAACCCAAGCGTCAGCTGCGGCCTCTGTTCTAGATGGTTCTAGCAGACCGTGGAGCCGGAGTCACAGAGTTCAGCCGGACAGATAAACACTGTCCCTTTAAGAGCTGCCGCTGGACCCAGCCAGTCTGCCTGTGTGTCTGTGTTTTTCAGTACAACAGCCCAAAACATTCTCCCTTTTCTACACTGCAACTAGAGCATTACTTTTGAGAGGCTGAATGTACGATTTTCCATGTGGGAGACAGAGAGCGAAGGAGGGGAGAGACGTAAATGAGAGAAATCATTACAGTGTGTTTCCACATACTCAGGAGTCATAGAGGGGCAACAATGAATTGGCCTCTGATTGGAGTAAATTATTAAGTGCTTGATAAGATGGAAAAAAGGAGAAGCCAGGTGTGTAATGGGTCGTTTGGCTCTCTCAGCGGGGATAGGAAAAGCCAGACAAAGACCAAAACAGCACACCTGGGACTGAGTGTTTCATGTCACTATATTGAATGGTGTGTCACACAGCCCCGCTGCTTGAGGGGGAAAGAGGGGGCATGATTTGAGTAGGGCTGTGTGTTCTTGTGTGTGTGTGTGCTTCCTGTAGAGGGGGATTGTAATAAGAGCTGCATAAACATAGAATTAAATCAGGGTGAGCTTACAAATAGCAGTTCATGCAGAGCTTGCATGGTCGCTGCCATGAACAACAGCATCCTTTGTTAACCGGGGCTGCTTTAAAAAAAAAAAGGTGCAGTTTGATGTCATTGTCTCTATTTTGAGTTTTGAAACCTTGATTGGACTGCCTGCCACAAAATCCCCTCTAGTGATCCCCTGACACCCCCCCTAACCTCCATGGAGTATTTTTCAAGAAAGCAGAAAAGTCACCTCCATTTCTTGTCTATACCTGACAAAAGAGTGGTGGGTGGAGAAAGCCTCTTTCCAGGAGTGTTCAGATTTTTTGGTGAGATGTAGCAGGTCGACAATAAAACGCAGCCTTGAAGTTTATGTGTAAGGCACACCTTTGCAGTTGGGGATATCAAGGCTGGAGGTGGTATTAAAGAGAGGGATTATGTTTCTTTTGAGAAAGCTTCCAAAAAAAAAAAAAAAAAAGTGCTCATTTGTGAATGAAGCTTCGGGTCGCTGTTTTTTCTCTGTGTGGCGGGCACACGGCTGCTTGCTAGACAAGGCCAGCCTTTTGTGAATGAATTTCCTGAAAGGCAGCACTATGAAGGCTTCATTGCTCGGTGTATGAGTTAGTGAGTGTGTGTGTGAGTGTGTGTGTGATTACGTGCCCAAGCACTTGTTTGCAGGGAGAGGACGCCACTCTTGGAGCTGAGAGGGAGAAACAGAGGAATGCCTGTTGGGAACTGCAGCTGGTGTTTCAGTCGAGTTGGTTTTTGTTGTCTGTGATTGTGCCCTGTGTGCGCATTCGTTCGTGCGTACGTACGGCAAAAGTAAGTGAAGCAAAGGACAAGAAAGCTCTCTCCTCTCGAACCCCTAGTGCTAATGAAAAACAGAAGAGGGCTCAGATGTGGATGAGAGATTGCCTAATCTAATTCCCCTCCTAAAAGCCTATGGATTCATTACGGGGAAATATCAAATTAATTGAGGGAATTATACAGATTCACCTCTGAATACATCAGCTCACCCATTTAATTGAGTCTGTTTGATTGTTTCTCATTTGTGGTGATTATTTTTAGGAGGCACGCACTCAACAGCGTTGTTATTTAATCCTTTTTGCTACTGCAACGTTAGCTGTTTGAGCAAAAGTAATGGACCTACTTCACTGCATAGAAAACAATCTTTAATAGACAGGGATATGCTTGTATTTACCACAGTTGCTGAACACAGAAGTCAGGCGATAAAATCAGAAAACAGAAGCCAAGCGGTAAAAGAAATGACCAGATTAAAAAAGAAAATGATCTCTTTCAGCCTTGTTGTTTGAATGTGCTCTGTCATGTCCACGCCACACCACCACGTCACTGAACATTCCTGCCTCATTCCAATCAGTCCTGCTTCATTCCACTTCTGATATCTACAGACTGAAACATTTGTGCTATTTTCTGTAAGCCTGTTGGAAAAAAACAGCGTGTTGTTTGCCTTTCCACCCAAGGCCTGCTTCTGCGGTATCAGCGTGACGTCTCTCGGCGTCCCAACACTTTGCCTGGCCCGTCAGAAATGCAGTGACATCAGCTGATAGCTTTTGTGAATATCGCAGCCTCAGTTGTTTGGTAGCTTTGGAATGTGAATGCGTACTGATATGCATTCAAAAGGTTCCCAGCTCGTGGTTTAAACACGCAGTTGCTCATAAAACAACACCATATTCATAAAGATGTCTGCAGTTCTAGTCTGAGCGCAAGTGTCTTTCTCTGCAGGTTGGCCTGCTCGCCGTGCGCAGGCCTGTGTCCTAAACTGTGCGTGGGAAATAAGACGATCGACTCTGTTACCTCAGCCCAGGCTTTGAGAGGCTGCACTGTTCTCCACGGCAACATGATCATCAAGATTCGAGGCGGGAGTGAGTACAAGTGCACGGCATCGCCTGCTGGGCCTCCTGGCTCTGCTGCTCTTACTATGTCTGTCTCCCTCTACCTGCCTTTACTTAGATTTCTTGGCCTTCTCTTTTGTCGTTTGCACTTTTAATTGCGTTGTCCAGAAGTACATTAAAAGTGTGTGTGTCTGTCATAACCACCACCTGTCTGACCAACTATATGACCAAACGTCTAACTCCTCGCAGATAACATTGCAGCTGAGTTGGAGGCAAGTTTGGGCCAGCTTGAAGAGATCACAGGCTTCCTCACTGTTCGAAGAGCCTACGCCCTAGTCTCCCTTTCCTTCCTCCGCAAGCTACGCATCATTCGAGGGGATCAGCTGGAAGCAGAGTAAATCATCTTCTCTTACCTTTTCTCCATCCCACTCCAGGTGTTAAAACTGATATAAACAGTATAAAAGTGTGTTTGGTGTCTTAATTTCTCCTGTCTTTCCTCTATCTCCCTCAGTGTCTACGCCTTCTATGCGCTAGACAACCAGAACCTGCGTGAACTGTGGGATTGGTCCAAACACAACCTGACAATCCAAAACGGTCGCACATTCTTCCACTACAACTCCAAGCTTTGCATGTCTGAAATCAGGAAGATGGAGGGAGTGACAGGAACCAAGGACCGCAACCAAAAAAATGATATCGCTGTACGCAACAACGGGGACCAAGCCTCCTGTAAGACAACTTTCGTTTAAGACTCAGTATTTCAGAATATCTCAACAAGATTTCGCTGCCGCTATAGTACATTTTTGCATTGCTGATTGTGTCTTTCAAGGTTGAGTGTACTTGTTTCTCATTCACCAGTCCCTTGAACGTATGATTGTGACTGGAACATGATGAACAATGTTTCACGTATTAAACTGCAGAGCAGCTTTGACAGGTATTAGCTGCACGGTGTTGAAGGATTTAATGCTGTACCTATAGACAGTCCTTGTTCTTAAGCTTTCTTTCAGGAAGATATACATACAAAATAGGCTCATAAACTGAGTTAATATTCAGAACATACAATATTCCAGGTGTTTGACATCTCACTGACTTTTTCAAATGAGGCTCCTCTTGAAGGCAAAGAGCTGAATCTGCAAAAATAATATCATATTGAACCTACTCTGCAAGAAAAAGTAGAAATGATTGAAAAAACTCAACAAAAATGAATGAAATGTAGAAGTTTGTTTTGTACTGATGCATCATTTTGGGAATTATAAATATCATTGCATACTTTTTTGTCTGGACTCCTGTCATGCTAACTCTGGTCTGTTTCATCCCTCAGGTGAGACCAAGCTGCTGAGCTTTACTCTCATAAAGACCACATCCACTATGATCATGTTGAGGTGGGAGTCCTTTTGGCCGTTAGACTTCAGAGACTTGTTGGGATTTATGGTTCTCTACAAAGAAGCGTAAGTATCTCACAAAAATCCCAGGCTGTTTTCACACCATGTCACAAAATATTAAATGCAACGTCAATAAAAGTTGACTGAGATGTAGAGGTCTGTTCTTTACTCCTTTAATGAATGTTTTCTCAGGTGTTCCTCAAGGTGGCTAACTTGGACCTTTTTATTTTAGTTTTGACATGCTGTGCCGTTATTCTGTGGATTATACAAAACTGTCTTACCACCATCAAAGTTACAGCAAGCCCTTGTTTGACTGTAAACAAGCTTTTGTGCAGGTTTCAGTTTCCTGATATCAAAATATTTTAAGCTGGATAAACCTGGAATTACAGTCTAGAGGACACGAGTTGACAGAGTTGACATATTTATATGTTCTGGACTCTACGTAAAAGTCATATCAGTAACTTAACCTTGAATATATCAGTTTCTCTCATGAGGCCAGCTAGGAGCTACGTCCGACATTTTTTCCACCTTAATGTGATTCCTGCAGAGCTCTCCCAGCTACATAAGCAAAACAAACAAAAGGAAAGCTCTGGGTTTTACATTAAAAAGATTTCCAAAAAAAACATTACTTAAATCACTTTATAGACTCCCAGTGTAACACACGATGACCACTCTGAGCCTTGACTCGTATGTTGTGGAGGGGTTGTATATTCTTGTAATTTCTTTAGTATAATCTCATATCTCTTGTTGCTTCTTGCACTTTAGTATACAGCATTTTGACATGACCCCAACTTACATTCTGTAGATGTTTGATTGATTTGTTTGAATCTCTTTCTTTCCGTCTGCTGCAGTCCGTACAGAAATGTGACGGAGTTCGATGGGCAGGACGCGTGTGGCTCTAACAGCTGGGCGATCGCTGATGTCGATCCTCCATCCCGTCCCACCGACAAGAAGTCAGAGGATCCGGGGCATCTGATTCGACCTCTAAAACCCTGGACCCAGTATGCCATCATGGTGAAAACCCAACTGTCAGCCTCTGACGAGCACCAGGTTCATGGAGCGAAGAGTGAGATCATCTATGTCCGCACCAATGCCTCCAGTGAGTAATATCACAAGGAAAACATGCAGATAGTTGGAGAATATGAGTAATTGTTTTTGGCTTCTTGATTTGGTGGTTTCTGACTTTTGGTAATACCTCACTTTACACATATGACTCTTTTTTAGTTCAGCTTTATCATCATACAACTTAGTTCATTGTTTTTCTTTTGTTCACTAAAGCCCTCTGAATATGCACAGTACCTCCTTTGCTAAACCGGCTCTTTTTTATATTAATTAGCGAAATCCTTTTAAACATATGACTTAATTTATTCTGAATGCTAGCTGAGATTTCCCAAAAAACTAATTTTGTCTTTCTTTTCCCCTCCATCCCTCAGAGCCCTCTGTGCCCCTGGACCCCATCTCCTCGTCAAACTCCTCCTCTCAGATCATCCTGAAGTGGAAGCCTCCCACCAGCCCCAATGGCAACATCACCCACTACCGGGTCATCTGCCGTAAACAGGCTGAGGACAGCGACCTGTACAAGTTTGACTACTGCTTACAAGGTAAGTGTCCACGGGGTGTCTTACTTAAGTCGGCCAAACAAATCAACTGCTGCTCACCACTCATTCGTTCATCTGGATTCCTCACACTCAGGAATGAAGCTGCCGTCTCGCACTCCGACCCACCTGGACAGCGAGGACGAGCAGAAGTGGAACCACACAGAGGAGCCCACCTCAGGGGGCAAGTGCTGCGCCTGCCCAAAGACAGACAACCAGCTGAAGAAAGAGCAGGAGGAGATAGAGTACCGCAAGACCTTTGAGAACTACCTCCATAATGAAGTCTTCGAGAGCAGGTACAGAGTTTAAGAGTAACTGCTGTGTTGCATAATTTTTTGCAGTCGCTCTTTGATGAATGTAGATCACACACATGATGAAAAGTTAGTGTTTTAGTCAGACACTCAACACCACGGCAACCAAAATATCATCTTTAGAGGATAAACAGTGATCAGTCAAATAAATGGAGAGGAGCTTCTTGCTGTTTGTGGTCATGCAGCAGCAACACTGGAGCCCCTCCAACCAACCAGACGAGATCTTTCGTTCCAGCCAGTAAGTTGTGTGACTTAACTCAGTTCTGTGCCAACTCTTCCCTATGTGGGGGGGTTTATGTAACCCCTTGTTTTTGCACAGGGCACAACTGTGGGGGGGCTTAGGATGGGACATGCTGATTGTCTGGACCCTGGTGCCCCTACCCTCTCCACACACACACACACACACACACACACACACACTGACACACAAACACCCGCAGTCTCTCCCTCCGCTTCCCTAGGGGAGTGATTACTGTGCCCATTATCATTCATGCCAGTCAGGGGTGCAGTCATGCAGACTGCCATTTGGACACACACAAACACTCAAACTCTCTCAAACCTCGGCTGCATTTTGAACCCATCAGCCAAGGTCAGGTCCACATACCGAGGTGCAGGAAGAACTCCTCATGCTCTCTTTTTCCATCACGCAAAGGGATGTAGGAAGCTTTGTCATTTTTTTCCTACCTGAGCTCAGGCTGCCTCCACATGAACTTGGCGCTCCACTTTTTGATAGTGAAGGGAAGGCCTCAATGCAGCAGCAGCAGCTCAGGGTGAAGGCCACTGCTGCTCAAGGACACTTAATGTGATCATTTTGGAAGGAAGGAGGTTTTCTTATTTATAGGCCTTGATTCTCTCTGTCCTCAGACAGAGGTGCACTGCAGATCTTCTTTGTCTTGATTCGTTTAAGTTCACCGCCTGCCGGCCTTTGTTGTGAGCTTACACTCCGAATCATTGATATAGAAGAGGACTTGCTTGTTGACACCACCCAGTGGTGAGGGCTGGCACAGTTTCTTCTTCAGTTAGTGAGGGTAGAGAAATGTTGTGCAGTTAGACTTCCCACACTTTGTAAATGTTGTCATCTGCTGTCTGTGGGGTTGTGATCAATAAAGAAACCCCCGACTCTTCCTTAAATGCTTTGCCTGTGACTCTCTTCCTGCAGACCATCCCGCCGGAGACGCTCAGTGGGAGTTGCAAACGCCACCCAAAACTCTCTCTTCCTCACAACAGTCCCCAGTCTGTCATTCGGCTCCACCACAGCAAGTCCTGAAGATAAAGATGAAGATGAAGAGGGGTCAAAGGTCGCCTACACTTTTTGCACATCATCTTTGCAAAAATACACTGTTGTGATCATACATAGATGCTGCTTACTGCTGTTCACCACCAAATATATCCCGCCATAAGAGAACATGAAGGGAATATTGGCACTCTGTAAAATCAATGAAGTTTTTAAAAGCTAAAGTAAAACTTGGTCGCAGATAAAAAGTCGACTCAAACACTTTTTGACTTCTCAAATTAGGCTTTTTGGGATATTTAATCATAATCAAATATAAGGCTTCTTATTTAACCATAGTAAGAGTCCAGATGTTTTATTGTTCGTGTATTTAAGAAGAAAGACCCCAGAACTCTGTGATTTAATTATTGAAAACACTTCATGAAACACTTAAATCACTGAACTAAAGTTTGAAATTGATTGTCCTCTGTAGATGATTTGATCTAGGTTTGGCTGAATGTTGCTGTTCGAGTATTAAGACTCTGTGTCTTTTCTATTCAGGTGGAGCTAAAAGTGTTCTCAAAGGAGTCCACAGTCATCTCCAACCTGCACCACTTTACCAGTTACAAGATAGAGATAATGGCGTGCAACCACCCAACAGACCTCAAACGCTGTAGCATGGCTACTTATGTCAGCGCTCGAACTATGCCGGAGGGTAAGAAGAAGTTCAGATTCACACATATACGCACACATGTACACACAACTCTCAGTTCAGAGGTAGCTAAAATATTGCCATCTAATCCACTGTTATGCATCACACTCTATCGCCATGATGGTAGCATGATGTACAGCATGTGTTGAGTGCTTTTCTTCATGCCTCGTACCCACAGAGAAAGCAGATGATATCCCAGGCCCTGTGACCCATGAGATAGTGACGGCCGAGCCCCCCTATGTGTTGATTAAATGGAATGCGCCCCGCTCTCCTAATGGCCTCATCGTCCTGTATGAGGTGTTCTACAGGAAGGTTGGAGACTCAGAGGTCAGTATCAAGCATTACTGGGTGTTTGAAAACAAAGCAGAAGTCAGGGGGAAATGGGAGTGATGATGATTTTTTTTTTTTCACAAAGTAAAAAAGACACAAAAAGGTGAAGGGGTGAAATATCCAGCAGAAATTAACTTGCTTTAGTAAGAAACACAACTTAAAGGGCAGACAGGTGCAGAAGAAGACATGCAGAAAGAACATAAAGTGATCTGGCTTTACTCTGGGGAATGGAGTCTGGCAGGAAAGAGAGCTAAAGGTTCGCTGCACACACTCGCATCTTATCTTTTCTGTATGAAGAGAGAAGAACAGAGGAAATATTTGTTGACAATCTCCCAGTGCTCCCACTGTGTGTGTTGACATTTCTGCTGTGTGTGTTTGCATATTTCTATATCTTTGCGCCTGTGTGTGTGTGTGTGTGTGCGTCAGGACTTGTCTGGGCTCAATGCTGTGGGTAGGTTTGTGTGTGCGCTGTTGTTGTTGTTGTTGTTTACTTGCTGTAAATGTGAATTCATCCCTCATTGCTATTCATTGCTGCACTGCCTGACCCGAGGAGCCAGAAGCAGCTCTGTTACCATAGTGACAGAGGTAGGAAGGAAGACTAGATTGCAGTGGCAGGGATGGACGGGCATCTCAGACGACATCTCAAGTGAACTGCATTGAAAAGATAGCGTTTAGTCACTGACACACAGCCTGAAGCTCAAACAAACTGTACTGGCTTTATTTCAGATGATGTTTACAGTGCTTTTAACGGTGCAAGATCCCTTTTACATCTGGTGGAGAAGAACTTTTAATACTTTTCTTTGTCCTCTAAAAAGTCAGCTGCGTCTGATTTCGCCCAGCCTAGCAGCACCACCTTTTCACTCTTTTCTTGAACATGCATTTCAAGATAACAGTGCTAGAAACATCGTGGGGTGCTGGTTTTATTAAAAGATGCGTAGTACTCAAGTGAAGTGATTTGTCGGGACTATGCTTGGCAATGTTGGCATCTAAATAAAACCAGATATTCTTTTAAAATCAGTGTTTGGCAGATGAAATATCTTCTTTCAGTCTTTGTACCTAAAGTGTCACAGTTCATGGGTGGATCATGATTGATTGAAATCTGCCTTGAGTATAACAGTTCCTCTTTTATCAAAACGTCTTCATTTCGTTCTGATTGTCATGCAGAGATTGTGTGTTTTTTTTTTCCCTCCATAGACTCACACAGCTTGTGTGTCCCGACCAGCCTACCTCAAGATAGGTGGCACCAAACTCTCACTCATTCAGCCTGGGAACTATAGCGTTAGCGTCCGAGCCACCTCCCTGGCTGGAAACGGCTCCTTTACAGAAACCACCTACTTCTTCATGCCCAACCGTAAGCCTAGATTCTATATGTGTATAAATAAATGTAAACGTTTGTATTTTTATTAAAATAAACTTTAAACATTAAATACTAAGAACACTCAAAAGTTAAGGATGTTTTTTGGAATCCCTTTCAGATTTATTATCACGTATTCAGAAGACCTACTTGAGTTGCTCTACTTTTGTTTAACCAAGTTTTTGTGGAGATCATCATTTATACCTGACGAATGACTTTTGTGTTTTTTACAGCTGATCCAGGTTTAATCTGGATTGTGATTGGTCCAGTTATCTGCTTCATTCTGCTACTGATTGTGGGAGGTGGAGTCTTTGTGATCTTAAAGAAGAAGTAAGATATTTATAACGTTTCCATCAAGCAGATAATCACAGTATCCAGTATGACATCAATAATGTAATGGTGCAATTATGTTAACAGGGCTAATAAGCACAATAGGATAATATAACAAGACAGATTCTTCACCAAGATTTAAACAAATGAACAGGAAAAGTCTAATTTCATTGTTTGGTTGTTTGCAGACAAACAGAAGGCCCAACAGGACCCCTTATCGCCTCCTCAAACCCTGAGTACCTCAGCGCTAACGATGGTAAGAAGCACATCAACACATTAGTCTTTCCTTACTGTGGGGAGAAAATTTCAACTGTTTCTAAAAGATGAACAGCACTTCATGAAGATTATCTAATCAAAATGATCTTCTTTTGTTCAGTATACGTTCCTGATGAGTGGGAGGTCCCAAGAGACAAGATCACATTGCTCAGAGAGCTGGGCCAAGGCACCTTTGGCATGGTTTACGAAGGAATCGCCAAAGACATTGTCAAAGGAGACCCAGATACACGCGTAGCTGTAAAGACGGTCAATGAGTCGGCCAGCCTGAGAGAGAGGATCGAGTTCCTCAACGAAGCCTCTGTTATGAAAGCTTTCAGCTGTCACCATGTGGTACGACCCCGAAAATGCTTTTCCACTCCCAGCTTCACAAAGAGTTTATGATTTTTTTTTACAGTCCTTTTTTAACATATTTTTGTCATAAACACAAAACAATGGCTCGTCAATGGAGAAAGGCTGTACTGCTGTATTCACTCATGTGTGCTTCTCCCTGTAGGTGCGTCTATTAGGCGTGGTGTCTAAAGGTCAGCCCACCCTGGTAGTGATGGAGCTCATGACCCATGGTGACCTAAAGAGCTACCTGCGGAGTCTCAGGCCTGACTCTGAAGTAAGTCTTTGCATTTAAAACAAATACACACCTGAGTTGAGGCAATCCTTAAGGTAAATCTATAATTGTGTTTCTGTGTGTTTTTTTTAGAACAACCCATCAGGGCGTCCTCCTCCTACTTTGAAGGACATGATCCAGATGGCAGCAGAGATTGCAGATGGCATGGCGTACCTCAACGCCAAAAAGTTTGTGCACAGAGACCTGGCAGCCAGAAACTGCATGGTGGCAGAAGACTTTACCGTCAAGATAGGAGGTACTGCAGTTGATCTTTGTTAGCTTTTTTAAGTTACTCTTTGTGCTTCGTACAATTATTTTACAGATTTTTTTTTGTTACTTCTTTCACAGACTTTGGTATGACCCGAGACATCTATGAGACTGACTACTACCGAAAAGGTGGGAAAGGTCTGCTCCCTGTCAGGTGGATGGCTCCAGAATCTCTAAAAGACGGAGTCTTCACTGCCCACTCTGACTGCTGGTAAGTCTCGCCTTACTGTTGTTGCCCATCCTCTCCCAGTCTTGCACAGTAGTTTCAATGCATTTGATTATATGTACTTGTTTGTGTGTCTGCAGGTCTTTTGGTGTCGTGCTGTGGGAGATCAGTACGCTAGCAGAGCAGCCTTACCAGGGTTTATCCAACGAACAGGTCCTAAAGTTTGTCATGGACGGAGGATACCTGGACCGACCAGAGAACTGTCCCGAGAGGATGTAAGTAGATAAACACGCACTGAGGCAGGAAGCGTGAGACAAGTTTTCACTAAAGTTAATGTATGAATAACAAAATCATAAATGTACGAGAAAGGTTATGGGTGTGCTTAATCTTTGAGGACTATATATTTACATAGTTAACCCTTTCTTTCGTTCCTTCTTCTTCGTTCCTTCCTTCCTTTATTCTTTCCTTCTTTCATTTTTTCTTTCTTTCCTTCATTTTTTGTTTTCTTTCCTTTTTTCTTTTCTTTTTTCTTCCTTCGTCTGTCCTTTGTCCTTCCTTCCTTCCTTTGCTTTTTCGTTCTTTCATTTTTGTATTCTTTCTTTTTTCTTCCTTCCTTCCTTCCTTCCTTCCTTCCCTCCTTCCTTCCTTCATTCTTTCTATCATTTTTTTCTTTCTTTCTTTCATTTTTGTTTTCTTTACTTTTTTCTTCCATCCTTCCTTCTTTCTTCCTTCTTCCTTCCTTCTTTCATTTTTTTCTTTCTTCTTTATCTCATTCTTTCACTATTTCTGTCTTTCTCTCTATTTGTCTTCCTTCCTTCCTTCCTTCCTATCTTCCTTCTTTCCATCCATCCTTTTATTATTCTTTCTTTCTTTCTTTCTTTCTTTCTTTCTTTCTTTCTTTCTTTCTTTCTTTCTTTCCTTCGTTCTTTCGTTTTTTCTTTTTTTTTTTCTTTCTTATTCCTTCCTTCCTTCCTTCCTTCCTCTACCAGGCACAGCCTCATGCAGATGTGCTGGCAGTACAACCCCAAGATGCGGCCGATGTTCCACGAGATCATCGAGATGCTGCGGGAGGACCTGCACCCGTCTTTCCAGGAGTTCTCTTTCTTCTACAGCGAGGAGAACAAAGTCCCCGAGACAGAGGATTTTGACCTGGACCTGGACAACATGGAGAGCATCCCTCTAGACCCGTCTTCTTACTCGCAGAGAGAGGAGAGCTTAAGCAGGGACAGCGGGCCCTCGGTGGCCCTCAGGGGGAACTATGAGGAACATGTCCCCTACACACACATGAATGGTGGCAAAAAAAATGGACGAATCTTATCGTTGCCCAGATCTAGCCCTTCCTAACATTTCCTTTTTTCTAGAAGAACTTTATTAACCTTCCCCCCCTTCCACTTTCTATCCCTCTTTCTCTTCCAGTCCATTTCTTTTCTTTATATTTCATGTTCCTCGCATCATTTTCTAATGATTTTCTTATTCTTGGGGAACCCTTCAAAAAAACAACAACAACACAGATCTCAGGACTTTTTATTTTCTCACAGCTGCCGAAACACAGGCAAGCAAGGGATGCAAACATGGTGTAACACTTTTTTTACTTCCTCCACAACTCATCGGATTTTCTACTACCATATTACCTATCTATTGTTTCTCACTATTGCCACGTTTCCTGGACTCCTTGTGAGGGAAACAAGAAAAAAAAAAAAACTGTGAACACAACAAACCTTAGACAACCAAGAAGGCTGCTTATGCTCAACCTCCTCAAGACTCGTCCCTCCTTTTTCTCTCTCCACCGATCTGCATTTCCAAATTTCTGTGCATTGTGTTTTCTCTCCAAGTGAAATCTTGTTACTCAGATAGTGGCCTTTTTGTACGTGGCCTATAAACAAAAAGAAGTGTCTAACAGCGCTTATACTAATTTTTCCTCCTTGAACAATGACTTAATCAGTTTGGACCGGTGGGATGACTTGCAAAGACTTAATCCTAGAACAAACATCTATTCCTAGAGGAATGTTTTCTTTTTTTTCTTCTTTTTTTTTGTTTTGTTTTTCTTTTGTTTTTGTTTTTGTTTTTTTTGGTTCTGCAGAATTCCAAACTACACACGGATTCATTGGGTGTTTGGTGAATAGTTTTAATTTATTTGCTTTTATTGTTGTTTTCTTCTCTCCTTTCTTCTCTCTCAGTTTTATTTCTGTGTCCTCACTATATGGCTGAAGGATATTTAAACAGTTAAGAATTGGACAAAAGAGTTCCTCAGACTGACCAATAGCTGCTGCTTTGATATATTTTAGTGGGTATAGAAATATATAAATATATAATATATATAGTATATATAAGATATTGGTACCTAGGTACTGATATTTTATATATAATATATGGCATATTGATGTTTTTGTAAATAGTTCATATTTGTAATATTTTTCATCAGAAGCTTTGCTGGTATTTTGTTTTGCCAGGTTTTTTTTTCTTTCTGGTTTTTTAAACTTTCTTAATTTTATAGCCCCAGAAAATCACACTAATCTACCATCAGTGCTCTCTGTGTCTTAGGCCTCCAAAGCCCTGAAAGATTTGTCAACTCACTGCATCCTTTTTTTATTAACCTCGTCCCCATTGAGGGCTGTCAATATTCGGAGGCAGTTTTACTCCAGCAACTCGAGATGGGGAAAAAGTTATAACCAAAAAAAAAACAACACTTTTTAAAGGGGGCATGTGGTCTTTGGAGGGGGATGTGCACCTGTTGGTCTCTGTGTCTGCTGTCTCTCTCTGCTCGGGTCATGTGGGAGCTGAGGTCTTTATGTGTTTGTTATCACAGGTTTATGGCGTCTTTCACGTGATTGGTGTTAACTGTCTGTGAGGTCAGAGAGTGGAAAGTCTTGCTTGGTGTTTGTCGCTCTGTTTTGATGTATCAGTTAAGACTTATTAGTTGTGTGGGCGCTGCTTGGGTCAGGACAGGGCAGAGAAATTACCCTCCACTGTCAAGTGGACAATGAGGCCCTTGGTTAAACGTGACGTTATGGTAAAAGCCCGTATAATTTAGGTCAGTGAGCTGTAGCATTCCCTTTCTATCTGACCTGAAATCTGTCACTCAAATGGAAGGCTCTCGTGATTTTACACACTCTCTTTGTTAGGTTTCCTCTGCACCACACACACCACCTGCTTACTCTCCCTCCTCTGCTCTCCCCATTGGCTGCTGAGCTCACTGCTCAAAATCAGGCTGCTGGAAATTTCCACGTTTTGTGGTCGAAGGCTGGAGAAAAATACGGAAAGTTCCAACTTTGTTCAGAGTCCGCAGCAGGTAGAGGAGAGAAAGAGGGAGAGGGGCAGTCTCTGCTGTGTCTCTCTATCATTCAGTGTGTCTGAAATAGAGGGAGTGTGTGAGTGATTGTTAATCCTATTATTTTCTCTGCTATCACATGCAGGCGGGCAGTCAGGACACAGTGTGCAGCAGCTATTTCGCTCAAGTCTGACATTACAGGGTTTTGCTGGAACTGCTTGTTCCCTCATCTCCTCTGTTTTTGCCAGCCTGCTGGCAAAACTGATACCATCAACACACACCATCAGGCCCAGAACTCACAGGAAAGACCGTTTTCCCTACTTAACGATTCAATATCTGAAGCTTGTTGCTCTTGATCAGAATCAGAAACATTCCTGTCACCCTTCACACTCAGCCCGTCTTCAGAGATCATTTTTTATTTGACACACAGCAGATCCTGCCAGCCCCACCCTCTAACCACAGCCTTCAATGACACAGAAAGTGAAAGTCAGCAGACATGTAGAGATAAACTTTTTCTATCTAATACTCTGGACACATAGACCGGTGTGGTTGCCAACCGAGCCGAGTCGAGCAGCATTCAGCACTTATAGTTTAGCCAAAGTGTCGCAGCTTTCTGTCAACAACGAGAATCATCCGAATCAGAGTCAAGAGAAAGCAGAGAAGCTGCCTCCATGTTTTAACCCAGTGCCTTCTTAAACCCAGAGCCACGTTCAGATAGTTGTATTGGTTAGCAACACAAACACAACACACTTATGTAGACAGGCCTCTGTGCTCTCTCTGTGTTTTTGTCTCACGCGGCAGGAGACGCAGAGCTGCATCTTCATTTTTTCGTTCAATGGTTACGACTTTTTTTTTCCTCGCTGTAAAAGAAATCAAAGTGATCGGGGCTTCGAATATTTTCTGTCTAGGTTTCGATTGAGCTTGTAGCCGGCGTAAGGTTTGAACACTGATGTTCACCCAGTGCTTTAGCAGTGACACTGTGGATTGGCCAGAGTCTGTTGGCACTCAGAGGCGCCTGAGTTTAGGATGTATATTTAAGCTAATGATTCTTAGGAGTCACAATCTTGGGCTTTTGTACTTTGTAAATAATTTGTGACATAGTTTGGAAAATAAAGCAGAAAAAAAGATTTATAAAAACAAAAAAAATTACAACGCCTGTCAGTTCTGCATACATGAAATTGAGTGGAACTTAGCTCTGTCAAACTTTCATACTATAAGCTCAGTCGAAGTTGTATCTCAGAAGTACGCTGGTTTGTCACCTTTGTACTTAATCTTCCAGTAAATCACACTACAGAGTAAAAACCGTGTCAGACTTAGCATGTAGTATGAAAGTGGGATGAAGTTTTCTTCCACCTCGACCTAGGTTGCTTATCTTGTGGTGTTCACACGCATATGCAATTTTTAATTAAGATGGTGCCCATATCTTTGAAATACCAGATATTTATTTTATTATGATCATTGTCATCATTTAAAAAGAACACAGTTAGCTTTTTTTAGTCTTGCATTTGAGAAGTGTTTGTGAGTCAAGCGATGTAAAAGTTAGTTCTTGTACAGGTGGAGTAACTGGTTGGTAAGCAGCAGAAGTGCTGGTTAGTTAGGTAGTTAGTTAGTTAGTTTGTAAGTAATTGTCGTCGTCTTTGTGTTTGGCCAGAGTCTACCTCAGTGCAAATGGAGGAATCAGTCTAAAGAGCCTAAATCATCCCTGTCAGTCACTCAGTTTCCCATCATGTCAAATACTATCACACAATCAAACATAACCAACACTGCTGATCAATTCCTTTCCTCCTGTGGCGTCTCCAAACCCCTTCTGCTGTTTATTTCTTCTTCTTCTTCTGCCCTGGGGAAAGCTGTCGTCAATCTACGGGGAATGTGGAAATTACTTGGAGCGTGGCGCCTCAAATTGGCCTCTTTCTGCTAGAAAATGTGTCGCTAATTTCTCTCCATAACCAAGCGTTTCAGAGGAAGCTTTCAGGATATACGAGTGTTATCCCTCTCTTTAGAGCTTTTTTGCCCTTGCACTAATTAAATCTGGAAAATCAGACGGTAAATTGGCTTTTCCATGATTATTCTTGTTTTGATTGTTTCCCTCGGGCACTGGAAGAAGTCGCTTTATTGTCTGTGTTCCCCCTCTTTTAAACACCATGATGCTTAACTTGTACATAGAAGTGGTCATCATGGTTTTGGGCTCTCACTGCCTGTCAGTGATCATCAAGCTCAGCCATGGACCCGCTTGTTTTCTCTTTTCAATCACATCAAACCTGTACCTGTTGTCTCACAGAAAGCCCTCCTCCTCTTCCTCAGTCTGTCACTCAGTCTTCAAACAGTGAGCGCTCAAATCCGCTTGTTGTTGTTGTTGTCTTTTTCTCTGTTCTGGTTTTTATTGTGTATGTTTTTTTGTTTTTTTTTCTACTGTGAATATCAAGAGATGACCTTTATTTTCTGTCAATGCCATGAATTGGTTGTGTTTAGGCTGATCAGGACTCTGATGGGCTGGTTGAGGAAAAAAAAGAAAACAGATTTAAAGTGGAGGACCCTCCTCTCTCTGCTGAGAGAAAGAAAGCTGGACTGGGACAATCCTGTGTGCCATAATAACTTTTAACAGACATAAAATCTAGATTGTAACTTTTCGTCTCAGGGAGGCGGCCTGATGCTTTTTTGGGGGGAAGGATAAAGAGGATGAGGAGGAAGAGGAGCAACCTACCTACCTACCTTTTATCTACTCTGACTGAAGCGCAAGTTCTCAGCAACCTTGCAAGAGCAAAACAAACATACCTAATCCAAAATCTGAAAATCTTGCCACCCCCATGAAGATAATCTCCTCTCTCTCACTCTGTTGTGATATGGTCTGGACTGCCCTCTAGTGGTTGGATGGGAGCATTGCAGGTCAGGGGTGGCAAAGCTCACAGGGCCCCCACTACCCATAGTGCCTTGCTCAGACTAACAGCCCACCTGTCCCCTCCCACTCAGAGCAGAACCACTGCTGACTGGCATGTCTCCACCAATCATTAAAGGATTTTCCTCCTTCAACCATGAAATGAAAAATCTGAAATTGTCTCTGTGTATCCTGCAGATAAAGTAATCCTCCTGCTTGATGGGGAAATACTGTAATTTGGATGATGTGACTGATGATTTCAAAAGACAAATGCTGAACTTTGTGTCTCTACCTTGCTAAGTCCCAGCTTGCCTTGTGCGTGAAAAGTGAATCATCTTTTACCAGCAGGTAGCTCGATAACTTCACGCTCACTGATTCTGCTTCTCATCAGTCTTCATTGACAGCTGCAACGCCCCAAAGCACATGCAAGAACCCGCTGATTGCATCACAAATGGGGCTTTTTTTCCCATTTGTCATGTTTTCAGTAGTTCCAAGAGTTTCAAAAAAAAAAAAAAGATAAGCTCTTAACTGTAAGCAGCAGGAGATCCCCCCTTTGCCCCCGGAAAACAAAAGCACTTGACTTTAGGGAAGTTTAGGATTGTTTTGTTAAACTCCGATAACCTAAAAAAAGCGGTTGGACAGAGCATGCTTGTGACGCAGCGCAGGGTGAGAACAAAGCATTGTATGTATTATTGTTTTGTTTTAAAGAAAAGAAAAAAGTATTACATTTTAGAGATGTTGATTTCTATTTTTTTAGCCAAAGTATGGTGGGCAAATACAAATTACTTTTTCTGACTGTAAACTTTTACTACTCTTGTACATTATGAATTTAACATTGTTATCAATGTGTATATAACTTTTTTTTTTTTTTTTCTAAATTTGAAAGATAGCTGTTTTGTTTTCATACCACAGCCCACTACACAGAGAAGAGAGTTTGTCAGTGTATTTAAGAGGCGCTGCACAACTCCAGTCTGAGGGCTCGACTCTGTGTGATAAGACATGAACAGTATGTGGCCTGAATTGTTCACAGTGAACCCTGCTCTTGATCCGATGCATGTCCCAAATGTTTGCCGACGAGAAGTCGCACATTTCACCCACCACCCACCACCCCGCCTGCAACAGCAGCATGTCACCCTTAAAGCCTTTTCTTGTGTCACAGATGTCACCTATCACAGATGTTGTTGTATGAAATTGTTTCTGACGAGAGACGTGTGTTTAGTTTGCAAATATATATATAAGTATATATATTTTGTTTTGTATGTGAAAAACTGGAAAAGACCACTGCACATCCTTTTTTGAAGAGGAAACACGAGTGATGAAATCCTGAATAAGCTAAAAAATAAATATAAAACTTTACTGATGGTTCAATAACCATACATTTTGAGGAGAAGACTGTAAAGCTGGAGGTGTTTCAGGAAGAGGGAGAAAGTTTTTGGGCGATAGGTTATTCTTTTCTTTTGCCCAGAGGTAGAAGTGAATAGATGGGGCAGCTTATAGTTAGCTGTGAAGGATAGCAGAGTATGGGAAACAGCTGGCTTTTCTCCGTCAATCAAAAATATTACTTTATATATAAAACTTAACCTCTCTAGAAAGGACACTTAGTGGGCTTATTAGAGAGATTTATGCTGGCCTACAATAGGAGCAGTAAGCGACTAAGGTTCCTGTTAGCTGCCACTGAGCTCGTCAAAAATGTAGCTTTAAGTCAATGTTTTAATTGAAGGTTTCACAAAGAAGGCTCAGCGTGTTCATGAATTAGCCAAAGTGTGTTTGTCGATACTTTTGGACGGAGGCGGGCGAGCTGTTTCTCTAAGCCGAGCTAACCTGTCGCAGCTTCAGCCGTTATCCAGCTGAGTGAGCAAATTTCCCCAAACTCAGAGCTAAGGTGATACACATTCAAGCTATGAATGACTTGAGTACTGTCTGTCGGTAGTGTAATGATAATCTGTTTGTGTGTGTGTTAATGATCAGGGAGAGAGTCTCTGTAGCCTGAGGACAGACAGACAGACAGACAGACAGACAGACAGACAGACAGACGTGGAGGCTTTGCAGGTGTGTCGATGACCCTGATTTAAGGACAAATGTGAGGAAAAGCTGCCTCTTCTTCGGTTTTTCAAGTCATCTGTTGGTCCAGTGGTCTGCTCCAGTTTACACACAGATCCCTTCTATTTATCTCTGTACTGTCCCTGTGCTGTGTGTCGTTCAAATCTATGGAGTCGTGTCTGTGTTGTCCTCGGTTCAAGTCTCTATCACAGCTTTTTCCGTCTCTGATTGCTGCTCTTCCTCCTCCTCCTCTCTGTGTCCCCCATCTTTCTCTCCTCAGTGCACATAGGTGGTCCCCAGAATGCTGTGTGTAGTCTTGCAGGATACCTCTTTATCAATGTCATTTATTGCCTATGAATATGCTGATGTATTAATTTTTTTGGGGATATGTTGTGTAAACATTACGTTGAGACATCGGTGCGTATGCAGACAACAGGTGTATATGTGTGTATGTACAGTTTGAGACCCCCAACCCCGCAGAGATCGCTTCATCCCTCACACTGGATCCAAATGTGCCATTATCTTTATGTATATCAGAACACACACACACACACGTACACACACAAACACATACGAAGACAGAAATACATGCATATTGTACAGGATCAAAAATGTGCCATGACTAAATGAACGCTTGACAATTTATTTTTTCTATGTTTTCAAAGGAGAGCCAAGTAGTGACATGTACAGAAAATGTTGCAATGACATGAAAATAAAAATCTTGCTGTGTGTAAATTATTCAACAATTAACTGTTTATATTAAAATTATGAATAAAATTATTGGAGAATATGTGTCTTTTCATGCTTTCTAACAAGGTTTCAGCAGGTTAACAGACTTTTATATGCAATGTGGATTTGTTATTAAGTTATCCTCATGAAGTTAAACGTCTCAACTCTTAGACAAAGACTGTGACGCAGCTGAAATCTCCGGAACGATACCCAAAAGTTAGCAAGGCTGGGTTTTATGCACTGAATAGAGACAGAGTAAAGTTAGCTTCTAGTTTTACTGTAAGAGTTCACGCTATTATAGTTTGAATGCTGTAATCCATTATGACATACACTACTTTATATACTAAAAGAACATGACTTTTAAGATCTGCTTTATTAAAAACTACATCAAACTGATATACAGTTGAAACCAGAAGTTTACATACACTAAATAAAAAGACACATAACCTTTTTCTCTTTGCTGTCTAACATTAAATCAGATTAAACTTTTCCTGTTTTTGGTCAATTAGGATTAACAAAATTATTTTGATTTGCTAAATGCCAAAATAATGAGAGAGAGAATTTTTTACATGATTTTTTTTTTATGTATTTCAGGTGTGCCCTAAAATACATCCACAGGTGTGCCTCTAATTAACTCAAATGTTGTCAATAAACCTATCAGAGGCTTCCAAAGACATGATATCATAATGTGGACTTTCCTAAATTGTTTAAAAGCATAGTCATCTGAGGGTATGTCAACTTTTGACTCTTGAGAAAGTTATAAAAAACTGTCTAAAAAATTCTCTCTCTTAGTTAGTGGTTAGTGGGACCCCACTTAAATGATATTATAAGTCTATTTTACACAAAGTGCATTTTACTTTTGCAATGTGGACTAAGCTGTTTAGGATCTTTTTTTTGTTGTTGACAGAACTGTGAAGAGTAGAGAGTGGGGGACAAGCAGCAAAGGGACGTGGCTGAAAGCTTGGACTCAAATTTGTTTCTACTGCAAGGAGGATCTGAGCCTGTCGGGGAGATTTCTCAGGTGAAATGTGCCTTTAAGCATACAACACTTGATGTTTCCCATCTCAGCAGCAGATATCAGGAAGACTCTGTATCAGCTTATACTGTACATGATGTGAAAAGTGACAAAATAGCATTCAGTGAAAAAAAAAAAAAAAAGACCTCAATCACATCACAGTGAAGCTTCAACACTGACAGCTGTCATTTCAGTCCATGCCAATTTCAGTTCATGTCTCTTGCACCATCCTACTATATCCTGACAGTCACACGGGGGTATCTCACCAGCAGGAGAGAGAGGAGTATTTCTCTTTCTTCAAGTTCTGAGTAGGACAAGCATTAAAACCTGCTCTCATGAAAACCTACAAGAAAAATTCTGAATGAAAAACTGAATACGTCTTTCAGAAGCAAAGGTTAAAATGCTCCTCTCCGTTGATTGTGCACACTCAGTGCTTGTGAAGTGGAAATACCTGGCACACTGAGGGCTTGTTCATGTAATCCTCATTCATACAGACCTATCTGAAAATAAAAGGTGACAGGCAGTGGTGCAAAGAGGTGAGAATCTGCCGCTGAGATCTGATTGAAACCACAACACTGTAAGTTCCTCCTCAGACTGTTTCTCAGGGTTCCATTTGGAAACCCACAGCCTCAAACGATCCATGTATTTGTTGCTTTACATATATATTTGTAATTTCAGGTTATGGCGGGTTAACACATTAAGATGTTAACTTACTGCAGCTTCTCTTGCACCACAGTGCTGCTCTGCTGCCATCAAGTGTGTGAACGGCGGCGACATGTTTCAAAGCAGCAGAGATGTGTGAAACTGTATGTGCAGGCCAACAGCTGCATGTCTTTCTCAGCTGCTTAGAGGTAGAAAAGAGGAAGCAGGGTTGAGACCTCAGCAGTCAGTTAGCCAACATCAACACAGTTGAACACAGTCAGACCTGAAGGAGTTTAACGAAGCTTTTCTTCTCTTTCTACATCCACATGCTGATACCTGTCACCTGTCCTCCTTACATGTAAGTACAGTTTATGAGAACGTGATGAAATGTGAGGTTTATTCTCTGCTTGTGATGCATAACTTTGTGTTATTCGTGCCAGTGCTCTGCCTCCTCTGTCTGTGGGAAAGTCAGGAGACTTTTCTGCTCGATGTGCAGCCAGCTGAACTTGACGGTCATCTGTAGTTACACTTGTGCAAATTAAAAAGAACAATGGTTGCATCGACCGTCAGCCTCTCTGTGCAGTAGCTCCAGCAGTTAGAGAAAACTTCTCTCCTCTGCAGGGAGCATTTTCTCAGCTTTTTTTAAAATCTTTTTGCAGTTTCACAAAGACTTCACTTGCGTTAGTGCCCCACAGAGGATGTGGTAGTTTGTGCCCCTGTGACTCAGAATATCAGAAAAACAGCATGTGTCATTACCCTATGCGTGCTTTCATTGCATACATACTTCCTTCTCTTTTTGTGTCTGCTTTGTTTCCTCTAAACAATGGTGTGTTTAAGCTGCTCTGAAGCATTCAAACTCTCTTTTTCAGGCATTTAACTTTTCATCTGGATATTAACTCAGATATTGAGCACTTAAATACCTGATTTCAAAGCTATGGTCCTGACTTATCTAATCCGTATCTGTACAGATAAATCTGAAATGAGTGATTGGGGGAAGTCTCAACATGGTGACGACTCGTAGGCATCTGAAACCTGCCTGTTATTCATGAACAGATCACATCATCCCTCTCCTCCCCCCGCTGTCAACTTCTTCAACTTCTTGCTGCTTTGCTCTTTCCCTTCTCAACTTGATGTAATCCTCAGCAGCTCCCTATTCCTCGCCTTCCTCTGTCTTTCCTCTCCCACTCCTGCCCCCTCGCTCTCTTCCCTCACCCCTCCTCTTCCTCGCTGGGTTGCCAGAGCTGAAGTAAAAGTGAGTCCCAGTCTCAGCTGGCCTCCCTGCTGTGCGGCTGGTATGGCTGAATCTCCTCTGAACCACTCGTGGCCTTCTTTCTCCAAACTCTGGATGAAGAGATGGTCATTTAAGAGAGGTATGGTGGGAATCTTATTTTTGAACAGGGGTTATACTTTGAGTTTTGGTTGGAAAGAAGTGAAGAGAGAGAGAGGAGGGTGCTGTTGTCCAGTACAGGTGGTGGAGTAGATGTGACCTCAGGTGGATGTGTGTGAGGTTGTTTATCAGTTTGACCTGATTTGAGTTTGTGGTGGATTACGCTTGTAGTATATCAGATGAGGGTAAAGTTTAACGCGTTAATTCTGACTCTGGTTTCATGTAAAAGTGAGAGACTTTTGAAGATGTAAACTTTTTTGTGCTACTGCTGTAACCTGTAGCTTTAAAGGGTGTTTGGTGAGGCATTCGTGTGACTTTTGATGCACATTTTAAACACAACTCATCTTTTTATTCATCTTTTATAGCCTCGCTCTGTGACATGCAGAACGTAAATTATTTCATGCTTTCTGTCCCGGTGTCTTCATCTTCAAAGAAATATGTCCTTTTTTATTCAGACATGAAGGAGGTGTGTAGGATGTTTCCATTTTACTTCAGCTGTGGCGTCTGTGTTTTCCCGTGCTTGGAGAGAGATGGATTTCTGATCAAAGAGGATCAGTGTTTTGATGTGTGCTCCAGCCTCTGATCTGATGGTCTCTGTATTCTCCTTTTTCACCTGAACCTAACATCTGTCATACGCTCTCAAACACTGACTCACACTTGTGTACTAGAGAGAGAATAACTCAGGCACTGAATGAGCACAGTGACCTTCAACCAAACACTTCTGTCATGGGCCAATTATATTTGGTTTACCAATGAAAATGTATATATAGACATGTGAGATTATCGTCCCAGCATCATTTGAGATGTGGGCTCAGTGTGGGTTTGGGTGTGAGAGCTAAATGACCTCAACTGTGCATGGGTGTTGAGAGATCTTTGCTGTACAAGCTTGTCTGTGGTGGACAACCTTTTCTAAATCCACACCTGCTGTGTGTGAACTCATCATGCCCATTGTAAAGAATCAACTGACCGTGTCATTGTCATGTCGCCTGCATGCAGATGTGTGTAGAGTACAGCACAGTGAGCTTTGGGCTGAGCACGTGTTCTCATTTCCTGCTTCAATGTCAGTCCACCTGAACTCTATATACAAGCATCAGGCATACGAGTGTGCTGTTTGCACTGCACATGATCACTTTTATGATGCTAACATACAGTTCTGCTTTGGCCCTGACTATTTATGAAATTTAAGTACTGTTTACTTTGTTTGAATAGTTGTTCTCCTTTCAATAAAACATTTTAAGGGATATCATTATGCACACCAGGAGCATGTATGAACAACTTTGTGATAAGGAGGAGCTCTCATTAACCTATCAGCTTGTTTCCATTATGAAAAACAGCCCAAGTCATGACTAAACACAACACAATTGATATATCACCAGACGAAAGTGAAAAGTTATGCTAGTTGTAACCCAAAATCAAAAATGTCTCCTAGAAACATTTACAATCATTCTCCATATGACACCCCCTGTCCTTAACCTTCCTCCTGCGTTAGCTTTTACTACGTACCCACCATGTTAAGGGTTGGTTTTGACCCGTGTCTTAAATCAGCTGCAAATGACACTAAAACATTTCTTTATCATCCAGATTGGTTCTCATCTTAACGTTACCTTGTTAAGCTTCATTATCCATGAAAATATTGATTATAATAGTTTTTGTAGTGGTCCTCTGGGTCTTTCTTTGTCAGTATAACCCTCACACAGATGTCTATTCTGAATTGATCTCACATGTCTGGACATGCCCAATGTTGTTTATTATGCAGGGAAAAACATGGCAAAACAAGAATTTCCTAAATCTCACATGAAGAGAAGAGGATCTGACTGTCAGTGTGGTGCACATATGGTTTTAGTTTTGCTGTAATTATTAGATATTAATATAACCGGGTCAACAACAACCATAACGCGACAAGTGCCATAATTTTGATAAGAGCACTTTGTAATTTAGTCAATTAAATTCTTTTAGTTTTATTTTGTTGAAATAGAGGTTCCAGACAAAGTCAAAAAGTCTTGATGCAAAAAAGCTAATTTAGGTTCATTTAAAAACAAAAATGGGTGCAGACTCTAACACAGGAGGAAAGTTAAACATAAGACTCTATTTGGAAAGAAAACAGTCCTCCAAAAAAAAAATGCAGCAGGAAAAAAGTGGGAAAAATCTCAAGTGGAGCAGCAGAAGTGGATCCCTCCCCTGCCACAAAGACAGAAGTAACACGAGTGGAAATAGATGAAAAACTGGTTTAAAAATGAGTAAATGTATAATGTGCATTTGGTGTTTTACTTTGAAAACATGAGCAATAATTCTAAGGGACTCTACTGAGGTGTTAATGTAACTTAGTGATTTATTCCTCAATAATTGTCATTCGTTTTATCATTTCGCAGACCTCCCTTTGTTATGCAGAGCCAAACAGTGTGGAAGAAAGCTGACACTGACGGTGCCAAAACCGTTATAGAGACCCCCCCACACACACACACACACACACACAGACACACAACTGAGCATGCACACACACTCACAGTGTTTCATCCTTGTGTGATGCATTAGCAGATATGAAAGGCCAACCATAAAAGGCTACAGCGGCGCTACCAGAAAGCATCAAGCAGCCACCGCAGCGTCTGTACCAAGTGTCTAAGTTTACACTTAGCATGAGCAGGATATGGATGCAAACAAACTCTCCTTCCAGCAGGAACATTGCCATACAGATGATTTATTAATATAGAAAATAGATCTACAGTGTTTCTGTCTGTGTGTTTATGTGAGCGCATCTCTGGCTGTGCTGAAGAGGAGGGTGGATGCTGCTGCAGACACAGAGCAGGACTCAGAGTGTGGTCTGCCTGCATATTATCTCACTGCACATCAATACCTGAGGTCTTTGTAGTTATACAATACGAGCCTGACGGAAAAGGAGCTTCACAAAACTACCCCTGAAAAAGTCTCGTCGAAACATTCACATGCATCACCACAAAATGGTGGAGAACGCTGTGATATCACCATGTAAACGCTGAAATGAAAACAGTTACGCAGAAGACTCTTAGGTGTTAGTGGTGTCCCACAGAGCATGTAAGAGAAGCCATTTTGACTTCTTGTTGTTGTTGTGTTTGTATCTTGTTATGCTCGGTCACACAGTCTCACTTTCCACTTTACTTTTATAATTGAAAACTAGAAATTGTTGTACGTTATTAGTTTTAGTTCCACATCTTACTACATGCTCTTTCTCAAAGAATCACAGATAAAATACGACATTGAGGGTATAGTAGCGATAACCAGGGGCAGCGTAATACCTCATAGTGTTGATCATGTTTAATCAAAATTTCTATCTTCACAAAGGGAACAGAAAGATCGCAAAATTATCCGAGGAGAGTGGAGTCAGCCTTTGTGGAGCCAGGCAGGCTCAGACTGAGGCTCGGGTTCACGGGAGGTGTCCTGAAAAAAGTCTTATGTAACCTGTTTTAGCTGTGGATCTCCCCTCCTCAGATGGGCATAGTGTGGCTGAGCCCACACTCAGGAGCTTTAACAGATATTTCAGACCCCACGAGACACTGAGAGACTAAAACCTGACACATAGTTATAACTAAAAAGACTAAACTTCACATTTACTGTCCCTTTCACATAGCATGTACTGTATATGTACATTACTCAGTGTTATTAGGCAGCTTCTCGGGCTGTTGAAAGCTCAGTGAGGGAATAAACGACAGCTCCTCTTTCTCACATGGAGAACACCGCTGGCTCACTAGACAGTGTGCAGTGGTGACAGTGGTTTGTGGCATCATGCAAATCCAGGAATCTGTTTAGGCAATGGAAATATAATGGAGCTCGGAGAAGAGGCTGTGACTAAACTCTTCCATCTAACACGAAATCACTCAAAGTGATTACACAGGTGTTTAACAGCTGTTAAATTCAGCTAGATGTGCATTTCTTTCCCCCCTCGTTTTGGGGATAGAGATTTTGCTTTTTTGGTGATTCTTTGTACCTGACAAGCATCACATCCATTTCTTTTCAGCATCTGAGTGCAAGCCATGTAGTCAGCCCGGTGGTTCTCCAGGTACACAACTTGATGTCCAGCCACCCACTGCAGCAGGGTCTTCTTCCTCATTGTCACCGGCCTCTATACCTGAGGATGTCTTCTTTGGGAGCAACAATGAGGACCAGGTAAAACTTCTCTCTCGTCATTTGGACCTTTACAATTGCTGCTTGTTTTCCTCGCTAGTCAAGCTTACATCAAAACCAGTATGGTTTAATATCATAATTTCCAATAATTTCGTTGTATGAAGTGCAAATAAGCAATCATTAAACATTGTTGGTGTGAGCATCAAGCACAAAACAAGACAGCTGGTAAAGGCTAAGATAAAGTAATACAGCTACCCTGTTAAACTAGTTGACATCAGTATTTTCCACAGATTTTCTTGTGGTGGGTGAGAGTGTGGAAAAGAGCAAAGTTGTTGGAACTCTTCTACAGTTTTGTCTCGTGACTTATCTTTGAAAAGTCTTTTTTCTAACCTTGTTCTCCTCTCTTTTCACATTTTTTGCAGGATGCATGCTCAGTAGTCAGTGACTACGACTGCCCTTTCACAGACGATCTGCTGGCCATCAGCTCTTCGCTCAAAGACTCTGAGTTCTTTAAAGACCTGGAGGGAGGGATACCCACTCCACAGTCTACTGCATCCACAATAGCTACAGTCCCGCAGAGCAATCCTCTCACTGTTGGCCCACAGGTGTCTCCAAACACGGACAGTCCTGCTATCAAACAAACAGTACAGCCTCCTCTGACTGCACATGGCCCTCAAAGCAATGTACCGTCTCTCTGCTTTTATACACACCCTAAAGAGGAACCTCATCACAGCTTTGTGGTCACTCAGCTAAGTCCGACATTACTGCCAGGCTGTATCATAGACAGTGGAAACTCCTCCGAACCTGCAGTGGGGCTTAGCTTGACTATTAACCTGAATGGACTCTTGGGATCAATGGAAACAGAGAAAGAAATGATGGAACCGGAGGAAACAAAGGACAAGCCCACTATGGATTTAGACGGAGAGCCAGACCTGGACAGCTTTCCTATTCTGGTCAGATCCATGTCAACGTCTCGCAGGCACAGCTGGGGTGTTCCTGTGTCCCCAATTAACTTGGGCAGAAGGTAACACTAAAAACTGCACCTGTTTTCTCCACTCATGCCAAGATCGTTTCAGTACAGCTGAGAGCTGAAATTCAACTTTTTGCTTCAGCATCTATAAACATTACTCATCGTCACTCTTAAAAACAAATGTGTGCTGAGCACTTCCTGTTGACTTTCACAGCCTCTTGATTTAAACACTCAACTCTACTTTGGGGGCGAGAACATGAACAGTGCACCAAAATAAGAACTGAAACAGCAACACTAAAATAAACACAGGACTTGATGTGTCTCGCTGAGCAATTTGGTTAGAAAAATAGATACATGTCACTGCATAGTAATTCATCCGCTGTGTGTGATTGTTTGTTTCTATTCTGTGTCACCAGACTGAGTCTGGACACCATGAACATGGACAGTGATGGAGAGAGAGAAGATGATGAAGACAGGGAGAAGAATCTCTTCCAGGCAAGCCAGCAGGAAAGCTGCGAAGCATGTCCTGAAGATGAGATGGATGGACCCAGACTGAGACCTTGTCCAAGACCCAGGGTCTGTAGTATGATAACAAAGAGAGGAAGCAGTGAGAGATTATAAATCTTAGCTCAGGCCAAAATACTGTCTTAAGAATGCACCAATTTTGAGTTATTTTAACAGACTGATGTGATATAAAGAAGAAACTGCTGGAAGTGTTACTGTTGTATGTTGAAGAGTAGAGATAAATAAATCAAACTCACATGTCATGTACATTTGTGTTTATTTTTTAATGCTCACAGACTGGTGTCATGTCTGGAAGGCATCTGTACTCCCGCTCAGAGATCCTCGCCACGGATGAATGTTCCCGTGCTGCACACATCTCTCGTGTTGTCCAGACCTCCAAACAGGCCGCCAGGGCAGCAGGAGGTGGGGCTGAGTCTCTGACCTAGAGAACACACGTTAGTTTATGCATTTTATCCTCAGCAAGTGGCTTTTTTTAATGAAAAACCTTCTGTCTTGTCTGTAGCAGAGGAGTTCGACCCTGAAGAAAACCTGCATTCTACTGAAGGGCAGAGCCACATGTAAGTTTACACTGTTGTCAATAATGTAAAATGGGTGAATGTTGACTTTTTTCTTCCCTGTTAATCACACCAGCAGCTTTTGAATGGTTCGGTACAATAGTTCACATGATGCTGTGTAGCTATAAATCGTCATAGGCCAGTACAGTTTTCTCACTCCCACGTAACAGGGGGGTTTTCCCAGTTCCCTCCTGACATTTCTGCTCCATGTCATACATCTACAAGCCTCCTCCTCCCCCAGTCCTCTTTCCCAGCTTCTGAGATGGCCTCTTAGTGTGTATGTGTACGTGTATAATATGTGTCTGGCAGTGAGGACACAGCCTACAAGGGAGGATGGCTCTCCTCTTTCCTTTCCTTTCCTTTCCTTTCCTTTCCTATCCTTTCATCTACACCCCCCACTCAGCCTTGGTGTCTTGTTTGTCTTAGGCTGATGGTACAGAAAGTTCTGCAGGAGCTAAAGCTGTACCACGGGTAAGTAAACAGGAGGTAGAGGTCTGTTTGCTCCACCTTCTACCGCTCAAACACCTCCTCATGTCTAGAGCAACAACAGAGCCAGATTGTGACTTGGGGAACGGGGCCTGCACTGTTAAGGAGTGTTTACATGTATGTGCACGCATGGTTTTGTCACGTGTTTGCATGAACCTGTTTCTGCAGTGCAACGCCGTGCAAATTGTCCCTGAAAATGGTCTTGGGAACACTACAGTTTTCTTTGATTTCATTAGTTTTGCCTTCCTCACAGCTGATTAAGTGACACGAATATTGTCTTCAAGCATATTCCACTCTTGGATTGGTTTTATTTTTGCCACCACTGTTTCACTACAGCTGTGATAAACACCGCAGAGGTCTGACCAGTTGGAAATCTGTCTTTCTATACTGACTTTACTTTATTGTTTCTCTCCAGAGCAAAGCACAGCAACAACAAATCAGAAACCAAAGATTCAGGAAATGTCACCTGGTATGAGTTCCTCTCCAACGAGTAGGTGCATCATTGTTCCCTTATCACTAAAACTTGATGGAAATTTTTAAGACACCACATTTGTTTCTGCTAAACAGTGTGTCTTACATACCAGCTGAATCGCTTTTTACTGACCATCTATACGATGACTTGATGTAAACCAAAGAAATGGATCATCTATAAAAGCTTCAAATTCAAACACTCCAATATAATGTGCCTCTCCAACTAATTACCCAGTCATGTATCTGTCTCCCTGTTTGATTGATTTAATTTGCAATGATGTCTAAATGTGCGTTCAAGTCAGAGTATTATGACAACAATCACAAAACTTGCAAAAGACATTCTCAGTGTCTGATCAGCTGCTTCTTTGACAAGGAATGAGGAAGAGGAAGATCGTACAGAGAAGGTGGAGAAGGGCACCAAGGTGAAGAGGACTCTCAGCTCTCTGAGGAACAGGATGACAGGCTCATTCAATAAAGATAAGGTAAACTTAAAGCACAGGGACATGGTGTACGGCACTGTTTTGAATTCATGGTGGATTAAATATTATATAATCATATAATAATAACATACTGTGCTGCATTCACTGCAGTGGCATTATAACCTGATCAGCATTAAAAAATGCAAACGTTGATGAATGACTAATGTGTAGTTTGTGTAATGTTTCCGCTTTTTGCATGGTTGTAGAAAGGTCGTACTCGTTCATACAGTGTGTGTGGAAAAAAAAAAAACACACAAACATGCAAAAATAATTCTTTTTTTCTTTGCTCTTCTGCAGGGTAAGAATCGAGATAAAGAGCAGTCTAAGGACAGAGGGAAGGAGAAAGAAGCCAAAGAGAAAGTGTGCACCCGAAGCAGTAACGGCCATTGTTTGGTGCCGGGTGCTTTCTCTAGCTGTGCTACCTGCTCACTGTGCAGCAAGACCCTGCAGAAAAAGCATGGCCTGCAGTGCATGAGTGAGTAAAGCCCAAACCACAGGGGTATACACACACACACCCACCCACGCTTGTTCTTGGCCTGACACACATTTGCACAGGTGTTATGCTCTCACACACAAACTTGCATCTATTTATACCCATGCTACTCCACAAGTGCACACTTAAGCTCTGAGATAAACTAACAAGGTCACACACACACGCACAACAAGTAATTGTAATAAACACGCAAAACATGACGATGAATTCAGGAAACTGTCTTTATGTTGCAACAACTGACTGCGTACTGTCTGCATCAGAACGACAGGCCAATGTCTATAATGTTATATAAATGAAAACAGTTTTTGTTTTTGTTGCCGGGACTTTCACACATTTCTGCTAAAAAAAGATGGTGCCTCCTTCCAGTTCCTCTTTAAAGCGTTCAAATTAGGGAAGTATTACATACCGCATCGACAGCTCTTGCTGTATTTCTACACTGCACAATTTTGTATGGTTTTCTGTGAGCTCACTTGTTTGATGTGTTATCAGATATATTACCACCTCCCTCTATCATTTCTTCATGTGAATCAACAGCCTGTCACCTCTGTGCCTTTTGCTTTAGATTTTATATGTTTTTTTTTGTGTTGGATTAACTCTTTTGATAGGGACGTTTCAGTCGTGATTTTTCAAGAGGGAACTGAAAATGTTGTGTTTAAACACCCCTTGGCACCACTGCTTTTCTACTGCTTTTAAACTGCAGCCTGCAGGTCAGCTCATAAGCCTGAATTAAGTCTTAAAACACATTTAGAAGTGTTTGTAAGTGAAATACAGTAGAAATTATATTTTGGAGAGTCGAACTGTGTGACATTTGTCACTGGAACATCAAAGACATCAACTTTGGCCTACAGTTTTGCATGTATTTTAATACATTTTTAATAATGCATGGCCCACTCTTTTCAAAAGGATTTATGTGTTTGTGCTAAAGTGACGATTTTAGGACCAGCAAATACACCGAGTAAAGATTACACTGCCAGAATGACATGCTAGTTAAGCAGCACACATTTATTTGTAAATTTCATCATTTGAATTTTAATTTGGTAATGTTTATGAAACAGCGCTCATCTTAACTGCTTTATTTTTATGTCTAATCTTTTTTTATACATTACAGAAAAAAAGCATGTTAGATACATTTCAGAATTTTTCAGCAGTACTTTCATGAGCCCACTAACATTGTGATACAAGTGATACTTTTTTACTTCTGTTGGGAGTTTTCTTATGACATGGATGAGGAACAAACCACTGTCTAAAAATGTCTCTATGCCACATGTCTTTTAATATGATCTTAATGTCTAGACCGATTTCTCAGTAGCCATGTGGTGAAGTGGGGAAGTATTTAACATCAACAAATCAAGTTCCTTATAAATAACAAGGCAACAGAACATGTAATGATGTAATGAATTCATTTCCTTGAAGCTGGACTATTTCCAGCAATATAAGTAGAGTGCAGTAAGTCATTCAGTGCTACCGCTTTATTATTATGTCATGGCTTTAAATGAACAATTCCTTGCTCCTACTATTTTGTGGGAGACAAGGGCATTACATGTCCAGAATATTTATAAATCTTGCCGTCTGGCAGCAGGAGATTTAATGTATGATTGTTTTTAGCCGTAGGGGAGAGTGGGGTAAGTTGAGCCAAAGGGTAAGTTGAGCCACCCCCTGTTGCTTGGAAATGGTCAAAGGAATTGATCATGTGACCAAATATTTAGGAGATGGGCATCAATTCATGGAGTCTGTGAAGGTTAGAAGCACATGGGTGAAGGGGTTCGACATTTATTTCCAAAAAAACATTGTTTACTCTTGAAGTGAATTTAGTCTGTCATAAGTTTTATTAGAATTGTGTTCAGACCAAAAAAGATCATTTTAAATTTGTTTTATGCTAAATTGTGGTATCTATGAGCTGCAACATGAGGTCAAAAACTGAGCATAAAAGTCCACCATTTTAGCTTAGAGGACTAATAAAGTCATAATAGTAGTTCTGGGGTAAGTTGAACCATTTGGCCAGGGGTAAGTTGCGCCAATAGCTCAACTGAGAAGGTAAAGAAGTATGATGAAAGGATCAGAGCTTCAGTTCAGATTGTTGAAATGTGTTACTTTTTCCTATCAAAAATACGGCTGCGAATTTTCTGAAGCAGTTATACGTTAATAAAAAGAATTATTGTACCAGTTGAATAGAGTATAATAGATAAAAATATACATAAATGTGAAGAAGGGACTATTATTTAGGCAGAGAGAAGGTGAAGGAGGGCTGGGGTAGAGAGTGGAGGGGCAGTAGGGATACGGCTCAATTTATCCCAATCCTATGGTCAACTTAACCCATATACGAGGTAAGTTGACCATAGGAGACCACTTTTTTTTGGCATGCTATATTATCAAGACAGTTATGTTAACACTCATTCTGTTGGTTTGCAGGGATGCACAACATCTTGAAATATATGCAAATACACTAGTTAGAGACAAAACTATGATTGTCTAGATGTAGTGATCTGAAATATGAAATATGTCTCATCTTACCCCACTCTCCCCTACTTTCTAAACAAAGTCCACAGTTGTTCTGGCATGTTTCAAAAGGTCCAGGGTACCAAACATCTATTATGATCCAGACTGCATCTATACATCAAGCAGAAACCATTAACAATCAAATAACTCCTCCATTTATCAAGCATGGCCGTTAAGAATTATTAAGTGTGCATTTTGACACTTTGACTTCCACTTCCACTTACCCCACGAGAAAACAAGTGAGTGTCCCTTTAATTTGAACCAAGCCCTGTGGGGATTCAGCAGCCGACTCTCAGCCTGGAATGCTGCTTCGTCGTTTGAATGCCAGGGAACACAACAAAAAAAAAGAAACAACAATGTGGGACACTTGTTGCTGTTGATATCAATGGCCAAACTTATGAATCCACCTAACGGAAAAACTACTGAACCTCTCGGATGCAGCTGAGTTGGATAAACTTGGGTGTCGTTAGGACGGTAAGACTGAGAAACTGGTCTCCAGCGGGATCAGGTGGAGGATTCCCGTTTGTTTCGCTCAATGGACTTTTCGGGCATCCTGACCGCTAGCTTAGCAGTTTAATGCTATCATAGCCACCCAACGGCTTTTTATGTTATCTTTGTGACGGCTCTGACTTAGTTTGATAATTACTGAAACTTCTCAAGTCCTACCTTGTCTGTGTTGACAAAACATGCACAAAATATATCCCTGTAACTCGCATCACAAAGCTAGCTGTCGATTAGCCACTGAGCGCTAGCCCGTTAGCCCAACCGCTTCCATTTGAAAAACAAGGGTATTTGGATCAGCAGTGAGCTTTAATTAGCTTTAAGCTAGAGTTTAGAGAAACGAAGGACACCCTATATATTCGCATCTGAATTTGCTGCAGTCTGTCTTTGGTTTTGCTTTTTTTAACGTTCTGGTGTGTTTGTTTCTACTTTTCCACTCTCTGTAAACTATAAAGCTCAACAGGTGGATGCTAGCTAACATTAGCCTGTAAGAGATAACGTGTTGTGTAGACAAAGTCAACCGAGTGGTTTTTGCAACCTGCTCTTATAATAGCCTTTCATAGCATTGGTACATTATAAAAACATCTTAATAGAAACTTTATCCGGTTGTTTAATCGCCTCAGGTCGAAGCCACTGTCAGTGAATAACTGTGTGGAGTATTTGTTGTCCTCTCAGCCCGTTATAGTTCAGACTAGGCTGACCGGTTTGATAATATAGTATTCCCCTGTTCCCGTCGTATTACATTCATTGATGAGTGTCAAATTCTTGACTCCTTTCCTTTTGTTTCCTCTGACTGGGCTTCTCTCTTACTGGGTCACATGGAGCTAATTGTGCTTGGCAGGTCTGCCGGTGCATAACAGCCCACTCCACTGACTCTGGGTCTCACCCATCTCACCCTGTTAGCACACCACTTGTCCATGCATCACTGCTTTGCTTCCAGCATGCTTGCCTCTCTGGGTGTTTGCCTTGAACACGAATTAAGGCCTGACTGCCTCCACGTCTCCTTAGAATACTTCTCTGTAGATTTTCCCTCTTAGAACTGTTATTACAACTATTATGATCAGCCAGTTCTTGTCATGGTGTAATAGATCTAATGACAGGATGCTTACCCCACTCTCCCCTACTGAATGTTTAATAATGAAAAAAAAAAGATCACACTTCAGTACACAAACACTCACAACATCCTTAAAAACAAATGCAAAATAGAGTTATCATCTGTCTGATCATGTCAACAAAATCTGAGGATGTAGAAGCTTCCTGAAAGTAGAATTTATGGTCTGTCTGTTAAATTGAATTGCTGTAGTTAACCCAGGTGCTCATAATGTTATACCTGGTTGATGTATTTCTGCCTCAGTTTTCCCCTAGCATGATCCTTACGCATCATACCTTTGATTGTGATTATGACCCTTTTTGGGAAAGAGGAGTGACCAGCAGATATCTTTCCCTGCGCTGACTACAAATCCCCTCAGGCCTCAGTTCTTCTCTTTCACTAGCTGCTTCAGAGCCTTCCTCAGGAGTCGATGTTTTTGTCACTGATGCGTCAGGAATTTAAGGTAACATTTTGCACACGTGCATGCATGGATGCATCACATAGGAAGAAGGCAGTGTTAGTTGTTGACTGACTACTGTAACAGAGTTATACTTTTACCCAGCTGTTGTGATATTGTTTCTTCTTTGTTGCTCTGTACCACCATTTGTGGCAGAACTGCAAGCACACAAGGGTCTGAGACGGATTTATTCTGCAACAAGAATAGTATGAGGAAACCACAGAAAATAGTTGGGTTAACCAGATATTGAGGTTACTTCCCTTGAGATTAAGGATGCACTGATGTATTGGTTGAACAGCGATAATGGCAAATATCAACGCTGTCGTTGACTGACATAGCACACTGGCAAATAATGTGTCATGAACTGATGACAGTAGCCAATGATATGTATCCTGTAGCATACGCTCTGTATATTCATCCCTGTGAAGTAATTCTGGGAAGCTATTAACCCTTACTGCATTTTCAGAGGATTTTTCATTCAGCAGAAGAAGTCCCCTGCTGGACAAAATGATATTATTTAAAAATCAAATATAATAAGAAATATGTGCAGTGCAGGAACATGCAAAACCTCTGAGAAAGATCAGTGACATGCAGTGTGTACGACATGTTCCATAAACATTTAAGAGATGCGTTAATGTGGACGGATATTGTGAAGTCTGTACACTTCCACAATTCATTGGAATTAGCCTGCGAAGCGATTTCTTTGGAAATTCTAGCTACACCCACACTGAATCTTGAATTTGACAGGCTATATGATAAGACCCTCAACTGCCCTGTCGTCTGAGTTAATATTTACCCTGGAAACCTCCACCTCCTCCTTTAGCTCAGCTGAATCCACCCTCCTGTAAGATAACAAGTGAATACTCTTGTTGTTTTCTTGGATAGTTTCTTTTCACAGTGGTTTGCTAGACGTCAAATGTATTTCTGGTTCATCGACTGACTTACCAAACTGCACATTGCTACACACCACAAATGTGCTTTTTGTGTGATAGGGAAGTCACCAGTCAGCAGATGTTGGGTGTGGTGGTGGTTTTTGACGGGGGCTGAGTGTCCCGTGGAATCAGCTGCAAAACCACAGCACTGCTGCTGACATGATGACAGGGTGACTGGAAGTTATCACATCGCTCAAGAGCGGCAGAGGCGGTCAACACTTGTCTGTTATGTCCACCTGATAATGAGAAGTCCCTCTGACGGTTTAACGCAGGCCTGATGCGTGGACAGTGCCTTCCATAATTTTGTTTTTTAAGAGGCTGTTGTATATTTTTACCCATGTTTCTGTTGCCAAACCCTGAGGTTGTCCACAGCTGCTGCAAATTGTGATTGCTGACTGGTTTTGTGATAACAGCAAACAGAAAAAAACAGTGTTATTGCTGATGTTGGGATGTTTTTACTTGCACTCAGTAGGAATCATTTTAAATGCACTTCCTGCATTCCCAAACAGATATAGCTTAGTTTTAGTTTCATCAGTGATAACCTCTAGTGATGTTGTTGCACTGGTATCACTTTTTATTCCAGCTAAATCTGCTCACCTATCAGTTTCTCTTATCTAGTCCTGTTCTTCGTAATGCCTTTGCCAGCCCTTTCCCATCAGTGCATTTCAGCTTTGTTAAAGATGGACTTCAGGCTTGAGAGAAGCTTTATTAGACAGTGAAGGATGTTGGACTGTTTTTCTTTTTTGAATGAAAGACCCGGCCTCACAGTGAGTAAATCTCTGCACGTTAGTTTGCCAAGTGGAAAACTCGGGAATTCTCTGGCTGCTTGACTGCTGATGAGTCTGTTGGATTACCTTTGATGACCTTTGTGTCCTTCTCTACAAGTAAAAAAAAAAGAAAACTCTGTAGTCTCAGGAATGAGTGCAATTAGATAAGTAATGAAATTTATTAAAAAGTGTCTGAATAAAATGTTTCCCGCTAACAGTTCTGGACTGACCTATGTCTGTGTTGGATTCAGCAGGCTCTTACTGGTCCAGAATTAAGTGTAGCTCTGCAGGATCCTGCTCACTGAAAGAAACAGCAGCACTGCTGCTGAAGATTATTCAGAGGCCACTTTCTGTTTTCTTTTCGCTCAGCTCAGCCAGCAACTGTTCATTTATTACTAGAAAGAGGGGGGCAGGCAGGGGGCAACAGTGAGAGATCATAAGCGATTTGATGTAGCAGGAAAGGTTAGGACTGGGTACAATAGATTGAACAATAAAGTAGAAAATAGACTAGGTCATCAGTTTCTGTGAAATAGTCTTTATTTCTCACCACTTCAACCACACTAAACTATTACTGTCTTTCCTGCCTACCTACAGAGACGAGGTTTTTGGTCATTGTCTGCTTTGTTAGAGCACACAGTAGAGGAGAGTGCAGTAGAGGCCTTTACTGTAGACTGTAGAGCAGTTAGTGGAAGTTACTAGTGTGTTGTTCACTGCAGCACCGCCTTTGTTAACAAGCTATTCAGTCAGATTCAAATAATTACCAGACTGTCAAGTGTTCAGTGTTAAGAAACATCTTTATTTTGTTGCTTGTTAGAGGGTTGAAGTTTATTTATTTATTTATTTCTGAGTCATGATATTTTCCAGTATCGACCCAGTAATTCAGTCAGCTGGATTATGTTTTAAATATTTGCTGCTGGAGATCCGACAGTTGAATACGCCAACCCTCTTTCCCCTGATCAGCTGCTACAAAAAGGAGCGTCTCCCCTTTTTTGTGTGAATATCCATTTTTGCACTTGCACACATCCCAAATATATTGTGCATTGAAGGCCATGTGTTTCTTGTCCACGTCAGCCTGGTTTTCCTGGCAGGGTTGGGAACTGACTTTGCATAGTGCTAACTTTATTTGTTTAGTCACCCGGGAAAGCTTGTGTTGCTTACCTTATACAGTAAGTAGCCAGGCTGAACGATTGTTTTGTTTTGTCTGGCTGGTAATTTAGTAAAGTATGGAGGAGAGAAGTCAGTCACTGCTGCATGTTTTATGAAACAGCTCCATGTATGAGAATCAGCTGGGATACATTCAGGAATTGTATTTGAAACTGATAAGTAACAAGGGGGATCATGACCCTGCCTATGCTGTGTTTTGTGTCTTACAATGGCAAACATTATTCATTTGAGTTACCAGGTCATTTGTGTTTCTTCAATCTTAAATTTGATGATGATGAAAACTCAGTACAAAAACAAATGTTTGACATGCTGATTCTCAATAACAGCAGCTCTGCCGCCCTTCAGGCGTCTGTTTCAGCACCTGAGCAAAGCTTTGTCTGAATCACAGCATTTCTTTCCCCAACCCTGCCTTTAGGGGTTGCTGGGTTGCAATTTCAAACATGGTTTACTGTTTCATTGTTCCTCATCCACTACTGTCTCGGTGTATTCTGTAACCACTAACTCTGTGCTTGTGTTTTTCAGATTGTGCTGTAAACGTCCACAAGAGCTGCAAGTCTCTGCTGGGTGAGTGCACCAGCAGCAAGAATAAGGTAAACACCGCCACACTACGCTAAGGGCTACTATAACTAATGAGATGACAACCTTGCACTATTACTTTCTTAGGGTACTTTAACTGGTTATGCAGGTGTAGGTGGTCAAACCCACCCTCAGTAGACAATGACCTTGAAAGTGAAAGAAAAACCAAACTCAAAACGAAGGTTTGCATCAATCAGAGCTTTGTTTACCAGCAGATACAGGATAGCATCATGGATACCAGTGTTATGATAACAAGGCTGTACACCCCAATGGACTGAGATCATTCTTTTTTCTTAGGGAACTGTAGTTCTGAATAATAAAGCACATGTTCAGTAACTCCAGCAGCTTACACTTCAGCCCACTCCATGCAGGATGAGTAGTAGCCCTCATCTTCCTTTTTGCAAATGCTGCTGACTCATGATGTATCAACCACATAAATGTGACATCTGATGTATGGATTGGTCTCAGCTAACCTTCATTTCAATAAAACCCAAACCAGCTTTGTGATTCAGGATGTTCCAGTATTGATCTAGTTTTATACAAACAAAGACAGGATGATTGTGACTCTTGCTCTAAATAGATTTCTCCATCTTTGGCCTTTTGTTTTTGGTAGTCTTGCTAAGTGTACCTGTAGGGTCAAATTTAAACTCATTGTTCTGTGATTTTATACTGTAAGAAAAGGATTCAGCCCCAAATCTTTTAGACTTGGTGAAGGAGGACGACAGGTGTGTTAAAATGATTGTGCTTAGTTATATTTTAATCTTTATCCAGCACCATGTTTTTACAATTGAATAAAGGCGCCTACTGCACTTGAAGCCAAAGCTGTAATTATGCTCTTAAGAAGGTGTATTTTAGCTATCTTTCCACGTAGCAACAAAGCCTGCACATCCATCTACCTTAGCACCTCAACTGAGAAGCTTAAATCCAATTTTGGCAGAGCTTTGCGTTTTTTCAGCGGAGGACGTGTAAGACAACCTGACTTCAGATTACACACCTCTGTCCACTCTTATGAATCTGTCTGAGGGGGACTTGTTGGCCGTGTGAGCAGTCTGGTCTATTTGAGGAGGAACAGAAAAGAGTGTAATTTTTAGACATTTTATAATCTGTCACTCATCTGATGAAAGCTTTGGAGAAGTGTCTTTTTAAAAAAATGCTCTGTCTTCTTTATATCTTCCCTACAGAGAGAGACTCTTACAAGAACTGGCTCTACAGGATCGCCGAGCCTTGGTAAGCATCATGTGTTCATACAACTCAGCCCCTTTATGAATCTTTCGGACCAGAGTTTCAGCTGCATTCTGGGAGGATACACTGAATATATAAATAATGATTGCAGTCCCACTTTTGCCAATTAAAAAGCTGGTTGCCTCTCTGGGGGTCTTCAGAGGATTAAAATCTCTACATGGAAACATCCCTTTGCTTTTCCTCAGTGTGTGCGTGTGTGTGTGTGTGTGTGTGTGTGTCAGCTTACACACTAAGCCTTAAGGGAGAATTCAGTTTACAACAGGATACTCTGCAGTGGTGATGATTATCAGTTTTTAAGGGGAGACAGGTGATTTATTTAAAAGGATTTTTCATTTCTACAATATTTTCACTTTAAAACTGTTTTGATGGAAGACCTTTTGACTCCTTTACCTTCTAACCCACGAAATTTCAATCAGTGGTAATTGTAACTTAAAGCCGACTCTCTTACGTGTGAACAAACCCATTGGAGACTTGAGTGGCTGCAGCAGTGGCGGCTTAAGTTAATCTTCTTTGGCAGTTGTTATTCTCTTTTGAACAGCTGGAATCTGTCCAGCCGCACCTCGTCTCTCCTCATGTCCTTCTCTGGTCAATCAGTAGCTTGGTTTGCACATGATGCAGAGGATAGATGTTGGTTTTTTGTCAGCTTTGTCTAATCAAACTGCATCGAAACGGGGCAAAGAAGCACCACCACTTCTCCCAGCTTGAGACGATGGAGCAAATAGTTGTAAACAGTCCACAAAACCATAGTGGCCTGTTAAAATTGCTACAGGATTTAGAAATCATCCCTCTCTCTTCACCTCTTTCAGCCTCATCATAGAGTCTATTTAGTTCTGTTTGTGTTCAGAGTATAAATGCATGTTTTTCCAATCTGTGCATCTATGTAAGATGAACAAAAATTCAGATCTGTCAGATAACTCCAGTTCTTCTTCCAAACTCTCCCATGTCCTCCATTCAACTGTCTTTCTTCTGTCCTTTCCAGCACTGAAAGACCGGGAGAGAGAGCGAGAGCAGTCAGGCCCAGCCTCATCACAGGGCCTGAATGGCCATCCTGGTTTTCTCAGCACCCCAGGCATGACCATTAGTCAGTGGGGACCAACCAGTCAGCCAACTGCCACCCATACCACCAGCTCCACTGCAGCCCCTTCTTTCAGCGCTGGTCACAGCCTGCGTCACCACAGCAGCTCAGGGTGAGAGCATCTTCTTTGTCAGCGAGAGTATTTATTCAAGTGAAAGGCAACGTAGCTTTTTCCCCTGAAACTAGTAAACCTGTCAAAAAGATTCTGAAGGTGAAGAAGTTTAAACCAACAAAGATGAACCCCTGTTAACGTTTACAGTATCTACTGTATGTTAATGCTGGATATTTTTAGATACTCAGCCGCTTGAGTACTATTTTCTCTGTGCTATCACAAGATGTGTATTTATAGTTGATATATCAAGGCAGGCTGTCTTTACTAATATAAAAGCCTTTTGAAAAGGAGTCTAGACGGTTCCCAGAAGCGGACTATTTTTTTCCTGTGCATTGCTAGGAAAAGTATGTGGAGAGATGAGGAGGAAGAAGGAGAGAGAAAGAGAGAGAGACAAAAGCATAGGGTAGGTGAAAGCAGGCACAGACGGCAGGTAGCCACAGATGAGCAACAATAAGTAGGAAAGAAAAATGTAGCTTCTTAGGTAATTCTTTTGTGTCGAGGTTTAACTGATTGTTTTGAGGCTTTAAATGCAAATGTGGGCTGTTCAGGCTGCTATCAGCTTGTGGGATTAAGTAGTGTCTGTGTCAGCATGTATGCCACCTTGGACCTGTGGTTGTCATCCCTCAGATCCCTCCCCGGGGAGATGGATGAGACAGATGCTCTCCGCTCCAAACGCTACAATGAAGATGCCATTTCCCTCGCCCCCTCCACCACAGAGTCTATCATCGTTGAAGGTGAGTTAACCCAAAGATTTGGGGGACAAGACCTGGATTTCAACACTTGCACTTTGAACTGAACTGAGGGAGTTTTTTAGGTGCTAACAAAACTTTCTGTCAATCTGTTTATTCCTCTGAGATCCATGCAGCTGGAGTGCAGAGTTCTTGTTAATCTCGAAGGAGTTTTCTCAAATCCAGGGAGGAGAGGGTGTGGGGTGTATTTTGTGAAGTCAGGAGTGACCTCAGCCTCTCTCATTAAGCTGGATTGTGTGGGAGAGAGTGGTGCAGGCTAACTTGAAACTAGCATAGCCACTTAAAAAGAGAAACAGCGCAACACCTCTTTCTACCAGCTTCCTTGTTTCTGTTTGGTTTTTGTTTGTCCACCTTGTTTGGCTTTGCTGATAAGGTCAACGAAGGTCAGGTTTTTTTAATGCTAATTCAGCACTGCCAAACCTGTAAGTCTGCAATGAACTGCTTCGAACATTTATATTCATTTTTGGCTTTCCCTAAAGGCACATCACGCAAAAGTTATCACTGATTGGTTACAATTGATAGAAATTAAAGACGGTTATGTAAAGGTTATCTAAAGACATGTTACTTGTCGTCTTCTACTGGATGCTGTATGTATACATGAGCCACAATTACTTCACAGTTTGTGTCCAGAAAGGGTTTTTATATTTGACTTTTCTTTTTTGCTCATTATACTTCTGAAACAAATCAGTATTTTTGATGTCTCTGCTCCCTTCCTCAGATGCTCACTATGCGGCAGTGCGGGCTGATCTGGAGTCTGATGCCCAGGACCTGGAGGCAGAGTCATGGAGTATGGCAGTTGACCAGCAGTATGTGAAGAAGCACTCTAAAGACACGGTGAAGAGACAGGATGTGATATACGGTAAGTTTAGTCCCCTCCATGAAACGGCTGTCACGGATGTTGACTGTGTTGCTGATCAGAAGTGGACAGTTTTGATTCACTGTCATCCTGGTCTATCAGGGCTGCACACACGCTGAAAGTCATCTCAACCGCATTACATTGTGGACCATTTTTGGAAGTTGAACAGACATTTATTATCATTATTAATGCAGAAGAATTAGTCTTTCATATTTTCAACTCTCTTTCTCTGCATTCAAACCTGGTCCTGGTGAAAATCTGTCTGGTGTGTTATGCTTTTTGAAACTTATTTAGCCTCAGTCAGAGAGCTGTCTCTTCCTCTGAACTCGTCTGACTATTTTTGTGTGCTGATCTCAAAGTCTCGAGTCCCCTGAGGTCCGAGATGTGAGTGACAACTCTTAAAAAAGTAAATTCATTGATTAATTACAAAGTTCCTTTTTAAAAGATGAAAGATCTTTTGCTATTTCTGCTAGGATTGGTGGATATGATTTATGCTTGATTTAAAGTACAGCTTTAGTGAAAGGAAAAATATGGGAAAATAGGTTCTGGAGGGTTTGGATGAGATGAAGCACCTGTCATTACAGTTCATATGATTACATGTTTTCACCTGTACCCTTATGTCGCTGTTCAGAGCTGATGCAGACAGAGATGCACCATGTACGAACACTGAAGATCATGCTGCGTGTGTACGTCCGGGAATTGAAGGAGAACCTCCAGATGGACTCCAGCAGGCTCGAGTGCCTGTTCCCTCGCTTGGAAAACCTCCTTGAGCTTCACACACATTTCCTGTCTCAACTCAAAGAGCGACAGCGAGAAAACCTTGTCTCCCCGAATGAAAGAAACTACACTATCAACAGAGTGTCAGACATTCTGATTGCACAGGTGAGGAGAAGCGAGACAGAGGCCCTAACAAGAGCATGCATGAATAGAAATGACAGTTCTCTTTTGTTCCTCAGTTCTCAGGCGAAATAGGTGAAAGGATGAAGGACAGCTATGGAGATTTCTGCAGTCACCACACGGAGGCTGTCAGCTACTACAAAGAGCAGCTGCAAAACAACAAAAAGTTCCAAAACATCATACGGGTAAGACATATGAGCAGACGTCTGATATTTTTCTACAGTATCTCTGAAGTGCAGCACATCCAATTCACAGTCAGTCTGGGAAATGTCAGAATAATGTCTCTGTCTCTTCAGAAAATTAACAACTTGGCCATTGTGCGGAGGTTAGGAGTGTCTGAGTGTATTTTGCTGGTGACGCAGCGCATTACCAAGTACCCTGTACTAGTGGAGCGTATTCTGCACAACACAGAAGGTAACTTAAAGTACTCACCATCATAATTGAAAAACAAACACCCATATGTTCAGCCAGAAACGACCTTGTGCTGACTCTAAAATGGACTTTATTTCCTGTGTTTAGTTGGCACTGAGGAGAATGAGGATCTGACTCGGGCTCTGGGCCTGATTAAAGACACCATCGTTCAGGTTGACGCGCTGGTTAATCTTCATGAGAAAAACTCTCGACTCAGAGACATACACAACAAGATGGAGCCAAAGGCGCTGGGGAAAATCAAAGATGGCAGAGTGTTCCGCAGGGAGGACCTGGCTCTGGGAAGGAGAAGGCTACTGCACGAGGCCACGGTCAACTGGAAAGCTGCGTCTGGCAGGCTAAAAGGTATGACTTTACCTTAAATAGTTTATTTTACTGATCTGTAAATTGTATATTGTAAATGCTTTGTAATATTTCTGAGTGAATAAATATTGAAGAAAGGAGGCTGAGGTCCAGAGGGGTTATTCCATATTTTTGTCCTTACAGATATTCTTGCAGTGCTCCTGTCAGATGTGCTACTTTTGCTACAAGAAAAGGATCAGAGATATGTTTTTGCTACAGTTGTGAGTATTTTCTTTCTCTTTCTATGACACCCTCTCTACAAATACTCACATGAATGTTGTACTATGTGAGCAGGAGCAGAATTAAGGAAGTGATTCTAGGTTAAACAAGCACATCCTCCCGTCTTTTTTTTGTCCTCTTTTTCACCCAGGACAACAAGCCATCAGTAATCTCCCTTCAGAAGCTGATAGTCAGAGAAGTGGCCCATGAAGAGAAAGGCATGTTTCTTATCTGTGCGTCCTCCAATGAGCCGGAGATGTATGAAATCCACACAACCTCCAAGGAGGAGCGGAGCAGTTGGATGGCACAGATACGGCAAGCTGTCGAGAGGTAGCTACAGCAATACGATGAGGCAAAACATTTCTGTTTTACCCTTTTTTTAACATTTTATGATAACTAGAAATTTAGAAATTTCAAGGAACCTTACTCACCTTGCTTCATTTGTCCTGCCACCTATAACACCCTGTCTCTTGTAGTTGTCCTCATACAGAAGAGAGGCTGTTCAGCGAGCAGGAAGAGGCCAGAGCTTTCAGGTTTAAAGAATTTCAAGGTAACTGCAGAAAAAGTCAATAGACATTCACTGAATGAAACAGGAGAATTGCACGTGGTTGGCCACCAGGGGGCGATCATGTATCATAGTAAACTTAACCTGTTACAGGTGGTTTTGACTGTTTTTCTGCAACTTTTCTGAATTTTTGAATGATATTGAGACTGCAAAATTGTTTTTTTTTCTTTGCAAAATCTGTTTAAACCCTTTTAGTTTGAATATATCTGGAGGATGGAGGCCTCTGTGGGATGAAACCTTACACCTGTCGTCTCTTATTCTGTTTTTTCATTTGTAGAACGTCTGAGTCAAAAGGATGCAGTGATTGTCCAAGCTCTCACCGACAAGCTGCAGCTGTTTGCAGACATGGCAGAGTCTGTGGCAGGTCTAGAGGAAACTGCCGCACGTTCTAGACTTCTTCTTCGAGGAGATGCCTCAGACCTCCAGCAGGGGGAGACCCTGCTCAAAGGAGCCATCACTGAAGGTAGGCCACTGCTGCAGGATATGTGTATTAGCTCTGATCTGGAGGCATGGCACTATGGTGTTGTGGGAATTCAGCGCACAGATTCCTCATCTTCATGTCTTTGCTTTGCTTCCTGCTGCTCAGCTATAAATCACCATGTAGCGGCACTGTTTACCTTGAACCTTTCCAACTTCATTTCTTGTTCCCATCAGTTGAGAACCTCCAGAACCTGCTGCAGTCTGGAGTGAGAGAAGAGTCTCCAATCCCCCATCTGGAGGAGGGGAGCAGCTCTGGGGTTCTGCCCAGGCGAGCAGATACTTTCGGGGGCTATGACAGCAGCCCCACTATCCTCAGCAAGAGTGAGTCCTGTACAAACCATGCCCAGAGGAAGTCTGCTTTTTAACAGATGTGCCGCTGTATCTCAGTGACCTTAAGAAAAGATGAACTATGAATAAATTGGACACATTTTTGAAAGATGTGTATGGTTTTCTTACTTTCTCGGCAGCAGAGCCAACAAATCAAAAGCGGTGTCCAGCTTCTATCTCTGTATTTTTATACGTATGTTTATGTTTGGTCGATGCAGAATTTGTCCTTGTCTATTTTTCTGTGTTTCAGTCCGGTTTAATTATTTGTGTGTTTGTCACTGTTTGTTTCTCTGTGTGTGTTTATGTGTCCGTGCCAGATGGCAGCGTAAAGAAGAACTTTTCTGGCGAGTCCAGAAACAGAGACAGGAGCCAGAGAGCCAGCTCTGACCCTCAGCTCAAAGACCTGTGTGGCAGCCACACCCTGGAGCAGACGGTAGGGGCTCAACATAAACACACATACACACACACACAGACAGGCTGTAAATCCTTGAGAACAGTCATAGTATTACTTCCTGTAAGAAGTCATAACCAAACCAAGTCGTCTGGAAAGTTTCCACATGCTGATGTTCACTTCAACCCTGCTCTCACAGATCACATCATTTGTCTACATGAAGATAAAACATGGATGTGAATGTTCTCATAGCATACCAGAACATCACAGTCATGCTGATTTAGCCGACGAAACGGAACAAGTCTTTTCTGTTTCCTGAGAATAAGTGAACACCTTCAAAAAAACAGATTTTCTTGATTGTTTTCCAAACTTTACTAAGCTGTGATTTGTTGTTTTTATAATCATAGGATTTAAAAAGGTACTTTTTTTTCAATAGCAGTGAATAAATTGATCTATACTTCATTCCCTCTCATCTCAACTCTCTTGTCATGGTTGTGAAAATAAGGTCTCACAGAGCAACAAAAGCATGACGTTTTGAAGCGACTTCACAGAACTGTTTGGGTGTCTTGTTTTCGATGTCGTTTCAATAGCATGACTTGCTGCCTGTCTGTCTGGCTTGTTGTTGCTCAGGTTGATGAAAGCTGCTGCTCTCCTGCCAGATGGAACAGCATCTGGTCAAACTCCTTCCCTGAGGCTGAGGTAAACTTCTCCTCTCTAATCTATCACCGTAGCTCTGCTGGAGTTGATATTTTATAGCTGAGTTGAGAAAATGGAATAATGAGGAGTAATCTGTGTACGGTTTTATTTGATTAAAAAACTTTACCTGTGTCTTCGTCTAGTTCTTTGACAGAGTGCTGATGCTCTCCCAAAGGCTCTATAGTCTGCAGGTAACACAGTCCCTACCACTGCTTATAAACGTTGAACACCTGTGTCATCTGTGTTTATTGTTAAAAAGCACATTTACATACTTTAGACAAAGTCCAAGTTTCCTCTCAGTTAACTTGTCATTTTTCCATGGCCCGTGTTCCCATCTTTAGGCTATCATATCACAGCAGGACAGTCACATTGAGCTGCAGCGTGCCTCGTTGACAGAGCGTGCCTCCCTGCCAGGCCGTCACAGAGGAAATGTGCTTCTGGAGCAGGAGAAACAGAGGACGCTGGCCCTGCAGAGAGAAGAGCTGGCCAGCTTCCATAAGCTGCAGTCCCAGCACCGGCAGGAGCAGCAGCGCTGGGAGAGAGAGAGGGAGAGGCACCGGCAGCAAGTGGAGGCCACTGAGGCTAGACTCCGACAAAGAGAGGAGGAGTGCAGGAAGCTGGAGGTAAAGTGCCCAGTTCTTCCTTAGGATGTGTAGATGGGGCTGTGTGATATATCCAGTGTCAAAACATTGCAGCTTGCTCCATATGGAACATATAATATGCTGTACCACAACCAGTGAGTGTCCTAAAAACGGTAACATGGATGTTTGACAAGACTGTGATTTTCCCCCTTTTTGCATTCAAAAAAAGAGAAAAAAGTCCAAGTTCCAAAGGTCTGCTCGAATTATACCAGTGTCACTTTACGCATGAAAGGGTAGATTTTGACAGTACATAGTAATTCACATAGGAGTTATGAAATATGATTAAATTAAAGTGATAAATATCCATAGTCTTCACTCCAATATTACTGTTTCTTTCGGTGCAGGAGCATTTAGCAGAAGAGAGGAAGGAGCTAGAGATTCAGAGGGAGAAATACCAGCAGGATCTGGAGAGGCTGAGAGAGTCCACCAGAGCGGTGGAAAAAGAGAAGGAGCGCCTGGAGCACCAAAAGAAGATCAAGAGGAAGACTATTGAGGTGAGAAACCCTGAACAAAACACAGATTATCTGAAACCAAGGAATCACAGTGTATCTTAGTGCCTGAGAAAAGGCTCAGCAGACATGATAAGACGAGCAAGCTTGTTTTCATGAGCTGTTTTTATTGGTGTGTTTAATTTACTCTGGCTTATTGACTAAGGAAAGGTAGGCTTTATTGACAAATGGTCGTATAAAAATGGAATCACTACAGCTGGTTAATGACCGTTTGGAAAGTAAACCCTTTATTGATGGTCATAAAAGGTTATATTACTGCACCTGTAAAGTGTGTATAAAAAAAAGAGTGGAAATGAGGACAAGGGCGAGAGAAGTGAAACCAAGATAGATGGATTTGGTGACATTTAGTCACACTGATGAGGCAGAAGAAGAGACTTTTCAGTGTCTGTTGTGTGACTCTTTCTAAACATCCTCTCTTTGCCTTTCTCTCTCCCTTCCTTTCAGCTTTGTATAAATCTTAGTTTCACATCTGAAGTACTCTGAATATGAAACTCTGCCTTCACCCCCACAGCCTGTTTCATAAATATTAATGTATAATGCTGAGTACACACACACACACAGCTGATTACATCTCTGACCACTCACACGAGGAATCCACCTACGCAAGGAGCAGTCTTTCTCTTCCCCTCTGTTTCTTCCCTCTATGTCCTGTGTTGTCTTACATGTATCCGTCTTTCTCTCTTTGCGGTACAATGCGGGCCATTGTTTGTGAGTTTCATGGGAGAGGGACTTTTAAAAAGACACACTGACTGTAATTTCATGCCTGGTGCTAACAGATCTGTGGAGCAGTGACAGTGAAGTTACCTAATATCAGCCCTCAGTGTTTTTTAAAGGTGTGTATCACCATCGCTGAGGAGACTTTACCTTTTCTCGGTTCGAAATTAAGAGTTTTTGACTTTCAGTTGATGTGATTTTATTTTATTTTTCAGAAAATGATTTTTTAGCCAAAATATTGCAAAATGAACAAATCACAAGAATAATTGTCTGTGCTGGAAAGAAATCAAATAAGAGAGCCCAGAAGCTTACCAGAGGTCAAGAGGTCAGGCTTATTACACTCTAGGGCCCGGCTGATATGGATATTTTGGGGCTGATGCCGATACCGATGATTAGGGAAGAAAAAAATCTAATTACTGATTAATCAGACGATTTTTAAATTTTTTATGAAGTTTTAAAATTTTGTTAATTTAAGTAATTTATCAACATATTTACTTATTTTTTAACAAATGGCTGCTTTTGAGCCTTTCAAACACTTCTCAGTGACGTTAACCTCACTAAAAATCCACGTATTTATCATGAATCAAACTCAGACCAGAAAAGCATTTTCAACTTTTGGCAGATTACCGATTAGTCTCAAACGGGCTGAAATTGGCTGATTTAATCGGCTCGTTGATAAATCGGTCAGGCCCTATTATACTCTGTTTAACAGTTTGTATTACAGTGTTTCTCAGGGTTTGGCTGTTAGGTCATTTCACTGATAATATAAAACCTTCCTGACATGATTTGAACTTAAACTCATTTATACCTAGATGAAAAATTCATATTGTCTTCAGGATTATATTTCCCTTTTATCATGTTACAGTGTTGCTCTTTATAGTGACCTGAGCTATCATCGTCACCCCTCAAATCCACATTATTTCTCTTCACTCTGGACTCTTTGTGTCCGTGCTCAGTGAATGTTTGAACAAGCCTGTGTGTACTTTCGTCCGTCTGCTATTAGGGATCCATTCCAAGAGGAGAAGTGTGATCATGAATGATAGCTCCATTACCTGGGTTCAGTTTCTGTCATCAGGTTGGCGTTTGACACACCTCATGATGAGACTCGTGACTAATGCTCCCTCGTATTCAAAGCCAAAACTTTCAGCTGGATGAGTCAGTTTCTCTCCTGCTTTGTTAGCAAAAATATGAATAAGTGCACAAAAGACGGGGATTTTCTTCCCGTGACATTTGGCTGATCAAACCCTTTTTATCCAGTGTTGAACTGGTTCATGTGCTGCAACGCAAATGTGTCAATGAGGAAACGATTTAGGTGTGTTCAGTCCCTGTTTCTGCTAACAGCTGTTTATACCTGATTGACAGTTATCTCTGATCAGCTGACACAACAATCCATTCAAGTCCTGAATTGTTCCCAAAACAGAAAGCTTCTGTGTTTTTGTTCTGCTTTGGATCCTTTTTTTTTTTGCTCTTTTACATCTACGGAGAAGTTTTGCCCCCCTCCTTCAAACAATTTTAAGTCTGCCGTCTCAAAGATCTCAAAACAACATGACCATTCATCATCATGCCTCTCTATCCTGTGTCGTCTAGAGTCTTAACTCAAGTGCAGCTGACACGAGTAACTGCATTAACCATCTTATTACTGCATGAGTTGTATCCTGAGCTACTCACAGAGTCTCCTTCGAAATGACCCTCTGGCTAAACCAACCTCCTCTGTTGTGCTGATGACTAATACAGGGACCGGTGTAATTACAGAGGCCCTCTCTGAAACAGATTACCAAGTGGTTTGTTTGTAACATGCTCTGCAAGATAAGCAAATCTAGACGCACAGTTAGCACCCCATTAAACAGTGAGCATGTGTTTGTTTTGGACCAGCTCAGAAGAGCACTGGTTTATTTTGTACACATACAGATGTATGGGCTGCAGCTCCATACTGTCGTCCCTGCTGTGGGACTTTTCTTGGCTGCGGTCATGGAAGATTTGGAAGTGGTTTGTTCCCCCTCTGCGTCAAACACATCAAACGGCCTTTTCATCGTTGCGACCTCAGGATCTGTTCCAGGCTCCAAGCCAGCCTGATATCAACAGACATTTAATCACCACCAGCCCACATTAAGACTCATCAGCAGTCCCGTGGCGATATAATTAGCTCTCATAAAAAAAAAAAAAGGCATGCCTACTTGTGTGTCTATGTGCATGTTTCGAAACCTGTAAGTGTTGGCTCAAGTGTGCTGCTAGTCGCGGCATGTCCTTCCTTCTGAGGATCTTCTCTTTCATGTATTATCTTATCTGATCAAAGTCAGCGCCGCAATAAGGAATGCGCTTGGCTCAGGCTTTTTTATTGGTGCCTCTTTGGGATGGTGCCTTCAGTCTGATCGCTCAGTTAGATTGAAAGTTGTACAGTGTGATTATTATCAAGTTATAGATTCAATTTTGTGATTGTCATTGACAGTAAACATGAGGACAAGAAAACTGGACAAAAACTGCATTTAATGGTAAAGAAACCAAAAGGGAAGGAACTGAGCTTATGGCGATGGGGTCAAAGGTTTAATGCCCAGCTGACTGAGAGCAAGAACAATACTGCTTTCCCTCTGAGTAACATTTTTTTTTTTATGCTTCCAGGCAAAGCACTTAGTTTAACAACAGCCCCTTACTTCTGCTTTTTTTCCCAAGAGCCAAAAAAACTATCAAATAGAATGCCACTTAGTATGATACACGAACACAACAGAGGACATGACTTGAACATGGAAAGTTTGGCGATATTTAAGAGAACCCTTTTGAAGGTGAGTCATAAAACTGTGACCTGTACCCGTGTCTTCTACTCTTTGAGATATGTCTTTCCCTCTGTGGCCTCCAGGTCTCCGGGCTGATTTACGACGCTGTTTTCTGAGTGTGTTCTTGTGGTGTGGGAAAAAAAAATCTCTCCCCCCGTGCAACTTTTTACCCATCAGCCAACCTCACGATGTTCGAACACACCTAGATAGTTGTGGCTTGCTTTTTCTGCGATAACCTGACAGCGGAGGCTGTGTTGAGCAGAGATCGAGCTGGAGGGCAGATTTTTCTCTCTTAACCATCTGTTGCTGAAATCATCTCTGTGGTTTTTATTGACTCAAAACGCTTGAATTACTCATATTTTCAGCTGCTTAAAAGTTGTTGCATCAGTTGGCTTTTATACAATCTGATATGACATAAAACATGTTACTTGGCCTACAGTATGCAATAATGTCATGTTACAGCGTATTGCAATAATTTATATATTTAAAAAAAAATCATGATCATGGTTTAAGAAAAACTGAATACACATGCGTGTTCTAGACTTTATCATCATTATTATTAGTACTAATCACTATTGTTATTATTTCCTTTCTCTATTATTTATCTCTTTATTTCTGTGAACAGATGTCACTTTTTAATGTCTTGTGCAATATGTGTACCAAAATGCTGCACTGTTTAAAGATGTTCATAACAGTTAAAAAATATTAAAAAATTTAATTACAAAAAAGGAAAAACTAAAAACAGAAGTACTGAAGAATACAGATAAACAGAGCGCAAAAAAGGTAAAAGCATGATCGTAATAATTGAAATAAAATGAGTCTTTAAGTCAAATATCTTTAAAAAGGTGCTCTGTCAAGATTAAAAGGCACTGAAATGAAAACAAAGTTGAGAGAATATTTTCATGAGTCAGTTTAAGATCCAAAAAGCCTGTTCATTAATAACGTTCATGTTCATTTCTCTGCCAAGAACTGGAAAACTTACAGGCGTTCAATTTGTGATTTCATGACGCATGGGGGCAAAGACTGTAGAGTTTGGAGTTTTGATTTGATGATCGACTTTTTGTTGGATTTTCTCCCTACCAGCCAACCCTTTGAGTTGTAATGTGATTTTAATGTTAACCCCTGAATAGGTCCTGACACAGACCTGAATCATTATGTAAACAGCCAAGAGCCCAAAGACTCATCAGTCATTTCCAAATGTCTTTGAAAACGTGACTCACTCTGTGTGATATTAACTGTATCAACTACTTTGATAGAGTTTGGTTTTGGATTTGACAGGCTTTAGTTGAACAGCACTTGCTAATCAGAGTGGATTCACCTAAATTGAAGCTGCACATGGCCCGTAAAATACATCCATGCGTCAATATTGTAAACTTTCCAGGCGAGATTTAACAACCGGTATTTCCTTCCCACTGATCTCCATTGTGTACACAAAGCAACACATTGTGCAGAGTTGTTGGCGATATGGATGATATGGGAGTATCCAGGCAGTTTTCAGCATGAGAGGAACCTGGCTGTGTAATTAGCCGGTCCAAGTCTGTCATTAACAAAAGCTGCTGGAAGACAGCCAGTGCTAATTGTTTATATGCTGTCAGTCAGAGCTGTTTGTGCTCTACAACTTCCACATGGTTCACCCCCCCCTGGAAACCTGCTGTTTGTGCAGCTTAAAGTCGATCACCTTGTTCAGAGAACAATGGAACATCTGTTTGCTGAGATGAGTGAGTGCTGAAAGAAAGAAAAAGGGGGATTCAGAGAGGGAGAGAAAGAGGTATGGAGATTTTCCCAACTGCATGCAGGGCCTCTTTCTGCCTCAGGTCATCCTGTCATGCTCTGCAGTTACAGCCGGGGGAAGCTACAGTCTCTACATACACACTCACACAGTCACAGTCAGATGAGTTGGCCCTTCATGCCTTGTAAAACACAGTCATCATGTGTTCCCCGTCTCCTCAGGAAGTATTGTGCTTTGTCATCAATCATGTAGTGTGTGCACAGCATACCAAACAGAAGAGATAGAGACTGATGTCGGGCCTTCAATACAAGATACCTCTGTTACAACTGGTCTTAGCCTAACCAACATTACTTCGGTGATGTACTTTAGGTCCGTTATATTTTATAATCATTTTTACAATTTTAAAAACCTAACCCTAACCCTAACTTTACAATAACCATCTAAGTAATGTTTAGAGATAGTTTAGAAACCAAATATTAATCATTTACAAAGTGCTACTGACACACATTTTAATCTAGATGTTTTACAACCAATATTTAAACCCTGTATAAACCTTTGATAAATAGTCCATTAATAATTAATGAAAGTTATTAATCATAATTTCATTGCTTGTTTATGGTAAAGAAACCATTAACTTACATTTATAAACTATCTAATTGCCATTTATAATTGGTCTATATGCTGGTTTTAAATGATGATTAAATAATAAACTATATATTTATCATTTACAAATTACGGTTATTGTTAAGTGTTACCAATAAAGGTTGTAGTCAGTTGTGTTGACAGCCATGTGACATCAGTTAGCTCCCACATAAATGATTTAACACCTCAAGATTGATTGATTTTTGTTTTGCTAGACATTACTGATGTACAGCCTCTACCTTTTTGTCTTGTAAGTATGTACTGAATTATTTGTAAAGCAACATCTTTGTCTGATTCTCTCAATGAATGAGTTTTTCTGGTTCATCTCTGAGATGTTCTTTTTTTCGGCTCACAATGCTGACAATTCACATCCAAAGAAAAAACATCTTTGACTCCTAAAAAATGTGTCTCCACTCTCTCTAAAAACTTCATCATCGGTCGTACATGTGCAGTGTCTGTTGGATATCCATGTGCAACAAATCAGGCTGCAGTATTACATAATGGCTTGAGCTTGTCTTGCATGTCTTACTCTGGCAAAGGAACTGTTTGTCCTCCTCAGTAATGCAACAAATATTAGACTATACAAACATCACACAGCTCCATTGTTGCAGAAGTCCTTCTGGTCAGTCTAATTGAATAATGATCATGTTTGCTGATCTGTAGAGATCAGATGATCTTCCTGTCAGTCTTCTAATTAAGTGGACAATGCAGTCAGTATCTTCTGTCCACTCATGTCATGAGAGCCATTTCCTTGTTCCCCTGCTTGTCTAACAGGCCTGTCTGTTTCGCAAGGCGCGCCTTTATTTGCATAGGGACTATTAAGGGTTTTTTGTTTCCTGTTGTGTGCATGTGTGTGTGCGTGTGTGTGTAAGTGTGTGTATATGCACATTATCCTTGAGCCTCTTGGAACACATCAAAAGCCTGTTACCAAACTGGCCAAACTGTGTGCTCAGCAGAACAGGTCTCATGTGTTTCTGATTCCCTCTCGATCCCATAAATATCCTGCTCCTCAAAAGATTGTGTTTCTGTGATGGCAAAGCTTTACATGTATAATTCAGAGTGGAGTATCTGTGCCTATGTGTGTTTTTCACATCATCAAAATTAAACTACGAATTGATTTTTTTTTTTATTTCATGTAGAACTTTTACCAAAAAGACAAACTTCTCTCCATCCTCACAAACATAATGTGCACATGTGTCAAATTCCTCAGATTCAGAACTGAGTGGAACCACAAATCACAGTGCAGAGTGGGAGGCAAGCTGTTCTTTGTGAAGTCGAGACTAAATTTTGAACTCTGTCAACATGTGGGACTGTCGAGGAAGACTGGGATTACTCTTCACTAACAGCAGATAACTCTCCCCCTTCAGGTTGCTCCTCTGTCTGGCAGTCTAAATGGCGAGCTCCTCATGTCCTCTGGCCTCGCTCCCTCCACCAGTGTCACTGACCTCCCCCTGCCTCCTAAGCCTCTGGTGCGCGCCAGTCTGTCTGTGGCACCAGCCGATTACGCAGAGCGCCCAGAGGTGATGCTGCGCAGAGAGACCAGCTCCTCCACCCTGCCGCTCAAGACTGAGGTACCGCTCCACCTCTTCAGCACCACCAACCAGCTGCACAAACCAGTCGGGGTGCAGCAGCAGATCCCCACCAAGCTGGCCGCCCTCAGCAGCAGCAAAGGGAAAGGAGGCAAGATTGGCAAAGCCTCCCATCGCACTGACAGCACTGGTAAGGAGAAAGACCTCAGGCAGTGAGTTTTGCATCATCAGCGGCTTGCAGGGTGGTCCGGTGGTTTTACAGACTGTCTGCATTGTGTGTGGTCACAGGTCCAGTCCTCCATAAGTCTGTCAGCGTAGCAAAACACTGGCTTGGCATCCTCAGATCCATCAGCTAGACTATATTCATTTTCACTGGCCGAGGGATCGGAACTGCATTCCTGCTCAAACATTTCCCTCCATTTTTAGGTAGACCTGACCCGTTATGGTCCTTTTTTTAGGAACAGAGTGGATGTTATAAGATGACGATACAGGGGTGGTGCTTCTGCACTTTTGTTAACATGGGCTTCCTTTTGATTGTGTAATGTATACTTGAAATGGATTTGTTTTAGGTATAAGTAAACAACACAGCACAGTGAAAAGACATCTTGTGCTATAATGCTAAAATCACAGTCACTCCGCTCAGCAGTGCCTCATTGATCTCGTAATTTTACAGACACAACCAATTTCTCCACCCTTATATTTAGTGAAAAGTCGACCTTTCTTTATTTTCAATATCAGACACAATATCTAGTCAGCCAGTTTCTGTTATAGGAATGGACTGCAAACATCTTTTACTAATAAAATCTTTAATCCTGCACTTAAAAATGGGCTGCAATATTCCCCAGAGAAATTATTGGAAAAGAGTAGAATCTCAACACCAAAAATGTGCCATAAAACCTGTCTTACCATCCATCAGTACAACTGAATTTCCAACCCAGACTGTACACATTTTAATTTAGAAGTTGTGAAATAGCTCATCAGATTACGCCAACAAAAATCTCTCCAAAAACCTGAGCTGGCAGAGATGGATGCTATAAAACTCATATTTAGCCAATCTTCCTCTTAAATATCAGAACCAGACTCTGTCTCCTACTTTAGCTGCGTTTGTTGTGCTTTAATGGATTGAATTCTTGACTATAAAACTGACTGTAGCTTCTTTGCGTTCTTGCCTTTTGTACGTATCAACAAAGATCTTAGCAAGGTTAGTGTCAGTTTTTTCTGCAGGTTTTCAAATGGATTTTGATAACTACTCGTTAGGGCTGGGCGACATGGCCTCAAATCAATATCAGGATATATTGAGCAGTTCACCTCGATAACGATAAATGGACGATAACTACTCCATAAGCCGCTCACCCCCTCCCACATTAACTTTGTCTACTTCAGCCACCGCTCCAGCCTCAACAACTTTAGAACCGTCTTCCATCTCCTCACCTGTCTTTCCCTCTTTGTTACCGACTGGATGGGGTGGAGTCACATCTCTGAGCATCTTTAAAGGACATGAGACCATAGCCTACCTACACACATCCAAAACCAACTTTTATTTATGTATTTTTTTGACACGGAATATACCGATATGGGCAGAATGACCTCGGTTATTGACGTAAATTTCAGTATTGGTAAGTTTTTTGTTTATCGCTCAGCCCTACTACTCGTCATATTTGACTCTCACAGTGACCAGAGAGTCTCGTTAAGTACAGCTGCGTGGGATCATTAAACTACACAGTGTTGTCTTTCAGATTTTCCCCTTTTCTTGCTCCTTTTCAAAGAGAACAAAAACATTACAGTTGGAGTAGCTGTTGCACTGTGGTATGGAGATATTGTGATGAAAAACAGCGATATGCTGGACTCCATATATGGGCGTTACATGATTACAATAATCATACTATATGGGACAGGGTTGAGCATCTGTAAAACATCAGCAAGTGTTGCACTAAGGCTTCTTTCTTTCTCTCACACTTGCAGGTGATTTGTTCCCATCCAGCCCTCTAAACCATTACATTGATTTTTGTCTCTTGCTCACTGTCATTGATACACCGACCATCTGTGTCTGACAGGAGCTTGACCTGATCATGATTTAAGTGTCTCATTAGGATCACATTAGCCGTCTTAATCGGGTCAGCTCTCAGATATATCACCGTGTCTTCACTGAGGCGAGGCTGTGGGGGAAATCTGATTGTACAATTAGATCACCCTCTGACTCTGTTTGTCTTGTTTTCTCCTCTCCCTCCTCCTCAGCCTCAGTGGATATGAAGCAGATGCTGCCTCTGAAGCTGTCCGCCAGAGACGATAACGCCCTGAAGGCTAAACGCTCCATCAGCCCCCACCAGCAGCTCCCTCTGTCAGGCCCTCCTGCATCTCACTCCCTGCATCACCTTGCAGGTACCATTGATGCACACAAACTCATTTATAGTACACACACACACGCACATGTACACACAGTTCCTCCTTTTCTCCACAATGACAAACCCAAACACAATCTTCTTTGTCTGCCTTTGCCTGCTGCATTATTAAACATGGTTCCCACAGACACCAGCCTGAGACGCACATTCTCCACCTGGGCAAACCGGACTCCACCTGACTGTTGCTCTCTGAGGCTTACATTCATACGCAGCCTCACCCTGTGTAAACACACATCAATTTCACACACTGCACCATGACTAATGACAGGCCGTGCTGCTGACATGTTTGAACACTTTAATCCTGCGCCTTTACAGCTACCTCTGCCGCATGAAAAAAATCTGGCAGGATTTCAGATGATAGATTTCAGTTAGTCTGAGTTAACCCGTCTGTATTAAACAAGCATAAAGGGCTAATCTGCTGCGAGATTTGATGCTATTTCTGGAGTAATCCCACATTGTCTAATGGTCTTTCTTTTGTGTTTCTAACAGATCAACTCAGTCCTCTAGACAACACCGTGCCAGACACCCACTCCACTTCCTCCATCAGCGCCTCCCACCCTCCAAGTGTTCAGAAGCCCCCTATGCCTCCTGCGCAGCCCCATCCTCAGCCCTCCATCCAGCCTCCCAGCATCCCTCCTCCCCACTCCCAGAGCACCGGGTCCCTCCAGTTCCAACCTCACCTGCAGTCACAAGGTCCCAGTCCAAATGCCCAGGCCCACCTCCAGGGGAACGTTCACGGGCTCACCCACAGCCACAGCATGCCACCACCCTACAAGATCAACACAGAGGACCTCAACAAGGAGGATGTCATCTTCTTTTAAACTTGAAGAGTATGGTTGAAGATGTGTCCCACGTGAAGGAGCTCTTACCAGCCATCATGGGATATTGAAGTAGTTCAGTCCTTGCTAGGGATGGGAATTAATAAGGTTTATCAATATCGATGCCATTATCGATTCAATCCTTTAACGATTCCCTTATCAATCTCTTTATTCGTTTAAAGAAAAGTAGACTATAGGTTTTCACCCTTAACTGAAAATTTGATTGAGTCTCTGATAACAGAAAAAGATTTATGTCACCTTCAGTGAGAGTCTAAAAATAATCAAACAAAAATGCTGTTTGTACAGCATTTCTGGCATGCATTGTGTTCATGTTAACACAGGTCATACGTTAGGGTGACCATATTCTGAATCCCCAACAAGAGGACACTACTACGTGCGGCGGTCTTGTGCACAAAATTTTGAGGTTTTTTTTGGGTCGGGTCGAGTGTTTTTTATGTTAAATGCATATTATCCTGAATTCCCAAAGACAGTGCATGCGTGCGTTGTGTTAGCAGCTTTGCTTAGAAGTGAGCGGTGGGGCAGAGCTGCGGGGAGGACTGATGCGCCGCACTGTTTTATAATAAATGCATACATGTTCCGGACATTTGAAGGATCTTACAAACTTCCCCTGGACAGCCCCCCTAAAGAGGACATGTCCAGGTGAAAGAAGACATATGGTCACCCTAACATATGTACCTTTAATGTCGGGCTGAGACAGAGCAGCAGCGGCTAAGACAGGCGGAGAGCATCGAATACATGTGACTCCTTGTATTTGATGCCGTGCCTTGTTGACAAATGTTTAAGCATGTTGCTGGTGTTCCCATCTTTGCGTGTTATCACTCGACAAAAATGTTGCACTGTTGTCATCTTTCTTAGTAAAATTAAGCCACGCATTAGCTCGTCCGCCACATTTTTTACTCCTGTCTCTGTTCCCGTTCGCACAGACTGGCACTCGTGAGACCGTTTTTCAAGGAAAGGAATTGTTAAGGGAATCGTTTAGATAAAATATAAATGATGTCGATGGATTGAACCATTTGGAACCGGTTCTCGATTCCCATCCCTAACCCTTAGCAGGTGCAGCATTGTTGAGGCATGATTGATTCCATTGTTACAAAACTTCAACAAGAGCATGAAGCGTCTGTCAGCTCTGCAGGCGCCCTTTTAGCAATATAAACTCTTTATCAAGAAAGATAACAAAACTGCCTCCCCATCTTTGTTTACACTGCAGAACAAAGAAAGTGAAACCATTTCAATGAAGTCGTATCAATCCAAAGACTCTGGTCATGAAGGCTGAAGGGGAGTTGACTGAAGGGGTCGATCTGAAGATGAGATGATGTGTGATGTTCAGGTCAGGAAAATTCAGCGAAGCATGAAATGTGAAAAGTGCATCCTGGCTTTTACCATCATCTTCCTTTTGACCTGAAATCACAAGAGACATTTCAACCGCAAGTAAGAAACAAATCAAAATATTCCAATATGGTCATTTGCACAGTGTAAATACTTCATTCCAGACGAATGAATGAACTTTTATGGACCACATATGTGCTGTTCGATTGTAAAGATGTAAAAATTGTGAAGTTTTTTTTTTTTCATTATATCGTCGTTCTTTTTAATCATACCTGAAACAGACGGCTGAATGAGTAGGATGCATTTCACTTGTTGGGAAACTTGACTCTGGTCTTTAAACCAAGCTGGAACGATGCTGAACTTCAACTGATGAAGATGTTTTTAATCTTTTAAATCCCTTTACTGTATCTTTAAGAGACACAACTTAAAAATCACATCTGATGCTGTTTTAGTGAAACTGATGTACTGTACAAATCACTAAATTTATTTTAATCATAAATAATTTGGCTTAACTCAAAAGAGCAAATCAATAATGTATTTTACATCGTTGATGTGGAATTGGAACTTCGGCAGGAGAAAAAGCCCTTTTTAGCCTAAGAAGGTACCGTTTCAGTTGTGAAGGATTATTTCACCAAGGCCAAAATGTGAAGGATGAAGAAAGCGATCAAACTGATTCATATGTCAGTTGAATTCAACAAACAAACAAGAAAAAGAGATTAGCCCGGTCCTACCTTTCACTCACTGAGATCTGTTTGGCATATCGTATCATTTAAAGCTTTGAATTTGTTGGAGTTTGTTCATCTTGGCTAGGCTGGTGTATCTATAATATATTTATAGAACTGCCAGCTTTAATTGATTTTTTTCAAATTAAATGCAGACCAATTAGCTGGATCTTGTGTTTCCTAACAGAAAAACAGGACTGTGCTAAGTGCAGCAAACTCAAATATCAGCTGAAAGAAACCCTAACCCTGGTTCAACAGGAGAACCTCTGAAATCATGAAGGACAGGATGCGTTTATTCATCCTGAGTCTCTGGAGGGGAAAATGTCAGAGGAGTTGTTGTTTTTTCTTCTCTTTGACCAAGTAAGCTCAGACGACCAGCTTGAGTTTTCTGAGTGTTAATTTAAATTGTATATATGTTATTGTACATACTATATGTGATCTCTTCTGATCCAGCTGTCTTTGTACGCATAATTTCAGTAGGAACAGAAGTATTTAACATGAATCAAAATGTAAAAGTCAGCCAAAAGTCATTTTGTGTATATGTATATACATTTGAAATACACACAAAGCTGTGTATGTGTGTATAATACGGTACACCTCACTTGTATAAGCCAGTAGCAGTCTAATGAACTCACAATCACTTATTTCTTTTGTTTTAAAGGACTGAAAACAAAGGTGTGCATATTTAATCTCTTGACACATGTCGATGTAGCATTGAAGTCGAGGTGCACTGTATGTTGTCCTTCCTCTGCGGCTCATGATTGATGCTTCACCAAGATTATGTAGCGGTCATGAAGACTAAATCATCTGCTTGTGTGTGTCGGTTAAACCAAAGATGCATCTGGCTGACTGGGTTCCTGTCTGAGCTCCTAAATGAAGGATCAGCGACTCTTGGCTGGTTGTGTGGTCTTTAACCTTTAAATCATCCTCCACCATGTCGTTCATGACTAATTTTCAGTTGATGTTTCATCCTCTGATTATACATGGAAATCAATCACATATGTGCACCATCTCTTAAACAGAGGAGTATCAATGTGCACGTGAATACATGAGGTGATCTCAAATTGTGGGAATGTGCATGTTTTGTTTTGTCAATATCCCATTTCACGGTCCACTTGTGTCTTCTCTGGATTCATATCATAACCTCATCCCAAGTATAACCGCTTTAACAAGCTCTTGAAGTGCTGTAAACAAAATCACAGCCATCACAGTTCAGGCATGTCAATACAAGTCAGTTCCCTCTGTTCATGACGGCCATGCTGTTTGTTTTTAAACGTTTCAGAGAGAGCCATTCCATGGAGTGTCTTTTGGGATCGTTTTTTAAGTGAAGCATGAGCATTCATTCTGAAATGTAAAGATATTCCCATTTGTGTCCAATTTCCTGCATTTCCAAGTATGTCCTGATTTAACTTTGAAAGAGAAGAAACCGATTAAGGAGTTCTGCTCCAGGTACGAGACTGATAAAAATTAACATGGATGCTTCCCGTTTGGATCCTCTAAAAGTCTTAATAATGTCGTCTCACTGTACTGAAATGTTTTTGTTGTTTTAAAACTTGGGAGCCAGTCAGTTGCATCACTGACTGTTTGTGCGTCTGTGTGTGTGTTATTGTGCGTGTGTTTGTGTGTGTGTGGATGCCTGCCATGAGAAAAAGAGAAAAACTCAGTGGAAACATTCCAGAGCAGCTTGTTTCCATTTGTGTTTTTTTAATCTCGACAAGCATACTCACATGTTGGACCTGTATTTTGTAAATAATCGTGGGCTCATTTTCATTTCCTCTGCCAATTTTTTCACTAGTCACTTTGGATAGTAGCATACTTGAAGGGGAAAAACGAATGTTTATAATAATGCTTATTATTAATGTCTGTGAACTTTTATTTACCAAGAGCTGTCTGATGTTTGTAGCACACAGCAAAACTGATTTTTGTACTGTTGTATTTTATTCACTGTGAGATGTTAGAAGGACCTGTGGACACAAACTGCTGCCTTAGAGAGAGAGATTAGTAATAAAATTCTTACAATTATTATCTTGTTATTGTATTTATTGACGTTTCCAATCACAGCGGAGAAAACTGGTTTATTTTGAGGCGTATTTTGGTCACTGCTGCGTGGGCAAAAGCCAAGCGTGCAATGAATGTTTCCCGTTGGAGTAAATTTGTATTTACCAGGATTTGTTGCACCCCCTGAAAAAAAACCCACCACATTCACATGTAACATGTAATTCAACCTCATTATTTAGATTTCTATTCAGCGCTTGTCAAAATAAGCCTGACCACCCAATTAGCTAGCACCCTAGTCATGCCTGCGTGTCTAGGAGGTGCAGTAAGAGTGTAATTGACTCTGTATTTAGACGGCCTAATAACAGTCTATTCCCAGACAAAGCCTTATTTAAAGGTGCTGTGGTTGTGGCTGTTCAGTCCTAATGTAGACCTTCCTGAGAGCAGTGCTGTCGTTATTGTCATCGTGCCTGGGAAGACGCTACAGTAGTGGCCACTTTTATTGTCTGCTGTCATTAGTGGCTTTCCTCTGTCTCCTCTCAACAATTATTTTTCCAGGCTGCTTCCCCTGCGGAGGGAAGCAGCATTTTACTCCGTCTTTGTTTCTGTCTTGTTTCTTCCACTGCTCTGCCTGTTTTTCATGTCTCCCTGTCGCTTCTCCTTTCATCCAGCGTCTCCAGTCCTCCTCAGCTCGACCGCCTTGCAGCTCAAGAGGCGTTTTATTTAATCCAGTTTGCAGGAAATCAGGAGTCTCAGCTGATGTGTGTGAGAGGCCCTTCTCACCGCAAAACTCAACAAATACATGGTGCTGTGCAGAGAGAGACGTGCAGACTCCCTGCAGACTCATAAAACACTGAGACAGATGTTGGTTTGATAGACTCCATGTCAGCAGTTGGTTTTTGTTGTACTTGTTTTTACTCTTCCATGCGGTTTTAGCACATTGGCACCATGAGAGTTGGATTGAGGGGAAAGGATTTATGAAGGGTTCAGCCTGATCACTGCATCACAATTCAGACTCAGGGGCTGCCGAACTTCTTGGTTTGTCCCTTTTGTGGGAATATCTGCATGTATCAAACAGGCTGTTTGTGACCGTTTTAACCAGCATACAAAAGTAATTACTGTTCAAGATTTAATCATGTTTGCTGCTTTAACGTCTTGTTTTTAAAGGTCCTGTGAGTAACTTTTGTATTAAATTTAACTCAGGCGCCCTCTTTGGCGGCAAAGTAGTCTTAATTTATTTTTTGGATGCTTTGTAGGGCAGAGCTCGGGCAAGTCAATCACCGAGTGCAGCAGGGTGACGCAGGAAGAACATTTATAATCATTACTTTATCATTTCCTTGAAGTAATAATCATCATATTAACCATTTCGCACTGCAGACGTGGTAGTTCTTCTGTCTTAGCGTCTCGGTCTGATTGCATTTTCATGAAGAAATGATCATAAAGGTTCAGACTTGAGCTGCATCACCCCACAGAAGTCTGTAATGGATTTGTCAGAGTTCTGCCTACAAACAAGCAGCTGCTGGAAGAGAGTGGGGGAGTTGTGTTTAGTCTCTTTGCTAAAGAAATCTGATGTTTGGTGGCTAATGCTATGGCTGGGACCCTGTATGTACTGCTGATGAAGTTAGGTGCTGTTCTGAGCATTATTTGTGGCTAAAGAGTGGCGCTTTCTTTGAGGTGTGCGCATGGAGCCATAGACCGCTGTGTATTGCTATCCTGCGGTCGTTTCTAAAGTTGGTATAACTAGAGAAGCAAGCGGTCGGCAACATTCATCTCTTGGGTGTCTAACCTTGGTGTTGTGATTTGTTTGACCCTAACTTAATTTTAAGCCGGAATATCCCTTTAACTGAGAAAAAAATCTCATCCTGCTGACTTTTGACACCGTATGTTTAATCTGTTGTGAGTAGATTATGTGGAAAGAGTGAAATCAGGGCTGTTTCTGTAGCTGCTACCTCCTTGTAATGGTTATAGGCGTTATAACTTAAAGTATAGAAATAGTCAATTTTGTCACCCATGATCTTGTGTTTATTTTATATATCAAAAAATGACATCAGTATGAATTTGAGTAGATTTCATACACATCAAAAAATTTCCTCAGAGGAGCTTTAATAATTATATGAAGTTAAGCTATAAGCAGCTTCAGACGGCTGATTTGGAGGTAAATTTGAAACAGAAACTAAAAGTCAGAGGAGTTAAGCTTTGTTACAGTTTTCTTAAGAAACACATAACTGCTGTAGCCCTTTGCCTCTAGCATTTCTAAATGAGAAAATAAAAAATACAGTTTTATAAAATCTAGTTTGCTACCATTCAGTTAACAATCCATCATGTTTATCTTGTGACTCTCAGTGGAGAGGTCCGGACCTCTAATTTAGGAAAACACCGTGACCTACATCTGAAAAGACTGTAAACAAGTGTGCGACTAACTGAACCTCTGGTGCTGTTTTCACCAGGGATTTTTCACAGAAATTGTGTTCATGGCTGGTTATCTGGTGTTTTCTCGCTCACGGTCGACACAAAGATCCTCTTGTTAAATCGACACAAAGCGGACTCTGTCTGTCTCCCCTCTGCTGACACCCAAGGTGATAAAAGAAGATAGCCACCAGGATAAGACGACTCTCAGCCAAGACTTCTTCAAACTCTGCTTATATAACCTCCTTGGCAGGCAGAAGTGTAACCCGGGAGTGAGTAATTTGTTCATGATGAGTGAATTATTCAGATTGTAGCACTTATCGATAAAGACCAGAGCATTAAAGCATTAAAGCTCCATATACTGCGACGTATCTATAGTATTTAAGTCTGCATATTTCTCATGAGCTGTAAAGTGTGGTATGTAAACTAGGACAGATGCTCTCTGCCTTATAGTTCGCTGTGGATGAATGAGAATCATTGTTCTGTAACCTCCTCAGCTGATCTTCCACCTTGCAGTAACAAAAGAAGCCCCTGTGTGGGGGCAACGGTGAGAAGACTCAACAGAGAAAGGTTATGCCAAGCAGAAATCAGATCAGGTAGAGGCCTATTGTTCAGTCAGAGGAGATGCCTCAGGTGAACAGAGAGCAGGAGATGGATAATAAAGGAAGTGTGCTCTGTGCTGACTCGCCCTTTGTGCTCACAGCCTGCGCTCTGCAGTCAGCGGTAGCCTGGTGACTGTCTGGTCATTCCAGTTTATCTCCATGTGCCTGTGTGCTGATTACACAGCATGAGGAGCGAGTGATGAATGCCAACATTGTGACGCCTGCTCCAGAGAAGAGCAGACACAGATAACCATTGTGGAGAGTCCCTTTTACTTTAATGGAGACTATTTTCTTATCTAAAGCTAGAAAGCTAAAGGTGAAGTCTTTGTAAATACACCCACTGATATATATTTTTTTATCTTTGAGGGGGTTTGATGGGGAAATTAAATCAGTTGTGTGTCCTTTTTAATACTTTAAAAAAACACTAGTTGTACAATTTCTATTACATCATTTTAAATTATACCACTCAGCTTAATATCCTATCAAGGGAGAGCTAGCTGGTTGAATGAAGTGCTAGCTTGTGTTAGCATAACAAACTAACTAGCTAACAAAGACTTGCTAACTGTTTTTTTAACTTCTTATTTTAATGATACACAGATTGAGTTCTTTATGAAATTTTTTTAACAGGTACAGTTGTGAGAGTTTTGGTGCATCATTACACCCAGAATTTAAATATGCTTTTTTAATGAGCTTTATGAGCATTATGCTAACTGCTTACAACAACATTGCGATAAGCTATTGTTTGCTTAAAATCACATTATTACAAAGCCTTAGAGGTGTATTTTAAGGCTTTTGTATAAAGTAATCTATCTATCTATCTATCTATCTATCTATCTAGCTAGCTAGCTATCTATCGTTCTATCTATCGTTCTATCTATCGTTCTATCTATCTATCTATCTATCTATCTAATCGTATTTTGCAGTATTGGCCTTTTTCCTGACTGGGAACACTGTTGCCTTTAGACTTAGTAATGCTAGCTCTGCACCGTTGTATCTAGGGTTTAGGTTACATTGAGCCAAATGGCTTTTCTTGCTTAAATTTACAGTGAACCTTGGCAGAAAGTCATGGTTATCAAACTTACTGTTAACAGGCAAACATGTTTTTTCTACGGACTACGTTTTTTTATTTTTCCTCTATTTTCATCTAAAAATATGTTCACGTCTAATCAGGCCGACTGAATCTGTTTCCGAGGTGTGGTTGTTGATGGGAGGTATACGATCAAGTGTTTAAAACTAGTGCACAGTCTGTTCGCAGCTTTAAGTACCAACCATCTGTGTCTCAGGATGCAGTATTGTTGAGGAATGATGCAGTGTGGGAGGTCTCTGGCATTTTCAAAAGAGCAGAAAGAACTTCCCTCATGCACACACAAACCCACACTCACACACATTTTCTATACCCAAGGCAAATCCTACTGGTGCCAAGACAAATAGCCTCCTGGCAACTTGCATGGAAAAGCCTCTCCATGTCAGACTGTGAAGATGTGGGCATTTTAAGTGGCTGAGTTTCCCCTAAAAAGACCCATTAGGAACTTTGTGTGAAAGTTTCTTACCATCGTGAAGTTGTTTTTGAAGGTCTTGGCCAAATGTTGTGCGTTGCTTTTAAGAAAATTGGTAAAAGGATTCAAGTGAATAGATTCTTACACTAAAAGGCAATATGTGGAGTAAAAGGAAAACACTTTCAGGAGGCCCTTGAAGATAAAAAGTGACGTGAAATGTATCTAAAGTGGGTAAAAGTGAGCCGTAGGGTCTTTTCGTGTCAGATGAAGCAGATGCACTTTCCTTGATGATGCACTTTAACTTCCTTTTATTAACTTAAAGAACTCCAAAGTGGATTTGTTGTTGGAAGGATGTGCCCTGAGGTGCTGCATTTTATTCCATTATATCCCTCTTCAAGACCACAAAAGAAGAGAGTAGTTGCAGTCTCCATCCAAACGTGTGATTTCTGTGAACATTCTGATATTTGATTGTGTTTTTCTTGAACATCATGAGAGCTGATTTCAGACAGAAAGCCCAAACTCAGCTCTGAAACATCAGTGGGAGTTCTTATTTTCAGCTGCCTCCGTACTTCCCGTTTTCTGAGAAGAGAGAAACACAGTAAAACTCGGCACAAGTGCAGTACTGCTCTACAAGGGGATCTAAACACGGCCTCTCTGATTTAAGAGCTGGAACCAAGAAGTCGCCAGCCTCCCACCAGAACTGGCAGTGTTGGATAGCTGTCTGGCTGCTGTTTAAAGGGGGGACAGAGAGGGAGGGAGGGGAAGGATTGGAGACGAAAAGACACTGCCAAGAGACTAAAAGGCTGCCTAACTGCTGCAACGGCAAACAGCGATGAAGACAAGGCCGGTAGATTTGTTTGTCGTGTTGCTGACAGGACACATTTAATTGAGACACCCCAAGTATACAGATAAAACTGGCATGTCTATTTGAGCTGCTGGAGATGAGACTGAGTACAGTGTTCTCATTTGAAGCCCAATACTCACACCCTCATAGATTAGAAGATGCAAATACAAAAATTTAATAAAATAGCATTAAAAAGATTCTATAAAACTCTGAAACCATGTCTTAGTAGTGTCTGCTGTCAACCTTTAATTCTACAAAAGTAATAACATGAAACTCTTAATTTGTGGAAAAACTAGAGTGGTGGGGTGACTTGATCTAGGTGTGCTGTATCATCTTGTAGCTACTGTCACATGTACCAAACCCTCTCTCAGTTCATTTGTTTTGCAAAACAGCTTTTGAGAAGAACATTAGCACTGTTGGATTTACATCAGTGCGAAGTTTGTCTTTTTCTCTCTTTTTTTTTTTACTGACTGTACACTGGCTCAGCAAAGATGGTCAGGGTGCATGATTCAGCCATAGTTAGGTGAAGGCAACAAGAGTATTTGGATAAGATTCACAGGAGAATTTTTCATTTATTTTTTGTCATTGATGACTTTTTCAAAATTTAATCCATACAACATTTACCAAAAGCAGAGTGCTATAAAATGCTGATTGTGCTTAAAAATATGAGTGATTCGCTAACTCCTCAAGGCTAATGATGTGTATTGAAATGTGTTTATGCTAGGGGTGGGAATCACCAGTGACACTATGATACGATATTATGATGATACTTGAGCTACGATACAATATTGTTGCAATTTTTAACATTTTGGAATACAGTGAGTGCTGCAATACAATGTACTGCCATTTATACAATTTTTCCAACTGTTTAGCTAATGTAGCATTTGGCTTTCCCTTATGTTTGTCTTATTTACGCTATTATTTTTCTATTATCATAGATTTGACTTCATATTAACAATTAATTTGAAAAATCGATGCTTGGTAAATGAGACGATACGATATATCGCCAGACAAAATATTGCGATATTATGCTGTATCGATTTTTTCTCCCACCCCTAGTTTATGCACATCCAAGTAGCATAAGGTTTAGTCAGCAAGGATGTGTATCTTTTATACTAACCAATTCTACTCTTTTTAAAAGATAACATTGCATGAGAAAAATTTACAACTCTGGTTCATGCAAACAAGCTCCAGGACAACAAGGCAACACTGAATGCGCTCTGTCATTTTCCCCTTTTGTCACCGTTCCCAGTTTAAAGCCTTCAGTCTATCAGGGTCCTCATCACCTCTGGGGAAGAAACATAATATGCAGCAGAGGAGAAACTATTTGCTGACACACTGAAATCATTGTTGGGCTTGCACACACATGCACAACATTCTGTAAATAAACCCACCTAACACACACACACACACTTCAAATCACAGGTCTCATTTCAGACCATTAACATGTCAGAGATTCTTGGCAGAGTAAATAAGTGTATTAAATGGGATGGTATCATAATGGGACTGGAGCTGCGATGAAAGCTCTGTTCTCTGTTTGCACAAGAACCTGTTCGACCACAAACAAAGAAAGACACCGCTATTGTTCCCCTCTTTTTCTCTCCTCTATCTCGTCTCATTATTCCAGCTGCCCCTCCTATCTCAATATTTACACATCTTTTAATTCTCCTGCCCTCTGGAGAATGGCGTCTGTCTGTGTTTTGGGTCTAGCTTTGCTGCGATCTCACTTCGCTGCTCCTTTCCACCTTAATGAGATCTCTCTTTTTTTTGTCAATCAAAAAAAAAATGTGAGGAATCCAGGAGGCTGGTCTCATTGTGACCACATGGCACTGTCTACTCTTGTTCAGTTTAAGCTTCAAATTTATTTGGCTGCTTCTTTGTATATATGTGTGTGTGTGCATGCATGCATGAGGGTGTGTATTAAAACAGCGCATGTCTGCTTCATCAGTTTTGAATGAGGAGGGAGGACGGCACACGTCAGCCGCAGACAGAGACAGATGCTGCTGACACGTCCGAAGATCTCTCTATTGTATTATTCATCCTCAGTGTCACATCTCATCCGATGTGGTCAGCCGGACATGCTGCAGCAGAAGGGGTCAGCTCAGACATACACACACAAATGCATGCACACCCAAATACACACATGTGGCGTGCTTTTTAAATTCTGTTTGGTGTCTTTTTGCAAGTGTGTGTGTGTGCGCCAGAGGGTGGGTTTACATCTGCCAGACTCAGAAGAGGACGCCTTTGAAGTTGTGGAAAGGGGCTTGTGATCTTGTGATTGGAGAAGCAATGGGTTTTTGTAGCACTGTGTGTATGTGTGCATAAATGTGTCACTTCAGGCAATATATCACAACCCCCCCCTCATGATACCCTAACCTCTAGCAACCCCCTCCTCCAGCCTCACTTCAACCCAACAGAGAATTAATCTCTAGATGTTTTATTAATGAGCGTCAGAGGAAGTGTCAATTATAGTACAAAAAAATCCCAAACAAAGGGTTTCACTCTGCTGTCTCACAGAGAGGAAGAGAAATGTTGTGTCTGTTTGTGCCACTTGAATCCAAGTATGCCCGGCCCGTGTGGAATGTCCTGTTCTGCCCACAGTCCACACTCATCATCTACTTGGCCTGTGGATGAAGCCTTTGTGTCCTTTCCCCGTGAATGAAGCCGTCCTCGTGTTGACTTTATGACGTGATGGGAGATCACAATGCTTCTTGTATGAGGGTGCATATTTTAGATAGTCCTCCCACCTCAGTTTGTAAGAGTAAGAATAACATGGGAGGGGAGAGGCATGATAAAAATGCTGTTTGTTTGAGTTGTATGGAGCTTTGCATTCAAAGAACAGAGGGTAGCGGTGAAAGAAAGATCATTTTATATGGTAGAGAAAAAACTATGTAATACCTAAAATGCTGCACAAGTAAAAGTACAATGTGTTTTTAAAGTCATAGTGAAAGTAATGAAGTCTATTTCACAAATGCAGGAAACTCAGAAATTTACCAACTTGGTCAAAGTGAAAATCTAAAATTTTCACAGTAACCAGGTGAACTCCATGATACATTTTTTTAGCCCTTCGGTGTAACAGTTCGCAAGCTTAAGCCTTAGACTCTTAAAAATGGCCATAATATATAAAGATCTGGATATAAGTCCATCTTGTACATAACCTGCAAGCTTTTCATGCATGTCTGAGAGAGAAAATGTCTTCTTGATGATATTTGTGAGGGAACAGCCTGCAACCAATAAAACCTAAATACAACTATCTGATGATGTAACACTCCGGGTGAGCAGATCAAATATTGTGATTATGCCCCATTGTTGTGCTTCAGGTTTCAAGTTGTCTGCCAAGTGGTCTGTCATTTAATGAATAGTGAGTTGTCCAGGACACATGTGAGTGCATATTGCAAGATGAATGTCGACGTATATATCCTAGACCACCTCCGAGTGTGACTTCGGGGATTCTGTCTCAGTGTGAGTCCTGAGAGTGTTTACACCTGCACCGAGGGCTGAACTGAGGTCACATGTTAATACCAGGTGTAAACAGACTCATAAGAGTGTTAAGCATCCCCAATAAGACACAGGTTTTATATGAGAAAGAAAGAGTTCCACCAAAATGTCCGGGATCGTGATTTATAAACTTGCAGTCATGAGGATTAAACAGAAGGGCACAGAGTTCAATGTCATCCCTCTTTACGATTTCTTGATTGGATGTATTAAGTTATTCTCCAGCTCTGACTGTGGGCTGATTCTGGAAACAGAAACAGAAACAAAACAAGCTTTCTTCTTATCATTGTGGACCATTAGGAATTTTAATCTGCAGGCAAATAGCAGCAAAATCATTAGATGTGTGTTTG